TCTTAAGTAATATTATATATCTAATCTATACGATTTAGTACTTAGAAGGATTCTAAGTACAGTAGCGTCGGCGGTACATAGGTAATATACCTACGCACCGCGTACTAGCTATTTATGGTACACCCTAGTAACACGTAGTCTGTTCCGACTAATGTGTACATAGTCGTAACATTATAGCTATTAGATTCTTTACTACTTTAGTTATTACTTAAATAATTACTATAGTTATATATAAGTATTATATATAGTATTATAATAAGTATTATATATTAAGATTTAAGCTTTATAGTTTATTTCTAGTTTAGCGGTACTTTAGAATCGACCTATTTTTAACCCTAACCCGGGTAAAGTCCGAGTTAGGGTCGAAAAAAAATCGACCCGACCCTAACCCTACGAAGGCCTAGTAAAGATAAAACTAACTAGAACTAGTTCTATAATAATTTATAATAGTAAGCTACCACTAGAATTAAATAACGCTTAGTATATAACGAACCGTTACGTAGTATAGATTAATTAGTAGAATTAGTAAAGATTAATATACTTAGTATTAATTATACTAATTAAGATATTACGATTAATAATTATATAGATATAGTATCTTTATAATATATTTTATAATTCTACTCTTTATAGTTAATCTAAGTTATTATTACTTAGAATACCTTCTAGTATCTTTAGTATTATTATTATCTCTTTAGTACTAGTATATAGCTAATATATAGCGTTCTAACCTTTCTAAGTATAGCCCTTACTCGATTATAACCTACGAGCAGTCGTGATAAAATTATAGAGAGGCTTAGTAGATCGAGTATATAAAATAGATAAAAGTGTACTACACTAGAGTTCGGTATCTAGGAGTAAAAGTTTATCAATTATTATTTAATTAGGTATAGGGTCATATTCCGATAGCCAGAGGGCACTGTGCAACTAGTTAAAGTCTCCCCCTCAGCTGCTTACGTCGACCGAGGTTCGTATTAATCCCCTCAGCTGCTCACGTCGACCGAGGTTCGTATTAATCCCCTCAGCTGTGTACAAAATAAAATATTCGTAAGCTTCAGGAAGTCTTATTCGGCAAAGCTACTAAGGAGGTCCACCTACCACATATTCTTTTGCTTTCTAATTCTGCAAAGCGATGTACCTTTATTTACAAAGTGCCATTTTTTGGGCATCGTTGGCATTGCTGCTGACCTTGCTGTTCAAGGTTAGTACTGCAGAACGAAGTGTGCTTCGATTGTCCGGAACATTTTCCAGCTAGCGATTAACCTATACAGCTCATCTACGAGGTGCTCCTTTCGCCACTCCGTTCGATTCCTGGACCTCTAGCCGCAAAATTGAGTAGTTACTACCTCGTCCTTATTGACATTGCTGGATACCGGACCAGCCATATCCACAAATTGCATCAACAATATGGACCTGTTGTTCGTGTCGGTCCTAGTGAAATTTCATTCGCTGGACTAGCTGCAACAAGGGAGATCTATGGTCAAGCAACACCATACATGAAAGCACCTTGGTACGATGCGATGAGTGTAGAGCCTCTAGGTATCTTCTCAGAACGAGACCGAAAGAAGCACGCTGATCGCAGACGGTTGCTTAAGCCAGCATTCGGTCAAGCCGCCATCAACGAAGTCGAGCCCACAATTGATATGCTCGTGCTCAAGCTCGTGAATAGAATTCTGGAGGCAAGGGAAAATCCTGTCGACGTACTGTCGAGCTTCCGACGACTGTCTCTTGATGTCGTCGGCGAGTTGTTCTTTGGGCAGTCCTTCAAAGCTCTAGATGATGATCAGATGCCTCAATTTCTAGAATGGATGGACAACCAATTCGTCAGCCTTGGGATCAAGTATGCTTTTCCCCCTGTTCACTGGCTATTGCGACAGTTACCTTTCGAGGGCCTGCGTCAGATGATGCTAGGCCCTGAGCGTATTCGCGAGTATGGACGTAAAACCTTTGAGCAATACATCAACGAGAATAGCAGGGAGTCCACGCGTCGTGACCTATTGACCAAGTTTCTGTCTGCCAATCTGGCCGCGGAGAAGGCAGGAGAGAGCGCCGTACTGGGCGACCTCGAGATGCAGTGCGAGATAGGCAATTTGATTTTCGGCGGTACTGGTAGGTCACATACATCGTCATTGATGCAAATTCAGTCTGTCGATTGATTGTACTGATTTAAATCCATCAGACACCACAAGTACGACACTTACTTATTTATTCTGGGAGTTGGCCAAGCATCAAGCTTGGCAGGATCGCCTGCGGGAAGAATTGCTGGCCAACGTGAAATCGAACGACATTCCCAAGATGAGTGCTTTGGCTGACCTTCCCATACTCGATTCAGTCATCAACGAGAGCTTGCGACTACACCCTGCAGCGCCAGCGAGTCTTGTAAGAACGGCACCAGCTGGGGGCCGAGTGATCGATGGACAGTATGTTCCCGAAGGCGTGAGTGTCCAATTGTTTGTCTCGAGCCCGACTCATAGGTTCCTAGACCATCGTATCCATGCAATGCTACACAACTCATAGAGATGAGCTTGCCTTCCCGAAGCCAGAGACTTGGAATCCTGGCAGATGGCTAGACCACAAGAAAGACATTGGGGTAGATTCTGAACGTGCAAAAGAGCTTTTTATGCCGTTCTCGAGAGGTCCAAGAGCCTGCGCAGGTAAAGCGCTTGCCATAACGGAGCTGAAAGTAACGACAGCAGCTCTTGTGATGAGAGCACGCTGTCAACTAGGTCCAGCAACGACCGAGGAAGGTATGAAGATGATTGACCACTTTCTAGCCATGCCTAAAGCTGGAAAGTGTGAATTGTTGTTCGAAAAGCTTTGATCAGAAACAGAATACCACTGTCCGCGACCGACTGTGGATGGAGAGCGGACTAAGCTTAGGGCAATAGGCTGAGCCTAAGGTGTAGGTGATCTGTGTACGTGTTAAAACTTGTAGAAATATCCTTCGAGTATTCGAGCAAGATCAGCTCCTAGAACTTCCTCCTGAATTTGCCAACAATACAGAATTTCGGATTTAACGCTGGAGAAGACGGCTTGCTGTTTCTTACAGGCCAGGACTTATGCCCGTTTCTGTGCTTGGAGTCAGATAGGGTAACGGATTTAGGCAATTTTAGGTAGGTATTTCGATATCGTCCGCTGCTAATGCAAGGTCGATCAAAGAATTCCACTGTCCCATTCAGTAGGCGTGACTTAGCGCGTTCACAGCTTCTGTTAGAATAGTGTCGCTCGATGTTTCATTTTGGACCCGTTCTCTTTCGTTTCTTTTTCGCATCTCGTTTAAGATCACATAAGCAAGCCGGATGATAAGAAAGCTAGGCAGCAGTTACGATAAAGTGTACGAACAATGTCAATAGGCTAGAGGCTGATCACTCTACGAGCTCTAGCACCGCTGATTACAGTTTCGTGCTCGTAATCTGTTTGTCACGAGATATTAGACGTGTTAATGCGCTTGTATTAGTATATCGGTTCTAGTTCTCCCCTAGTTAGTTCTACCTTTCTTGATATTTTTTTAAATTAAATAAACTAAGTCTCTTTTAAAAAGATTTAATCTTTTAATTTTATATTAATTTATAAAATAAATTATTTATTAAACTAAAAACTTAAGCTTTATCTTATCTTAAATTAGTTATAAAGTTCTTTTATTTAACTAAAAATTAATTAAGTATAATAATTAGTATAAAAAGATAATATATTAATAATAATATTATTATTATTAAGGTAAAATTAAACTAAAAATAATAATAAAATCTAATTATTTTATTAATAATTAATATAATATTATAAGTATTATTTAAAAGTTTAATTTATTTTTTTTAATTTAATTATTTATTTTTAGATAAAATAATATTAAAAATTTATACTTAATACTAAGTTAATTTATAAGTTTTTTTTTTTAAAATAAAAGTTAAATAAAGTATCTTAATTAAAGATAGTTATTTATAATATATTATAATTAGTAAATATTATTTATAAAAAAATATAAATTAATTTTAGTATATTTACTACCTTTAAATAAAATAAGAAGTAAAAATATTTTATTATTTAATTATAAATATTATAGTTATAGTTTTATAACTTATTTATTATAACTAGTATATAACTACGATATAAAGTATACTAATTAAGAAAAAGTATCTAAAATAGCTTAGCTAAAGAGAAGATTTAGTAAAGTTATAAGATAATAAATAACTTAATTTAGATATAATATTAAAATATTAGTAATATTAGATTAAAACTTAATATCGTAGTATTATAAATATATTAAAAGATATCTAAACTATATATATATTATAGATTAGGTATAACTAATATTTTATAGTTATTTTATAATTAATCTTCTTTACTAATTCTACTAGTATCTTCTAAAGTACTTTTCTTATTATATTTATACTTCTTATTACTAACTAGCTAATATACTACTTTATTACTTATAATTAGACTTATTTATCTTAGGCCTAAAAACTTATATTATATAACTATAAAATATAATCTATATCTAATTTATATAGTATATATATTTTATAATTATATTACTTTTATATCCTTATACTCTTATTACTAAGGATAAGATTAGAAAAGTAAAAGATTAAGCTAGATATAAATAAAGCTCTTACTTAACTTTCTTTATATAAGATTAGTTTTAGACTAGCCCTATTCTAATTTCGTTTATAGCTATTTTCTAGTTTAGGCTACTTATAATATAGGTCTAGTCTTATATTTTAATATATATTTAAGTATTATAACTTATTATATAACTAGACCTATAGCTAAGTATATAACTAGGCGTATAGTAAGATATATATTAGAATATAGAATTAGGCCTATATTATAAGTAGCCTAAACTAAAAATAGCTATAAACGAAATTAGAATAGGGCTAGTCTAAAACTAATCTTATATAAAGAAAGTTAAGTAAGAGCTTTATTTATATCTAGCTTAATCTTTTACTTTTCTAATCTTATCCTTAGTAATAAGAGTATAAGGATATAAAAGTAATATAATTATAAAATATATATACTATATAAATTAGATATAGATTATATTTTATAGTTATATAATATAAGTTTTTAGGCCTAAGATAAATAAGTCTAATTATAAGTAATAAAGTAGTATATTAGCTAGTTAGTAATAAGAAGTATAAATATAATAGAAAAGGTACTTAGAAGGTATTAATAGAATTAGTAAGAGAGATTAATTATAAAGAATCTATTTAAGTAACTAGAGAGTATACTAGAATCTATATACTTATAAGTTATAATAACTTAATTAGTATTATTTATCTTAATTAATATACTTAGTACTAAGTACTACTAATTAGGCTAATTATACTAAGTACGGTAATCTTTATAGTTCAGTCTCGCTAAACCTTCCTTTACGTAAGGTCGGTTTTAGGCCAGTCCTATTCTGATTTAGTCCCTAGCTGATTCTGGTTTTGGGCCACTTTGTGACGTGGGCCCGGTCGTATGTCCTAGTACGTGTCTAGGTGTGCGCCTAGCCGTACGTCCAGTCGTATACCTGGCCGTAGGCCTGGCCGCATAACAAGTCATGACATCTCTAACCCGACCCTTATTAGGGTTAGGTTAAAGGGGGTCTAACCCTACTTCTAACCTTATCTAAGTCGGGTTAACCTTTTTTTAACCTTAACCCTAACTCTACTAGGGTCGACTCGGAAACCTTAAATAATCTAATTATACTAATAGTAGTTTAGCTTAATATACTAAAAGTTAAAAATAATTTTGATTATTACTTTAATAATTACTATAGTTAAATATAATATATATTATATAATAAAATTCAAGCTTTTTAGTCTATTTATAGTTTAGTATTATTTTAAATCGACCCGTTTTTAGCCCTAACCCTAGTTTAATCCGACCCGGGCAGGGTCCGGGTTAGGGTCGAAAAAAGGTCGACCCGACCCTAACTCTACGGAGGTCTAATTATAGTTAAGTTTAAGTAACTTGAACTTAACTCTTAACTTCGTATTAATATAATTTAGAATTATATATTATATTATTTAAAAGATTATTAGGTTAAGTTAATATATTTATACGTATTTAATTAAAAATAATATAAATATGTTATACCGCGTAGCGAGCTTATAAGCAGGGCTATACGTCTTATTCGTAAGCGAGGGTAACAGTAGACGTTTACGTTTGCGATCTATTTTATCGACGACCTACTTATGACTGACGTCGGTCGCAGAAAGCTTCAGAAGAGCCGCGACATATCCGCGCTCAGATTCAGCCTGATCAGAAACAACAGTGGAAGCTTTACAAACAAGGCAGTGGACAGACGACGCCGAAGGGAATAGGTATAAAGTGGATGGTAGTTATCGAACACACTACCTGCAACGTTTTGAAGAGATACTGCGCAGGTAAGGCAGCGTCATAGTGATGTTTGGCGCATTGAAGGAACAGCTTGGATAGCTCACAAGCGACAAGAGAGGCTGATTATAATGTCCCTCTGTCAACCTTGTGCCAGCCTGCCTAGCACGTGCCTAGAAGTCAAGTTGATGAGCCTAAAGGGAAGGTCTAGGTGTGCTCGCCCCGAGCCGACTTGAACTCTTTGTGGACAGCCATAGCCAATAGTGTCCAGTTTGCAGCGTGGGCGCGTCCGATGATTGGGTCCTGCCCAGTTGTCACAGAGGAAGGACTGAACAGCGACCCATACAGAGCATAGTGGTCTTGGTAGAAAGACCAGGGTGAGAGAACGTCAAAGCCTGCACATGATTGAATTCCGAGGCGCAAAAGTCGCTGTATGGAAAAAACGTACCGAACGTGGCAGTTTCGTGAGGCTTGCATTGACTTGCCTCTTTGTGGGTGCCGAAAATCGCACTCAAGCGGCAGCTTGGTTACAGGATAACATCGTGGACAGGCGCAACTTTCATACCACCCAACTTTTCCTCCCATCCTGTTCATTACCATCGACCATGCCAGACTAAGATGACACCAGTGACCGTCATCTCCGGAGGTCAAACAGGTGTGGATACCGCAGCTCTACTCGCGGCCAAAGCCTTCTCGCTTCCAATCTCAGGCTACGTGCCATTACACTACACCAATGAGCTCGGAGCCTACAGCATACCTGAGCGCTTTCGAGCAAATCTGGTCGAAACTGGCACTACTGCATCAGCATTACGGACAGAGTTGAATATCAAGCAGGCCGACGGTGTGCTTACTCTCCTCAGTGCTGAGGCTGGTAAGAGTGATGTGAGCAAAGGCACACAACTTGGGATTGACTATGCAAGGACGTTGGGCAAGGCAGAGGAGCAATTGTGCTTTGTCGATCTGACGACTCCGAACTCGGATGTAGAGGTTGAGAAAGTGGTGGCATGGCTCGTTTACCAGAAGGTGAGCAAGTGTGCGATTGGTGGTCCTCGTGAGAGTGAAGTGCCAGGTATCGAGCGACAAGCTGAGACCTTTTTGTTGAAAGTCTTTGATTTGCTTGAGAATATCTCTAAAGCTAGCGAGCACAACACAGCAGAGACAGCTTCGAGCAGCGATGTCCAAATTAATGGCTAATAAAACTATCTCATCTTTTCGTTGACTTTCTCGACTCCATTTTGTCAGACACAAATGACGATTAGTGACTGGCCTCAGGACCATTACTCCGTCCTCGCGCACAAAGCCTGCGCCAGGATTGTGGATCTCTTCGAACTACAACAATTTGTCCGGCTGCACTCTGGAGAGGATGGAGCACAGGTCAAACTTGATGCTGGTTGACTCACAAAGGCAGCCAGTAAATCCATGAAGATAACAGCCATCGAAGCGGTTTCGAAGTGTGATAGGTCTGCTGGAGGTCTCAAGTGAAGACTGCTCATAGACGTCACAGATTAGAGGACAGATTTGAGACCAAGCATTGATACCGCAGGATCTACCTCCTGGTATTGCGCTTGTGGTCATGATAGGCCTAGTTCTAGCAAGTGAGAGAACACCACCATCAACATCTGATCTAGCTCAAGCACTTGAAAGGCAAGAAATCAGTACCAAAGCAACCATCATAGCAGCCGCCTTCAGCTCGGAGTCATCTATCTTCTGTGCAAATCCTACATGTGCCTGGTCCCAGGCGTGGTCGCAAGGAACCCTCACGCGACGCTAATCCTTCGCCAAACGCATTCTCAATCGGACCGGTCTTGCAGGACAACTTGTCAGTGTCAAGTTGCTGGTAACTCTTTCTTCAATCTCGTGTGGAGGCAGTTCAAGCTTATCAAACTTCTGCAGCAATCTAACAACGACATATGACGCCTCGATCAGAGCGAATTGCTGTCCGATGCAGATCCTTGGGCCACCATTGAAGGGGAGGTATCTGTTAGCCGTTAGCATGAAAATTCTACTTCATCATTCACGGGGTTCTCAGCGTAGCTGTTCACAGCAAACAACTCTTGGGGAAACTTACTCCCAACCAGACTTTCGTCCAGCAAATCTTTCTGGTCGAAATTCCTCCGCGTCTGGACCCCATAAATCCTTACGGCGATGCATGACATGTGAGCTGAAGTTAACATCTGTTTGAGGCGGCAGGTATATCGGCGACTTGCCGTCTGGTCCGCCTCCCCTAGGCAATGTGGTAGCCTTGTTAGTTCGACGTCCGTTACCTGGTACGACAGTCCAGATTCGAAGCGTTTCATTCAGACAGTACTGCAGGTATTGACAGCTTTTCAGGTTGGCGAAAGTGATATCGTGCGGGTCTTCGTAGGTCCCGAAAGTGTCAATTACAGTACTTCTTAGTTTCTCGAAAACTTCTGGATTGCGGAGAAGTTGATGGAAAAACCAGGAGAGCAGACTTGATGTTGTATCACGTCCAGCGAGGAGGATGTTGAGCAGCTGTCCGCGCAACTCGAGTGGATCCTTTGTTTGCTGCCCAAGCGCCTCAAGAAGAATGTACTTGTGCTTCTTTTGACCTTCTTCCATCTTCTTCTCAGTATTGAGGTTGCCTCGCAGCGCTAGGTTCACGTAGTAGTCCACGAACTCATGGACGACTTTATTGTTTTCTTTATATTCGCGTGGGTTGTGTAGCCAGTACATATCGCCCAGACGAAAACTCCTAGCCATGTGCGCTTGGGCTGAGTCGAAATTGTGTGCGAATGCCTTCTCCAGACCAGTCTTTTGAGAATTGGAGGTAGGCATTTCGAGGATCTGGCTATCGACAGATTCGCCGAAGAGGAACTCTGTGGCGGAGTCGAGGGTGAGACGGAAGAATAAGGTCTGTATATCGATTTCGGAAGTCCAGCCGTCGGCTTCCACAGGTCCAATAGCTTTCATCATGGTTTGGACATGGTTCTCTTCCAGGTCAAGGTCCGATATTTGTTCACGAGCGAACTGTGGCTACAGTACTGTTAGCTGCTAGGAGAGACGAGGCCAATCTGACTCACTCTGAGCATAGCACGGCTGTGTTCCCATCCTTTGTTGTCTTGAACGAACTGCTACCGTCATTGATTGTCCATGTACCATCATATTGAGCACTCACAATCCCGTCACCCAGTGTGCGAACCATGTTTCCACGTCTTGCAGGACCCAGGTCGTAGTCAGCGAACTGAGTGGCTAACATGGCTTTGATGTTTTCTGGATCGCTTGTAAAGTATATGATTTGTCCCATAGTTTCATTCTTGAAGGTTGACACCTCCCGCCCATGTATTTTGCTCATTAGCTGCTGTCGATCAATCAACATATCTGGGAATAGCTTCTTCTTGTCGGCATTCAAGATATATCTGACATGCTTGATTCCCAATATTCCACAATCTGGATACATTGGTGCATCTTGACAACCGAGTGCCTCTGCTTTCGCTATCGGAGTCGTCAGCGTAAACTTGGCCATTTCCCCATGAGCACCGGAACCTGTTCGACTGTTCAACAACCAACACGTGGAGCTGCATACCTGCATGACGACGTCGCTGGATGATTGTGACAACGAGTCTGTGAATTATCAGGGCCAGTACTGCCCAGACCGGGACGAGAACGGAAAAGTGCATGGTAGTGTTAGATCTGGGGTTCAAACTCGAAACGTATCACTTTGAAAGATATCTGATGGTGCTGGCACACACGTCGGCACAAAGAGAAGGAGCTGCAAGCAATACAAGTGACGCTGAATATAAGTGCGAGAGCAACGCTCGAGTTGTACCTAGCTAACATCTCTTATTAGGCATCCCGGAGCAACAGGGCTTGACCCAGGCCATCAGAAGCCCTGATAGCATCATCAGTGCATCAGCTTGCTCCTTCAGAACTGTTGGACCCTTTTGAGTTGACACGAAGCAGTCGAATACGATAACGAGCGCGAAGTGCTCAGCAGGTGGATGCGGACTTTTGATATCATCCGTCGGTGCAACGTTTACTCGACGGGAAGGAACGACCTTGGGGCCGGCCTCCTAAGCCACATCCTTCGGAAGGTCTAGCGATGATCACAAATTCTATCTCAACCACTGGACGCGCTTGTCGATGGACGACTTTGCTAGCACTACTATTCTGGGGTTGTCCAGGTAGCCGTATACAAGCAGAACTTAGCGCTGACACGAAATGGATTGCGTGTCGACGTGATCAGCTTGGTTGATGGGTTGAGCTCCGCTTTATCAAAGCACACACCCAAGTTGGAGTCACGTATCGAATACGCTAGACCCATGTCTGACTGCAACGTTTCATGAAGAAGCTGGATTTCGTAAAATCGAACAATGCTAGGGCTAGTGGTTACATCTCTCAGCGACGACTTCCCACTCTTAGTTACTCTATTCGTTCATGAACATCAACCTCTTTCTTTTGGGGGCAACATCACTCGGTTACAATGGCTGGTCAGCAATTGCTATCATCTGAAGGCTCGTCATGGTAAGCCGAAAGGCCTATGGTCACCTCTCTCCACGTCTTTGACACTTTCGGGAACAACGCCATGATCCGGAGGCACGATAATAAGGCCGTGTAATCATGGTGGATCGTCTCGAAAACGTTTGATGCTTCTGCTATGGGTTTGCGGTTCTTGACCACCACCGACCTGCTTCAGTCAGTTCATGACAATCGCAGTAGCACTTGAATGCTTTCCACTTTCAGCGAAGGTCATGCATCGATTGCTCTTAGCTCTTATAACTTATGTCTTCCAAGTATAGCACCACCATCTGTAACCACGTGTGCACCATTCAAATGTTTAGCTGCTGGACTAGCCAAGAACGTTACCAGACCCGCGATATCTTCTGGAGCTCCCAGCCTGCCATTCGGCGATGCTTCTGCAATCTTCTCCACACCACCACTCATTTCCATCAAACCATTAGCCATCTTAGTAGGATAGAAGCCTGGACACACCGCGTTGCACATAATATGTCTTGGGCCTAGGTCTACAGCTAGGTTCTTCGTGAGATGTAATGCCGCTGCTTTTGAAGCTGAATACCCATAGGTTGCCTGTTGACCTAAGGTACCGACCTCGATGCCGGCCACAGATGCGGTCACGATGACCCTGCTTGGATCTGCTTTCGAGGCCTTGACTCGCAGCAAAGGCTCGAATTTCTGCACGGTATAGAATATGCTCTTGACGTTCAAGTCCATGACCTTGCTGAAAGCCGACTCAGGGTGTGTCTCAAATTTCTCACCCCATGTCGCACCAGCATTCGCGAACAGAATATCGACGTGATCGGTAGTCTTCTTGATCTCTGCCACAAGTCTTTCTATTTCAGACACTTTGCTAGAGTCTGCCGCAATCGCTATCGCTTCGGCGCCTGGAGCCTTGTTCGGGAGAGCATTGAGAGCCTTCACTGCTTCCTCGCAAGCTTTGGCTTTTCGAGAGGTAATATAGACTTTGGAGCAGCCAGACTGCATGAAACTGGGACAATTAGCACGAGCTTCCAGTCATGGAAGTAGAAAGATAGCTCACCCCGAGGCAACGTTGAGGCCAAGTCCTCTGGAACCTCCTGTCACTACCGCGACCTTGCCATCTAATCGAAAGATGTTCTGGAAATTGTCCAGCTTGACATCCTGCTCGGCGGACATGATGGTAGAGCTAGAGTGAAACGCTGCTTCTGTCAAGATGGAAGAGGATCTGAATCGAGAAAGCTATACAGATATGATAGAGTGTCGATCTACGGTACTCTATTTTCGTTGAACGGTAGTATTTCACAAAGAACAAGCCGGACTCTATCGCGAAGATAACCCATCGTCAAGTTAAATGCAATCATCAAAACTCTACTGCTCTGTTTCGTAACAAGAATCGAGCCGAGGCAGCACGAAAGCAACGGAGATTGGAAAGGTTCGAAGCCAGTAGCTACTATATCGACAGTAAAAGTGTCTGATTATAGCCGTGGAGTACCCCCTTGAAGCGGCAACATGACTCCCGCATTGCTCACGGTCTCGCCTTTTCGGATTTCTTGTCCTGTTTCTTAACACTCTTCCACTCCATACCCAACGACGACACAAATATCCAGCAGGATAATGCCAAAGCCAAGTACCAAATTAATCTGGTGGAGTCATTGTAGACTTTAAGGACCTTCGACGTATCGTTCTCTAGCGCAAGATTCCGAAGTGATGCTGCATCGCCATTACTGATCGTGCGATGGTCGAAGTTTGGCAGAATGTTATTCAAGCCTTGAGACAATCTGGTGTCAAGCAAAGTTTGCGACACGGTGACGAAAATCGTTCCTCCAAGTATGTTGACAAATTGCAATAGTGAGAGGCCTCTCGACAGATCACTCTCGGGCAAGACAGCTTGCGCGGCGACCGTGGGCTGTTGAAGGATAAGACCGAGCCCTAGTCCTGCAACGATCTGTTTGGTGTTAGTCTCAACACATCTGCGAAACTACTTGTTGTTACATACCTGATATCCGATCCACATGCCAGCTCCAACGTTGGCTTCCCAGGTGGTAATCAATCCTGCGCCAACAACAAGAAGAGCACTTCCGCCGATCAGAAACGGCGTATAGTATCCCAAAGCACTCGTCGCAATGCCACCACCAACGACGGCAAGAACATTGCTCAGGAGTAACGGTATCAAGGACAAACCTGAGCTCTCTGGTGACTTTCCCTGAATAACCTGGAACCAAATCGGTAGGTAAAAGGCGTAGATCACTAACACAGATCCTATGCCTATGCTCGCTATGCAGCCCACAAGCACACTGCGTTGCAGGATAATCCTAGGAGGTACTGTTGCTTTGTCCTTCTGCCGAACTTGCCATGCCACGAAGGCCACACCACAAACGCCAAAGACGACAAATAAGACGATGACGCGGTAGTTGCTCCAGCTGTACTCGCTTCCACCCCACCGGATAGCAAACAGCAAGCATGTTATGGCTGGCGCAATCAGTGCGAAACCTAGCGGATCCAACTGCTTGAGCTTGCCTAGTGCCGTGTCTGCTGGCTTAGTTGGAGGTGGACGACTCGGGGTAAGGAAGAAGAGTAGGACCAGTGATGATGCTCCGACGGGAACATTTATCCAGAAGGTCCAACGCCACGATACCGCCGTCAGATAGCCACCAAGTACTGGACCGATGATTGACGCAACCCCGAACACAGCTCCCAGACCGCCGAGGTATTTAGGCCTTGCTTGTAGCGGCACCAACAGACTGACGAGCAGGAATGCACCTGCTGAAATTCCTGCTCCACCAATGCCCTGAACAACCCGACCGACGATGAGAGCGCTTGAGTTTGGAGCCGCTGCACATATTATGGACCCAATTTCAAAGATTGCGACAAGGGAGAGGAGAACCCATTTCGTCGAATAGTATTTGTACACCAGGCCGAAGGACAATTGGAATATGGAGAGAGGAAGCAGAAACCCTGACTCGTACCATGCGACATCTCCAAAACTCTGGAAGTCGTTGGTAATGGTTGGTATCGCAGTGCCGATAATCGTTCGATCCTGTGCAGAATGTCAATATGGGTGTCCAGGATTGAGCGTTGTCTTGCATCTCACCAGTGCCACAAGGAAGACAGCCATATAGACAGCAGCCATAGCAGGCAGTACGACCTTTCGAGAAGGGTATACCTTGGTGTCCTCATCTTGCTGCTCCTGTCCACCGCCAGCCTCCTTATTCGACATATTGCTCGCAGTCAACTATGGTCGCCAGCTAAGGACTAGATGTTGTCTTCGAGCTAAATCTAGTAGTGTATTAATTCTTGAATACTGAATAGGTTCTGCTATGGCGTTGGACATCATCTCCTTGATATAGGATGTCCTTGAACTGCTACAATCCAATTCAATAGCATTATCACTGGCAAGGCCGAGTCGTTCGGGTGATACCGAAATGACTTCGGTGAGTGCTCCGAAGATGTAAATCCGCCAGGAACGAGAGGCGTGTATGTGGTTGATGAAACTAGGTCTAGACCTCGTCATTTGACCCGAAACAGTTATAAACGAGCTTCTATTAACTGTTTATGGCATATTCTCAGTAGTATAGATGGTCATTACCGCTCGAAGCATTGGTTACATCGATGTTCTGTACCTCGAATTACATCATGCAAGCCGCCACAGAACCTACTAGCTTCAAATAGGAAAGGGTTTTCTCGGGGGCGCGCCCGAGACCTCTTGACGCGTACCTTCCTTCTATCTCAAGTTCCTCCCCTTACGTGCCTCGAAGCAATGTGTCAGTGGCTCAGATTGATGGCGAGCACTGCGGGGAGTTATGAAGACTCAAGCTTGCGAGCCGTGCGCGAAGCGTAAGGTGCGCTGTGATAAAGGAGAGCCTTGCTCCAATTGCAAACGAAGAAAAAAAGACTCCTGCACATATTCCGAAGCTTCGCCCGCAGACCGTATCAGAAGACTTGAAGCCTTTGTGCGGAATCTTGGTGGCGATCCGAACGATCCTTTTGTTGATGCGCTTTCGGACGCCGCTTCAGCTAGTAGGGTCCAGCATGGTCCTCGCAACGAACCCCCGTTACAATTAGCCACCCCATCCTCGAGGACAGCCACCGAACCTCATTCGACAAGTCTGCCAGCCACTCCTGCAACTGTCGCTGGAAGCACTGTATCAGTGCCCTCTCTTCAGGATGTCCAACGATCAGACGTCCGGAGCTACGGCGAAGGTACAGATCCAGTCATCTCCAAAGACAATGGTCAGCTTTTCTACCTCGAATCGTACGTATCAAGACGTACCCTGTTGCTAGTCGTGCTGACCCTCAAGGCGCGCATGGCACGGTGGCCTGAATGCTAGCAGATACGAAGGCATTAATAGCGAGATGGCCACGACAAGCCCGTTCCTGACTATGGACAATCCTGATGCCTTTTCGACGCTACTCAGTAGAAGAAGCTCACGTCAACCATATGAGTGCTATCCCTCACAGTATGACCACGATATCCTCTGGCAGACATTTCAGGTCAGAGTCAGTCCATTCGTTAAAACACCTTTCAGCTGGATGCTAGCTAGACTATGTTCTGCCTCGACTCAGCCGGAGCTTCGTACACGAATGACCTACGCGGAGCATGCTCTCATGTTCTCTATATACTTCATCAGTATTGTCAGTTTATCCGAGGAGGAATGCAGACGGATGTTGAGTCAAGAGAAAGACTCGCTCGTTGCTGGATATCAGGTACTATGCGAAGAAGCGTTGTGCTGGACGAACTGGCTTTGTATCACAGATATCACGGTCATCAAGGCCTTGACTCTATACATGGTGACCTATTCTCCCACACGATATCATTGCTGTTGGCTAACAAGGCTTTAGATGGCTGGTATGGATCGACTGAGTATACAGAGTTTGTGGTCTTTGATGGGACTGGTGATTCGAAACGCAGAAAGGCTGGGCATTCATCGCGATGGAACTCTTCTAGGTCTTTCACCCTTTGAAGTCGAAGAACGACGTCGAGTTTGGTGGCAGCTGCAACACGTTGATTTGGCACTTGCGATCAAGGGTGGATTGACTCCTCTTACATTGATGGCCGACTGGGATGCGAAGCTGCCTCTCAATATTGAAGACGATGACATGAAAATGACTGCGACAGAAATGCCGAAAGAAAGGAAAGGATTGACCAGCTTATCATACTGCCTGTATACTTATTGGGTTCTCAATGAGCAACGTCGGTTCTTTCGGGATCGACAGCTTCGCTTTCGATTATCCTGGCAAGCAAGCACGTCGCTGAAACAAACGGACAAAGACTCGTTGCTTGATGAGCTTGAGACTGGTATCGGTCAGAATTTCCTGCAATACTGCGATCCTCTCAGACCCATAGACGTGCTAATTCAGTTCTCGGCTAAAGCATTGATCCTCGTTATGCGGATACGAGCTTTGCACCCCTTGGTCTACGGCGACAACTCAACACAAGCCACACAAGAAAGTCGGGATGAGCTTTTGGAACTCTGTGTCCGGTGCTTGGAATACAGTATTGCGACTCGCTTACAATCATTGCTCCAAAACTTCCAGTGGTGGGTCAAAGGCATATTTTCGTGGTTGGCACGTAAGTGAAGTCTATTGGTTTCGTCCTTCTCATCTGGCTGACATACCTAGTCATGTGTGTCATTGTGGAAGTGTTGCAGCAACAGGATGAAGCCAGGACCGAGCGATTGTGGAGTCTGCTAGCTGACCTATACTCGGCTAACACGACTCTGTCAGACCTCACAAGGGATCGCAGAAAACACCACATGGCAAAGCTCATAGTCTCGGCTTGGAAAGCACGGCAAGATCGGTCGAGCAGTGGTACCTCCAGCGCCACGCCCACGTTTATCACGGACTTGGAATCGCGACTGTCTGCCTTCCGGGCACGGAATGGACAAAATCATACAGACACCACTATGCAACAGCAAAACACTGTCCAACCCTTCGATCCTACTCTCTCAGACAGCTACCTTGCAAGCCTAGATACTGATACCATTGATTTTGACCTTCAAGATATTGATTGGTCATACTGGAGCAGCATCAGCTAGATTGAAGTGCTCGAAACTTCCTCGACGAATTTCGCTTATGATCTCGCTAATCTATGTCGAGGCATAAACGGTTCTCCAATTGCAAGTATCTTCTGCGCTGCCATTCGTGACTCACCGATACTCCGCTGGTCCTACAGGATGGATTTGCAAGAAAGTGCAGTACACGATTTCGCCAAGTACTTGAGGTCGTCAGCAGAAGCAAACGAACTTGTATAATTGGCGTTCGGTACGATGCGCGTGCAGAGTTCATGCTTTCTTTGTACCACCTGTGCCACCCTCGCGTCGGTCCTGCAGCTTACACGAAGTGCTCGCTGAATTTACCAATACGATTGAGTCTCGGCACTCAGTCTTGGCCCGGATACGAGGATTAGCGAAACTTCAATCGCACGACGATAGCACGTCGAGTTGCGCCAAACACAGTGCTGGAGATGACTTGCCTCGGGACATAGAGAGTGACTAGTTGCTGCAATTCATACAATCATGTCCGGTATACTCGAGACTTCTGAGTATGCACAGCGACCACCAGCAACGTGGAAAGAGGTGGTCAATATGTCGCTAAAAATGGTCGCCAAGATTCCCTCGTGTTCAATCGATGACAGCCATCGGACGGGTCAAGTATTACAACATTTCGTATCATTGTCAGCAAGAGGTCTTCGACCACGATCTGGATTTCAGCCAGCCGAGTTGTCGTGGACCTTGTGTGGCAGAATTGAAACGACCTGGTCATCAGAAGCCTGAAACTGCCCGCAGTAGGATCACATCTTACCTCTATATGAGCTTCTAGCTCGTACTAAATTTTGACACTCGTTGCTTCGACGCTTGCCTGACTGTTTGCACCAGTTGTGACCTTCCTGTTGATCAATACAGCGACTTACGAAAGCGGCCACTATGGACATTCAGACCAATTTGTTCATCAACAACGAGGTAGGCTGTTCTTCGGACGTGATAACTTGCCTAACGTGTCCAGTATCTGGCGTCCTCATCCGGCGAGACCCTGACCATCGTTAACCCAAAAGACGATAGCCTAGTCACAGACAAAGTACAAGTTGCGAACGAGCAAGATGTCGACAAGGCAGTAGCCGCTGCGAGAGCAGCCTTTCCGGCGTGGAGACGTACACCAAGTGTCAAGCGATCTGCTATCATGCTCAAATACGCCGATCTGATCGACCAGCACATCGATAAGATTGCTCACCTAGAATCAATCGCCATGGGTCAGCCTATTGCAATCGCGAAGGTTATGATCAGTGTTCAGATAGCAACTTTCCGGTATTATGCCGGTCTTACTGACAAATTACCGGGTGAAACGTATCCTGAGAACGGTGAGGGGCTCATCAAACTCATCAACTACGAGCCACTTGGCGTTTGTGCAGGCATTTCAGCCTGGAACGGCACACAAGTTTTTGTCGGCTGGAAGGTAAGATACACGGCATGCTTTAGATACAGCTAACATGCCCAGATTGCTCCTGCAGTAGCTGCTGGCAATACTTTCGTCTTTAAGTCTTCAGAGAAAAGTCCCTTAGCTGTGCTCTACCTGGGACAATTGTTTAAAGAAGCAGGATTTCCTCCTGGCGTGGTCAATTTAGTATCTGGCGGAGGAAAGACAGGCTCGCTGTTGGCAGCTCATATGGACATTGACAAGATCTCCTTTACTGGATCTGCTAATTCAGGTCGACTGGTTCAAGTTGCAGCTGCAAAGAGTAATCTGAAACATGTCTCGCTCGAGCTGGGCGGCAAATCACCTGCTATCATCTTCAATGATGCAGACATTGGCAATGCTGTCGTTCACAACTCGCATGGTTTCCTGGTCAACAGTGGTCAAGTCTGTTTCGCTGGCTCGAGGATATTGGTGCAGCATGACGTCGCTCCGAAGTTCATTGAAGCACTACGGGTGGCTTATCTTCAGATGAGCGATAAGATGGACGATCCGGCTCTAGATGGCACAGTCTTCGGGCCCCTTGCCGACAGAGCCCAGTTCGAGCGTGTCATGGGTTACCTAGAAGGAGCCAAGCAAGATGGTATTGAAGTCCTAACTGGCGGTACACGTAAAGGGGACCACGGCCAATTTGTCGAGCCAACTATCCTTATGAACCCGGATGTCAACAACAGAGTCTACACAGAGGAAATCTTTGGTCCAGTCGTCGCTGTCAAGACCTTCCAGACGGAGGAAGAAGCTATCAAGCTGGCCAATAACACTACTTATGGTTTGGGAGGTGAGTTCAATCTGAGTGCGCTGAAATTCTCAATCTAACCAAGCAAAAAGCCACTATCTACACCAACGACATCACAAGAGCAATGCGGGTACAGGCAGAACTTCAAGCAGGAACCGTCTCGATCAATTCGGCATTTTGGGTCGCTCCTGAGACTCCTTTTGGTGGTTGGAAACAAAGTGGCTATGGTAGGGAAGGAGGTCTGGAGGGCATCAAAGCGTTCTTGCAGCCGAAGACTGTCCATATCAATATGAACATGCCAAGGCATTGAGTGAGCGGGGACTGGAACACCGCGAAAAAGGGTTGGTCAAGAGAGTATCAGTATTGTGTATTGGGTGTGAGTACAACAACCACGTTCCACGACATCATTTGCTTTTTCGTGGTGATATGCGAATCGCCATATCTGTTTCAACAGTCTTGCTGTGACTGCAAAGCTCGTTACATTGATGTGTTATCAAATCCAAATCCTTCGATAGTCGCCGGTATTTTCGCAATTCCATCAATCTTCAACAACACAGCCTCGAAGGACTACGACCATGTAACCAAGAATGAGTCTCCGATCCCCGAACCTCCACCCCTCAAATCCATGCCAAGAGCAAAACCCCACCGCCACTACCACTTGATCGATGCTATACGCCCGCCTATTCCTTCTTCACACCCAAGGTCAAATTACATTAGGAAACAAAAAGAAAAAAGATGCAAAAACAATCAACAGCGAGGATTCGCTGGTTGTCTCCAACCCAACTACTAACTCGTCGGCGCCTGGCTTAAGTACGGGTGATCGAACGGGAACCCCTGTTTTCCAAACCCTATGGTCGATTGCGGAAAACAATTGTGGTTGTGGCGTATAGGTAGTCTGTCATTCACGAGTCGAAGGAAGGAGTCAGTATGAGTGGAGTAATGGATTGAGGATGATAGGATAGGAGAAGTTTGGCAAGAACAGAGGCGTCGTCTTTCTTCAGACTGATGACCCTAAAAGATAATTGGTTGGTAATAATGAATTTGGTAGAAATACCTTGGTGCTACGATCGGGGCATCTGCTAATGAAGTTATTGTATCAACACTCAGAAGATCTCGTCACTGATACTCCAATCGTGATTCTGTCTCCTCTTCCAGTAATCGCCATTGAACTGCCAGTATGACTCCCCAGTAACAGGATGCTTTTGCTGCGAGAAGAACTTCGGCTTCCACTCCTCGCCTGCGGCTTCGCGCATGCGTCTTGCAGCTCTTTGCTTCTCTTCAACACGATTCTTCTCCTCTGCTGCCTTGTCATATTGACCATCTTCCATTGCGCGTTGGTCTGGTCGTAGACGTGAGTCTGTAGGTGCGAGCCAGGTTTTTAGGGTTGGGTTGTCGTCGTTGAATGTGACTGCGAAGGGCGTCAAGTTGAATGGAATACCAGCTGGACGTTCACCGGCTTGCCAGAGAAGAATGGCTTGATTAGCACCTGCTTTGGTTTTGCCCTCGCCAATAGCTTCGTCTTCAAAACCTTCGGTGATCCGAGCGTATATTTTGTCGTTCCAGCGACCGCCGATTGACCACTTGGTTACTCCACTCTTGTCCGTGACTTTACCAACGACGTGGTAGGCCGAACTCTCTCGCCAGCCTCGGGCTCTGAAGTCGAGAAGGCAGGCTTCGCCAGTCATCCAATTCTTGATTTGCATGGGACCGTAGTTGTCTACTGTAGGATTGCCAGTAATGATGCCGATAACAGTAGTCGTAACTTTCTTCCAAGTGTAGAGCTCTTCTTTTCCATCTTGCAACCTCAGTTTTAGGAACCAAGTACCTAGTGGATTGGCATCGAAGGACTTTCCTTGAAACTTGGTCTTGACAGCACTCTCACCATAGTACTCCCATCGAGCACTCTCAGCATACGCAGCACCAACAGGAGGATGGTGGCTGACCTGTTCGATGAAGAAGCGGTAGCCTTTGTCTGGTCGTACATATTCGAAAGTCTCTCCCAGAAGCGGGTTGAATGGTTTTGCAACACGACCGATCGTGCTGGCATACTCGGATGCGGCGAAGCCTGCAACATAAGCCAATCTTTCGAGCGAGTTGGTGCGATCAGCTGCAATGTCGAGTAAATCAGCATACTCCATATCTTCCGCAACACGATATAGGAGTGAGGTGGGTTCATTGAAAGACACGGGCAGAGTCATCTTAGTCATGTCCTTGCCAATCATAGATTTCAGAATACCCCATAGTGATATTTTCGGTCTGTTATCAGCATCAAGCTTGAGTCTCTTTCTCACACCGGCCTCGTATCCTTTGTATGATGGTTCAATCTCTCTCTGTTTGGTAGTTCTAGGATCGAGCTTCTCGTCGACAACGCTATCCATAGGATTGACCTCGACAGCCTTGGGAGCCTCGATTGGAGGTGGAGACATGAGCTCTGGTGAGACCACTTCTATTTCTCCAGCGTCGATGGCGTCAAAGAACTCGTCGTCATCGCCAGATTCGGAGTCGCTGACGTTTGTGTATTGTGCAATCACTGACTTGCGTCTGCCACCAGGTCGGAAGGTGGAAGATCTCCTGCGACTGAATTGGTTGATCTCCTGTCGAGCATCCGCGAATGAGACAGCTTGAGATTCTGCCGGCAAAGCTTGAGGCTCGTCCTGTAGTTCTGCTGCGACACCAGGCTGCCCCTCAAGGGCTTCCTTGAGAGCACGCTTTGTCCTCTTACGTTTGTCTTCTGAAACTGCAATGGATTTCTTGAGGTCTTCGTGCTCATAGGCAATAGCAGCCATACTTTCCTCCCACATCTTTCTTGCATCAGCATCTCGTTCTAACCTGTATTGCCAATGGGCTTCCCTGTCCTTTGCGATCTTCAAGAGGTCTGCGACAAGGGAATTGAGACTCGAAACTGCTGTTTCGTAGGTATTAAATGCTGACACCACGTCTGGATCCGAGATCAGAGTATCGGGCTTTAGGGTCTGACGTGAGTTGAGAGCACCTGCGACTCTACCAAGGAGATCTAATTGCAACTTTGCAGATTGTGCGGTGATGGCGAAGGAGTCTCTAGCTTCTTGACCAGGGCGTTGGTGACCTTCATAGCTGCTCGCACCGTCACCATCGTAGTCCTCTTCACCTTCAGCCGTGGCCGTGGCATGTGTGGCGATGCGTTGCAAATCGTCGCCTGCGTCACTGAGGTTGTCGTAAGCTGGGGCATCAGCCCCTTCCTTCGACCTGAAGCTGACTCTGGATGAGGATGCAGGTACAGCAAGAGCGATCTGAGGTTGCCTGCTACGGATACTCTCTGTATCGGTATCCAACGTTTTTCTTTCCTCCTTAGCCTCGTCTTTAGTATATTGAATGGCATTGTTCAGTGCCCAGAACCACCTCTTGGCTTCGACCACGTGGTTTGCCTTTAGGTGGTACTTGACAGAAGACTTTCCCTGAATCTCAAATCGGGTCTTGTCTTGTGCATCCATGTGTAAAGTAGCGATTCGCATGTTAATAGCTCCGCGACAAGCAGAACCAGCATCGTCCTGATGCTTGTAATAGCTCAGGACTCCATCTTCAAGCACGAACCACCTCAACTTGTAACCACCAGTATAGTTTGTCCATTTCTTGAGATAGCCCTTCATTTCACGAGAATCTTTGCTCGACTCTTTATCCTGCAGGGCACTCGGACTGCTGCCGAGGATGGCCTTCTCCTGTACACCTCTTTGCGCAGCGGCAGCAGCCGGAGACTTCTTGAGGATGGCTTTAGTTCTCTCATCTTTCGTGACATCTTGTGGTAGCTTGCCCTTCCTGTCTCGCCTGAACGGGTCTGCGCCGTGCAGTAATAGGAGTTGAGCCAGCTGTAGATCCTTGTTCCGAGCAGCTTCGTGCAGAAGTGTGCCACCACTGGCAATTGTGTCCCGATCGGTCGCGAGCTCGAGTGCGTTGACGTCTAGGCTAGCCTCAGTTCGTGTATCGGTCAGGATTCGTTCCAGTTCTTTGTAGTTCTGCTTCCGAACCGCGTCATGCATTTGCTTGACCCTTGACTCGATGAACAAAGATCTGAAAAGCTGCAGCTGACTGAAGATCTCCGGTGTCCGTGCCAAATCCAGAGGAATCTTGCCAGTTCTGTTGCTGATCGCGTCGTTGATGCCTTTTTGTTCTAGTAATTTATTGACCACTGAAGCTCTTCCCAACTGCGCAGCCAAATGAAGAGGTGTATTGCCATCACGATCCTGGGCATTTACGTCCAATTCTTTTGTTTCGTCGATTACCCTGTCCACAACCTGAGGCTCGGCACATTGTATGGCTAAATGTAGGATGGTTGTTCCCGGGACAGGTTGCGGATTCGAGGAGGAAGGAGAAGAATCCTGTATGGCTTTCGCGACGGTCGCTGAATCTTTGCTTCTGAGCGCTTCGTAGACTTTGAATGTCCGCACGGAATCTTCTATAGAAGGAGTGGTACTGAGACCTGCGGATATAGGCTTTTGGCTCTCAAAGGCGGCTTGCTGGTCGCTGCTGCGATCGACCGGACTGCTCGAGGCCATAGTGATATTAGTGGAGGTAGGAGTTAATCTGTGTGATTCGTAGGCAGTAGAGTCTGTAGGCGAATCGATGTCAGAAGCACTATCCTTGGAGGGGCTACTGCCACGTAACGCGCCGAGCAAGCGTGACGACTTGGATCGCTTGTGGCTGTTGGCTCGGTTTTCCATGGTTCAGATAGTAGAAAGGATTATTAATACTACACGACCTTCATAACGACAGGAAGTAACAGCCTAGAAGAATACAACATGAAAGTCCAAAATGCCTTTCCCCGCTATAGAGCTACAGAATAGTATGGAGTGACGGCTCAATAGACTAGTCAGTGGTAGCAACTTTCAACGTTCAGGTGGTCGTTGCTAATGCTGCACAATGACGAACAGTAAACGATGACTTCAACCTGAAGAGGCGCAATGTGGGGGTCGTCGCAAACAAAGCCACACCAACCTTATGGATGAATTATATGCCTGTATATTATACTACCACCGACCACACGTTAGAATGCTCGAATTCACCACTACTCGAGTTCCGGGAAGGATAAAGACGTGCGAAGTCATACTACTCAAGTACGCAGAAATGATTAATTGAGCAAGATTTGAGTTTTGTGACTGCCTGCACAGTGTATAATCGCGGCCGATTACGGCCATGTAAGCACTAAGGAGGATGTCACGAGTGCGTTTGTTCTATCTTCAACCGTTGAGTTGCTTTCACTGCGCCGTTTCTATTCACTAACACCGGCCATACGCTGTAAACAGATCCTCGACCGGCGGTATAGCGCGATTCTGAAGTCTTGGCACATTTGGGGAGCGGTCAAAATTTTGGGTCGAGCGACTCGAGACTCGATTCTTTTTTCCTTTCTTTCGGAAAAGGATTCGATCTCACGCAGCTCATAGCTTTGTTCTGTAATATTTACATCGCTACCTGTGTCACCTTTCTCCCGCAAAGTTTTACTTTGTCTCGACCATGCCTATCCTTAATGGCGACGCTGGCGGTTCAGCCGCTCCATTACTTGGTGCTGGTCAACCTCCAATGGACTACACCAAGGCTCTCGAGATCCTTGAGCAGGACTACGAGGCCAAAGATGGCCTCAGTGTCTATGATCTGCTGGACTCGAAGAAGCACGGTGCTCTAACTTACAATGACTTCCTCGTTCTGCCGGGCTACATTGGTAAGCGATCCTGTTCTTGAAGTTGTGGCTACAGGTGTATTAATCGTCTACAGGATTTGCGGCATCTGCTGTCACACTCGACTCTCCTGTAACGAAACGTATCTCTTTGAAAACTCCGCTTTTGTCTTCACCTATGGACACCGTGACCGAGGACAAGATGGCTATACATATGGCCCTACTTGGAGGTTTGGGTATCATCCATCACAACTGCTCAGCCGATGAGCAAGCAGATATGGTCAGGAAAGTCAAGAGATACGAAAACGGGTTCATCTCAGATCCTGTCGTGCTTTCTCCAGATACGACGGTTGGTGAAGCACAAGAGCTGAAGGAGCAATGGGGTTTTGGCGGTTTCCCAGTCACAGGTAAGCACTCACATTCTTTGCAGTATCTGCTTCAAATGATGCTTAACACAATTTACCCTTTTAAACTTTCGTTCATCCGCAGCATGAACTTGCTATGGGGACATTCATGGAGATTTCTGTCTGATGCGCAACCTCACACTGTTCGCCTTACTTGTCACCATATATGAAGCATTGTCTGACTTGGTATCGTGCACAGAAACCGGCAAACTCAAATCGAAACTGATTGGTATCATCACAACTCGAGATATCCAGTTTCACCGGAACTCCGCCAGCAAAGTGACCGAGGTCATGTCCTCCGACTTGGTCACTGCACCACAAGGCACAACTCTCGAGGAAGCCAACGAAGTCCTCAGAAAGTCGAAGAAAGGAAAGCTACCAATTGTCGACGCTGAAGGCAATCTAGTCTCCCTCCTTTCTCGATCCGATTTGATGAAGAATCTACATTATCCTCTAGCCTCGAAACTCCCTCACTCCAAACAGCTGATTGCGGCGGCTGCAATTGGAACAAGACCAGACGATAAGAACAGATTGCAAAAGTTGGTGGATGCTGGCCTCGATATCGTTGTACTTGACAGCAGTCAAGGTAACAGTATGTTCCAGATCGAGATGATCAAATTCATAAAAGCCACATATCCTGCTATCGATGTTATTGGCGGAAACGTTGTGACTCGAGAGCAGGCAGCAGCTCTGATTGCTGCAGGTGTTGATGGTTTGAGAATTGGTATGGGAAGCGGAAGCGCTTGCATCACGCAGGAAGTCATGGCGGTCGGACGACCACAGGCTACTGCTGTCTTCAACGTTTCCTCCTTTGCTGCCAAATTCGGTGTACCATGCATTGCCGATGGTGGTATTCAAAACGTTGGCCACATCGTGAAAGGCCTTGCGATGGGTGCCTCCACCGTCATGATGGGTGGTCTGCTCGCAGGCACAACAGAATCTCCTGGTGAATACTTTGTCAGCAGTGAAGGCAAGCTCGTCAAAGCCTACCGAGGCATGGGCTCAATCGCTGCTATGGAAGACAAACGAGCAGGTGGTGGCTCAGCCAAGAACGCAAAGGCTGCCAGCGCCGGTACTGCACGCTACTTCTCAGAAACTGCTAGTGTTCTTGTTGCACAAGGTGTAAGTGGTTCAGTGGCCGATCGTGGTTCTGTTACGAAGTTCGTCCCATACCTTCTCGCTGGTCTGCAGCACTCATTGCAAGACATGGGCGAGACCAGTTTGAAGAATCTGAGACAGAATGTTAGGCAAAGCAAGATTCGCTTCGAGCTAAGAACTGTCAGTGCTATGGCTGAAGGCAATGTTCATGGCCTGCACAGCTACGACAAGAAGCTCTACTCGTGAGGTGGGAATACCTGCGATGAATATGATACCCCGTGATGAGCGAGATGAGTCTATGATTGGTGTTTGATTGGAGTTGTTGGGGGTCAGTCTTTGCATCTAGCAATCACTTGGAAAACAGGCTAGCCATCTAAAGGCGTAGAAAATGACACAATTCATCAAGCTCTTTCTATCCGAACCCGTGCTTGAGTTTCCCACGCGTCTCCGTGTTGCAGCTCGTTTCCTCGTGCAGCTTTTGCCGCTTCGTTCGAAAGCCTTGAGCTCAAAGCTCGCAAGCTTTAATATTGTTTGTGAATACAGCTGTCTCTTGTGTATTTCTGTGCGATATCTACCTCCCTTCCACCACTAGCCTATCTTTGACACTCGATCTCGAAACATGAGTTGATGCCTCCAGCCTGCTGGTGAGCCACGATCACTTCCTGTGGGATTTGGATTTCCACCAAATGTTGTCGGTCGAACTCATCCTGCTTGTTCGAGGTATCGGGTACTGCCGGCGAGAAGCTCATCGAATCGCAAAACTTGGAGTTGGCATAGACTTTTCCAAAAGCGAGGTTCTTTGAAGCACGCAACATCGCGGTTGTACGGTACTCGAGTTGAGGCTCGGGCATAAGTGGATTATCTAGAAAACCAAGGATCCTAACTTGTAAATTCTCACGCATTGTCACTACCGACTCTCTAAATTTCCATCTCGCTATCGGTCCTTTCAATGTAGTGCGCACGACCACACGAGTGCTGTCAATACACTCTCCGTCCTGCTCTGATACATGAGGCATCGAGTGAGGCCGTGGTGAGAGTGCGAGACTCTTGTCGGTCATTCTGGCTCGCTTTCATGGCTCATCGGATGTTCTTGTGTGCCTCTACAAGACTAGAGGCTCGAAGAGTTGAAGACTGCCAGTAAACTAGAACGCCACCCAGGGAAGCTGGAAAGAAGCCCACGATTTTCAGCTGCTGTTGCTTGAAACCCAACTTAGGGCACGTCATTCGGACCATCACCGCTGATTCTTCGACATGGCGCCAAGGAATCTGGTACTTGAAAGTTCCGGTGCAATCGAGTATACACCTTGCCTACATATCACGAAGCACAGCTTAGGAGGCTTCACGCATAGCAATGAACGACACGGTACAAGCTAAACGCAACAGATGACGATACATCGCGTGGAAGAACCGAGTCTCACATATTGCCAAGTCTTCTTGAGCTCTCTCCGCAACCGACATCGGCCAGGAGTACTGCACCTGGTAATGAATAAATAGGAGAGCACGATTGGCAGTCGTCTTCTAAACAGATAATCTTTGTACAACAGGAGGTGGCTTCTAGACACTTTGTATATTGAGTGTGCTAATATTAACACACTGTTGCATAATCGAACCTCACAGCGAAGTCGAGCGCCAAGCCACTCACACTTATCCACGATTGTCGATATAGGTTGCGAGTCTTCATTGGTCTGGTCGGGTATTACCATCGCGAACACTCCGAGGCTGTTGAAAGTCTTCTCAGGCGATCACACACCGACACCACTTATCTATCATCGAGAGTCATTACTTACCTTGGCTCACGAAACACAGCACATTCCAGTCATCACAATGTCCAAGTCGGAGAAGGCAACATACTCGCATGGCCACCATGCCAGTGTGATCTCAACACACGCTCGCCGCACAGCCGCCAACAGTGCTGGCTTTCTCCTACCCCATATTCAACCACACTACAAAATCCTTGATCTGGGCTGTGGACCTGGTACTATAACAGCTGACCTCGCAGCACTAGTACCGCAAGGTTCGGTACTAGGTGTCGATTCTGTTGATGGCATATTGTCCCAGGCACGAAGCCTGACTGAAAGCCGCGGACTAAGTAATCTAACTTACCAAACTGGCGATGCCAACAACCTCACCTTTTCCGATGGCGAGTTTGACATCGTCTTCTGCCATCAACTACTACAACACGTCAAAGATCCAATCGGTGTTCTTCACGAGATGAAGCGCGTTTGCAAGAAAGGCGGCCTAGTCGCAGCTCGCGAGGCGGATTATGCCTCTTTCATCTGGCAGCCTCGTACGCCAGAGCTCGACACTTGGGGCTCCATCTACCAGAAAGTTGCGCGTGCTAATGGCGGAGAGCCAAATGCAGGTCGCTTCATGCCGCAATGGGCTAGAGAAGCTGGTTGGGCACCGGAGCAGGTGACTGTCAGCTGGAATAGCTGGTGTTTCACTGGCCAAGGAGCGACGGACTGGGCACTGAGTTGGAAGGATAGGTCAGTGCACAGCGATTTCGCGAAGAGCGCTGTCAAACTTGGGTTTAGTGACCAGGCTGGATTGGAGCGAACCAGTGCAGCGTGGAAGGCGTGGGCTGATGGTGAAATCGATGGGTGTGAGGATAAAATCTTCGTCGTTGGGAACGGTGAGATCCTCTGTCGGTGCTGAGCGAGATGCCTATAGTGGTGCTTTACAACAGTGATTGAGTCTGGAAGCCACATCAAACGTCAGTCGTGCCCACGCAAATACGAGGCAGGATATCCGAACGTGACATGAACTAACGCTTCGCCGTACTCAAAGAGTTTCTTCATCCTTGCCACGAAGCGCTATTTCTCATATGAATACCTGATGCCAGTGCGACAACCAAACCAACACCTGCAATGAGTGGGACCAGCCTCTTCTTCAACCTAGCCACTGTAGCCTCCGTTCCCTTATCCAACCACGCTCTCGGAAAGATATGTGGAAAAGGTTCCTGCTCAGGCACATCCACACCAAGAATATCACAAAGCGGCCTCCAACCATCCTTGACATTGAAGTAAAACAGCTGCTCTGAAGGCACCACCCTCTTCACATACTCAGCGTGTGCCTCGTATAATCCTTCATGATTCTCCATTGGCCACCACGGTCTATGGCCTTCCAGCCCAACAGCTTGCGGCACACGATCCCAGAACTTGGCGGAGAAGACACAGAATCGACGCAGTTGTGAGAAAGGGTCCAACCACGTCCACGCGTAGATTTGATGAATACTTCGCCATAACGTGCTGTAGCTTGCCCACCAGCTATCGTAGTCGCGTGTCGTAACAATGACTTTTGCGGATGGGTACAGCTCGAGAAGTTCTTCGACGAAGTAGCAGCCTGGTTGGTCGCTGGTGGCGATGTGGTCGCGTGTTAGTGTAGCGAGAGTGTTGAGGACAAAGGTGCGGTCTTCAGTTGTATCTGTTGGACAATGTTGAGCGAGATCGAGAAGCTTCCTTTGTGTTTGGTAAGTGCCTGTGTAGGATGCTGCTCCGCCATCGAAGACTGAGCCTTTGAGAAGGATTTCGAGAGCACGAGTCATGGAGGTTGTGCCGGTGCGTGGGAGGCCGGCCAGGATTACTTCCACTGAGCCTGAGGTGGGAGCGGTCTTTCTGGACTCAGTCATACTTTACCTTGTTGATGTACTGTGAGGCAGTGAAGGATTTCTAGCCTCGAGGTCGGTGGTTTGAATCAAGCCTGTACATAACGAAAGCATTACATCGTTGACGTAACTACTTTCTGGTGTTTTGAGAGGATACTGCTCGTTTCTCAAATAGCCTGCTTGCAACCAAACCTGGAACACGCCCTGAAGCCGTTCATATCAGGCAATTGTCCTGGTGTACTTGTGGTCGTTGTCGCAAAGAAGGCATTGTGTTTACGCAGCTCATCCAGGCAGTCAATTTTGACTGAATTTATTCAACCCACCAATAAATCAGATAGAAAGCTGCCGGTGTCTCTGACTCTCTGTCTTGCTACAGTCGGCAAAACGAAACGACTATACTGTCAGTACTCTATCTGGTGGCCGTCAATTAGAAACAGCTATTCATCGTTCACAAAGTGAACAGATTGTAGCATCTAAAAGGACGTCTATGAGCATGAACGGGCGAGTCACGAACGTCGCTACAGGCAGAGGCCATCAGAAGCTGTCGCTGTCCATGTTGCAACATATCGCCTGCTGAGAGCTCATCAGCCGACTGGAAAAGCAAAGATTCGGACTGCAGAATTCGAAACAATTATCGTTTTCATACTGACCAGCAGGCTCTTTACCACTGATAGTGCTGACTTAGCTGCGATAATGCATAGAAACTGATTACTCATCATGGAGGAATGGGACCATCGCTAATCTGGAGCTCCTACAGCGCATCAGAAGCTGTCGGACGCGTCCGGAGTTTGCTCCAGAAACGTGCTGCTGTAACTAGCATGTGCCAGTCTGCCACAGGAACAGGAAAGTTTCAATGTCCTGATGTCCAGTTCTATAGCATTTGCTTTTGCTGTCCGTACGGGAATGAAAAGCGCCCCGCCATAGAAAGAGGAAGACTGTACAATGGTTGTTGCAACGGTTGGCTCGGAAGTAGGTGAACTGCCAGTGCTCGGCCATGTCATTCATACTTTAAGCTTTCTTGGGGCTCGAAAGCTAAAAGTTAGACAGCTGAGTCAGCTGCGAACGAGGATTGGTGGGCGTCATTCTTGCTCCGGCAGCGACGAAAGGCGAGGATTCGTTGGGAAAGAGTGACAAAGATGGCAGTCGCGGCTCACTGTTGCATGCATCCTTAGGAGCTGACCATGTCGCCTTCGCACACGACTCGCTATCATGCTTTGTTTTACACTGATAGAGATATACGTGGTGGCAACCTCTTAGCTTAGTGGCATCATACTACTTCCATCACCATCCACATAATAAACTGTATTGCAGCTACAGCGACACGATTCTAGTCTACTGACAGGTAACCCACGACGACCAGAATAGTTATTTCAACTGGTGCAGTCATCGACTGCTATATGAAACCATGTCGTACAATCCTCAGACTGCGAGAGACACGAGCAAATGGGATCCCGTAGACAGAGAAACGGTAGAAGCAGAGAGACAAGCCTCGAAAGCCTGGTCCCATCCACACATATCGCGAGATCTCCATACAGAACCAGCTCATCCAATCCAACGACAAGCCACGAGGCATTCGGATTCGTCGGACGACTCCGACGATGAATCATCCTCACCCAGCGAAGGCATGAGCAGGATCGCAACGGCTGCGAGTGCTGGTAGGACCGAGACCCGAGCCGCGAGAACGAAGACACATCCTCTCGAAGATCATCGCATAGAAACCCATCGTCTACAACACGTCGCAACCGTCGGTACCACAGGCACGAAAGAGTATGGGAAACCATTACCCAACTTTGGCGGCGGTAAACAGTATCCTCCAGATCTACCGCCCTATGAAGACTATGTGGTCGAGTTTGACGGTCCGGACGATCCATTGCATCCGCAGAACTGGCCTTTCAAGAAAAAGCTGAACATAGCAATGGTATTGGCATATACTGCTCTAAGCTCTACTTTCACCTCGTCTCTATTCTCCGCCTCGACACAAGCCTTCGCTGTATACTGGGGCATCAGTGTCGAAGTGGCCACACTAGGCACATCGCTGTATGTGCTCGGCTACGCCTTTGGTCCTCTATGCTGGGGCCCGTTATCGGAGTTGAGAGGTCGCAAACTGCCTATTGTGATCGGCATGTTTGGATTCACTGTTTTCAACTTTGGTACCGCGACAGCTTTCAACCTACAGACCTTTTTCATTTGCAGGTTTTTCACTGGTGTCTTTGGCTCAGCTCCTCTTTCCATTGTTGCAGCAGCTTTCTCTGACATGTTCGACAATACACAACGAGGTCCTGCTATCGTACTATTCTCAGCCACTGTATTCCTGGGCCCCATGCTAGCACCTTTCATTGGTGGGTTTGTCCAAATGTCTGGAGTTGGTTGGAGATGGAACGTCTATATTCCTGCTCTCATGGGCGTCCTATCCGTCGTGCTGAATGTCTTCTTCCTGGTTGAGTCCTACCCTCCAGTTGTGTTGGTCGGAAAGGCATCAGAGCTACGCCGAAGAACGAAGAATTGGGGCATTCATGCAAAGCAGGAAGAAGTCGAAGTCGACCTCGGCGAATTGGTCACCAAGAATTTGAGTCGACCATTGCGTCTGCTCTTTACAGAGCCTGTCGTACTCCTTTTGACTATTTATATGTCCTTCATTTACGGTCTCCTATACCTCTTCTTGACTGCTTATCCACTTGTCTTCCAAGGAGTGCACGGCATGAATCCTGGAGTAGGTGGTCTACCATTCTTTGGCATTATGGTTGGTATCTTCCTCGTCGCAGCATACATCATCTACGATTCCAGGAACTACAACAAGAAGCTAGAGGCGAATGGTGGCATTCCAATCCCAGAGTGGCGTCTTCCACCAGTCATAGCTGGAGGTGTTCTGTTCTCTCTCGGCTTGTTCTGGTTTGGCTGGACTGGCTATACAAGGTCTATTCATTGGATCGTGCCAACCCTCTCTGGTCTGTTTACGGGTTTCGGTCTACTTGCAATCTTCATCTGCTGTTTCAACTATCTGGTCGACAGCTACTTGATGTTTGCGGCTTCCGTCATTGCAGCCAATACCTTTCTTAGATCGATTGCCGCGGCTGGCTTTCCACTTTTTGCTCGGCAGATGTTCAATGGACTAGGCATACAGTACGCAGGAACACTACTTGGCGCCTTTTCTGCTTTTTTGGTTCCTATTCCAGTTCTCTTCTACCTATACGGTCGCAAACTGCGAGAGAAATCGAAATTCGCTCCGACAATGAAGAGGAAGCCTACCGAGGCAGAGACTAGCGGAAGCGATGATGACAACGATGATAGTCATTCCATGGTAGCCCTAGCCGCGACTCGCAGCCGAGCACATGCTGAACCAAGCACAACACGACAGAGAACAAATGCTAGCTCTGGCACTCAACCACGAGACATTGAGAAGGAGGCGGAGGCACCTAATGGTACAACAGCCGTGCCCACAAGTAGTGGGCCAACACTGGATGGGAAGAAAACGGAGTAGCACTGTCGTTCTTTTCCTGGTGGATGTCCCATCAGTCCGAGATTTGCATTATGCAAAAGTGTTGTTGGCGAGGCGTTAAGGAGAAAGAGTATTCGTGATTGGTGGGTCGAGGAAAACCTCAATGAGATGAAGGACATTAAGCTAGGAGTATCGGAGCTTGATCTAGCGAAGTGATGCAGTATCTACTTATTCTTAATATAGCCACACTGCCAGGTAGTGTTGCACAGAGTGAATTGATATTTCATTCACAAGCAGAGCATTTTGGATACAAGCATAATAAGCACTCTAAAATTATCAGCAGGATACCATTGCTGACACCTGTTAAAGCATCTCCACTCCTTCCATCACACAAGACCACATCTCTACCCATTATCCTTGTAGCAAACACCCTATCTCCCTAACCTCGCTTCTCGGCTCTTGCCCGAACTCTCGGAACCACGATTGCCTCTCATTGGTTATATTGATCCGTGCTTCTGAGATCACACCGGGTTGACCTGGACAAAGAAGACCTTGGAATTGGTGGACCAGCGGCTCTTCCCGAATCGTGGACACGTAGAGGTGATGGTGTGTTTTAGGGCAGGGAGTTGAGTAGGTGAGGTGAAGAAGGTAACTCAGACGAAGGGAAGAGTTGAGATAGGATGAGAGGGGAGAGAATGGAGTGGAAAGGACAGAGTGAGGAAGGCTCGGAGGAGAGTGGAAGAAATGATAAGAGACGATAGAAGATGTGTGTGAGAGAGTGGGAGAGAACAACAGGAATGTCCGACAAGATTGAGCATGAATGTGTAGAACGCGATAGAACATCTCATTTTTAAGGTATATAAAACATCTTGTAAAGAACAATTACGATTCGGGTCTGCACATGAAGATTAACCATAATCGTCGTAAGTCATGCTGACTGAACCCCCCATTGCATCGTCGCTGGACTGATGAATGAAACCAAAAAGAAAAAGAGCATGCTTAAGAACGCCTGACCCTGCGTACTCGTTCACTTGCATGTCGCTTCCATCAAAAAAATGCCCAAACGCAGTTGAACCCATGGCTTGACGTAGCGCCAGCTTCAGTAATCAACCATTACCCTTTCAGGCGTGCTACAGTCAATTCACAGCATTTACTGTCCTAGCTTGAGAAACTGTCCCTTTGCAACCTGACTGACGACATCACCAGGTAGTGATTCGGCACTGGCGGAAGAGCTTGATCGTCGAGTCTTCTCGACGACGTCGAGGTCAAGTGACTTCTCTGCCAGTGACTGTGGTGTGCTGGTGGTGTCGGCATCTTTTGCCTCGTCAACAAGGACGGCATTCTCATGAAGAGTTGGGTTGAGAGGGAGAAACTTGAATGACGAGGAGGCAGACATCTTGTAGTGAACTGTGTGGGAGATGGTGATTGATTGTGTGAGGTTATGTAAGCGATTTTCACTTGATGAGCTGGACAAAGAGTTTCGGCTTTGTGATCCAAAGAACTGGCGTTTATGAGTAGAATACGTGGTGGGTGTAGAGATGATGTAGTGCTGAGGTTCCTTAAGGTTTTGAAAAAGGTTGTGAGAGGAGGTCTGAGGTCACAGCTTTTCTGTATTGCAGTGGTCCGAACTTCGAGGTGAAGATGTAACGAAGAGCTCGAGGCATTAGCTTGTTTTATATTCCAACCCTTTCAAGGAGGGTGCTGACAATGAATATGCACGGAAGCGAAGCGATGTATGACGCCGGTAATTCTCACTTCTTTGTCCTCAAAATTCGAAGCCTTCTGTCCGAACGTTGGCAAGGACGGGTACAGATGGAAAGCCGAGGCCTAGTTTCTGTAGATCCAAAGTCCTGATTGGCCAGCCTTTATTCTGAGTTGTTCGAGAATCCGTTTCAGGCAATGCTGGTGACAGGTCGCGTGGTGTACGTCAGTACGTCTTTGCTCGATCAGCTGCCAGGTCAGATTGCTCGATTCACTTTTCTGAGCTGTGACGTGAGGAATGGAAGAGCTTGTTTCAAGACTGAATTGCGTACTTGTGGCCATGATTTGCGAACAAAATCCATTGGATACACCGTTTCTTCAGCTGGCAGCGACGTTCTCGACGTCCTGCATGTGGAGCACGCTCATGGCGGCAGAACCCGTTCCAGGCGGATAGGCAGTCAGTTATAGCTATCCGCCCGTTCAGCGTCAATGTATTGTATGTGCCAAACAACTTATCGTTGATGGCACGCAGGGTATAAGTCCATTCTGATTGGCTTCATAGCGGCCAGCAGCCGTGTTGAAGCGATAGACTTCAAGCTGCGTTCCTGGCTCGTGCCTTTTGTGCCTTCTGCACCTTTCGTGCCCTGCGTCTTGTCGAAGATTTGGAGTCCGCATTGGAAAGGCTGTTTACACCATTGGATCACCATTGATCGTACCCGCAATCTCTCGATCGTCGAAGCCACACGTATGCGTGTGAGCAATTCGAGACATCTCTGGTCGGTCGAGATCGTTGAAAGCCATGATTGCTGGGAGCAGGTGCGCCCGGCTAGGTGGCTTCCATTTCCGGAAGAGTAAGGACTGTTTTCAGAGGGCAGGTTCGCCGGGTGTGCGCAAAATCGAAGACGCGTCTGCGCGATTCTCCATGCAGCACGTTTGTTTCCAGCAAACATTGCTTGCAGTCTATTCCATATAGCACAGAAAAGGCAAGCAGCCTTTGACAGCGATCGATGACAGCTGTCAAAATCGTGGAGAGACCATTCTGTGTAATAGATAAAGCTTGACCTGAAGATTGATGCATGTTACGTTTCACAAAACCAGGGAAGGCGGCATGAAGCGCACGTCCCTTCCATGCTAACCAAACCTGGATATAATACGCTCTATCAACTCAGCCAACGATATAGGGATGTCTCCTGTGGCAACCATTCATCAGGCTACGACAGAGCAATATTTTTCTTTGTCCAAAGAGCTGCAACAACTGTCGAAATCCCCCAATCGGCAAATCGTCACGCCGTGGTAGGCGATAGACTCGTGTTCCATTACAGCCTGCCACGCTCGATCCTGCTTTCAACTCGCGGACTCATCGACAACAAGGAAGGACGTCCATGAACAATGCCACAACGTCCAGCGTTGGTGGTTCTTGTCCTCTATTCGCATTTCCTCCTATAGGTCGAAACCATGATTTAGAACGCCACCTGGAGCTGAGAGCCACCCATGCTCACGCATAAGCGCCCTTGTTCATTCAATCAAACGACAAACCACGCATTCGCGACGTTCATTTCTTGAGCTCTCAACCATTCATCGTGATGCTGCGGCACAGCTGTACATGGTCACGGCCTGTTTGAAGGACAGAGTGCGTGTCACTGCTCGTGATTGACATGGCGTTGAGGCTGTATTGTGATGGCCGCTGTAGGCACATTTCAGTGAATTTGATGCTCGGTTTACTTTAGAAGATACACATCATCCGCAAGGTACGTTCGACTGGAGCGTTAGTGCATGTGCTTGTTGATTGACAGCTGCAGAATGTCTCACGAGTCTGCATCGAGTTTGATGTGCTGCAGACGATACTGTGTGACATGAGTGACGGACAGGTGGCATGGTTATTCTCTTCCAGCAACATGACGCCGAATTTTTCTGGAGTTACGGACCCACAACGCTATGTAGGTAGGAGCAAAAAGTACACAAAGCGAACTTAGCTAATTCAGAGCTAAACAGGCAGCAAACTCTCACAGACATGAGTCAAGCTAAATTCTTCGCTCCATGCGATGTGCATATACGCTCGTTCCGGTCCGTACACGCTTGTCCCATGTTGTGTGACCTCAACTGTCGACAAGCATCCACATATTTCGAATCAAGCTCAAGTAGAATACCCGACCCTACCTGCAATTCTCGCTTGCAACAAATTCCAGCATTGAGACTTTTCGATTATGTCTATATTCCCAAAGATCAGGTACGCTGCTGTGGACATTACTACACCCTTCCGACCAGGACACACAGCTGTTTATAATGCTGAACAGACATCTCATGTGCCGTTCCATTAATTTCGTCGAATTTCTCGCCCGATCGACCTGCAACGTCACTTGATTTTCAAAATACGGTACTACAATATTCGCTCAACATGTGCACAGAGTACAGGCGAAAATGGCTCGAATGCGCCCACCTCCATGGTGGTAAACCAGTTGTGACGGTGGAGAAGATGATGCCTTCTGCATGCAAAGGAGCAGGAAGCTGTCAACTGCCCGGAGGCACGAGAATCATATGTGAAGACAAGCAAGGCGGCTGTCACCAGCATGCTGGACAAGCGAAAAAATGAAACAGCTCGATGAGGTAGCAACTTTTATTCAATGCTTGAGCTTCTCTAATCTATTGACAGGCAAAACCCATCTCACGAGCTATGTAATGGTACAACTTACATCAGCTAACGAAGTCCAACACCAGATGTCTCAATCACCAGGCCGCCTGCCCGTTCTTTCTACGACATACGCAAGTGTGGGATATAATGGTAGATCGGGAGGCTATTTCGGAGCTATCGTGCTCCTCAATTTTTGTACATATACGCCTTATCATGCTATCAAGCAAAGTATTTGGAAGAGGTCGAAAGTGGGTATGCTCTGCAGGGATGGATTTTGCGTGGAGAATCGCTTCAGCCATCCTCGATGTTACGAAGTGCCTATCTTTGGCGTTCAATCTAGCTCAACTGGCTGTTTCGTTCAAGTCGGAATCGATGTCCTCTCAACGTTATGCACGTGGAATTGTGCCGCATATCAGCGTAGTGTGTACGCAAGCCCGAAAGGAGACATGTCCTGGACCTGCAGCAACCTGGGACCATGTGACAACTACTCAAATAGATGAGATTGTTTAGCTCCTACTTGCCGAGAGAACCTCGCTTGCACCGGACACTAGTATATACTCTCGGCGAACTCGGCAGGTCCCTTGTGGTCCGCGGTGTTCGAGCATGGCAGTAAAGTAGTGAGCGAAAGTAGCTGTGTTAGCAGTTAGTCTAACGGTGCTGCATTCGAGAGTGGCTCCACAATAGAACTGTTGATTGGTGAAAACGTGAACCTGGCCACTTGGCAGCGCTGACTGTCCTTTTGACGTCGTCCTTTTCACCGCGAGCAGCGTTCAACACACCATCTCATCTTCGAATTTGATAGTCAGCTGTCTAGCAGTATAGACTGCTTCGTGTCATGTCCGTCGATATCGCATGGGATCAAGTCACGTCCGGGTCTGATGGAGAAGCTCTAGCCGAGACTATTCGCTCATTCATCCACGCCAAGTTTCAACAGATCGCCCTACCTCGATTTATTAGCGCTGTTCATGTTCATTCCTTTGAATTCGGCTCCGTCAGTCCTGAGATAGAGATCAAAGACATCTGCGATCCACTGCCTGACTTTTACGAGGAGGATGAAGGAGAGGAAGATGAGGAGCTGGAACAGTCTGAGAAATCTCCGATCGAATTAGTGGCTCGTAATTCCTCCAGGGCTGCTGCAGACTACGGCCCAACAACTACTAGCAGTCTAAACTCCACCGAGCTACATAATAGAGTTGCCGCCCTTCATCTCCAAGGTGGCACAAGCCATGCCTCAGCACCCCTGTCCACCCTCGGTTCAGCAGCCTCAATTCTCCGTGACCAGACTTGTATTCCAAATGATTCTCATCCAGGATCATTTGCTCGCAGTGGAACACCTGGTATACCTGGAGGTACCTCGAATATGGGCTATTTTCACCTTCCGGTAGGAGGATTGTCTGGCGTTCAGACTCCACTTGCGGCGGTAGCAGGTGGTCCTTTCGCTACACATGCATGGCTCAGAGATCAGCAAGCACAACACGCAAGCCTGCTCGAGAGTCGTCAAGGGAATTTGGAATTCAATGCTCATCAGGACAAGTCTTCAAATCGTCCTCGGACGGCAGGCAGTGTTTCCTCACCTGAACTAGGCTCTCCACTATATCCCTCGTCGCCTGTGAGGCGACCTGTAGGCTATCTACCGACTGAAAAGGTCAGTGATGATGTCTCTTCAGATCTGCTCGCGGAAGCTACACCACCGTCAGCCGAAGTCGGCTCTCCCACGGATCTGCAAGTCGTCGCGCATGTCGTGTATTCAGGTGATGTGCGAATGACACTGACTGCTGAGATTATGCTCGACTACCCTATGCCAAGTTTTGTGAAGATACCGCTCAAACTGTCGATCACTGGCGTGTCCTTCGATGGGGTTGCAATCCTCGCTTATATCAGAAACAAAATGCACTTTTGTTTCCTTGACCCAGAAGATGCGGAGACATTAGTCGGGAGTACTTTTGACAATGAGACTGTGCCACAAAAACCAACTGGTAGGAAATCGACCATCAAGAGTCTTTTGCGAGAAATGCAAGTGGAGACGGAGATTGGACGTCAAGAAAATGGCAAGCAAGTACTCAAGAATGTCGGCAAGGTCGAAGCCTTCGTTCTGGAGCAGGTACGTACAATCTTCGAAGAGGAATTTGTGTTTCCAAGTTTCTGGACATTCTTGGTCTAGGACACAGGACCAGCAAGGCATTCATCACGAGATCTACAAAGGCAGCTTGCCAGGCGTTGTGACGCGCTGCACGCGAATCAGGCGCAGACACATTGCTAGTGAACAGATGCAGCTTCATGTTCTGCCAATGCCAAGCTACGAAAGACGGAACAGTTGGGAAGCGTTGTCGTCGTTTCCTGGCTTCACACTCATCAGCAGGATATTTACGTCAACCATTGATGGGATAATCGCAGTTGATTTGTGTAGTCCGTGGGCGGTGGATATGAAGGAAATGGAGATTACCTTGACGTCATGCAATTGCAGCGCTTACCTATCTCGCTCATCTTCACCAACAAATCCATCACACGCTGCGACAAACCGTGTGATTCCAGCATACTACGTAGTGAGGACTGCCGGCTATACATCAATGATGGTTTGTCCTCCGAAGCTTCACTCCTTCAGGATCATTGTACTACTCAAGCCACCATGAACCGACTAAGATCATTTCTGCAGCGCCGCAGATCATCGCGAACTGGCGCCAACCCCCAGCAAGCGCCTGCAGGTCAACAACCACTACAACAACAGCAGCAACCGCCGCCGCTGCAACAGAAAGCCCTACAATCAGCCCAAGTCCCACTTGCTACCACTTCAGCAACGACTACTGGTCAACTGACAATTGCATTGCAGAACCAAACTAATTCAAATACTGTCTTCGCATATGTGACAGGTCGTGCTATCGATAATGGCAATGCTTGGTTCCTGCTACGCTCAGATGCGGTCACTCCATATTTTCCGGCCTCACCTGGTCAGATCATGCAGCCCTTGGGTGCAGACGTTGCCATCAGACTAGGCGGACCAGGAAGTACGATTCAAGCACAGATTCCTCGAATTGCTGGTGGCAGAATTTGGTTTTCCATTAATCAACCTATTGAGTTCAAGCTCAACCCTGGACCTGCTTTGGTTGAGCCCTCGGTCACCAATCCCTCAGATCCGAATGCGCAAGTCAATTGGGGCTTTGCTGAATTCACATTCAACAGCGATCAGTGTAAGCTTGACGAGTGCTTTGTAGGAGCATCGGACTTACTGACCCTTTTTAGTGTATGCTAATATCAGCTATGTCGACTTCGTCAGCATTCCTATCGCATTGACATTGAATACTGTGAATAGTGGCACAAGTCATGTCTCCGGCATGGCAGTCGATGGTCTTCAACGAGTCGCAGATGGTATGCGACAACAGCAACAAGCAGATGGTCGAGGCTGGGACCAGCTCATTGTGAACCGCACTGGCACCAACCAAGTCCTGCGAGTACTGAGTCCTAACCAAGGCCTGGTGACCAATCCAGGACTATTCGCGGGTTACTACGACGGCTATGTGAATGAAGTCTATTCTAGATTCCAGTCTGAGGAACTTGCAATAGACACACAAGCCGCATCTGGAGTCGTTCGAGCTCGCGCTGCTGGCGATGTCTTCAATTTCAGTGGTTCCCAATTTCCTCGTCCTAGCACTCAGGACATCTTCAGTTGTTCGACTGGTCCCTTCGCTACAGGCTCGAACGCACAAACCAATGCGATAATACCGCGCTTGGCGGCAGCATTCAATAGATCGACACTGTTGTTGACGAACTCCATTCCTGCGCCCTCGAACCTCTACTATCAAAATCCGATTACGAATCATTATTCGAGAATTGTACATCAGGCAAATCTCGATGGTAAGGGGTATGCATTCCCTTATGACGATGTGCAGCCGAGTGGTGGAGCGGATCAGTCTGGTGAGGTGCACGCTGGCGATCCGACGTTGTTCACGGTTGCTGTGGGTGGAAATAATGCTTATGTCTGATCTGATGGTATTGGTGGTTGGTCGGATCTTTTGAATACGTAGAATGATTGTGCTTGCTGGATAATGACAATTCTAATTACTTCGAACAGAATTCAACATTGTTAGCTCAGTTCGACCTTCCCACGCAAACTGAAGGATGTCTTGGCAGTACAAGAACACGTTGAAAATGCTGCTCATTCTCCCATGCACCTCATCACACTCCATCCTCGGCGGCGCTCTATCGTCTTTGAATCTTTCTCACGATACACACTACACACATACACACTGAGATAACGCCTCCTCACCCAAACAGTCAGATGAGCTTCGTGCCACATGAACCACGAACTCTCCTCGAACAGGTTTAGTGCAAGGCCGGTACGAGTTCCGGCCACACCAATGAGAGCACGAGCTAGAACTCAAACTGAATTCCGGCCAGACCAATCACACCACAGCAGGACAACGAGCACAACCTTCGAAGTGAGGAGGTCGAGTCAAGTGATGGCATGGATTGTGCTGAATCAGCATAGACGGACGTCGTTCACTGAGCATGTGTGCTTCTATGTTGATGCTCTGCTTCCAGCCACCTCGCCGTGCTTCGCGTTTTGCGAAACGAAGTGCCAAGATCCGCTGGAGTGCTCCTCCTGTTGCTGACTCCGAGTGCAGAAGAACGTCCAGCATATTAAAGGAGCAGATTAACTGTGCAACGATATGGCCGCAGCCAAGCTCTGTTTTAGGCAATACTGTCCTCTGCAAAAGAGGGGCTGGATAGGACGTGAGTAATGGAAAATGGGCTTCTCCTATCTATACTCGTCATTGGCCGGAATTAGAACCGGCCTCGAGGTATAAGAACATGTGTGTATGTGATTGAAGCAAGAGTAGTGCTGGGAACTTCGAGTATATTGATATCTGTTGATTACTAGAATCGTGCCTGACTTTCTAATATTCTGTCTAAGCTTCTTGACCGCTCACCAGCTGCAACTTCGCTGCTAATCGACTCAAGATGCCACCATACCTCGATACTTCCGCTCCTTCCTCACCGAAGGACAGCTCGCCTCCACTGCCATCCTTCAAAGAGGCCTTTCCACACTTCTATGAAGACCCCAACACCCTTCCTCATTCCTTCGACCCCTTCACAGTCAATGCAGTGACTGGCTTCCTTCCAACTGCACTCCCTATCAAGGACCTCCCTGCCACATTCTCAGCAGTTCAGAAGCTCGTCGAAGTCATGCCAGTTCAAAAGCTAGATGGCGCGCCAGGTCTTCTAGGCACTTACACATTCGGAGAGGTCATCGACTCTGGTGAAGCATTGCTTGACCTGACTGAGCACATCGACGAGCTTAGAGTCGCAGGGACAGGGAAGCTCGACCTCCATGTCATCACTGCCCTTTTTCGCGACTACAGTTTTCTTGCATCAGGTTACCTCCTTGAACCGTGCTGGAAAACATGGAACGAGCGAAGAATTGCAGGTGTCATTCCAGATGGTAGTACTTCATCATACTCCGCTCCTGGACCAGCAGAGTATGGCTATGGTCGTTCCAAACTTCCTGCATGTATCGCTCGACCGCTAGTGAAACTTGCTGAGATTCTGGCGATACCACCGTTCATGTCCTATGCTGCATCGTATGCGCTGTATAATTACTACCTTGAAGATCCGGCGCTAGGACATGAGGTGTATGACAATATTCGATTGGTGAGGGCTTTTGAGAAGGGACTTGACCCGGCAAGCTCGGAGGCAGGATTTATCTTGACACATGTGCATATGGTTTCATTGACGGGACCGTTGATCAAGGGCGTTGTTGAGGTGATGGATGGTATTGAGATACTAGCGAAATCGGGTGTGACGGAAAAGACTAAGCAGGTCAGCAAGATCGAAGAAGCACTAAGCCTGATCCTGGCACAAATGTCAAAGATCGAAGCGAACATGGAGCGGATGTGGGCAAACTCTCGACCGAAAGACTACACCACGTATCGCACGTTCATCTTCGGCATTACTTCTCAGCCACTCTTTCCCGACGGTGTGGTGTATGAAGGATGTTTCGGTGACAAGCCAGTCGATTTCAGGGGTGAAAGTGGTGCAAACGACAGCATCATTCCACTATTGGACAATCTTTGTCAGGTACCGATGCCGAAAAATCCTTTGACGGACATCTTGAGAGAGTTTCGGTAAGTCTCGATCAATACTGCTGTGTCCTAGATGTCAATACATAACATGGCTAACCCAACACCTTGCTCACAGTGAATACCGTCCCGAATCGCAACGCTCCCTCCTCAACTGGACCGAATCCAAAGCGAATATCCTCAACACTCGCTCCTTCCTCACAACAACATCCCCTCGCCTCGCGATCCTCTACCTCCGCGTCCTCAACCACATTCGCTCCTTCCGCTGGCGTCACTGGATGTTCGTGCGTGAGTACATCATTAAACGGACGAAGTATCCTGTTGCTACTGGTGGAAGTCCGATCGTGACGTGGTTGCCGAATCAGTTGAGCGCGGTGATGGAGTTAATGGAGGGGGTATATAGGGATAGTGGGTTGATGGCGTTGGTGGAGGAGGGTATGTTCCATGGTGGTGGTGGCGAGGAGTTGGAGGAAGGAGTGAGCGGAACAGAGAAGAAGGTTGTGAAGGAGATTATGGAAGTTGTGGAGGAGCAGAAGGCGAGATTGGAAAAGGAGGTTCGGAAGTATTGCATGGAGAGAGGTGTCTGAAGTGAGTCGTTGGAGTGCGAGGATAACTTGATTCAGTATATGTTGTCGTGGGCGAAGATATTGTTCTCGTTTTGTGAGAATGTGAGAAAGGCAAATCTTGCAAGAACTTCATATTGCGTGGCTATGTAGTCTCAACTGAAATTCGCTTGCTGCTCGTTGGATTCTCAAACAGAACATGGTCACCCATAACCTCGATTAGTTCATGATCACAGCAATTGTGAGCGTCCTCCTCGTTGTCGCCTTCGTCGCTCGAGAGCGGCAGCAGAAAACACTCATTGAAGCGGCAATGTTGAGAATGGTGCTAATAGTTGATCTTTCCCCTCCTTGGTCCCCTCTTTGTCGAGACCAAAGAGAAGCAGTTGTGTGTCCCTCAATGGTGCAAGATCGTTGTCCTTGACTGAAGTTTTATAGAATACTCCAGCTTCAGTTTTAGGCTTGGCGTAGGTGTCGTTGGGGTCGTTCCATCGATTTCTTCGACCTCACCACGGTGGGCCTGACCTCGATCGAGTTGAGCCTTGTAGGCGGCGGCGAGCACCGAACTCTTGGTCTCCGGGTCGGTCATGAAAGATTCAATCTTGGAGTCGCCGAGGACTTGCACCAAGAATTTGTTGATGGCTTTGGCGTGTAGAATCTGATCGTAGCTGGCATCTTGCGAGAGCAGCCAGATGTACTGGTCCCTCGTCTGCCCCAGACGGTGGACACGGCCAATGATCTGGTTCAACAGATTAATGTTCTCCGGCATGCTGTACACCACGAGGCGATGGCACGCCTTGTGGAGGTTAGGCCCCAAGGCGGCGGTCCGAGAGGATAACACGATCACCTCGTGGGCGTCCTGAGGGTCGTTCCAGCGGTTAACGACCTCGCTGATTTCATCTTGCGTCGAACCGGGGGGGATATAAAGTGTCTTGATGTTCAGGGCTTTTAGGAACATCAGAACCTTAGCCTGCTCCCGGGGCTAATTCACAAAGATCATTGTTTTGCCGCGAAGGTGCTCCGCTCCTAGACGACCCTCCTAGAGCAGTCGGGAGAGGTACATCAACTTTGGCTCGCTGGCGGCCAATTCTTGCGCCACCGCTCTTCGGTCTGTCAGTAGAGGGTCAAGAGGTAGGTCGCGAGGTGTCTCGAGGTATTGTAAGGGTAGACATGTGAAGGCATGCTGGCTGTGTTGCGGAATTTTTACTATATTCTTTATGAGGACGTAAATTGGCGGAATTATCGTAGACAGAAAACTGCGCGTTTCCAAAGTGCAAGTCACGTTCTGCAGTCGGGCGTGCCTGATTCAATAGTGAGCATGGCAAGAACGAGGCAACCAGGTTGATAGTTCTTGCATAGGACAACACAAGTTCACTTTCCGAGAAGAAGCCGTGGAAAAGGCAAGAGACAGGGGAAGTTGCGGTCAATGCTTGGTGAATCTGTACAGAGGATTTTATGTTCGGAATTCCACTTCTCCTCCACACCTGCCGCGTCTCGCGTCGTCCCCTCCTCGACCCCTAGCGCAGTTCCTCCACCCGCTCCTCCCCTACTTCAGTCTGCTTTTCTCTGGTCTCCATTCGAGTCGGCGGACGGTCAGGGCCTTCTGTCTTTTCTTTGCCCACCAGTCTTCGTCGTCCTCCGCCTTGACCGCCACGACTCGAGGGTGCTTCGGCTTCGTCATTGTCCAACCCAGCTGATGGTGCCGCCAGTCTCGGTGGTGGATCACCACCAGCTGGTCGTTCGAGAGGGTGGATGGCTCTCCATCCTGGTTGGTTGCTGCTGCTGCTGGATTCTCCAGCGAGAGGGCGTCGAGGAGAGAGGTGATGCTCATTGTGGTATTTATTTGAGCTCGGTTTGATTGATATTGAGGTTTGTTTAGTGTGTGAGTTGTTATTGTGAGTTCGTTTTGTGAATAGAAGCCGTCAAAGAACGTGCGAGGACCAGGACTGACATTTGTAGCCTGTCGAGTTTCCACCTTCACTTCGAAAATTGACAGCAGACTTTTCCTCAGGTCCTAGTGAAAGTCGACCGCCTGCTCTGAACGTATCGAAACCCGGCTGTTGCGAGGGACTAGAGAGATCTCATATGGTAGCACATATTATATCTGACGAAGAACAGCTTGGGACATGGAAGCACTCATCCTCCTGACCTGCTACTAGACTTGGATCCGTGGACATACCTCGAGGCCGAAAGGCCGAAAGAATTGAATCGCGGAAAGAGCAGGTATCAGGGGTTTCCAAGCTGTTGCTTCTGCTTTGCAACGAGTACCATCACCATGTCCGCGTAAGAGGAATTTACGAGAGCAGCTGTGCTCTCTTCTTCATACAACACAGCTTCCGACACTTCTTCCACGCTAGCCTTGAAAATCAGGAGCAATAGAGCTGGGGATCAAGTCTTTGCTCGATGGCTCAGTGCCTCAGCACTCTCTCGGGCCACTGGCTCGTGCCAAAAGGATTCAATGACTTCGTCGGTACCAAATTGACTGTCTGTTTGACCTGACACCAAGGTAATCAGAGCCGACAACTAACTGCTAGAGGACATGTACTGCCACGACCGCGCCAGTTTGTGTGTACAGCTCGAGACGTCTTTCACAATCCGATGAAGCGAGGCATGGCCTATAATGAAGATAGTACAATGCAGCTATCCGAGACCGAATTGCTTGCTGCAACATCACTCCATCCTGCATGCTCTTCGCCGCCTGACATCTCCATTGATATTGACAGTACCAGAAGTTGTGCCACCACTAGGCAGACACAGCAATGAGCCCGGTAGAGCTGACCCTGTGCATGGATCCGTATAGCCCGGCAGCAGAAGTTCGAGCTTAGAGCCGGTCACGACATTCGTCACCACTGAATGGCAGACTGGCGCCCCGCCATTAATCCTCCTTTCTTCTAAAACTACCAAACGGCAGAGAGAAGAGTCGATTGTTGAAAGAGGAAGACGGCTGAATCTGCGAAAGAGCTTGGACACATACACGAGGGTTGAGACTTTGTTGGAAGACGACCAATGCACGACGCGATTCACATCCCGTTGTTCATGCCACCAACGATTGCAGTGAAGTCTTATGACTCCTCGAGAGACAAGCCGGGTTCCCTCAGGACCGCGAACAGAAGGGCGGCAAAAGCTCAACGGAACCATAATGAGGACAAGGCAGCTGAAAGAAAAATTGCGATACACTATCATGTTCGCCTTCGTGAAGAATGAAAGACTGCTTCGAGGTTTGAACAAGCAGCCTCGAATCCTTGCGCTGCCGAGTACTGCACCTTCTTAACACGTTTCAACCAACAACCGGCACACATATGGCTGGTCGTAGATATCCTCTGCACTAGAGGGAAGAGTTCCCTTTTCTACTTGACGGTCTGCCACCGTGAACTGAACCCGCCGCCACACCACCATCGCAGTTTTCGTCGGCACTAGGGGTGCTTGCCTCCACATCTAAGCCGGCAAAAGCAAGCCAATTGAGAATGATGCCACATGGACACTGGGTGATATTGATCTGTGATGGAGCTGAAAGACAATGGTGGCGTGGCCGTGCTGGCAGAGACAGGCTCGGGTGACAAGCCTAGCGAGTCGAAGCTGGCATCCTCATTCTGGAGGGGAAACTGGCAAGGATGGCCAGTACCACAAAGGCCACCAACCTCCTCCTGGGTCAGAGACCGTGTATCAGTCGAACGGTCTCTAGTGCAAATCTTGGTGGAAGTAGCAAATACTCAAATGAGAACTTTGAGGACCGAAGTGGTGATCACTAGCTCCGCATCCACCAAGCCTCATTCACGCCCGGAATACACACATCCTTGGGAGTCTCAGCCACCGTCTCGCTATCAACCAGGGAGGAAGTCATTCAGTGGAAGGTCTTCAGCACGGAGCAGTGTATCTGCCGCATACCTTCTCCATGCCGCTTGAGACGTGCAGCGCGTCTTGCAGCTCGTCCTCCTTTTGCACCAGATCTCTGTCTTTGAACAGCTGGCAATCTGTTCTCGACAGCCTTTTTCACCGCCCCTCTTTCTACGGTATCGTGTCGTGGATTGCACGCCATACTTCTTGACACGTTCTGTCAGAACCTATATGCTGTTCGCCTTTCGTGCACCTCTGCGATGATCCTGCCGATCGAGGCAGGACGGCCCTCCTCCAGGCCATAATTATGACTTGCAACAACCAGTCATAACCATGACCAGTAACAATGAGGATGAGGAGGACTGCTCCTTCCTTCTCGCAGTTCGCCAGCAAGGCCGGCGAGCCAAATATGGATAATCTTGTTAAACTCTGTCGTGCTGAAGATAGAGCCTTGAATGGTTGCTGCAATGTCAAAGCAAGGAATGTTATCCAGGTCCGAAACGCACTCACGAGCCGGACTCGGAGGATATTGTGCTGGTGTTGAATGAAGGAACCTGTTGCTGGACTTGACATTTGAGAAGCCATTTGCTGAACACTTGTCGTTTATGTCTGGCGACATGCTTCTGGAAGAATATCTCGCTCTGTTGGATGGAGCGGTTCTTTGAATCTTGCCTGGCAAGTGCTGATCGAAGATGCATGCTCGTTGTCAGCTCAAATCTTGACAACTTGCAGTCACACCACTGCATCATACTCTCCACAACCACGCTACCGACCCCAAGGCAGTTTAACGTCCTACCCAGGACTAGAAACATGAAGGACTTGGTATGCAGAGTATGTAATTGCATTTGAACTATCTGATCAGAGCCGGTCCCTGGTCTCCTGCGACCTCATCCTAAGTCAAGACGGATTGAGAAGATCCTTTGATATGCTTCTTGTAGTCCTTGAGCTGTTTTCGCCTCGAGGACTTCCTGCGGCCTACCAAAGGATCTTCCCGAAGTCACACAGACCGAAACAGCACCACCATGGCCGAGGATGACCGTGCTCATCCCCAGAGGATGTACCCACGTCACCACGGTCTCTCAAAGCTTTCTCCATTCCTCCGACATCGAAGTTTCGAATCCATTATCGTGTCGTGTAGAAGGCCCTGTGGGACACGGCTTCACGGCCTGTGGTGGGATGACGTACTCGCCCTTCTCGTTGCGTTCTTGACCACTGATAGTGTTGACATTGATGAATGGGGTGGCCTATCGCTTGGCTTGGCTTCCTGCAGGCCACCCCATTCCCACCACTAATCATGACCGGTAACGACCAGCCACCACTCACTCTCACCAATAATTATGACCAGTAACAACCAGTTGACAAGCAAACTTCTACAGCTGCTGCTAGGCAAAACTCTCACTTGTGAAGAAAGCTGTTATCCTCGCAGGCAACTGCCGAAGTCTGCTTGTTTGCAGCTTGAGATTTGAACTGATCGAGATGTGAGCTGAGGTATGGTGGATTGTCGGCACTTCTGAGAAAAGGTGAAGTGCCATGACCTCAGTCACGATTGCTCGAGACTGCTGTCAGGGAAGATGTCCTGACGACGAGATAGTTTAAGGTCGTACTCAGGACCACGTGGCCGTTTACGAGTGTCGTGCCCAGGATCAGGCAGTTTAAGGTCGTGTCCTGGACCATGTGGCAGTAATGTGGTGATGACAAGCAGCCACAACGACAGTGACGAAGTGAAGATGATGCTGTCAACATCGAGTGTTGTCCTTGTGCGAATGTGAGAATGGCGGTCATCTAGCACCGACAATGCATGTTGTTGAGCGATGACTTGGTGGGCGTGGTCGATCACCGACGGAATGGCCTGCGTGTCTCATCGCCATTGTCCGGGAACCCCCTCAGCAGCATGTTGGGAAGAAAGGTACTGCGACATATCGTCGATGAATACGATTAGGCCTCTGGCCACGCACCTCAACATCTCGCCTTATCGGACACAGCTGTGTGATCAGAGTCTCTCAGGCAACTTTGTCGAAGCGGGATGCGTCTTGTCCTCTTCGCCCATTCCTCGCGTCTTGACGGCCGTAGGACTGACTATTAGGCAATGTAGTAAATCCAGGCTGTGCAGACATCGGTTGTGATGCCGCAGCATTGCCGACGTTGTAGCTAGCCACGTTGTACTGATACATCGGTGGGCTAAAGGCTTCGACTGGACTGGTCAGGCTGGAGACCCGAATCTCTAAGACTGGGGAGATCGATGCTATTGAAGCCGACATCGATCTCCCAGAGTTTCAACATTTGTTGAAGGGTCGTCATCGAGTTGAGCTTGACTCTAGTTTGAAATTGTGAGAAGACATAGAAGATGTCTTCATCGGTGGACAGGAGACCTCGAGCTGAGTGAAGATCCAGACTCGAAGAAGATGGCTCTGGGCCTCTTGTCCACCATTGAAGGTAGATATGGTGATGGCAAGGTATGTTCCCTTCTCTTAATCCAGGTATGGTATGGCAGTTCTCCTTCTTAATGAGGAGCTTTGACACGCTCAAGAAGTTGTCTTCATGTCTGTGGGAGATTCGGAAGTGGCCAAGGTAAGTTTGGCGGCAGCCACAAGCCCAAGGTAATGTTCTGGAACAAAGGTTAGTGATCATTGCTATGACGATTGAGGTGATGACTTACATGATGCTGATGCTGATGCTGATGCTAATACTGATGTTGATGTTGTACAATGAAAGAAGGTAGGACTTGTTTTGGTGGAAAGGTAAGTGGTGAAGAGATTTCTTCATCCGATTCTCCTGGAAAAATCAGCAATTTGCTCATCGCCTGCACCACAGAGACTTACGATTCCCCAAGGACGACAGCAAGATGATGCTTGTGTCTGTCTCGTCGAGCTCTGATAATGCATTGGCCATGCTGATCGAATAGTCAGTAAATGAAATCTTGCAGCTAAAGAGTGGTCAGCCTGTACCAGCAGGTCCGGAAGTGCCTCAGTCGTGCTCACCATCTGGCCTGCGGCAATAATTGCGATTCCTGGCCATTAGCAAGTTGATGCTGATGCTAACAGCAGGTTCTATTGACGTGCTTAAAGCAGTAAGTTGTCGATCTAATGTCTTTGATTATTGCGTGAGTTGCTTCTCCTGAGATGAAAGATGTGTGACAGGAATTTTTGAACTGGAAGAAATTATGAAGGGCCCATCTTCACTGCAATCACGACAACGGCAGGCACGTGGGTCCGTCACTGCCTGCCCCGTGCTGCCCTGCCCCTGCTACTTATTGTTTTTGCTTTGCTTGCTTGCGTCTCTACTTTTTCCTCTCCACAAACAAAAGAACAATGAACGCCAGACAGCGTCAGAACGCCCTCCTCCTCCTCGACATCATCTGGGCGATCCAGCCCATCAACTGGGAAGAGACTGCCACCAAGAGTGGCTACGTACAGCAGAAAGGAGGCCGGAGCCCCGGTCAAAAATTGTAAGTCCATTCTGAGTTGCCCACAAAAATTGATCTTTACTGACTCTTTCCTTAGACAACAAGAAGTACGGCAAGTCCTGTCACAGACAGGCAAATACAAGCTCGAGAACGAGCTTCTCGTCCTCGTGGGCGAGAACAATCCGCCGCCAAAGCCGCGGCCTGGCTTCGCCAAAATGGCGAGGCCAGGCGGAGAAAGATGAATGAGCTCTTCTGGGAAGAGAGGGAAGGCTTGCTGCTGCTTGCGATGCAAGCTCGAGGACTTGTCCTCACACCAAAGATTTGATTTTGGTGGTTTTGACATCTTTTCATTGTGTTGACTCTGTTCGTGATTGCTACACTCCTCCATGTTGCCGTTGGCTAGGCCATACTGTCCTTGTAGTTGCCCAGTCCATTGACTATGTACTTTCGTGACTATAAATGCCCAGCTTCCAAGACGCCCTGTTCATCGTGACCGATTGCCCTTTGATTCAGGATTCGCTTGCCATGACCATAGCTGACCTCCAGTGCTTAACACTTCCAAAATTCTGCGCCAGACAAGGCCGTACCCTTCCCTCCAACGTTCATCCTCAAAGCTCACTTTGTCAATCAGAATCACACACTCCAACCTCACCTCTAGAACTAAGGCGGATCAGCAAATTCACAAGTCGTTCAGCAACACGTTGGAAAGAATGACTGCCAGCTCATTCCCTTCACATCCGAGCCAGTGGAGATCCTCACGTCGACGATCAAGACGGGGAACAGGAGGACGAGCAGTGCGAGAAGACCAATTACATGAAAGGGATCAACGAGCTTGTCAGAGTTTCAGAATGATTGTGCTCAAAACAGCATTTACGAAGGAAGAAAAATCACGATGGTAAGCAAGATGATCAGAAAAGAAGGAGCAACATCGAGCACACGAAGGTTTCAGGGGTAGATTTCCAGGCATGGCTAACCGTGGATAGCAAGTAACGACACTGGACCCAGCAGAGCAACAAGAACGACTGCTAGCGTAACCAACGTCAGAGACGAGATCGAAACGAGCATTGGAGGAACACCAGAACGCAGCACGACTGACAACATGACAGGGATCAAATAGATCAACAGCTCTTACTCTCCAGCCATTCGTTCTTTACCATGTAAGCAACTTGTGGTTCGACCTTCTGAAGATTCTACTGTGTTTAGCATCCAACGTACGATTCGCCTACCTCGTCGAATACACCTGAGCTTGGAGAAAGAAAAACGTCGTCTGTGAAACAACTATTCACAGAGTGAAACGAAGAAGAGGGAGAATGTCCTTAGCAAGACAAAATTGTGCCGACGATGAGGACAGTTAGAGGAGACAGTAGTAGATATGGAAGTCAGCATACGAAAAGCCAGTCAACGCTAATGGTTGTACATTAGTGGCTGGAAAGGTGCAGAGAAATGCAGGAGAAGAGGGACGAACAGTATAAAAAGAGGAGGGAAACGTTGGAAGAATAGTACGGGATATGGAGGTCTGCAGCAGTCTTTGTTCTCCACATCTCGACACGCAAACCTTCCCATCATTCATTGCTTCCTTCTTGTTGAGGCTGTCGGCTAGTTTTGAGAACAGAATAGGGGTAAACTGAAGGGAAGCAGGAAGCGAGAAGAGAGATGCAACACACACGCCCCAGTGACTCCTGAAACAGACACTGGTAGAACCACCTACAAACCAAAACAGAACCTTAGCAACATCGAATCGAAGACGCCAGTTCGCGATATGCTCTCGCAGCTGCTCGATCCGTTGGCTTACACAGAGCATGGCTCTAGCGTGCTTCGGACATGGGAGATGGCTTCAAGGATAAACAAGAGCGGTAAAGACAAAACTACCTCTAGTTCCAGCAAAAGTGGTTCGAATACTGCACGACATCAAGCTGTGCGAGAATCAGAGGTTGATCGGGCACTGTGAGCTCATCCTTGCCGACACTGATCAGTTCGTTTCTAGATTAAAGGTGTCAGGCTGCCACGCTGCCGAGTCACAACCAGGCTTCGTCCTCCTAATAGACTACTAGCTCGATTCTCGTCTCCATCTCGTAGATGCTTGCTTCACAAAGGTCGCTCACTTCAGGCTCTGGAGTAACCGATGGCCGGTACCGGAGACATGCATCGATGCTTGTGGTGACCAGGTTTCACATCTACTGAGGCACGACTGAGTTGGCTTCTTTCAACGTGTTCGGTATGGTCTGCACAATATGCTGAAACCATCGCACACGAAATTCAACTCTGACCTGGAGGCTTAATTTATATGGGTATATCTCATGCTGGAAGTAGCCGCTACTTGAGCTATCTATGTGTCCTAACAGGGCAACGCCCAGTACGAGCGGTCGTAATTTCTGCATTTGCGGCGAACGGATGCATGCTTCCGCACCATCTTCATTGTCCATAACGCGGACTGCACAACTCTTTTCACGATGTCCATATCATCAAGATCCTAGTCGTCGTTAACCATGCGACATTTACTCTCTCCTCTGTGCCTGGCGATGCATTATGTCAACCTCGGAAAAGACATCAATGAAACGACGTGTTCCAGATGGTCAACGCCGACGAGCTCAAACATCTTGTGACCGTTGCAAGAAGCGCAGGATCAAGTGCACGCGGAATGAAGGTTTCAACGGATCATGCAAGCCTTGCATTGACGCAGGCTACCATTGCGAGTCCACCTTACCTCGTAAAAAGAAAATCTACGGTAGTGCAGAGACATTGTCCTTGCGGTATCGAGCTCTACATGCCCTGGTCAAAGGTATCTTCGCCAATGAAGATATCGACGATACACAGACCTTGTTCCGTTTAGCTCAAGAGCGACAGATCTCGATGCCGCAGGAGGACGATGCTTCAATCGCGACTGAAGCCTTCGGTGACGCCTTCTCAGCAACGAGTCTGACACCAGATTCATGCTTGCTGCCAGAATTAACCACACGTTGGCCGTCCAATATCGACCAAGTCGTTCAGAAAGCTGTGGTCAACCTGCGTGAGGAGACTTGCATTCCCGCACCTCATGGTGTTGCGCACTACCTTGGTCCTGCCTCGTCCTTTGAGTTCGCAAGCGCTGTGCGTCGCCTAGTCGCCAAGCGTAACAAGAGCACCGAGAATGGTTCAGTGGGGCACGACAGACGCAGTCAGTTACGTACCGAGTTCGCCAATCTAGAGGTCAGTATCGCCATGGAGCCTCGAATTCCAGAGCATCCCGCTTCAACTGTGAGGAAAGAGGGCAATGACAAGGACTCGCCTGAGACATTATCAGCACAAACAACTCCACAGACGACTGTCGGAACCAATACGACCGCAACAAATGGATCTTTATCGCCTTACCGCCGGTGGGTCCAGTCTCTTTTGCCATCGCGACAAGTTACTGACAGCCTTGTGCATGCCTTCTTTGACAAGGTGCACTCTGACTACGCACTATTCCACCGGGGAGCGTTCCATACTCGCTACGAATCTATATGGCATCGCACTCCATCATACACATACGAAGCTGAACCTGGTTGGCTCTGCTGCCTGTTCATGGTTCTGGTCTTTGGTGCGCAAGCTCGAGAAGATCACAATCTAGACGATGCGCTGGACTTGCAGAGACGGTTCCTGAGATTTGTGAGGGAACGCTTTCCACACTTGTCACTTACAGCGAGTCTCGCGAACGTCCAGGCTTTATTGCTTCTGCAGCTGTACGAGCACAATGCCGGAGAAAGAAACACCTCATGGATACTGCTTGGTCAGGCAGCGCGTATGGCAATAGCACTAGGCATGCACAGAGAAGGCACTAGTCACAACTTTGATTCTATTGAACGCAACACTAGACGTATGGTCTGGCATACTTTATACTCCTTCGAGCAATATGCTGCCCTCTCGCTTGGCCGACCATCAACTGTTAAAGCCTTGGAGGTCAATGTTACACTGCCTGATGAGATGATCATAGATGGTGGCGACCACCCACAAAATTACTTCAAGCACGCTTCTGCATTACTGGATCTGTCGTCCAAAATCCGGCACTTCGCGACAGCAGCATCGCCGGATTGCTTCGATCAAGCCAGCTTGACATCCCTGTCTGGAAGCGCCACTGCTCTGTTGACTGAGCTGGAAGAATGGTTTGAAGGTCTGCCGCAACACTTACTGCCTGCGTGGAGATTCGTCGACCAAAAGCATCAACGAGCTGTGGGTTTGCTGCATATCCGATATCACCACTTGTCGTCAGTCCTCACCAGGCCATATCTTCTCTACATGATCCATGCGAATCTGGACCAGCGGCTCGACGCCGTCGCTTCCGAAGCAACAGTCTTGGATCCGACCATCAACTCCCTTGGTCACTATTGTATCCAGTCGTCTTTGGCTGTATCGAAATTGCTGACACAATTGTCCCTGTCTGACGTTCTGCAAGGAGCTACGTGGACCGATTTCTTCTATCTGTATCACGCAATGTTGGTGCTCTGTCTGCCCTTTCTCGGCCATCACAATGCTGGTATCGTTGGTGCTCCTGCCGTAGACGACAGTAGTCGACTCGAAGTGCTCAATATGATCTCACTGTGCCACAAGCATAGATTGAGTCCTACTTACCACATACTGTCGCAAGTCAGCATTCAATTTGCGCGTATAGTTGGGTTAGCAGGCGATAGCCCCCCTTCTAGAGATGAGCAAGTCGGTGACTCGCACGCTGCATCCACTGGACGAGCCATCAATCTTGGCACAGGTGTAGGTCACGACATTGTCATGCCCTATGCTGAACCTTTCTCGGATCTTGGCCACTTCAGCAACGACGACATGTTTCTGGATTTCTTCAATGTGAGTGGTGTCGACGATGCGACTATTGTGACGAATCATTCAGTTGCACATTACTCGACCCCTTTCTCCTCATTGTACGGCATTGGACCCATACCGTCGTATGGCGAGCGCTGGTACTGAACAACAAGGGAAGCACATAGGCTCACTCTATTGGTAATGGTCTTTGTACACGGTTCAGACATGATATCTGTCGAGCTTTAGGCATCGAAGCGATAGGTTGTAGAAAGCAATTCGACGTTGACATTCGCACCTACGAAAACTCTTCCTTCCTGCTACATTATGGTTCGACTTTATTTCAAGCAGTAAGCATTCGGATTGCAAGACAGCCTCATCAAGTCGAAAAAAGCACGGGTGCGGGTGGCTACCTGGAGCTGAATTTTTTTGGGAAGCACAAGTGTCTAGTATCTTCTGATTATACAGTCCTCAACACTCTCAACACACTCTAAATCCAAAGAACGACATATTTGACGCAGAGAACAAATTTATCGCAGAATTTAAACATTCTTGAATCGTGGATACCTCTATATAAACTGTTTCAATATGCATAAAACACTTTGCTGGTAGCATCACTCTTGCGGATTTTGGCGTTTGTCCGCATCAACCACACCTTCAAGATCCAAGCGCATACAATGGTGACAAAGGAGAAAGCTGTGTTCGCTGACATAGCGATGAGGTATCTTGGACCGTTGGACTGTGGATACAAGTATGGCGTATAGATGAAGGAGGCATTACCGAACATGTTGACAATGGACAAGGCTGCAGCTTTCTTCTCAGCAGTCTGCCCGAGTGTTGCAGTGACCTAGCCCAGAATGACAGCGTTGACTGCATAACAGCCTGAAGCGAACAAGAAGCAAGCAATGTATCGTGCTGCAACGTTCAGAGTGCAGCTAGCAGTGATGAAACCTACCATAGCAACAACCATACCAACTGTGATATGCCAGGTACGTTCGTTGTACTTGCCCGAGCTGAGGCCTGTCACCACACAAGCAACTGCAGAAACGAGATATGGTGGACAGGTCAGCACTAAAGTAATGTTGCGTGAGAAGCCTAGTGTCCTGACCACTGTTGGGAAGAAAGAGTTGAACCCTGTGGCAGATAGATGGCAATTCTGCATGAAGGTAAGTAGCCAGAGTCGTGGATCTGCAATGGCTTGCATAAATCCAGCTCGAGCACCCTTGCTCAGTTCCCGACCGACGGTGTCCTTAGCGATTCTTGCATGAGCAAGCTCCCGCTCTTCTGGAGTCAACCATTTGGTGGTCAGAGGATGATCAGGCAGCAGAAACATGCTGATGCCAGCGACACCGAAAGTAACGGCACCTTCGATGATAAACAGCCAACGCCAGCCTGAAAGCCCATGTACATTGTCAAGAGTGGAAAAAGTTGCTGCAGCGATAAGTCCAGACATCGACGTTGCGATGATATTGGCCGAGTACAAGATGGACAGACGAGTTGCGATCTCTTTTCTGGTATAGAACAGGGACAGAAGAAACATGGCTCCCGGATAATACGGCGCCTCCGTCACGCCCAAAAAGAACCGCGTCACCAGGAGGCCTGCATAGTTGTTCACAGCAGCAGTTGCAGCAGACACACAAGCCCACACCGCCATGCAGATTGCCATGTAATAGCTCGGCTTGAATTTTGCTTTGGACATGATCATGTTTGATGGTACCTGCATGAGCAGATAGCCAACAAACAGTATAGAGACTGCTACATTGAATTGGTTGCCGGTCAGACCCAGATCATCCTCCAGATCGTTCAGTCTGGCTTGAGCAATTGCATTTCGATCGAGGTAGTTTCTGGTGGAACACGTTAGCGGGCCGCAATGAAGGGTAACGCAATACACTCACAGGAAGTACATCGCCCACAGTATGGGCAACACTCTCCGATCGAGCTTTCGCACGAGTGCGATCTCGACAGCATCGGTCTTCGCAACAGCTCCGGAATAGTCGCCATCATGTTGCGCAACCTGATTCTCACTATTATTCGATGCGACCTCAACTTGCATCGGTTCGGCTTTCTCGGAGACTAGATGTGCCATCTTGTGAGAACTGGAGGATTCACAGTTCAAAGATATCTGTGGAAGCTTTTGTTGTACGCTGTGATGGTTTTGTGAAGGGATCTGTGCTGTCAGTAGAACGAACCGACATTCTTATAGGACAATCTATCACTCTCCAGACTCATTCCCCATGGGGTCCACGATGCCTTTACTATGCTACTTTCCTCGTGGCTGCCACTCGGTACATACAATACCTCAAACACGAGACGCCATGTGGTCCAGCTGAGCCTAGTCAAAACTCTAGTCTGGCACTTCGGCGTCTAGACAATAAGGACAAGGAAAGCCTCATTGCGGATGCATGCTTCCTGGTGCGAAAATTCTACTATGTACGGAAGCATGTAAGCGAAAACGTGCCCAGAATGTATATTTACCAATGAGCGGAGCGTGGCCTACGGCTGCTTGCTTCCTGATGGACGCTATCAACCCCGCACTGAGGACAATTCCCGGGGTTGTAACGTGATGTTGTGCGGATGCTTGCAACCTCGACAAACTGTTGGTGTCAGTTCGCGGTTGCATTGAACGCGAACTGCCAGGCATTGATGCGCGAAGGAGGGTACCGGACAACATGGAGAAGAGGAAGAAGTCAGCAGCGCTTGCTCACTTCGCCACAAACATGTCTATAAAAGCGAAGCTGAGTCGCAAGCAGCACAAGAGCCTCGAACTCGAGTGTGACGAACAACAATACAGATACATCTAGCAGTCACAGCTCCTCACAAACTTCAATAGCACAATTGTTCTATTCCTCACAAACACGCAGCCAACATGCTTGATCTTAGAGGCCTCACTCCAGCACCAGTAACACCATTCTTGCCTAGTGGAGAGGTTGACTACGATGCTATTCAACGCCTTGGCTCCTGGCTTGGCTCTATCGATGGTGTAAAGGGTCTTGTCGTCCTTGGTCATGCTGGTGAAGGCACCTTTCTCACACCTGACGAGCAATGCGAGGTCATTCGAGCCTTCGTCAAATCCGTGGACAACAAAATCCCAATCATAGCTGGAATTACCTGCGAAGGTACAGAAGTCGCCGCCCTCGAAGCCAAACGTGCCAAAGAAGCAGGTGCTCAGGCTGGCCTTCTTTATCCATCTCATGGCTGGCTGCGCTTCGGCTATCAACCAGACGCACCTCAAGATCGTTATAGACGCGTCTACGAGGTCAGCAAGCTACCACTGATCTTGTTCCAATACCCAGACAACACAAAGGCCACGTACAGCTTGCAGACCATGCTCGACATCAGCGCCCTTCCAGGAGTATTCGCGATGAAGAACGGTGTACGTAACATGAGGCGATGGGACACTGAAATCCCTGTCATCCGAGCTCAACGCCCAGAATTACAGATCTTAACGTGTCACGATGAATATCTGATCCACACGGCTTTTGATATCGATGGCTTCCTAGTCGGCTACGGTAACATCGCGCCAGAATTGCTCGTCGAGCTTATCAAAGCTGGAAAGGCAAGAGATTTCACGCGAGCAAGAGCAGTTCACGATCAATTATTGCCGGTGACTAAGGCTGTGTATCATCGTGGCTCACACATGGAAGGTACAGTGGCGTTGAAGCATGCTCTTGTTGCACGAGGAATCTTGAAGGACGCGACTGTTCGCAGCCCACTGATGCCTTTGCCTGATGGTGCCGAGGAAGAAATTCATGCTGCGGTTCGAGCTGCTGAGCTGGGTGTTGTAGGAAACGTTGGTGCTGCTGCTGGCGCTCAAAAGCAGGGTGCGCCGCTGCCTAGTGCCATGCAGGCAAAGGCTACGAACGGAATCAATGGACATTGAACGACAGTATGATACGTTAGATATTGTATGGTTGTTTTGGATCAGCTTCGGGACGTAAATTAGTTTGATAGTGTGGGCATGCTTCAAAGGTCATTCGCAATACAGTTGATTCCTCTCCCTGTTTGTTGCAAGCGCTTTAAGAACGGACTTCGTCGGTTTGCTATGTGTGTAAGCAGGGACTCCTCTGCCGCATCCATGTTGTGAAAACTGTGAGTCTTGCTCGAGATATGGTGCGTTACAGAAAGAGGCTTTTAGACACCTCTCTTCAAGTCAACATCAGCGTGTGGCTCTCACCATGGGTCTCTCGTACTCAGCCATGCTCCAGCTGTCAAGGTTGCTGTCACCTCTATCTCATTTCTTGGTTTACGAGTCAAAACCTTCCTTCGCTAACTTCAGTCCATGGCTTGGCTAGACCAAGTATGCGTCCCAGACAACATCCGACTCACATCGTTGCAAGGCATGCGGTCGACCCCGAAACCTGCATCATCCTCTGCTGTTGTCGCTGAGAAGTCGTGGTCCTTATGGTGTCCAACGCAAACATAGATGGCGTTCATCTGAAGCTCGAATACTAAGAGGAACACGGGTAGAATGCCGGAGGAATATTGTGAGAGATGGAGTACATGCTTGCAAAAGCTGTAAGTATTCTTTGTTGCGGAAGTCACTGTAGCTTTGGAAAGCTCGCACGTCGATACCAGTCACTCCTCCTGACCCACATAGGACTTGGCTTCGACGTATACGCTCTGTAAGATCATGATCAGGGAAAGGAGACTTGATAGACTGCAGCCAAAATGATACCTGCACCATCACTTGCACTGTAGATTATAAGGTGTGTGAGCTCACCTGAGCAAGATTTGGCTCTTTTTGACTATCGCGTAATAGGAGATGACTTCTTGTACAAGCACTTTATGGCAGCACCAGCAATTCGCTTATCACAAGCAGATCGAATGCACTTTGCGCCAAACTGACGTCCTAAACGCATGTGCATGATGAGAAGAATCTTACTAAGCATGTACAGAAAGGTAGCCTACGGAGACATGTGACGTGCAACGAGATCAAACGCAACGTCCCGAGAAGTGGCCGCTATAAAAGCTGGAACTCGTTGAGCAGCATACCTTTCCTGCAATCGTCTCAGCAAAGGCTATCTGGGTGAGACAAAGTGAACCATCAACCAGGTAATGGAGCCTGTCGAAATTATGGCAACATAAGTAGATCAGAATCTTCCGTTTACGCCAGCACTATAGAGATATCGGCTGGTTCTCCGAGCTCAGCTCTATGGCAACAACTCTGAAGAAGATCTGGCCGTCAACAGGTATAAGTGAAGTGGAGAGATCGACTGGTGAGGGACTGTCGACTGGAATGAAAAGTAGATTAGAGCCCGGAGCGATTGTGCTCTTGGAATTTCGGGCACGTGACACCATATCCGGACCTGCAAAATGTAACAAAGCATATATTTCGGAGTCAAGCCTCTTTCTGTTGCCTGTAATCTTTCAGCTCTATTGACCACAACTTTAGGCAGTATACTATCACAATTCAATAGCGCGGGCTCGACACCATCTAGCAGCCTGACGATCTTCAGCACGTCGTCTTTGTTTTCCCTGCATCCTGGAGAAATGCAGCCCTTGTCGCAGCTTCATTTTCAATGAACAAGCTGGACGCATGGTCAAGTGTGAGGTCGCTACCCCAGTCCAGCTGACGACAACTCGATCATACAGTGGAAGGGCGCAATTCGACTTGCCGTGAGCAATATCGAGGCAGCTGACTGCAATGTTGCACATGCCATTCAAGACGCTGTCCAGGACCATCAAGGCTGTATGCTGAGTCGAGTCTCCCAATAGCAACAATACATAGCTTGTAGTTCAACAGTGTTTTGTCAATAGACAGCACATATCCTGTATCCATCGAGTTGTATGTTTTCTGCTTCAACACGCCTCCTGCTCCTCCTTTTTACCACGCCTTGACATGCCCATTAGCCCTTGAGCTAATGCTATCATTTGCCCAGTAACAACCGTTGTTGCCTTCTAGATCCCCAACAGCAAGACGAACAGGAATACGTGCACCTTCTTGAGGTGTCTTCGGCGGCTGGCCAACCTGATGGCCCATATCCGTATCGACCCAACCTGGACAGCAGCAATTTATTGCCAAACCAGAATTCTCGTTCGCCAAGATTCGCGTGAACGCATTGATGCATGCCTTGGAAACACTGTACGATCGTCGTGATGGATAGCCGAGCTGAGACTCCTTGCCGGACTGTACGACGTTCTCGTATTCTTGTGCAAGTGATTCCAGCTCGTCGAGACTCTTCATCGTGCGGAAGCGATGTTGGAGTTCTGATCCGAAAGGTCCAAGACTTGACCCCACAGAAGACAGATTGACAATGCGACCAGTATCCTTGCGCATAAGAGGCAGGAATGCACGACAGACAGCAAGTGTACCTCTGTAATTCGTGTCCATCGTTTTCTTAGCATTCTCGAAGGAAAATTGATCATCGAGGTTCACGCCAGCATTGTTGATGACGATGTCAATGGGGTTACCCGCTTGTTGGATGGTCTTGGCGAGTTGCGAGATGCTGTCGCTGCTGGTGATGTCGAGTTGTGGATAGTGAATCTTCTGACCTTCACTCGCGGAAAGGCCTAAGTCTTCACCACGGCGAGATCCTGCGTACAGCGTGGCGGATTTGAGACTTGAATCGGAGATTAGGAGCTCGCAGATGGCGCGGCCGATGCCACGGTTGGCGCCTGTGACGACTATGGTTTTTACGTTTGACATTTTGGATGGTTCAAGGTTCGATGAGGTAGAAGATGAAATTATGCCTAATCACGTTCTGGGGCTTGAAGTGAGACTGATGTTAAGACATGTAAGAAGGCGATCTCGTCGACCGTGAGACGGTTCATGAGGTTCAGAAAACAGATCTGTGCAGTCCATACCTCAATGGCTGACTTCGTACACTGATCTCGTTAGAGGACCGGACAGTCTTCACACAGCAATCGTGGCGACGAGGCGGACCTGTAGTAACAGAGTCGTAGTGTCATGAGCGTCACATTGTTGCGACATACAGCCGATCCGGGAAATTGTTGACGTCGTTCACACGTTTGGAAGAGTTTCGACCAACCATGTATGATTCGACATCGAGCGAATTGTCCCTGACAATGATTCTGCTGCCATTTCCAGAGCCTGTAGTTCTTTGGTAGTTACAGGCGAGAGACATTATGAGGTGGTGAATAGTGATGGCCGATGAACAAACTCGCGTGCTCGGATTCAGCTTAGCAAATGGGATCAGCCACTGCTTATCGCCTCAGGCAGCAAGATGGTTCGCATTCCGACAATATCTACTTAGGGTAGCTGCCTCAATTTTTAGGAACAAATCATCTCGCGCCATTGGCAGTACTCGGTAAAGTCGCATCCCTTATGTGCCTGAGGTATCAGTTCCCTACGGCATCCCCACGTCGAGAATGCCCAGAGATGGAGATACAAGTCAGGAGCTCAGAGCTATCGACTGTATGCTAGAAAACATGGAACGCTGAAAGCCTTACAGCAGTTCGTTCAGAAGTCTTCGTGCTAATTAGATAATCTGCATCACCGACTACAGCAACGTTGCAGATTGTCTTTAAATCATCTGAAAGACCTGGATAATTGAACACCATGAGCAAAAACACTTATATTGGGATTCTAGCATTTCTGGCTGTTCTCATTGCCAATCTCTGGCAGCCAGTAGCTCATCGTGCAACTGTGCTTGGCCTGACCAGATCACCTACCAAGATTGACAACATACATGGAGTAGGAACTCCCATCAAAATCCCGAATACAGTCCATTGCGAGGACGTGCATTATCATCGTGCATCTAACAAGCTCTACACAGCCTGTGAGGGCCCTGCATCCTCGAGGACTCTCTGGTTCCCTCCTTTAGCCCATTTCTCAGGACGAAACGATGTCGGCCAAGGAAAGATTGTCGTGGTTGATCCAGCTGTGAGTGGCACCAAATTTCAAAGTTTTCACGACTAAGTTTTTAGACATTCACATCTACGGAGCTCGTGCTCTCAGGCTTCAACGGACCACTAGTCACGCATGGCATAGACATCTTCTCTAACGAAGACGGTCGAACGGTCACGATATATGCTGTAAATCACTTGCCGAATCCAGAGTATAACGCAGCAGGGACCAAAGACGCTTCTCAACACAAAGCACGCTCGCAGATTGAGGTGTTTTCACACACCATTGGTTCAGACACGGCTGTTTGGGTTCGATCTGTGAGACATCCTCATATACGAACTCCCAACGACATCTATGCAACTGGTCCAACGTCTTTCTACGTTACTAACGACCATTACTATCGTGAAGGTCCACTACGTCTAGTCGAGGACTTGCTCGAGTACAGCACTGGTGCTTGGTCAGATGTTGTTCACATTGACTTCTCGAACCACAAGGCGGATGCTACACCTGCACTTACAGCCACGCACGGATTGACCAAATCCCACAACCCAAATGGCTTGGGCCACACGACCCAGGACAATGAACTGTTACTTGTGGATGCAGCTGGTGGTGAATTATACGTCATGAGCAGAAATACGGCTTCTGATGCCTCGAAAGAATTGACCTTGCGCTCACGTATTCAGCTCGACAGCTCGATCGACAATCCTTCTTACTACGACGACCAGTATGCAACCCCTGGGAGGAATGCCAGCGGTTATGTCCTTGCAGGATTGCTCCTTGCCCACCAACTTGGGGAAGCTGTCACCACGAACGACAGTGCAATACCGACGGTTGTATGGTATGTTCGAACGACTAGTGAAGGCAAACAAGAGAAATCTGTGATATTTCAAGACGATGGAAAGCTGCTACGAAGTGCGAGCGCGGCTGTACTGGTTGGTATTGATCCTGCTGGGAACGATGGCAAGAAGCAAGCTTGGCTTTTTGCCACTGGCTTTGTGTCAGAAGCCATGATCGCCGCGAGGATAGAATTGTCTACATGACAGTGACATGACAGTCTTTGGCTAGGCTGAGGCACGTGTACTATTGGGCCTAGAACCCTGGTGGAGGCCTTCAAAAATTATCCAGCTCCGTGGGGTGCTTTTGGTTACCGAGGCAAATCCAAGTTTCAGGCTGTAAGCACTCGAGATTAGCGAGGGGAATAACACCAGCTCTGGATCTGATGGTCATTCCCGGTGAGACCCTGCCTAGGAAGACAGTCTTGGTTGTCACCGAGTGGGGCGCTCCCCATATCGAGGTATGGATATGAGACTGGTCCATTTCTCAAAACCCGTATACGGTAATGCTTTCTGATTTAAAGTTGTGACCTACATCCTTGTCGGGAAGTAGTTTCCACTATAGCACGCACGAACTATAGATCGCTGAAGCCAGCGATTTCAGTCTCGAAAAACTCTTCGTCTACCCAAGTAGATGCTGGTCGCGGCCACGATCAACTCTGCAGCTGTGTTCTACGTCGCCAGCGCTGCTAATGTACAAGCACTCTCGCAGCATTGGCAGGTGCCATTTGTTGATCGTCCATTGATGCTGTATGTGCTAGTTCACCGAGAGCCAAGCGAACCTTCTTCGAGACCGTACAATCACACAAGATCAAGAGTCTGTGAAATGAGGGTCAAACCTCAAGTACATGACGACTCTACTGATTGAGAAGCTTTCCACCCCCGGACACTCCTGATCGAGACAGCGACCGAGCTTTAGCTTGATTATTGTGCGTCTGTGGATGAAGACGATTGAGCTAAGCACAACTTTGGCGTCTGAAGTGGGCACGCCACATGGCTGGACCACGCTTTCGTCTTGTTCCTCCACGAACTTTACCCCATGTCTGTGGGTTAGTGGCATATCTTAGTGGTCCTTGCTCAGCGCCCCTCACGCTAGTTGAGATTCGGTCCCTTCGTCTTGTTTGCAGGAGGTTGATGATATTGATGCAGCGCTGTACAGTAACCTAGAATAAAGATTCGGCCTGGTATCTCATGACATCGGGCCATCGAACAGTCAGCCTTCTGCGCGAATCCAATATCGTTTGGCAAGATTGATATGCCAGCGAGCCGCACGAAGCAGCTTGAAGCTTTCCGAGGAAGCTTTTCGAGGAAGCTTTTGTGCCGAGGTTCAGCTGTGATCCACTCACGGCGTGCTGGCTGAATCTGGCAAGGAGGGATTGATTGTCCACATTATCCGGACGGTGAAGAAGCACCACATACAGAGCCTCGCTTCCCTTCTGCTATATCTCCTCCGCTGGGACTGTACGTGTCCAAGGTCTTTTCTTCTCGTTCATCCCTGTCTCGATTGCCAGTGTTGCCATCTCCTAAAGTTACCATGGACACCTCATCGACTTCAGCAGAACGCAAGGTAGACGACCTCAGTCACGTCGAGCAGGTCCATACCAATGAGAAGGTTCCAGGTCATCCCAATTACTACGAAAAGGATGGCTTGAGGACTTACGGCGATGGCGAAGATCACGATGTCGAGCCTCCTGTACGTGAACCAAGCTCGCTCGAGCCCCCACCTCCGTCGGCTGTGCTGACTCAGTTTTAGATGACCGTGAACCGAGCGCTGAGTTTGGTCGCCATGGCATTTTTGTGGACTGGCTCGCAAGTGCCAGTTTACATCCTCGGTGCCGTCCCACCATATATATATGCAGATATCGGTGGTGTTGATCGCTGGGTCTGGTTCGTCCTAGCATACCTACTGGCACTAGCCGCTATTTGTCCATTCGTTGGTTCAGTTTCCGACTTGATTGGCCGACGCTGGGTATCCTTGATAGGTTCAGGACTGCTCGTTATCGCCATGATTGTCTGTGGTGTTGCCAAGAGCATGGGCGTGTTTATAGGTCAGTCGCTTTAATTACGACCTGATGTAGCCCAGCAAAGCTAACATCCTTTAAGCTGGCATGACGCTGTCTGGCATTGGCGCTGGAATCTGCGAACTTACAGCTCTGGCTGCGACTTCGGAGCTTGCGCCCACACGAAAGCGTGGTCAATACGTGGCGGTCCTTGTCTTTACCATCATCCCATTCTGTCCCTCGGTACTCTGGGCTCAACTCATCGCCTATCATGCTGGCTGGCGATACTGTGCACTTCTTTGCGGTGTTTGGGCGGCTATTGGATTTATCGGCGTCGCAGTTTTCTATTTCCCACCAGCTCGACCTAACTCACGTGGTCTGTCCCGCAGAGAGGTCATCTCCGAAATCGACTTTGTGGGTGGTGGCTTGAGCATCACTGGCATGATCCTGTTTCTGGCTGGCCTGCAATGGGGTGGTTACCAATATCCATGGACCTCCGCGCATGTCCTGGCTCCGCTTTTCATCGGTGCTATCCTCCTCTTTGTTCTCTTCCCAATCTGGGAGATCAAGTTCGCCAAGTTTCCTATGTTTCCATCACGTATGAAGAAGGAGGCGAGGATTTTGACTCTCACTCTGCTTATTACAGCTATATCGGGCGCTAATTTCTTCTCTGTCGTAAGTTTCACCACATCAGACTAGTCCGCATCTGCTAACAAGTTCTAGATCATGTAAGTCTTGCCACGTTCAACATATAGGATTTCAACAACCAGTATACGTTTACTAATGAAAATTTCAGGTTCTGGCCTACTCAAGCATTCAATGTGTACGGACACGACCCCATAGGAGTTGGTATTCGTGGTATTCCGATCGGTTTCAGTATTTTGGTAGGGGCCTGCATCGTTCTTTGGCTCTTGTCTGCTCTCCGAGGCTACAACCGAGAACTTCTGGTTGCCTCTTCTGTGATAATGACGGCTGGTTGTGGTGCCCTTGCTTTCGCGGACCGTGACAACTTGAATCAGGTGTGGGTGATTCTTGTAGTGGCTGGCTTGGGCATCGGTGGGATTGTGGTCCCCGCGTCCATCATTACCACGATCATTTGTCCCGACGACATCATCGCCACGGTGACAGCACTGACGTTATCGATCCGTGTGATTGGCGGGTGTATAGGTTATACGACTTATTACAACGTCTTCGCCAACAAGTTTGTCCCGAACGCGACAAAATACATTGGTGGGACTATGGCTCTACGATTGGGCATTACAAACACTACGCATATCACCCACGCGATCGAGTACACAGCTGCCAGCTTGTTACCTTTACTCAACACCATTCCTGGTATTGCTGGGAACGAGACAGCCTATGCAATGGTTGTTCAAGCCGGTCAGGTCGCGTATGCTGAAAGCTACAAGTACGTGTACTATGTCAGTATCGCGTTTGGTGTGATCAGTATCATAGCCAGTGCATTTCTCGGCAACATCAACAAATATATGGATGACCACGTTGCAGTCATCATCCATTAGAGTGGATACGCGAATTTTGCTGTCACTGCGACACTATCAAGAGAGGTTACGAAAGCAGTCAGAGTCTGCAGCCACTGACTCAACTCAAGAGATGATCCACAGACGATCACCACTGCTCTACATGTCGGCTCACTGCGAACCTTTATGTGGAAAGGATAAATAGCAAAGACGTCCAAACAGACATTTCTACATTCAAGGCTTTCGCTGAATAGTCCAATTCTTCTACTCTCCTGCACATTCATTCTTACTTGCCACTCTACTGTTGTCTAGCTAACAAATACTGTCACACGTCTTATGAAGAAGCAAGATACTCCATCATCAAGACCTCTGCTATCAGCTTCATTGCGAAGCCTTCGCATGTTCAGCCTTGACATCCGCAGCTGTGCACGATGATACAGCAGCTCAATCCTGAGCCTACCAACCAACCATAGGCAAATCACTGAACACATAGCCAAGGGGGACACTCGCATCACTTGTGGAGATTACGCCATCTACTGGCTAGGACTAGAGGTCGTCTGATCACACAAGGCTACCTAAGACTTTTTTCTACCTGCTGATGATAACGTCATCGTGTCGCCCGTCTCCTCTTCCGCGTCTTCTACCATCACTTTCACTTCTTCAGCTACAGAAATGTCGTGTCATCAAACCTGTATCGTGGTACTCAGCTCTTCTGTTTCTGGTCACACATCACGTCTCCAATTTGGGTTCTCTTTGCGAGTGTCGCCTCTTCTTCATGGTCAGGGCCCAACTCCATACCATACTTGCCCAATTTATGTTCCAGTTGACCTTGCTCCCCAACGAGGTGGTCAGTTAACCGAGTTGTTCAGGTAAGGAAGAGCTCACAGTGAGATTTAGGGTCAAGTCTTTCGTCCAGAGCCAAAGTTGGCGATGGAACTGGGTACGATCTGTTCGATCAATGGCTAGTAAGTCTCAGTGCTGCTCAATTAGCTTATTCATGCGACGCAGCTCCTATAGCACTGATGGATGAGATGATTAGCAGTAATAAACCGGCGATGCTAGCTTTGGTTCAGGAGATCAGCGACTCGAACAATTGTGATTTTCATAGTTTTCTCGGGAAACCGATTGATGAGCAACATCCATGCCCTGGAGCCTCACCTCTCTTCCACTCACAATGTCCGTCCTTCCCGAGCTCCTCGGTCACCGTTCCCACACTACAGCACCACCATTGGCTGGGGGCTCTGAAGCTGCTGGATCCACCTCTCTACCCTAACTTAAACACCACCAGCACAAACGCAATTCCCACCGGTACCATCCCAATCCGCACTTATCATTGCACACCCATCCGCAAACATTGTATTCTGATCCCCATCCAAACCAGGCACATAGCAAGCGATACTAGCTTCTCCGGGGTGCGCACCCGTCGAACACATGCATCTACTACCATTGCAATCATCGACGGTCAGGTTAGTAGTGGCACCTTTGGCGATCAACGGGAAGATGCCGACCTCGGGGTTTTTGCGCTTGGGGTCACATCTGGCGTAGCTGCAGGCGTCGAATGCGCAGCCACGGGCAGCGAGGTGAGCTTCACGGGCCTCGACATCAGATGGAGAGAGTTCGATGGCTGTTGCAGTGAAGGCGGCCAGAAGAGGGAGGATGCTAAGGAAGGTAGTGAGTTGCATGGTTGTGGATTGAGGTCTGTTTTAGATTCAGGTGTATGCCGTGATAAAGGCAAAAGTGGTAGTCTCGACTCGATGGCAAGATTTTCGAAGAGAACTGAACAAATGGCTAATTCACAAGTTTTCAGAACACGAAGTTGAGTGAAATATGAATACCCAGGCACTTTGATCCTGTTCCATTCGTTGTCCATCTCGACACAAGCGACATCATCGCATCTGGCTGTGAATAGCAGGCACTCAGACTCTCGTACGACCCGACCTGTATCTATGCTAGGGCGCAAGTGCTGGCCGCAAAGTCAGTACAATGCGGTGCCATTGTTACTGAGAATTTGACTGTGAAAGTGTCTTCCAACTCTTTCGCTGTTTCTGAACCTGAATAGGCCACGCAACAAAGAAATTTGTCGCGCCTTGGGCCTGCACACCTTCAAGCTATATACTCAGGAAGAAAACCAAGCTGCTTTCGTCTCGAATTCATTGATTGGACGTGTGGGGTGATTCGAGATCGTGTTATTGACCAAGTCTCGAATAAGTGGAGATTCACCCGTCCTTCCATGTGTGCACGACAGGCATCGCACGAACGATAGCAGCCAGTACCACGCCCATGGATTGGAAACCCTCCCACTGAACAAGTTGAGGCTAGTTGCGATAAATTGCGGTCGCGGTGGTGAAGACGTAAGATGTGCTGACTTGGACAGGGTTATCGAAGGTTAAAGGAGATTTCCGTGGGCTTTCGGAGGTTCTGGCAGGTCTTCGCAGTGACCTCCCAAAACCCGCACACGTGCCGCAGAAGCTTCAGGCGCTAACCAAGAACAACCCAAGGGAAAGTCAAGCGAACCTGGTCTCGTACTTTGTCCTGTTCAAGTCCTACTACAAATATCGGGCGTGGCGCACACGTATGAACTCCGCCACTGGGTGCGAGCCGGCAGTAAAGCCGGAGGTTAAAAAGAGTCGTTGTTAAGACGACTCTGCAAGGCTAAGACCTGCTGCGGATGAAATGGCTGAGGGAGTGCGAAGCGATATGTGTTGAGCGCCATAACTGGATGGGTGGAAACCACTGATCCCTTCAGCATCTATGGTATGTATATTTGATCGTAAGCATCTATTCTCGTAAACAATCTAATGGGTATAAAACCAGATTCTGCCTCCTGTGTTCCATGTCTATTCGCATTTGCATCCGAAAACAGCCAACCCACAAACATTAAATCCTGCTATATCAGCCACGACCATGAAGCGAAAGTGTTGCACAACGATGTACTGTTGTGCAACAGTGTCGTTTGGGGGTGGGCGTACCAGCTGACCAGCTTCTTAGATTCGATTCTTTCTCTTACTATTTCCCATCTCGTACCATAACTGCAAAAAGACACCCACAACACCTCGCTGGTAAACATAAAAGACAGCTTCCAAAACAAAAAGGAATATGCCATAACTCGTCGGTTGAATTCGCAGCGTATCGAGGCCAATCGATATCGCGGTATGCGTCGACCGCTCTGCATCTAGATTTGTATCAGGGGTCCAGTGTATCCATTCAAGCGTGGACTATTGAGTTGGGTCTCAAACTAGGTGTCATCAATGAGTACCGTCGTATTGCCGTCTCAATGATCGGTCTTCGTTCGGCCAGAGGGACAACGGGCAATAGATGGCGACAATGCCGAGCGTTGCACCCGTCGCAGATTGCGGCGGAGTCCGAGACTCTGGCGTTAATCATGCATGAGTGGTTCGTTGACTGGAGACTACGATCAGTGGATTCGCCGTTAGCTTGTTGAGTGCGGAGCTACGTCAACTTTCGTATTCTCAAGAAAGAGATCAGCACTCAAGCGAGCTTTCGCATATCGAGATGGTCGGTTGTTTTGTCTTGAATACTTTGACTTTGTCGAGTTGAACATCGAGCTGAAAGCAGAGGTTGTCGCTGCCTGGATTTGCGGATGAGCGACGTGTAAATCGGCGTAGATTCATGTTGAGGATTTGACGCCATATCTGGTAGGCGTGCCGACACTAACCGGTGGACGAATCAGGTTTGGCCTGGCCAGGCCATGGCCATATCCTTGTTTGATTGTGCACTACTTCGTAGTCGAAAGTCTGGTCGAGACACGCAGCGGATCCTCTTGTTCGTGAAGATACGGGCGAAGTGATTTGCCCAAGCTGTTGAGAACGATGGCCAGATACCGTTCAGAAGGTACTCCAGGCCCAGTCTTTGGGTACACTGTTGGCCATTGAAGCATGTTGCTGCTGTTGCTGCCCGCCTTTTGTTGCAATGGCCGATGACTGCATGCGACGGTGACCTGATGCTTGTGGCAGTGTAGGCACGGATTTGTAGCTCTTCGAATCCTCGCTCCCACTGCCGTTGCTGTCCTTGCGGACCATGCTGCGAGCTGTGTCCCATCGCTGATACTGTCTGTGACAGGTCCCACAAGCTCGCGATTCATAGCCATCTGGGTGAAATTGAGCCTCTTGATCAAGGAATATGATTTGGTTGGAGTGGGAAGAGCAAAAGATATGTCCGCAGTGTCGGCAATGGTGTCTCCGTACAAACAGGTTGAAATTACTTCGACATTGTGGTGAATCACAGCTCGTAGACGCGTCATCTGGTTTCCAATGATCTTGCTTTGGTGGCCCGGTCACTTCGCCCAGTTCTTCATCGTCTGCATGCATCTGTGACAAATATACGTCCAAGTCTGATTGCTGTAATTGCGCCTTGTTCTGTTCTTCCAAATCCTCGAGCAAACCCCTAGTACTCTTCGGTGGTGTCATAGGTGCTAAGACCGGGAAGTGTTCAGTCGGTCTGAGCACTGCTGGAACGTAGAGTGGTGATTTCAGAGGTCTGAGCTGTTTCGCAGGGTTTGGATTATAGTGCTGCTGGTGTAGCATATCGCCAACTCTAGGTGATGCAGGCGAGCCAGAACTTGCAGGAGATGGCTGACCATGATTGTTGTGGAAATGCAGCTGGTTGCTATGTTGTGGGATCGCATACGTATGCGACGTTGTTGTTGCCATGCTTGGGTAGGATGAATCATACGACGAAACAGTAGAGGCCGCCAAAAGGTGCTGACGGCAAAGAGATCGAGGTACTGGCTATGTCTGTGCCACTCGTATTGGAAAGGACGGCTAGTAACGGTAGTACTAACGACCGAACAAGTGTTCAGGCTGAGCAGGCCAACAGTAAACCGTAATAAGCCGCAATTCGTCGAACAAGATGTTTGTGTCACGATCGTCTCCGGATCTTGCTATTCGGCACCGTTGTATCGGGTTGTTCTAGAAACCGATTGCGTCTTTGGTATTTCAGCTAATAAAGGATGCAGAACGTTGTGAAACGTGGGGAAAGAAACGAGTATACGGGGAAGATGGTCATGAAGTGGTGGGTGAGGAAGGTGCACATGCGACAGCTCAAAGATAAGAGCGACAGCAAGAAGACTGATGCTTATAGCGCAGTTTTGCTGTAGCGAACAAGCATCTTCATTCGACCCGCTCACAGCGACTTCGAGAGACTGTGCCGGAGAAACTCTCACCGACCGTTCGACCAATGGCAAGCGCAATGATCTCGTCAGTGGCAGTTGAGCATGCGACCTTTGGGGGAGCAGCGTGAAAGGTGGAAGAGCATGTGCGGCGATCGAGCGCTTTGAGCAGGAACCGACAAGCATACTGATAAGGAAAGAAGCGTTGTGGTTGGTCGGTCAGTCATTCTTGACTGAATAACGGCGGCGAATGAGGGGCAAAATTAATCTCAAAATTGCCGATGCAAGATCCAAGAGTCGAGCACTTATTCAGGCTTGGAGCCTTTAACCGGCATTGCCTGACTTGGCCTGTGCTGCTAACGACTCGAGCAATAGTCTGTCGCTGATTCGTCGACCCGACGCCTATCAGCCCGGGCCTTTGTTACTTCTTGATGACGGGCGAGACAAGTGAGCAGCTGATTTTGGTGGCACAATATATATACTCATGAATCGTCGCTGTCGATGGCCCTGAATGCCAGTGACCCTTTACTGTCTCAACCGTATCAAACGAAAGCAGACACCTCCAGTCCTATTAGGCCGTCGTCAGGCAGCTTGATCATTGTCCATAAGAAGTTACTCAAGTGGATTGCCACGAGCAAAATGAGATCTAGTCCATCCACTCAGTATGGAGCCGGTCAAGAGCCCTGAAGGGCCACTGGGTACTACTCGTGTGGAGTGTTGTTGCGAAATCTGCTGAAGTTGCACAATGACCACTGCTCGATAAGTGTAGACTCAATACAGTCGTACAACTGCAGTGACTGTTCAACAAAGACTTCGATGTGTCTGACTTCCTTGCGTGGATTCCCTGGCATTTTACGCCTTATGAGCTGGGACTGCATCATAAACTGGTGATTTACTTTACTGTCGCAATTTGGGCTCTCTAGATGGATGTTTCAGTATTTGAGAACATTGCGTCTCACTTTTTGGTGGTTGCGGCATACAAAATCCGCACGCGAATTGATTCCTCGTCCGACGTGCAATACGAAGCAGACAAACCCAATCCAAAACAAGCAACCGCTGAAGAACAAGGTGCCCATGCACGGATGAAACACAAGATCTGAATCCTTGACAGCTATGATCGTAGATCTCGTGCTACGACGATTTCAGTCGTGCTACCATCCCGGGGCATCAGGAGTCTGTGGTAGATCAATGGGTTTCTATACAGTTTGACAGGCTTCATTCGTAATAGTTCATGCTGTGCAACATCCCCATCACTATATTGCGCAGGAGCAAACGTGAGAAAATTGCCAAGCTAGGATGACTGACAGAGCTTCAGCTCTTCCGGACTAGTGACTGCCTAGAGAACTATCCGTTCGGGCCCGTATGCAGCTTCCCGTTCGAGTGTTGCGCAAGCTGGCGGCGCCTGGAGCTCTTTTAGACGAATTATTGCCAGCGCTTCCTCTCCTCCCCTCAATCTTGCTCGACCTGAGCAGCCCACCATTATTGCCACGACCCACTGCACTGGGTCACAAATGTCCTTGGGCGCCTATCACTGGTCCCAGGAGCTCGGTACTGTGAATGTATGGGGCCCAATATATTACTCGAGTAGGATCTCGTTCATCGCATTGTGTTTTGAGTTTATGGTCTGGCTATAATGAAAGCACCAGCAGCCCAACAGTGAAGATCTTGCTACTTCTGGTCAGCGAGTTCACAACGCACGAGTAGTCATATCCACGAAACTTTAGAAGGTCTTGGATACTTCCTCTCATTGCGACATGTCGAGGTCGAGAACACGACGCGCAGAACCACTTCGAGACGTTCGACAATTTTGGTTAGAAAGAGGCTTCCGCCCTGACGTCGCCACCATCAAATCTGATCCCGACGATGATCCGAAAGGTGAGGCCGCATACCAAAGAGCGTTCTATGAGGCAGAACAACTCGAGCCGCCAAGACTTCCCAATCCATCGTCCTTCCCAAATTCACCATCTGCACGAGAATATCTCCAGCAAAGGAGTAGAGACACTCTACAAAGCGGGCAGAAACGATCTGGTGATCCAGTAGCTGAACTCTTGCGCGTTACGCGAAAAGCGCGCGATCCCGATAGAAGTCCTAGCGTTCTAAGCAAGACGAGCACGTCGCCCGCAAGTAACTACAGTGCAAGCGCTGTGCCTTACACTTCGACACTTCTTTCGACACCACGGATGGCCGAGGACCTTAAGCCTAACTTCACTTCATCTCAGCACCTACAACCAGGCGGATATAGACCAACAGCGATAGAGCCATTCGGTGCACCAAGTGGTCCTGCCAACCCGTTTCAGCGGCCACGATGACGCATTGTTACAATGAAGTCAGGTTGTCGAGGACAAACTGTCCCGCCTCCGTCGTGTGCCAGCATATCTAGTCATTTGGTAGGAAACGAGGTTTTAACATAGGGCGACAGAAATAGTATTTGATCAAATTAGCGGGCATAACGGAGTCACGAAGATGGGAGCATATAGCATGGCATATAGCATCAGCCAAGGGAGTTTAGGGATCTTTGCAGCACGGGTCTCACGCCAGTACGCTGCTCGATTAACGCCGTCATCGGTTCAAACAATTCTCTTTCTCTTCCTTGTCCTTGCTCATCGTCACTCCCCGGCACTTCCTTGCCCTTCTTATGCCATTCAAACAGCTCCTCCCATCTCATCCACTGCCACCCGTAACACTTCTCCGGCTCCAACAACGTCGGCTGACTGCCCTCAACCTTCGGTCGACTCACCACGAAAATCGTGACATAGTGCTTCGAACCATCTATCCAAGGACTATTCGTTGCTGTGAGGAACTGTACATCCTCAATCTCCATGCCTATTTCCTCCATTGCTTCCCGCCGGGCACAGTCTTCGAAACTTTCGTGGAGCTCGAGGTGGCCTCCGGGAAGAGCCCATGTGCCGTTGCCGTGAGAACCTTTGCGCCTGCCGAATATGAACTCATTGTGTGAATTGAGAACGAAGACGCCTACGCCGATGCGAGGCACTCCAATCTCGTTCGTAAACTTGGCTTCTCGAAGTCGTTGTTGAGGTTGGTCAGGTGTTATTTGCTCTGCGTCTTGTTCCATGTGGAGTAGTGTCATGTTTATTCAGCCCGGATTTTGCTTGCACGAGCTATCACGTTTCGAGGGTTCTGCATGCACTCTCCTTCCCACCCAAAATTTGCTTGGTTGCTGGAGTATTCAATGGCCGAACTGATCTCGTCAATGCAGGATCTGGCGAAGTATCTCAATCACAGAGTATATCAACTGGAAATCTTCTCACATCATGAAGAGCCTAGAAGAAAATCGTGATAAGATTCCTATTGGCTGTTTAGGCACAAGTGGATCGTTCCTTCTCAAAACCTCACATCCTACCACGTCCTCACCGACTTGGAAACAAGCAATGATCAGCTTCGATGCAGCAGTACACCTACTAACAAAATCACAACTACCACGGTTGATGCAAACAGCACATAAAATTACTCCATGTCGGGACTGGCGCAGCGCTGTCGACTCGCATTGCAGATGCAGATCGTGGAGCAAGCACAAACGTTGACTGCCGAATCACACGTTATACCGGACCTTGGAACAGCATATCGTGGTACAGAGATACTTCGGGCGTCTCAGAGAGAGGATTGTGCAACAATCTGACCACGCTGTCTACCTGAATTAGTCGAAGTTAGTATGGAGTTGCTACAGGACAAGGCGAATTAGCAGAGTACTGAATGGCTGAAGAGGGCTAGTGATCGTTGCCCTGCGAAGACATCAACATAGATGGACGTGCATACTCTTGAAATCCGGCTTTTTGACGTTGAAGGTATTACTCAAGCAACGAAAGGTAGTCGTCCTTTGTTGCAATGGAAACATATCTCCATGTTCGAGTCATCTGATCGACAAAATTGCCGTACGTCTGCTCATAATCCATGGTTGTGTCAGCAAGTGATTACTACAGGAGTATGAGGATAACAGCTCGAGCAGATGCAGATCCTGTCGTGTGCTCTCATGCCCGAAAGAGCCGCTGACCAGTAAGCCTATAGTGGCTGTGCGCCCCGCTTAGCGCCTAGAGACTGCGATCTGCAGGAACGGCCGAGGTGTGCCACAGCCTCCAAATTTCAAGTTCTCAGGCAGCATCATTTCTTGCTTGGAACCACTTCTCATCTCTTCGTTCCTTGGACGTGTTGGCTTATGCCTTCCAACCTCTACCAGATCAACGATCGAATGATGTATATGTGTACATAATGAAGTTTTCTATCACTCGCAGCCTATTCCTTTGTCTGTTCTTTGTCACTGCGTCTTTTTCAACACCCACATCTGTTTCTCAGCTTTACGAGCAGAGTCTGCGCACTCAAGATCCTGTACCAATACCTTCGAGACCCTCATTCTTAACCAAGCTATGCGCTGAAATAATTGAGAAGATATGGCCACATTATAAGAAGGCGTCATCCCGGGCTTCGAAGCCTCAGTCTGCCTCTCCCAGCAAAGTGTTGAGCAAGTACGGCGATGATGTAGTCCTGCGCTTCAGGCTCAGGACTCAAAATGAAGCTTCCGCATTTGCAGAAGCCGTGGAGGGTCTGTATCTGGATTTATGGGAGGCTTCGGACGATTGGGCAGACGTCAGAATATCGCAGAAGGTGCTGCCCTCCTTCTTAACTCTCCTGCCTGCTTCTATGCAACAGTCGCATACGCCGGTCATCACTCAGCTTTCGCAGGCTGTGTATCATACGTTTCCTACAGCTCAGGCGACCGATAGCTGGCGACATCGAACGAGCCTCGACAGGCCGCATGACCTATTCTTCGAGAATTATCAGCCTCTATCCGTCCTCTACCCTTGGCTGCGGCAGCTAGCATCCATGTTTCCAGACACAACGGAGCTATCGTCGATAGGGACTACATATGAAGGTCGAGATATTCCAGCTTTGAGGATTGGCATACCGCTCCCGGACGATGATCCTCATAAGGACGATCCAAGACATACCGTCGTCATTGTCGCAGGAGGACACGCAAGAGAGTGGATTTCAGTATCAACCGCGGCTTTTCTTCTACGAAGTCTACTGCACAACTACGACCACAAGCAGAAGGACACAGTCTACAAGCTGTTGACACATTACGACTTCGTCTTCATGCCAGTCCTCAACCCCGACGGCTATGAATATACCTGGACCACTGATCGGCTATGGCGCAAGAACAGACAAGAAACAGCTCTGCCATTCTGTAGAGGTATTGACTTTGATCGAGCTTTTCCTTTCGGCTGGAATGGTGACAATCAAACTGACAATCCATGCTCAGAGGCTTATGCTGGCGAGCATCCACTGCAAGCTGTAGAAGCTCAACGTTTGTACGATTGGGCGAAGAACGAAAGTAGCAGCAGAAAATTCACCGCTTTCATCGACCTGCACAGTTACTCGCAGGAGATCCTCTACCCATATAGCTATACCTGCTATCGAAGACCGAGCAATTTGGAGGACCTAGAAGAACTTGCAGTGGGTCTCGCAAAGGCTTTTAGAACCACCAACGGTCATCATTATGGCGTCGAAAGTGCCTGTGAAGGCTCGATGCTTAATACTGCGACTTCGACTAAAGATACAGGCATGGTACGCACGAGGATAGTAGAGTCGGGTGGTAGTGCTCTCGACTTCTTCTACCATGACCTGCAGGTCAAGTATGCGTTTCAGGTCAAACTGAGAGATACAGGCAGTTATGGCTTCTTGCTGCCTAAGGAAAACATTTTACCGACTGGAGTCGAGACTTTTAGCGCCTTATTGGGTCTTGGCAAATGGTTGCTCGGAAATAGGGGCATTGAGGGCTACGCTAATCTGTCTGATGATGAGATTTGGGGCAAGGAGGAGGTCACTATCAATGGGTTTGACGTTATACAAGAGACAAATGACGACGCTGACGAAGACGAAGGAGGGTCTTGGTTCAGGCGAAAGAGATAGGATGTCTCACGTCAAACATACTGGCGTTTCTTCTACTTTGACGAACAACGTTCGCACCGAACCGACGTGATTTGTACAGGTAGGACAAAGACGATGCCAAAGTTCGATCCAGAGCGCTATTTCTTTCTTGGTGCCACGATCAGTGGACGCCAGCCTTTGCTTCTTCGCAAACGCAGGCTGTGGCTGCTGTATATCCGTAACTGCCACTGGAGGAACATACCATTTTCTTCCCCCTCACAGCACTTCCACTCTGTAAACACATTCGTCATGGAAACACTCCGGCCACATGAGCAACTAGCTATAAGCTACTTGTTGTTTACCCAACTCGCGCGCACAATTGTCCTCGCACAAACAATTTCAGAAAGATTTGCGACTTGTCTAAACACTTTCCTGAACACAATTGCTATCAACTTCTTTTATATATTCCTACCAGGTCAGACTCAAGTTGGACTCTTGCAAGATTGTCTACTCCGTCACCTATTACTCGAATATACCTGGAAGCTTAGTCTGAAAATGCCTTCATCGTCTTCGAGATCCTCAAGTGGTGAGTTGATAAGACCAGCAACAAATGGAACACCCCTCAACGAAGGCCAATAACTAACACTTGGGTCAGACTCCTCTCCAGACTATAAAGCTCCTGCCAACAACGGTAATGACGATAATGGTGCTCGTCCATCTTCAGGTCCGAAGCTCAATCCAGGCGATATCTACCACTCATGGTTTGCCGAGCTGGGTCTTCCTCCTATCCGTCCATACGAAGGCGTTCATGGCCTTGACTACTTCAACAAGTTCATAGCCAGACAGCCACCGCCTCCTGCTCCAAATTATCCTCTTTCCGACCCTGCGCTACAGCCTCGTTGTGCTTCTGTTCCCGCTGTCGCTCTGCGATCCAACCTCCGAGCTCAGCGAAGACAGCACGAGCAGGAGCAGAGTCTCGCCACTGCAGTACGATTGTCGCGAGAACGGGCTGTTGCTACTGTTGAGAGGGCAGAAAAGGTCGCGGACAGGAAGAAGAAGGAGCAGGAGAAAGCACATCAGGACGAGAAAAGTAAGGCTAATGAGGAAGAGCGAAAGGCGAAGGAGAGAGAGGATAGGAAGCGGAAGCGCGAGTTTTCTGTCGCTGCCCCTGCTGCCGCTAGTGAAGCCGATAGTCAAGATTCAAGTACTGGTAAGTGATGTTGAAGACTTGGTCGACTTCAGTGTGTGCCTGTTACTAACGTCCTGGGAACAGAGGAGCAACCAAGCAAGAAGGCAAGACGATCTAACAAGCGATCCCAAGCCGCTAGCGTGGGCGTCAGTGTGCATGTCAGCCCCTCGCCAGCTCCACCTCCTCTTAACAGGCAGAACCCCTACCTCAATCGTCCAGTGTCAGAGCCTCGGCGTACCACTCTTCGAGGTCCACGAAGACAGATCAGAGACGACTCACCCGTGGAGAGTCAGCAACAGCAGTCTGTTCAGCTTCCTGCTATTGCAAGGGACAATGCGTCTGAGGAGGTAGTCAATTCACATCGACCTAGAGGAATTGTGAGACTGAAGGTGCAGACTTCAGAAGCTGCAAAATTTGATATAAAGATAGATACCAAGCCTTTAACAACAGAAGAACGAAAGCAACTGAGAAGAAAGCGAAACGAAGAAATAAAGCAGTCGCTGAAGCGCCAGGTTCTCAAGAAGGGACCATCGAAGAAAAAGTACGATTCTCTGCTTCTGGATGCTGATGGAGACAAGGCAAATAGCAGTGAGAGTGAGGGCGAGGGTCATGACCAAGAGGAGTAATTCTTCCGGTAGTTCATGAATACAGTCATACGTCTTTCATCTTCTAAACCGCAAGCAGGCGAGCCATAAGATGGGACTCAAGCCGCCCATACAGTATCGCATCCTTTCCTCATTCCATAATGTTTCTTCTCTGTCTTCCTCAAGTCTGTCCGTATGTTCACGACATCGATGCTGTATCTCTGTCGCTTCACAAAACACACTTATCAAGTAGATATGAGAGGTTCACGAAAGCATGTCGTTGTGCAGGCTCTCTTCACCACTGTATTGATGCGTAGGCCGACGGACCTGGAGCTTCTGCCATGTCACTTCATCGTCCTATCCTTTCTCGTCAGATCGGCCATCTCGAACATAATAGGTTCAAGTCTCAACAGATTTGTGGTGGCCTGAAGCACGCTGGACATTCTTGATATGATTCAAAGCACTTCCAGCTCTCAACCACTGGATCTGGCCAGCATGGAAGCTGTGATTTAGGTGTGTTTCCCAAGACGATCCATCTCTTCTCCTTACATGCATAGTGACCTGCTTCCCAGGCTTCATCTCGCCTGGCTGTACTCCCTGCAAAGAGATTCGATCACCCTCTACTATTCTGTCGTAATCAGCAGGATCATCGAACGTCAGCGGCAGCATTCCTTGCTTTTTTAGGTTCGTCTCGTGTATACGAGCAAAGCCTCGTGCGATAATGACAATGCCTCCGAGGAATCTTGGTTCGAGTGCTGCATGTTCTCGTGACGAGCCTTCGCCGTAGTTGTGGTCTCCGATGATGCACCATTTGACGCCTCTCTTTTTGAGGTCTTGTGCTACTAATGGTACTGAATCAACTTTTCTTGTTTCGGGGTCAATGGCATGGCCAATGCAACGAGTATCAGTCGGTGGGATAAAAGCATTAGAGGCGACAGTGAGCATATTATTGCTGATATTTTCCAAGTGTCCACGATACTTGTACCACGGACCTGCTGGAGATATGTGATCTGTCGTGCACTTCCCTTTGACCTTGATCAAAATGGGCATATCATGGACATTCTCATCTTGCCATGGTGCGAACGGTCGAATGAGCTGCAGTCGGTCTGATCCTGGGTCGATCTGAACTTGTACTGATCTATTATCAAGAGTAGGCGCCTGATATCTCAGCTCACCAGGCAGGAATGCTGGTGGTAGCTCACTGGACTCCGGTGGTTCGAATCTGAAGCTCTCCGTCAATCCTGCAGAGGGAGACGTCGAAACTGATACAGCGTCTGTAGCAGGATTGAAACACAGATCTCCTGAATATGCAAAAACCGTGGCAAGTTCTGGGGATGTGACAAAAGAATGCGTAGCGGAATTACTGTCGTGTCGCCCAGCAAAGTTCCTGTTGTAGCTCGATATCACTGAGTTTCTCTCTCCCTTCGGCACATCCGTCCTGTCCCATTGACCTACGCATGGTCCACAGGAACTGCTCAGTACTGTTGCACCAGCATCTCTCAGATCGTCAAAGATACCATCAGCTTCAGCTGTTGCTCGAATTTGTTCACTTCCAGGCGATACCAAGAACGGCACTTTAACCTTTGCGATACCTGCCGCTTTTGCTTGTTTGATCAAGTGCTGCACCTTCTTGAGATCTTCGTATGAGCTGTTAGTGCAACTGCCTACCATGCTAGAACTGAGCTGAGCAGGCCAATTGTTCTTTGCGACTGCATCACTAAGTCGCGATAGAGGATGTGCCAAATCAGGCGTGAAAGGCCCATTTATGTGTGGTTCCAATACGTCGAGGTCGATTTCAATGACTTCATCATAGTATACGTCACTACCATGATCAGCTGTCAATAACGGTGTGCTGTATGTATTGGCAGCTTCTGCAATGTCAGCTCGTTTTGTAGACGCCAAATATCGTCCCATTGCTTCAGTGTAAGGAAATATGCATGAGGTAGAACCAATTTCAGCAGACATGTTGCATACTGTTGCCATCGCCGTTGCGCCCATCGATTCCACACCAGGTCCGAAGAATTCAATAATCTTGCCCTTGCCACCAGAGACTTTCAAGATTCCAGCAAGCTTGCAGATAATGTCCTTTGAAGATGTCCATCTCGAGTTGCGGAGACTGCCAGTCAATCTTACACCTGTTATCTTAGGACACATCAACTCCCAGCTGATACCCGCCATCGCGTCAACTGCATCAGCGCCGCCAACACCTATGCCCAGCATTCCCATACCACCAGCATTTGGAGTGTGAGAATCCGTGCCGATGATGAGCCCGCCAGGCACTGCGTAATTTTCGAAGATGATGATGTGAATGATACCTGATCCTGCCTTCCAGTAGCCAATACCGTATTTCTTCGACGCACTGCTTAGAAAGTCGTACACTTCGTGGTGTTCAATTAGTGCATTCTGCAGATCTAGCTCGGCGCCAAATTTGCTGACAATAAGATGATCACTATGGACTGTGGTCGGAATGGCTACCTTTTCTAGTCCAGCGCTGATGAACTGCAGAAGTGCCATGGTTGCCGTGGCATCGTGGCATGCGACTCGATCCGGACGCAATTGCAGTATTGTCTTTCCTCTTTGCACACTACTAACATCGAATTGCTCGTCGACATGGCTGTACAGGATCTTCTCGGAAAGAGTCAATGGTCGTCGCAATCCTGCTGTTTTGCGCTGTAGTCTATGTAGTCGTGCATCGTAATCTAGTATGTTGTACTACAGTGCTCGTGTCAGCTGTGCTCTCATGGTCCGGGAGAGTATGTAACAGCATTTTCCAGCATGAGCTGCCATCCGCTTGTGCCCCGTGACGATGTCGTAATGCTTTCTAGTTGACTTACAGGTTCTAAGGGGCTGGCCGCTATTCGCGATACTGCTGTTGCGAACCCTCGAGTTCGCATGAAGCTCGTCGATTGAGACCTGTTTGCCCAACGGCCCAAGACATGCCGGCAAGCCGCCATCATTTGTATCATGTCCGTAGTGGCGCGATCATGAACGACAATCACACAAGGCGATCGACATCAGGTCTAGAAAGACTTCACGGTGACTAAGCCCATAACCGGACCGCATCCCCGATTCCTAGAGGGACGTGATCAATTAATTTACGAGATCCATTGGCTTCATAGCCGACCAGCATCTGTTCTTCTACATCCTCGTTCCTGTCTGGTCTGGATGAGATTAGCGACAGAAAAGAAATGCTTCGCCACAACAGTGTCGGCTCAATGTCGGCAGAGTTTCCGACGGAGCGATCCGACTAACAGAGTTCCTGCCGGGTCAGCTTGTTCTGTTTTTATGGAGATCATCTACTGTTGAGGCAAGACTTCAGCTGGCGATCCGCTCATGTATACACACCACTGAGGTCGTAGTTCGATTAAAAGAACATATGCTATGGCTGGCAAAATGCTCGAACCTGGCTTACTGAAAGCTATCCAAAACTTCACGACCTGCGATGTAAGTGTCTTGATTCATCTAGATCGTTATCGCGCTTATGTGTCTTGATCTTGCGAGAAAACTATAGCTGACGAGCGGTACGAAGATTGGTGACGCTCTTGTCAAGCTGCGGGTGGCTCATGGCGGTTACCTTTCTGGCCTGAAGATGTACTCCCCACAGTATTGCTCCGGATCTGCCAAGCTATGTGGCCCTGCTCATACTGTACGCATGGTTCACGCATCTGATAAAACATCTCCAACACTACAGCAACACTTTGCCGATAGCATCACACCTGGCAGTGTGGTGTTTGTGTCGCAGCCAGAAGGTTCAATTAGTGCTTGTTGGGGAGGACTTATGAGCACTCTTGCAAGCAGGCATCTTTCTGGTCCACATATACTCAAGGTTAATGTCTTCGTTCTTTTCTTGTAAACATACTGAGGGCTAACAGTCAGCAAGCTCTATCGATGTTGTATAACGTAATCGGTGTGTGGTTGGTGTTGAAGTTTTTTGGCGCGTTGTACGGATGGGTCCGTGGCGAGCAGCTCGCGAGTGCTTTACCTACCGACAATGGACTGCAGCAGGATTACGTAGATGAGGACGACAACACCTTGCTAAAGGTATGATATGGGTTTGTCGCCTGACTATTGTAGATTAACAGTACTTGGAGCTGCTCATTGGCACATGATGACCTCTCCTAGGCTCATCGGTGTCGTCCTGAGCATCACGTTTTATTGTAGGGTTACCTTTTTGCACAAATCGATATCCCAGAGCCAGGTTGCGCAAGTGCTGAGTTGAGCCAGGCTGTAATACTTCTCCGCTGATTAAATTTATGCTTCAAGTGGCAGAGGCTATAGCAACTCGATTAGCCGCTGTAATCGCGGTCATTCAGTGCGCCACCGTACGAGGCTGTTCGGAACTGATCAAGAGTGCTGTCGCCTCTGCGCTGAAAGGTCGAGGACTGCTGAGTTCCATTTGACTCGCTCTGTCAGTTTTGAAAGATAGAAGAGACCCTCATCGCTTCCCTGAGTAAGCGCTTCAATATGCGGCCGTGTTGATGACCATCGATAGCATTCCAACATCGCTCGCTATGAGATGTCCATCTTCATCGATCCAAAATCAGCTATATGGAATTGGTTACAGATCGGTGTCCTTGACTCTTTCCCGCATCCCGTAGCAAAGTATAGCAAAATCGGAGCATGTTCTGATGCGTACAGTTTGTCGCACGCATGGACCGCCGAGCTTTCTCTGAGCATTCGTTCGCCAGTCTAGCTTTACCAGAAGACTATACGTAAACTGTTTCTAGTTGCTCCGTTTTCGTGAACCATCGTTGTCATTAGGTACACTCGATAGTGTAACAATGCCAAAGCTTTCCAGCATTGGCTCAACTCGATGCGTAATTGAGTCTTTCTCCTACAACTGATAACGTTGACCACACCACACTCCGACATCTCACATCTCTAGCAAACACAATAGCGCCAAGAAAAGTCACCTATGTTGTCCTCAAGTAATATCACTTACCTCGCTCACGAATGTCGACCACACTCAACATCTCCCAACTTTTCTATACTTGCCCATAGACTGTAACACAATCAACCCATCTGTAACGGAGAGGTTCAAGAGTGGCCAATATTCTCCAGTCCGCTAACACAAAAAGACCCTTACTATTATCCTAGGCAGCCAAAATGTCTCAAACAGTTGATTCAACGATCGTCACTGACGCAGAGAAGCGACCATCAAGCGCACAACCAGTACTACTTGGACCACATCACTTTCGCCTCCTGGACAAAGAGTGGCACGACTGTGCGGTATGCGGTGACCGTCTCACCTTCGATGCCGTACAAATGAAATGTTGCTACACACTCTTGCATCGTGAGTGCGTACAAAAACATCTATTCAAGACATATTCCAGCACCGAGCAAGGCGCAGCATCGAAGTACCGCTGCATCTGGTGTCGAAGCCGACAGAAGATACAAAACTGGATTTGCTCCATTATCTCATGGGCAGCGTGCTAAGTTAGGATCAAGAGCTGAGAGAAAACTTACCTTGGGTGCTGGCAGATGTGGCAATGTTGCCAAAAGACGAAGGAAGGAAGCTGCTTTTCGAGATGGCAGCAACAGTTGCGTTTGCAGAAGAAGAGGAGTCGCAAGCGACCGAGCGGCTGTGTCGCAGTCACGCTTACCAACTCTGTGTGGATAGGAAGGATTTTCAGCCGCTTTTGCATGTTATGCGTGGAGGAAAGGTGGCGTTGAAGGCGTTTTTCGCGTGGGTAACGACAAAGAGAATCGAGGACTACAAAGTCGGCGACGATATATATGCGCTGGGGAATCGCTGGACCTCGCACGATGAAACATTTGAGCCCGGTATTCCAGCTCGAATGAGATCAATTGAGGAGGAAGATATTGTAAAGGAAGTGCGACAGGATCATGATGAGCAGGTCAAGAATGATGGAGCTGATCGAGAGCTGGTAGTGATGCAAACGGGAGACAGCTCAGACTCGGGAAGAGCACATGTCGGGATAAGGACTCGACGATCGCAGTCCTGGTCAGACTTTTGCAAGGAGACGGGGGCAATATTAGCAGAGATGATTGCTGTAAATGGGAACTAGGAAGTATTGAGCGAGACGTCGTATTGGGGGTGGCATGATTGAGTTTGTAGCCAGCGTCTGAATCGTGTAAATGCTTGTGTCAACCTTCACTCTTAATATTTGATCCGTGCAAATTCCAGTTCCCGCACAGAGCAGGTGTGGCGAGATTGCGCACGGGACTAGCCGACAACCAATCTTGGAAGGCCTGCGACAAGTGCGGGGAAGCTTTGGAGTTGTCCGGGGTAGTCCTCGAGCCTCTCACATGCTCCGCAGGTTCTCATGCACCCTTGACTGGCTGCCAATGTTGCGTTTCAAATGGGCTTTGCACCATGGCGCCTGCCCGTTGTGCACAAGTCCCAGGTACGACCTTTTACCCTGCTGTGCCTCTCTCCAGTTCTCCGGATCGTGGCTTCCGCCCTGTACTTAAACCTCGGAGCACACTTGGGTTTGTTGTCTTCTTCTTTACAACAACAACCAACGTGAATTAGCGACTGAAATCCAGTGCTGCGCTTTAGCAGGTCTGTACTCCTTACGGTGAACTATCTTCGTTCTGACCAGTGTCTGCAGGTTCTTGTTGCTTGTGAAGCCGACTTACGACTGCAACCACACTCCTGAAAGCCTGCATATCCTCCTGCCTCGAACCTCAATCGCAAGCCACCGACAGGTCCTATACACCAACATCATGCAAGCAAGATACGTCATCGCAGGTGTAGGCGTAGTTGGTGCAGGTGCCATCGTCCTCACCGCTCTCGGTAATCAGTCCTCAGACCGCCAATACAAAAAGACCCTGGCATATATGCACGATGGTCGGGACAAGATCGCTAAGAAGATGACTGAAGCGGAAGCTGCTGTCAGTGGTGCAGTCACAGGCAAGAAATGAGCGACGTCCAGCAAGAGTAATTGTTGTTGCATTTTAGCTAGCTAGATTGTTTGAGGAGGAATACCCAGGATTGAATCCTTGATCTCAAGACCACGAGAGGCGAGGGGCGAGACCAAACAGCGAGATACTAGCTATGTGGCTAGGTCACCAAAAACGAAACGATTATGACCAACTCGCAATCATTTCTTCTGTTTTCCCAGAGACTGTGTTCTGCAAGTTGAGACTTCTAAATTTGGCTAACATGACTACCATTTAGATCTTGATACTAATCGCTGATCTATGCAATCCCACTGCAACCACAGTCAGTGCACCGGCATAAATCAGGAGGACACCCATAGCACCAGCAGCGCTCATGTTCAAAGTATCGACAGTCAGATTGACCAGACCCGTGCCCAAATTCGCTACCAAGAAGATCGCCAGCCCGTTCTTGTTATATGCCTGCATGACTGGAGAAGCAACATGTTCCGCTTTGACTATCTCCGAACTGCTACCACTCTCGCTGGCCGTTGAATGGTTCAAAAAGACAAACTTTGGGCCTAGCGCCTCGATGAAAGCAAACAATGCCAGCTGGCCGTTATTGAATGCAGCAATCCAGAGCACGTATGGCAGATTCGCCAGACGTCTCGAAACTGTCAAGTTGACAGCATACACACTCGCAGACAGCATGTACAGACCAACAAATACTATACTTCGCAACACTAGTTCGGGTAGAATGACTTTGTTTCTTTCCAACAATACTGCGCTCGCTTCTGCTTCAGCTGATGAAAAGGCTTTCCGTGCTTTGCTTGGTTGGGCTTGCTTGATCTGGTTAGGTGGTGGTCGAAATTGACAGACAAGAATGCCTGTGCTTCTGCCGCAGAGGAAGACGGCTAAATAGCCGAAGAAGGAAAAAATACCTTCTCGATTCTTGGTGAGGAGGTCTGAGTCTGGTGTACGAGGAGCAATGAGAATGAAGGACAACAGTCTGGTGTTGTTGAGAAGTATTTCGTATGCTAACGAGATTGAAAGTGCCACTAAGTCGTAGCGAACAGACCTGCGCGAAGGATTTGATGTGGCAGTGGTTGAGCTTCGGAACAATGCAAGGCTGTTGTCCACCGTTTCAACACACGGCGGCAACAGTGCAAGCGTGAAGAAGAAGTTCCAGTGCACACCATACTCGGAAACATGTTCTGCATAATCGAGGTTCTTGACCGATATCAGACGCACGACTCCTAGGACGAGAAGTGGTACAGAGTGACGAAGCGCCTTGATCATCCGAGTGACAAGATTAGCCCGTCTCCACGATCCTTGCTGTTGATCTCGAACAACTGTTCGAGCACTGACAAGTCCAGCACTGAAGACGAAGCTTCCCACGCCTAAATCCATCAACGACGTTCCCCATGTCTCCACTTTAGCAAAGCGTCGTGGGAAGATGTGGAAATCGACAGCTAGTATAGCGATCGAAGTAGCTATCAGCATAGCACCACGATAGTTAGTCAGAAAAGGGCGAACTATCAACGTGCCAGGCTTAAGCTGTTTCTCCTGTTCCTTCGTGGAAGTCCAATCTTGTTCTCGCTTCTGGGCGTTGACCTTAGCGTTCGGGGACTGCTGCAACGGAAGCAGGAGGAGCGCGGCTGGCACGGTCAATGCCAAGTTCAGAAAGACTGGCACCGATGAATACATGGTGAAGGCGAAGAGTATCGCGGATACGTTCAGCAAGAAATCTATCATATAGATCACCGGCATATCACTTCCTCTGAACGAGCCACGTTTGGAAAGAGCTGTCCAAAGGAGTATAGCTGACTAAGCGTTCGTTAGTCGCTGTTGAGGACAATTTGGTAAAATTGCGACTGACCGCTGCTACCAGCGTCACTAGATTGATGTCTACGAGTGAGCTTCCAGAAAGGTTGGACACAAAAGCTTCCTTGCGCAGTTTGTATCTCATTGCTGCCTCATAAGCCGCAGCGTCTTTGTGCATTTCGACGGCCGGGTCAATCATTGATCACTGTGTGTTTGATCTTTTCGTCCGCAATATATGCGCTGCAAGTCTTAAGTTTGAGCGAAATTGAACAGCATGATTAGGCGTGTTCGCAAACAGGGGGCACTAGTAATCTTCTGATAAGACGAAAGTATCACAACTGCAGGTTAGAAAGGCAGGTCGGTTGCTGGTCAAGTGTGAACGTCGTTATACCTTCCAATCTGAGCTACAGACCTTTCACACCCTTATGGTGATGGAGTTATGGGCCTGGAATGACAACTATCGTCAAACAGAGAAGGTAGAACGAGGTTCTCACTTGACCGACAACAGCCCTGGAGGGTTTGACCAAGGCGATTCATTTTCTAGAGAAAGTGGCCGTGGGCCATCGACTTTTCAGCCTCCGGCTCAGCAGAGAGTCATCATGGTGGAGTACGGCCAGGCATGCATTGTCCCGACGACCGAGATGTGGAAGGAAATTAGAGCAGAAAAGCAAAGCAGGCTGAGATTCCACTGTACAAGGCTCGGCAAGGATTCTGAACACTACTCCTATAGGGACGTCTCTTTGAACTCTAGCGCAAAGTCTCTGTCAATTTGAGTTCATACACCACTAGCTGTTCGTTGGTACAAGTCTCCAGATGGCAAATATCCACAAAAAGCATGCCCGAATTTACTTCCTTTTACTGTGTGTACTTGGTGTCCTCCTCCTACTTAGCTATACCAAGCTATCCACTCGTCCACAATATTTGCCGCCACTACCAGGAACTTATCAATATTTCAGAGAGACGGATTTTCACAGCAAGTCTCACAGACTAGGTGCTGTTAGTCACTGTGACACTCGATTTGGCCTCGATCGTGCTTTGGACGAAGACGAAGTCAGGGAAACACTCAAAGCACTTCTCGGTAGCTATGCCGCTACCATGCGACAACTTGGCGTGGAAACTTGGATCGCACATGGCACACTTCTTGGTTGGTACTGGAATCAAAAGCTATTACCCTGGGACACCGATATAGATGCTCAAATACCATACCAAGATCTCGTCCGATTAGCAACGAATTACAATATGACTGTCTTTCGTCATCATTCCCTAGACACAGATTCTGTTCGATCCTTTCTGCTGGATGTTAATCCACATCACTCAATTGTGTCGCCCGAAGACGTTGCGAACAAGATCGATGGCCGCTGGATTGATCGAACAAACGGTAAGTTCATCGATATAACTGCACTGCACCAAGACGAGAGAGTTACCGTCAAAAAGGATGTGACTTCACTTTTCTGCAAAGACGGTCATCGGTACAATGTGAGTGGACTCTTGTCCTGTGGTGGTGACAAAGTAATGGCTGACCAACTCACTAGAACCAAGACATTTATCCTCTCACGCTGTCGCAGATCGAGGGAATTGAGGTTAAAGTCCCCGCGAGGAGTAACAGAATCCTGCTCGAAGAGTACGGTCCCGAAGCACTCACTAACACCCGATTTCACTGGTACGAATTGGCTGGATTCATCTATGGCGTCGTGAGCATTGACAGTGAGCAGGTATGAATACAACCACGCATCCCAGCTTTGGGAGTTCGAGTAAGCAATGTGAACGAGTTGATGATCAAACGACTAAACGCGATCTGCACATCGTTGAAGCACTAAAACACGGCTTAGCGGTGAATTGGTCGATTGACTAGCGCAAGCCATCAACAGCCAGATTGTCTCACAAATGCGGGAATGAAGACTTAGCCAGCCCAGGTTTAAAGCTGATCAACTAGCTGGTCTTTGATTCAGTATCGCTCCTTGTTCCATGCCATATGAGCTGTGTTTCCCAGTTCGCTTTGGAGCAGGCCTGCAATGGGCTTGATCGGCAATCAGTTCGTCGAGCTTGTAACCCTCACGGCACCTGTCAAAGACATAAGACAGGAGGTGACCGCCTTCATCTCTATTTTGATGACTTCGACGTCCGTGCACGAAACACCAGGCTTGGCTATGTTTCCAACCACGTCGCGAAACGATGGTGGCTGCTGCTGGCGTAGACGCGACACGCTCGTGCCGTCACTACTCTCAATATCTGTCAGCTCGCATTGCTAACGTAGTAAATAGTATGCTAGACCATACCGCCACAGCACAGACACATACAGCAACGAGGACCGTTCACCGACCAGGACCACTCCTGTCCACCTTCTTGAAGAACATAAAAGACCAGCATGTGCGCTGCATCCCTTGTACGCCTCTCTGATGGTCTCACGACGCACTTTCTAGATCGCAGAAAGCAATTTAGCTTCATCACTGAGCTGTCTTGCTCAAAATCATGAGATGGTATGAGTGCAGCGGTGCACACCACTTGGAGCGCGAATTTTTCTACATAGTGAGCAGCAAAATTGTTATGACGACTATTTCTGAACGAATGTGTCGACATGTCTCCCGACGGGATGCGCGCCAACAATCGCAAACACGTCGAAGCGAAGAAAGTTCCAGTTTCTGGATCCAAAATATTGTTGCTTTGGCAATGTCTTGTACATCTACTGCCAATATCGGTAACTGTTGCTATCCTCTTTATCAATCTCCGTGGTGTCTATGTCGGTGTGGATTTTCCAGGTTTAATCAAATCCGATACCATTGCCCATATGCTGCTTCAAATATCTGCCAAAGTACACGAGATTGTGATTGTGGCCAGTTTGAGTCAAATCATCTTACATGTAGTAAGATATGAGCTGCTACATAGAGATGGCTTGCCGTTAGGCTTGATTGGCTCGTACTTCTTACTTGCCAACAAATGCATTTTCGACAAAAACCTTCCCTCATTATACCTGCCACACAATTACGCTTGCCCAATCTAGTAAAGAGACATCCGTAAGAGGTGTATGGCAAGCTGTTGAGGAATGAGAACTGCTTCAGCAGGCCTTTACCCTGGTATACTGTAATTGATAATGAACAAGAAGAAGCAGCAACACTCAACAAATCTCAATACGAAGAGCTATTCACGCTACCGGACGGATAAGGTATCGTCCATCGCTAATTTGGCAAATTATTCGCGGAGCTATACTTCAAGGTTCAACATATATTTCAACCTGATAGGAAAGAAGACAAAGTGATCATCAGGACTCCAGATATCCGATCTTGTCGACTGCTTGGTTGACTATCCTCGGTGTCTATTTCGTGTCTCAAAACAGCTCCAGTGTGTCCTCTGTTCCTGAAAATACGAAGGCCTGAAACATTGCCATGGTTGGCAGATGAATGCAGCCAGCTTATCGCTAGGCGGACGAGGTGAAATGAACGGTTCAGACCAACTTTATCGAGCTGCCTAGATGTAATGCTGGGGTCATGCTGGAATAGTCTAGCCAGTGTTACTAAATTAGACAACGGTTATTCCTCTAAGCGTTGTGCCATCCTCCATGCATAGTCATTCTGTTTCCGTCCTCGTGTACCTATCCTTCTCTCTAGTTGATAGCTCCATCATCTGTCGACCTGCTTCATCTGTCATGTTTGCCAAAGTTTCAAACATCTTATGACCATGAGTGGTGTGTGGTCGTGGCAATTTCCTTGATTGCCAGGCCATTCTCGCAGCTCAAGGGAAGTTTCAGCCTCACAGATGTCGCACAACGCACAAGTGTGTTCCTCCTGCGCGGAACGCGACCTGGATGTTCAAGAGTTCAAACAGCTTTTGGAGCATTTGGTTCTGTACATCGGAAACTCATGTCCAGCCGTCGAGTATACGCTTTCGCAAGCGATAGATGCTCCAACCGGTAAGGCTATCTCTGCTGATACCTGTAGGATTTTCGAAACTGCCGATCACGAGATCGGTATCTTGTTGAGTCAGAGTATAGAATTATTCACAAGCGCGATTCGACTTGTTGCGTAGGGAAGAGTTCGTACCTGCCTCGAGCAGTATTCCGATACTTCAATCTGACCATACATCATTGCGTACGTACTTGAGGGGAGTCGTACCTTTGTTGTCCACGACGTCGACAAGGTCGTCTGGCAGTGCTGCTAGCAGAGATCTTGACATTTAAGATCTAGCCTAGGAAGAGAGACAGAGGATGCAGCGCGAGTCGCACGGGTTGTGAGAACATCAGGTGCAACTGGCAGGAAGTTGTTGTCGTGCAATTGATATGAGTAGCGTCGATGAACAATGATAATACCTCGGCGAAATGTTTCGCCGAATGACATCCGACAGGTCTGTGGCTGACGCATCTGCTTGATACGTGGTTAGCCCATGACTCTTGTCTTCATCTCAGGAAGATTGAAGCCAACCATGCCTTTGCTTTGTATTCTCCAAGCAACAGAGATTTAGTACGGTCTTCAAGGTCTGATAATAAGAAGCGAAATTGCAACATGCAGAACCTAAGCATTGGTGTCCACCTGGCATCTAATGCTTGTCAATCGTGCAAGAAACAAAAGCGACGATGCACAAAGCAACTGCCGAAATGCTCACTATGCGCACGCCTGTCCAGAGACTGCAAATATGATGAAACTCCGCTCATTCATTCTTCAGAAGACTTGCAAGCTCGGATCACCCAACTGGAAGTATCATTGATGCAGAAACAGCAGCAGCTCGATCAACTCCTGCAGCAGGTGAACAGCGTGAGCGACGCGACAGCCCGCCAACTATGCGTCAATCCGTTTGAGAAGTTTCCAGTGTTGTTCTTTCTTGACTATGATATGTTTAGCCAGGCTAAGCTAACCATACCTCGACCGATAATTCCAGTACCCGAGACTATTTATGGCATACTGGGCAATATTGGCAAACTGCGAAGCATTGCACAAATTTATTTCTCCAACATTCACTCTTGGTTTCCAGTACTCAGTCGGCGACGGTATGAAATCATGCTTGGTGACGATAAGTTTGTGCCTACACCAGATGTAGCCTTGGTTTTGGCGGCTATGCACTTACTAGCTGACATGAAGTCAATTTGCCAAGCGATTGTGAAGACTGATGTTTACTGGCATATCAAGAACTATGCCAATGCTTTAGAGACAAACGGATATATGACATGTAGACTCTTGCAAGCAAACATACTACTAACTCTATACGAACTGGGCCATGCCATATACCCCGCCGCATATCTTTCTATGGGTAAATGCTCAAACATGGGCAAGTCCTTTGGGCTCGACAGTCGCAAGCATGCGCCTCAAATGCTCCTAGTCCCAGGTTCCTGGGCAGAGCAGGAGGAGAACCGCCGTTCATGGTGGGCTGTTCTGCTGCTCGACAGGTGAATTGTGCAACAGAGCCGTCACCACTGTCGACTAACTTCTACAGATATATGCATCTCACCTTTCCTGGTCATGCTCTGAATACCGAGGATCCACATCAAGACGAGGTTCTACCTGCCGAAGATACACTGTTCGATCAAGCAGAAATGTGTGGCAACGAGCCGCTACACGTCGCAAGTCCAACCTCTCTCAAGGCAGGACCATTTGCACGCTCCTGTCAAGCAGTATACTTAATGGGAAAAGTAGTCAATGTGCTGAATGAGTTCGCGCAAGAATCTGGAACACGTTTTACTTTGGCAATTCAAGTCTATCATACTGTGACCGCTTTCTCCAAGGTCGTTCAGGCTGAATTTGATGCCTGTCCCGAAAGTTTCGCAACACCCATGGCCTTAACCTACAGTGCACTCATCGCACTCTGTGATCCATTCTGTTGTACAATCACAAATCGTGGTGCTCACACGGTAGAGGAGACCGAGTTACAGATATTGTGTATCAGGGGCCTGAAGACCACGTCTGATGATGCTGCACGTCTCGCGCTTCAGCTACGATCGAGCATGACCACCAGGCACAGTGCTATCTCGCCGTTGATCGGTCACTGTCTATACATGGCCACGGTGACCTTCGCTTGGAGAGTCTACGAGGGCGAAAAGTCAAGTTCTCAAGCCCATGATGTGCTAAGAGAGGCATTGAGTAGCTTCAATGGTCGGTGGGCTGTAGGCATGGAGTATCTGAATGCTCTCGACAGGGCAAAAGATCTATTGTATCCTAGTCCAGCTCACCAACTTATCGGAGGCCCACCAGGTCTGAGCTCATAGAGGCTGCTCCCCAAGTGGCAATCTGAAAAAGATGTGCATACTGTTCTTATGCAGATGACTCAAGGAATCAATACGTACGACAAATCAAACAACAGTGATATTCTTGGATATCGAATTTCAGATGGCGTCTATCGATCAGTCACTACTACTCACACGAATTTACATTAGTCGAGGGCAAATATGTGTTTGAGGGAATCGAGCCAGCACTCTGCGCATTCATGTTGAACTATGTTAATCAGAAAACGTCCTCAGGGTCTATCCACCCTGCAACATCACACGACCATCCCATCTGACATGCTTTTCCAGAAAAGAATTCTCACAACCTGTCAACCTCGAAGGGACCGCGTCTAGACTGGAAGTTGAGCATGGTTTTCTCAGTCATCGGCTCTCCAATTTTCTCAAGGGTTGATAAATTGTGGCAACGACTCCTCGGCATTCTCCCTGCCTTTGCCTTTGACAATTGATGCCACCTCGAAAATCTCGCCCTCCTTTAGCTCATCCAAGTCGTCTTCGTTGAGGGTGGCCCTAGCTCCGGATCCAGGACTTCCACCTTGCAACCTGTCTCTGAAATGCATGACACCACTCACAGATTTTGCCCTCGTCATATCGTTGCTGCCCGTCAAACGCATCTCACCACAACATCAACATGCATGTATCCACTGCAAACCCGTCGAATAAGATAGTTATAGGCGGTTAGACGATACTCTCGAACTTTGAGACCTAGTCTTTACTCACAATTGTCCAAAATGATTCTTGCTAAAGGCGTGTTCAGACACTCGATGGACGGATAGAGACCTTCCTCAAGTACTGGCGTGGCGGCGTTCGAGACTTTTACCACCAGAACGATCAAAATGAGCAAGGTGGGAAGGCTGACAGCCACTCTATCGGTGTCGAGATAAGTGAGGACGAGAGGGGACCAGAGGAAGTTGAGAAGAGCGCTGGCGTTGAGAAGAGTGGCGTTGTGGCGCATCGCTCCCCAGATGGGAGGTCATTCTTGAATGAAGGGTTTCGTGTAAATCTGTTGAGCAATTTCGGCGGGTTTCTGGTTAGGGTTTTCAAGGTAGACGTGGGCAAAGTTGTGAAGTAGTCTGAAAGTCGACTTGAAATCGATGAAAGTGGTACAGAAGATGTAGACCAACAACAAGTGACGAGCTACTCTGGTAAATAAGCATTATCTGCAGAAGTGACAAGGCGAGTCAGTGCTTAATGGAAGTGTTCACATAGTGCAAGGGAATGTGGTTCTTGACATACTCATAGTGATATTTCTTTCTTATTCTAGATAGATGTGTGTAGCTCTGCGACCCCATGCTCACGTAGAAACCCCTCTTCTCTTTCTTTTTGGTACAGAGCCATACGACATGGCTTGCCGTCGAGGCGATTTTATAAACCTTCTAACCTCTTTCTCTCCAAGTTCTTGATGATAGTCCTTTTCCCATCGTCAGACAGTTTCGACAGTGCCAGCCCCTCCAAATTAAGACAGTACTGGCAAGGAAGCCATACCAACATTATTCGAGAGTATAGTGACATTGGTTCTTTACACAAAGCGTAGGACTAGTAGTTTATCCGTGCCTTTTTTCCCCCCTACCTCTCACCTCTATATACACACACCACAACGTAGACGCCACACCTGTATTTTGGCAACAGGCGACCTTCTTTCCCCGAGGGTATTTTAGTTCCAGAGATCCGATCTACCTCAAGCACGACCAACATCAAATTTCCCTCTTTCACACAACTTGGGACGTTGGACTTGGCTTGTGCCGCGTAGCCACTTGAAGGATTAGGTGTACGAGACTGTGGTTCACTGAGCGAACCGCTTCCTTGAACTGTGGCAATCGGAAGTGCTATTGAGGTAGAATCATACAAGACAGTCATGCTGTTCGAGTCATTCCTGCGTTCCTTATTCACGTTGTTGAGTTTCTTTCTCGCGTTGCCTTGAACCTGAATGTAGCGGTTGCAAACGAGCCACTCAGTCGACTTATTGGTCTCTGCTCTGAAGAGCTCTCAGTCTGTTGAAGAAAAGTATGGTACTTGCACGTCAGAGAAAATTCAAAATCACACGACAATCCATCCTGCCATAGCTGAACTTTCGTTTTGCATATTTTCGTAGTGGAAGCACTAGCAAAGCTTGGGGAAATACCTACTATGCTCAGCAACATACAAAATCGCATTTTGTTTCTTCCAATCGTACAATCGCAATCATGATAAGAGTGGGTATCTTCCTAAGATTATAATTTGTCCGTCGACCACGAAATACATCGAAGTGCCATCCGTAAAACGCCATCGCTATGCTTTTCGATCTTATTTCGATCTGAAAAATTTGTATGCAGATAGTGCCTCCTACAGGTTAATTGAGGATGATTGACTCGTGCTCCATCGAGACAAGCCCCATTTTCCTTTGGAGACCTTTTCGTCACCTGTTTGGTTGAGTCTTCCTCCCAGTTTGGACTAGTGGCCAAGCAGCGCCAGCCTCATGGTCAGCTCGTTCCATTTTCTCCTCCCACTCGGGCAGGTAGATGCAGGTCTTAGTGTTTACAGGCCCACCATCACCACAGATGTCAAAGATGGGGCAATCGAGACAAGGCACCTCACTAAAACCACCTCTTCCGATGTCCTCAATTTCCTGAGCTCTACGAGCCGAGTAGCTATGACTTGCTATTTTGTTGTGACGGTTGCGCTGTTGGCCAAGAATCGCTGGATTTGTGAAGCAGCGGTACATGAAGATTTGATTGTGATCGGGATCATCTGGAGTTTCATCGGCACGAGCGTCGCGATTGACCTTGTGCAAGCGGTTGTCGTAAATCATTACATCGAGAACTTGTTGGAGGGCATTATTGGGTATGGCGAGCTGCGTAATTTTCTTGTTCATCAGTTCTTGGCTAATGTGTGCCAGCGTCGGGTAACCTTGATATCGAGGCTGAATAGGTACGTATTGTGGAGGAGTCTTAGGTTTCGGCATGTCAATCTTGCCATTCTCTAGCTTTTGCTGCTTACCCTTGCCTTCTTCGTCAAAGCCGTCGTCCGGTCGCTTGCGCTTAAGATTGAGGTAGTCGTCTTCAGGATCGTCTTCGGCGATTTTCCAGCTTGCGATAGAGCAATAGGCTTCGATGGCCGAGGTAACAGCTTCGATCATGCCGATATCGAGACGACCATCGTTGAACCACGTTCCACCCGTAGCTTCTTCACTAGGAGTCAAGCCAGATCGAATGTACATTTTGCGCTGTGGATGTTTGACGCTCTTCATGGTCTTGATCAGACCTTTTGTCTCCAAGCTCTTGTAGACACGATCCAGCACTTTGGCATGGACGCCGCTTTTCGCTTTGATCGTCTTGGTCCATATTCCGGCGGTACCTGAGCTGTCAATAGCAGCGTAGACCATCTGTTCATCGGAGCTGAGGCCTCCATAGCTGTGAAAACAAGCGTTAGATCTGTTGCGTTGAAAGAGACGAAAAGATTACTTTGCTGCAGCTGCCTCCTCCACCAACTCATAACCTATACCGGCTTGACCTTTGATGTCATGTGCTTTGAAGAGGCGACGGCTGACCAGATACCTGGTGGCCTCAAGAAGGATGATCAGGTCATTCTTGGGAACGAGGCCTGAGTCGAGTAATTCGTGCTGAGTAAAGACATAGCCTGGCTCTTCGGTACCACGAGCCCATTCGTAGAGAGCATCGCCAACGGGGCTCTTGGTAGGTGCTGTCGAGGGACCGGGAGTAGCGCTGGGACGTGCTGGAGGCATATTTGGGGAGCAGTAATCGACCAGTCTCACTCTGGTCGAAAGTTAATGCTACCGATGTGGATAGGTGTAGATTTTCATGGTGGTCGAGAAGGTACCCGACCGGAAAGATATTGAAGATCAAACAAAGAGTGCTATAACACCATTGTGAGATTGTTAGTTGTGGTAGGAAATAGTGTGCGATCAAAGATTCGTGCCTCAAGATTTTGTGAAAGAGCGGAGTTTCCTGGTGGGGACGCCAGAGTTCAAAAAGTGACTCGCAGGCGTGCATTTGCGGAAATGGTTTCAGGCCTGAGGCCACAATATTTGCGGCCTGGAAACCTTTGAGCCTGAGGTATCAATTCTCGCGGTGTGAAATGGGTCGCAACTGCCATATTGCGTGAATGCTGGTACTTCCAGACGCAGCTCAAGTACGTTCTGGCGCGATTCTACCTATGAGACCTGTATTGATACGTATCACAAACACGACCCATAAATGGACTAAATCTTTGTACTTTTACCAGCCTGAAGCAGAAAGTGGAGACTTACGTATGCTGCGGGCACGTTTGTGGAATATTCGAGAGTGCAGATCGCTGGTCTTCTTGAGGTCGTCGCCTGGCACAGCAGCTGCTTTCTGCCACACAAGAATCATTGAATTGTACCACCATTATATCGCGAAATTCGCGTTGTTGTTTCTTTCGCTCAAATTTGGCCACTTTTCTTAGCAGTCTACCATATTCTTTACCATGGCTGATGCTCTAAAAGCTGAGGGCAACAAGGCCTTTGCGGCCAAAGACTTTACTACAGCTGTTGACAAATTCACACAAGCCATAGAGCTCGATCCATCGAATCACGTCCTATACTCGAATCGATCAGGATCCTATGCGTCACTTAAGCAGTACGAAAAAGCTCTCGAGGATGCAGATAAGTGCACAGAACTCAAGCCAGACTGGGCCAAAGGCTGGACTAGAAAAGGCGCAGCTGAGCATGGAGTTGGGAATCTGCTGGAAGCAAACGATGCATTTGAAGAGGCTTTGAAGCTGGATTCGACCAACGCTCAGGCCAAATCTGGTCTCGAATCTGTGAAGAGAGCCATTGAGGCAGAAGCCAGAGCCGATGGTGTTACTGGTGATCCTACCGGCGGCATGGGAGGCATGTTCAGCGATCCGCAGATGCTGCAGAAGCTGGCCGCCAACCCAAAAACCTCGAAATATCTGGCAGACCCAGGCTTTATGCAGAAGCTGCAAAACCTGCAAAAGAATCCCAACGACATGAGTGCCATGATGAGTGATCCACGATTGCTAGAAGTTATGGGTGTCATGCTTGGAATAGACTTGTCTGCCATGGGAGGTGCTGGCGCTGGAGCTGACGGAGCTGGTTCAGCCGCCCGAGAGACAGAAGAGGATGTTCCCATGACCGATGCACGACCTACCTCTCGACCTCCTCCGCCTCAGTCGAAGAAGGCGCCTGAACCTGAACCCGAGCCAGAACCGGAGGACGAGGAAGCTGTTGCGAAGAAGAAGGCCAAGGAGGAAGCAGAAGCAGAAAAGAAGGCGGGAACAGAAAACTATAAAAAGCGCCAATTCGACGAGGCCATCGAACATTACACAAAAGCTTGGGATTTACACAAGGACATTACCTACCTCACTAACCGATCCGCTGCCAAATTCGAAAAGGGCGACTACGATGGTTGCATCGAGGACTGTAAGACTGCAATTGCCGAAGGTCGTGAAATACTAGCGGACTTCAAATTGATTGCCAAGGCTTATGGCAGAATTGGTTCAGCGTACGAGAAGAAGGGTGACCTTGCCAATGCGATTGATAACTACCAGAGATCCCTCACCGAGCATAGAACACCAGATACCCTCACGAAGCTGAAAGCGGCCGAGAAAGCCAAGATCAAGTACGAGCGGGAGTCCTACATGAGTCCCGAAAAGGCTGAAGAAGCACGAGCGCTAGGCGCTGAGAAGTGGAAGGCAGCAGATTGGCCAGGCGCAGTCGCTGCTTATGAAGAGATGATCAAGCGTGCTCCCGACGATCCAAGAGGCTACAGCAATCGAGCAGCTGCACTAATCAAACTTCTGTCTTTCCCTTCTGCTATTGAAGACTGCGACAAGGCCATAGCTCTGGATCCCACCATGGTCAAGCCCTATCTGCGCAAAGCTCAGTGTCTGATGGGCATGAAAGAGTACAATCGTTGCTTGGATGTGCTCGACGAGGCAAGGAAGAAGGATACCGACGGTAAGAGTGCGAGGGAAATCGATGAGGCGGAGCGTAAAGCGATGGAGGCACAGTATGAGTCGAGGTCTGGAGAGACCGAAGAGGAGACTGTAAGTCTTGCCGAAACCAACGGAATGACCAGAGCTAATATTGTTACAGAGTGCCAGAATCCAGAGAGATCCGGAGATCATGAGCATACTCAGCGATCCAGTCATGCAATCAATTCTACAGCAAGCCAAGGGCGATCCAGCCGCATTACAAGAACATATGAAGAACCGTAAGTTCGAGCTCTATCTTCGCCGTGATACTGTGCTAATCCCGAAATAGCTGGCGTCGCAAGCAAGATCAGAAAACTCATTGCTGCTGGAGTCATTCGACTTGGCAGGTAGATGCGAGATAGTATTTTCCGGAGGAAATCGATTTAAATCACTTAAAAAAGAATAATGCAAAGGTCATATACCGCCATTGAAGGGTAGCATAGCGAGAGAGGCTGAGGAGCAATTGCAGTCTCGGGTCTAGGGCAATCCAGACAATTTAATTACCAACGCATTTCCCCAGCGGCATTTCCGATATCTGTGTCTTTCTCGTGTGTCGGATACATCGCATACTCCGCTCAACGAACGCCTGGTGAAAAGTATCGACAACGATAAGACACCCGTGCATAAATTGGCTTACTGAATCACTATACCCAGATCACCACACCAATTTCTAGACTCTCGGCAGAGTTGAAAGCACATACAAGACACGTACTATTCTCCCGCACAATGATCGCATGTTTCCCTCTTTCACAGCACCACGCTCTCGCCAGAATCTCAGCCCCTCTGCCTGTAGCATTGATCAGCATGCAAGCCTCTTGGTCTTCTTCATCATCCGGTATACGGTCCTCCAACATCTCTACATCGAACTGAATGGGCTGGTATCTCTTGATTGCCCGTCGGTGCACTCTGTGAGGGCCACCGTAGCAGACTGGTAGAGTCACGAAGATAGGGTTAGTATATAAAGAGTATGTGACTTCGTTGGCGCCGTTATCGATCGAGAAAGATAGGCTGGCTCGGTATTCAAGGTTCTGGTAAGCGCCTGAAATAGCGGGCATCTCGTTGAGTACATCTGACGGCACTTTCTTCAGCTTGATTGATTTAAGCGTGACTGTAGTCATTGACTCTACTGGAGGCTGTGGGGCGATGTAGGCATCTTCAGTCGTCATGTCGGCGATGTATGCTGTGAGGTCTTCATGGTGAGCTGGTGCCGTATATTGATAGCTGTTGGACCGTCTCCGAATTACAATTTCATTGCGGCCATTATCGACGACTGGCTTAATTGGTGGCAAGGCTCTGGCTTTGAGACGTGCTGCCAGGGGCATCTTATCTGGCGGATCGAGCTCGACAGAAGGGCATGGACCTAGCCATCCACAGAGACTCTTTACATTTGGCAGAGCTCCGAGGACACGACCGAGAACACTCGTTGACCGCCAATATGTCTGCTTTGATAGGATGATGTTGCTTTGGTAGCAGTACGTTATCTCCTTTAGTAGTGAGGGAGAACAGTGAATCAAGGCCCCCATGACCTTAGCTGCGAATTGTGAGCCTGGTAACGATAAGCCATAGAACCAATCCGCCACATGATAGTTGATAGGTGTTCCGTTGTGTATCGATGCATAAACTTCTTCGGCGATGTCACGCACTTCGTTCAAGTATGGCCATCTCATTTTCTCGGCGAAAAACCGTAGACCATCGACTTGTCGCTCATGAACAAGTGAATGGAACTTGATATCAGCCGTGAGTATACTCCACTTCTTGTCCATCTGGTCAACGACCATCTTGTGCCTCTTCTTACTGTCCTTCTCCGCATCGACGTCTTTGTTGAATGTTCGAACTTTAGCTCTTGCTTCTTCTAGACTGGAAGTTATAGCCGGGGTCACGCTAAGGCCCGCGAGCTGGACGGCAGTATTGTATGCCTCAACTGTCTGATTGAGATTATTGAGTTTACCTTGCGCAGCACCAAGTCGTACCCAACCCTCGACCAATTTGGGATCGAACTGTGTCGCGATCGATGCATCATAGACAGCTTCTGCATACTTGCTCAGGGAGAATGAAGCGTCCGATCGTTTGCAGAGGTATACGGCATTGGTGCCACCAATCTCAAAAGCTTTAGTGTATAAATCTTCCGCTTCCTGATACTTATGGTTCTCCAAGGCAACATCACCTCGTTTTTGGAAATCCGCAGCCTCCGCCGCTTCTTCTGCAGTGTTTGGTTTCTTCTTGAGGGTTAGAGGGACGATAATCGGTCTCCGTATGACTTCTACATTCCTGATCCAAAGGTCGCTGATAATGAGTGTGGCAAGTATTCGGGGAGTGAAGCCACTGATCCATGCGTCAGGGTAATTGCGCATCCGTCGCTCAAGCTCCTTCCCGAGAATTATCTGCCATAGAAGGTTCCAGACACTCTTGGGGTCCGACCATTCTCGTGTAATCGCAAGCCCAGTGTTGAAGTTGACGTAGAGATCGGATCGATTGAGAGTAGAGTATAGATTACTGGTACTATCACTTTCCTTGTAAGCTGTCCTGGAAACATACCATATCCTGTCGTCACTAACAAAGTCGTGCAAGTCGAGATCGTCCTGTCCCGAATTGTACCCTAGACGATCTGCTCGTATCTGAAGTTCTGATAGTCGACGAAGGAGTCTTTCTGCAGTAATGGATGGCGGGTTCGACATCGATACCATGATAGTATTCTCTCTACGGATGCCGTACTCATCTTCGTAGACCCAACACTCCAATGCGAACCCTTCCACTGTGACGGTGCCAGCGTTTATGTTCTCATATCTCGGACTCGCCTCGGGGTCTAGCGCGGCAGAATCTTCATCGTCGTCTTCGTCCCCATACTTGTTCTTGACACGCTTTTTAAGAAACTTTCTCTTTCTGTAAGCTTCGAAAGAAGCGTGCGATGCTTTCGCAAAACCCCTGTCACTGAATTTTAAAGTGCGAAACTCATCCTCTTCGACACCACGCCAACCGATGTATGCTGTTGTCCTTGAACTCCAAACCTGAGGGCCGATCAGAGAAACTTCAAGTGCACCTTTGCTGAGCTTGGCCTCGATTACATCGATGACTTCCATACGTTTTTCGAGCGCATCGAGTGCAGCCTCATCTCCAGCTATAGCCTGCAGTGTGGTCGGTTCTCGAGATGCAGCATATGATTTCCTTTTCGAGGGGAAAATTTTCTTCGAACCATTACCATCTGTACTTGTCGATGTGGCAGTGACAGTGTCGTCCCTGGTACCAGATCGATAGCTAACCGTCATCTCTTCCAACTGCTCACTCACAATGTCAGACACGTCCAGGCTCTCGGTGGCAGCTTCTTGCAGCAAGACCAGCGACGAGATCTCTTTTGTGCGACGAATCTCCCTCCGCAAAGCTTCACGAATACTCAGATCTGGAAACATGTCGGCAAGACTATCATTGAGTAGACGTATTTCCGTGACCATCAGCAAAAATTCGGTCCTATCACGGACCACCCAGACTGTCTTCTGTTTCAACGTGGCAGTCTTCTGACGATCTTTACCACTTCGCCGGAATGTAGCACCTGCCTTCTTGAGCAGAGATGGCAGAGAAGCCCGCGCATCTGACCGTGCTACCTCTTCAGTCAAACCATAACGGCTTCTTAACCTGTCCGAGTCTTCAAAAATCTGTTCAATGCTTCCGAGTACCTGTAGGACGACCTGCTTGGTACGCTCTTCCTGGAGACGAGAATCTGGCTTCGCACGACGGCCTTCCTTGGGGTCCTCATTGAGTCCCATAGAATCACCCCAGGCCAGCAGCCGTAGTCTCTCGACTTCAAGTTTGACACGATAAAGCTCAAAGTCCCTCCCATATCGCTTGGACTGGTCTACAATGTCAAATATCTGCACACATGTTTTCCAGGTAGCAATCACTCCCCCAACGAGGCCCGCTGCCTCCATGACTGCGACTAATTCACAAAGAATCTGGACTTCGAGCTCACTACGATGACCACGAACCTTGATAAGACCACCTAGCGTTTGTCATGGTGTGTACAGTAAAACAAGTGCTGCTCGACAGGGGATGGAGGCGTATTGCTGGGCTGCGAAGCTTCCCACGTGTGCTCAACGAGGGGGTAGTGAGCGGGGTATAGGGACGGGATCTGTGAGTCTGGACCTGGTGGTAAACTCTATTGCACTCAAGGTAGAGAACGTGATCACACTAATCCGGAAGAAGATTGATGCTGGCGTGCTCCGTTCTCTTCGATGAGGAAGATATCAATACGTGCAGCGCTTGCCCCAGGAGATAAACTCCTTGAGTTGCATCGGCCATGGCTGGAATATAGCAGAATTGCTGCCATAAGCAATTCTTTGGCATGCAGGCTCTTGCCTCGCAAGCCACGCAGATGGAGCCTAACCCAGTACTCGCCATCGATTCGATACGGTATGTAGATCAATATCTCCTGTCTTGAGCCATGGCCTTGACATATAGAGTATTATGGCCCGTCCTACCAACCGTCACATCCACATTGAACACAAGCCTCGTATGGATAACCACGAATGTTGATTTACCGACTCGGGCCCGCAGACCACCCATGTCTGTCACGTGCGATCAAACAACAGTACCATTCCCGAGTTTTTACAGAACATTGCTGGAGCCCGCTCTTGGTTGATGACTGTTGCATCGTCTTGCGCGAAGCAGGTGTACAGAGTCTTGAGAGTATCGACAAAGCTGTCTCCCAGTGCTGAACCCAACGTCGGGATCTTCGATGGGAGTGCCAGATCAAGCGTCCGTGAGGACTCAGACACAGAGGATGCAGCGACATACTGCACGGGAAGCTCACCACAGTTATTTTTGTAGAATTTGGAGACACTGACTCTGCGTGACACTGGAATGTCAGACATACACGTCACGATAAGACCGACTTCCTCAAGCTGTACGACCTGTAGGGCAATCCGCGCTGCAATATAGCCATCGTAGCCCACCTCATTGCGTATATGAGCTGATAGCGCCTTTATTGCGCAGCGACGGATGATCGGATCGCGACAATGTAAGGCGATGAACCACAGATTCTTGACAATCAGTGATGTGAACGGCAGGGATGTTTGCGAACGAGTCGATTAGAATGAGATCAATCTCTCGTTTGATTCAAGGACTTCGACAAAATCTCGACAGAATGCATCGTATGCTCCCTCGGAATTGCTCATGACTTTGCAGTGAATCAGGATCTTGATCACCGCGTAAGATGCCCGGAGATACTGCAAGGCATGTGTCATAGTATCTGTCAGTCCAGTCATTTGTGCCATGTCTTCCACAACAGTTTGATGTGCAGTGACAATTGCCAGAAGATCTTTAGCAAGTTTTGTACGCGGCTCGACATAACCCTGGTATGGCACTTTCCTCACTAGGTAATGGCAAAATGCCGACAGCTCTTCGAAGGCGGGGACTACATCTGGTCCATCATAGATCGTCAACTTGTTCGTCAGAGAATTTGCATTGCAATAAGATGGCACACCATTGATACACCAAAAGCTCTTGGTCATGCTGGCCAAGCAATCATGCTTATGGCCGGCCAAGACCACATCAAACCGCTCTGGTGGCCAGTTGCGCTCATGAGGACAGCACTGGTCATGTGGAGCTATGGTGTTATCCTGTATATGGAAGAAGTAGACCACAAGCCGGACAAACCTGACGCGCGCGGCATGAATCCTAAATTTTGTCTTAACAACGCCACAGAAACCTACAATGTGCATGGATGCGGTCTTCAACCTGGTGATGGAATTCCATCTCTACGCGGCATGAACGGAATGCTTATTCCACTATACCAACCAAGTGGTATATTGGACTTCTGCATAGCTCTTTTAGAGAATGATGAGGAGGGCATCATGTCTTTGAAAACAGCTGTACGAACCTTTCTACTGAAGATTTGGGACGTACAACTGCTTTTATACGATCAGGGTACCATTCGACGACCCTTGTGAAGATAACTCAACTGTATCAGACGGTGGAAGATATCTCGTCCTTCGGTGGACTGCAACTTGATGACTGGCTTGCTTAGGTTAGTACCCCAGGAAGCTCAGGTGAGAACGCCTGCATGTAGATACCGCTTTCCAGGGTAAGAACGAGAGCCTGAATCTTTCCATGCATCACACCTCAAACAACAACCTTTTCGAAGAAGCATCGTTCCTGCTGGAGCGAAAGGGCAACCAGCACACATTTGAACCGGCATTGAGACGTGGAGTTCGGAGAAAGCTGAACCCAAGCCATCGACTGCTTTTGGTAGCTAGTCTGTCTGTGAAGTAGGTCCGACCTGCGACAATATGCTGATGGCAGGAGTCACACGAAAAGTAACTCCCATCCTTTCTCTATCATGATGTCCATCCAGAAGATTCCCAGTATCGTTGTGTTCGCTCATTTCCCGTGTGGCCAGAACAAAGTTTTCCGCAATCTCAAGGGGCCTGTACGGTAGGATCTCCCAAAGCACCTGTAAATCCGCGGGGACTATCGTACGAGCTTCGACGACATGGCGTGGCCCAGCAGCTGCACTCAGTGGAGGCCATTGAGATGCGCCCCACGAGCTTCTTGTGGGAAAAGCCTCTGTTCAGACAGGAGGCAGCCTGCCACCTTCCGTGGAGCCTGTGTACCTGCATACCACGACTTCGGACTCGCTGACTGGGCGTTTCGAGCAGATACTGTTCTGATGTGATGAAAGCGAGTCCCATCACAATTAGAACTGGGACTAGCACTGTCAAGGCGATATGACCTTTACTCTAAGCTTGCAAGATCTGAGATCAGGGCTAGTCGATCGATTTACGGCTCCTATCCTCACATGCTACACCTGACATTCGTCGCAGATACCGTGACTACTGACTTAGCCTGAGGACCGCTGTGGTCCGTGCATCAGTATAACTTAACTTTACATAGTTTTTGATACAAGACCTAAATTGATTTCACCGATTTAGTACAAGATGCCATTGGTGCTCTATCACAAGATCTCGAAGGTGTGACAAAGTCGAAGGGAAAAGGCTCTGGCACAGCATCGAGTCAAATAAGAGTACTCTGAACATAATTCGGACCTTTACGACGCAGCTCCGCAACGAATGACTTGGGTAGATGCTTGGGTGCTTTACCTTGCAGCAACCATTCCTGGTTGAACTGCCCATGATCGCACTTTTCGAGTCCCACTCGTTGCTGCCTTATTTATAAGTTTTCAGCAAGTCTCAGTGCTGTGGTTTCGCCGTACTTCATCTGATTCCAATGCGCACATAAGCCGCTCAGTAGCCGATTCGGAAGCACAAGAAATGGCGGAGAAATTACTGCGGAATGTTTCATGAGGTCAGGACACCGGAGTATTGCCGACATTCAGCCACAGCACCTGAACTCACTTTTTGTCCGTTCATCTTAGTTCTCGACACGCTCCACGGCACCTTGGCGAGCGGAGATTTACAGCGCAGAGTTCTTGATCGTACAACCTCGCTACTTGTCAAGCAAGCTGTGTAGCTTCCTTCAATCATTACTGATGGTCGGGAATGAGTCGACCAAAGTCTGGAGACTGGATCTGCGATTTCCAATCGACAGAAGATCGAATGAAGGATTATAATACAGTAGTACACGGCACACCCCGTTTTCAGCCTTTTCCTCCCTCGTCGCATATGACTGCAGCCGCTCTCTAACCCGAGACTTTCTACCAAACTGATACAGAAGTCACAATGGGCGACGCGGGCATTTTACCTCCTCAAAAATCACTGGACGTCAACTCTCTTCTCCAGCAATTGACCATAGAGGAGAAAGTCTCGCTCACAGCAGGGAGAGACTTCTGGCATACAACGCCGGTTCCTCGCCTTTCGATTCCCTCAATACGTCTATCTGATGGACCCAACGGTGTTCGTGGAACAAGGTTCTTCGACAGTGTGCCAGCTGCCTGTCTGCCATGTGGCACAGCCATGGGCGCCACTTTCGACAACGATCTCATCCGCCAGCTCGGCCGTCTTCTAGGTCAGGAAGCCAAAGCGAAGGGCGCGCATGTGCTGCTCGGTCCAACAATCAATATCCAGCGTTCACCGTTAGGTGGACGTGGATTTGAATCTTATTCTGAGGATCCGCTATTATCTGGCATTCTTGCTGGCGAGTTCTGTAGAGGTGTGCAGGATGAGAAAATTGTACCCACCCTGAAGCACTTTGTCTGCAACGACCAGGAGGACCAGAGGATGGCTTACAATGCCATTTTGACGGACCGAGCCTTGCGCGAGATTTACCTTTTGCCATTCCAGATCGCCACCAGAATTGCGAATCCCGGTGCTGTGATGACTGCGTATAACAAGGTGAATGGTGTCCATGCATCTGAGTCGCAGAACCTGCTGGAAAATATACTGAGAGGAGAGTGGGGCTGGGACGGCCTCGTTATGAGTGACTGGTTCGGCACATATAGCACCTCGGAAGCGATCAAGGCCGGCCTCGACTTGGAGATGCCTGGATCTACACGATGGCGAGGAGCAGCACTGACGCACGCCGTATCGGCTAAGAAGATCATGACGACAACATTGGACGACCGGGTACGCAATATTCTGAACCTGATCAACAAGACAGCAGCATCAAACATTCCTGAGAACGCACCTGAGACCGAGCTCAATCGAGATGAGGACAGGGAGCTATTACGGCGAGCGGCTGCCGAGTCTATTGTGCTGCTCAAGAACGAGGACAATATCTTACCTCTGAAGAAAGACAAACCAGTCCTCGTGATTGGTCCAAACTCGAAGATCGCAGCATATTGTGGTGGTGGTAGTGCTGGGCTGAATGCTTACACAGCCATAACACCGTTCCAAGGTATCAGCTCTCGATCGACGTCCACTGTATCCTTCTCGCAAGGCGCATACGCACACAACAATCTTCCTGAGCTAGGTCCTCATCTCACCACATCGGCAGGCAAATCTGGATTTGCTTTTAGTGTCTACAATGAGCCACCAGAAGCACCGAACCGGTCGCTTTTAGAGGAGCGACATCTGACAGCATCAAATATGTTCTTTATAGATTATTCTCATCCTCAACTGAATGAGATCTGGTATGCAGATGCTGAAGGCACCTTTACGCCAGAAGCATCGGGTATTTACGACTTCGGCTTGGCTGTACAAGGTACTGCAAGGCTGTACGTCGATGGCCAAGTCATAGTCTCGAATGTGGAGAATCAGAAGCCCGGCACATCTTTCCTAGGTTCTGGAACCATCGAAGAGATAGGCTCATGTCAACTTGAGAAAGGCAAACAGTACAAGGTTCTTGTTCAGTGGGGCTGTGCGAAGACGTCGAAACATAAGGTTGGTGGTATCATCGATTTCGGTCATGGTGGCCTCCGTTTTGGTGGATGCTTACGCTTGTCTAGCGAGCAGGCTATCGAAGAGGCTGTTGTTGCAGCCAAAGAAGCAGAGCAGGTTGTCATTTTCGCTGGCTTGAATGGAGAATGGGAGTCAGAAGGCTTTGACAGGGACACTATGGCATTGCCATCTGGAACGGACAAGCTGATCTGCAGTGTTCTTGAAGCAAACTGTAATAGCGTTGTGGTGATTCAAGCCGGTACTCCTGTCGCGATGCCCTGGATCAACAAAGCGAAGTCGGTACTACACGCGTGGTATGGCGGAAACGAGACAGGAAACGGCCTTGCCGATGTGATATACGGTAATACGAATCCTTCCGCCAAACTCCCACTCACGATACCCAGACGTGTCAACGACAATCCCGCCTTCTTGAACTACCGATCAGATGCCGGTCGAACACTGTACGGAGAGGACATCTTCGTAGGATATCGATGGTACGACAAAGTCGAGATCGATCCCCTGTTCGCTTTCGGGCATGGTCTGAGCTACACGAGTTTCGAGCTGAAGGACCTCCACGTCTCAGGGAACGGATCGACGAAGACTATCTCGTTGACACTGACCAATACTGGGTCGATGGCAGGTGCAGAAGTCGTGCAGGTTTATGTGGCGCCATCGACATCCTCAAAAGCAGCACATAGAGTGATTCGACCAGTCAAGGAATTAAAAGGTTTCGCCAAAGTCTACCTCGAGCCGCAACATAGCCAGGTTATCGAGATACCTGTTGAGATGGTTCGCGCAACGAGCTTCTGGGACGAAGAACGCGGCGCTTGGTGCTCCGAGAAGGGGGCGTATGTGTTCAGTGTTGGAACTAGCTCGAAGTGCGCATTTTTGCAGTCAGAAGTCGAAATCTCGGCAACCCGATGGTGGTCCGGACTATGATCTGCGATGCTTCGGGATCTATCTGGCGTGATATGGGTTGGTATTCTCGGAGCGGGCGCTTGATAGGGTATTTTGGACACTAGTAAGCGGATTCTAGGCGCTATTCATCACCAGTAGTAGTACTTTCCAGCTTCATTTCGATCTGTATCTACCCAAGTTTGTAAGCTGACACTACCGATCGTCTCAGATTTGTCTAGCTGTCTCAATTTGTCAGTGAAGTCTCGGAGATACTCTTTGGCTCTTGTCGCCGGGCCAACACCATGTTCTGACTGGTCCATGTCTGTGTAAGGACATGAAAGCAGTACTGCAGCCACGTCTCGTACTTTGTACACCACATGCACGCCTAATGCTTCGAAACTCGATTCTGATATCGAGCAAAGAAGTAGGAGCATTTGTCGACATAGATCCTCCTTTGTATACCAATCGAAGGTCGGAGTCGAATGAGCAATTCCAGGCGACAAATTGTTGAAGACCAGAGAGAAGGTATCGGCTTGGTCCATGATGATCGACTGTAGCCAAAGATGGGTGACATGGATATCTGCACGAAGTGTCGCGAACTGAGACTTGAGTACGTACCACTCCGGGCTGTTAATCTGGAATAAAGACCCGCCGCCATGCTCACCCTCGTGCGACGATCCCCATTGTCTAAGGTACCACGGTACACTGTCAAGCATATATTTCAGCTCGTGAACACGCGATCGAAGGTGGTTCATGTACGATACTGGATCTCTTGTACGAGTGCAATGGCAATGCGCGACTCTGCGATCGGTCGGCTGCTTTGTAGAAACGCTAGCAACAGCGGCCCAGAACAGTCTCGAGCGCAGATTGAAACCAGCTGTTATGGTGGGTCGAGCAATTGGTGAAGGTAGGTAAGTTACCTCAGTGATCTGCTCGTCATCTTGTGGTACTGGCAATAAGTCCTCCAGATCCAGATCGTGCAGTAGTGAGCAATCAATAAAGGCGAGCCTTTCTTTTCGGTGATTTTGAAGTTGTAAATGCACATACCCACAGAACATCAACCAGAACGCCTTCTTCCGTAATTGCGTTTCAATAAGGTTTAACCCCGAGTATGCTTGGATGCGATGCAGCTCTAACAGCCTTGCAAAGAGAATGGCTTCACTCTCGATCATTCGCGATTTGTTGTGTTCGCCAATGTGGAAATATGCCAAATAGAATAAATACGGAATTGCCCATTTTGTGTGGTTCACTTCGTCAAAATACCTCGGTCCTCGTAATCGAATACATTTCGCGTAACAGTAATCGACCATATCGAGGCGAGTTTCAAATCGCAATGGGGTGGATGCGTTTTGGCACTCTCTGAATCTTTTGGCGCATATACCGGCAGTGAATGCGCAAAGTGCCACGACCATAGATAAAAAATGTTGGTCCAACATATCCTTGTTCACACTCAGGCTTGCGCGAAATGTGGGACGATGAACGACAGGCAGTAAAGGATAGAGATGATCCAGATAGTCGTTGGCCATTCGCAGGACTAGCTCTCGGGAGCATATATCGTCGGTCGGATATTGAAGGTTCGACAACTCGCCAGAAGGTGAAAAATGGCTGTGGTGCGATGCAGAAGCGACGCCCGTCATGGACATATCTGGTGTACGACTGAGTCTAGCCACCATATTCGCAGTTGGCGGTGCATGCCCATGGGTGTCGGTAAGCGAGCTAGGTGATAGATAGGCTTGCGCTGTATGGAGAACTTGAAGGTCTGGAGACAATGGTTGAATAGGCTCTTGATCTAGTGCACTTGATATTGCGCAACCATATAGCCCAATCTCTGCATCATCGTGCAATGCACTCTCTGAGGACAAAGTAGGTCTTGGACCCGGATTTGATCGACATCTCAGTAGTCTTCGACCGTCAGTCGCTGTTCATACAGAGAGAAGGATATATCTACCTATTACGTGGACCTTTTGGCCCCCGTCGTCCAACTGGAAGGAGGAAAGAGCATTCCAGGCCACGTTTTGCACATCTTAGGCAAGCTTGTCCGCCGCGCAATTTTTCGACACCAGAGGGAATGGGTAAGTTACTGCTCGAATCAATCTGCAGCGCTACGGAGGTATCATCACAGACTGTGTTCGATCTACACCTGACTTTCCTCAGTCGACACGCATCGCAAGCTTGAGACGTCGCGATGGTTCTCTTGAGTGGCGTTCTGGTCAATTCCGACGAATCATCCATGCCTCTGGGTCGAGCCACTCAAGGACACTCGTAGCTTAAGCCTCGAGTGAATGCACGCATCATGAAAATCGAGTACTGGAAGCAGATGCTCGACTTCGGTTTTGACCTGAAGAAACGAACCACCTTCGAGGTGTTTGAACTAACGGTCCAGAACATCTACCCGGTCTACCTGCTTGATTCGGTCACTGTGTGCGCTTTGTCGGGCTCGCCTCGGAACGCGTTGATTGCTGCAATACATCAGGCCTTCAGTACATCTTCGACTAGATAGGCAGGAAGCACGTTGACTGAGCGACGATAGTTCACAAATTGCACGTTCATACCGATTCACGTCTGAGCCATGCAGAAGGTGTGGTACAGGCGCATAGTATCAATCCCATCATTGGACATATGTTGGCTGCGGTGCAGTCGCGAGAGACCTGGCATTCTGCAAGTCGTCCCTACCTGTTCTTATCAGGTCCATAGTCTGAGCTTCGTGTCCTTTTCTTCCTCATGAGTCCCTTTGTACAGCTTTGTTCGTTTCTTACCATTATTGATCGCGTCAGAGGGATTTGTGATGGGGACACGAGGGCTTTGTATGTTGGGTCTCCCTCCTATGTCTGGGTGGATTTTGATCTGACGTACTGTCAGCAAAAACCGGTCTACCTCGATGTTGCTGAAGCCAAATACGACCGAGATCATCCGTCTTCAAGGTAGTGGCCTTGTGGATGGACATCACAGTCAAAGCAGAATACAAGCAAATATGCCAGCCCATTCATAGGACATCAGGTGCTCGGGCTGTGTACCTAGTGCGAAAGCGTGTAGCATGGATACAAGTCACGCATCCCCGCCCTTTCTGTGGTTGCTACATCTGATGCTGCAGCAGATCACATCCCCTGGGTCGAACGCCAGCAAGGAAGCACTAGGTGAGAAGCATTAAAGACAGTCGCAGATGAGATTCAAACCGCAACCCGGAGTGGTTGGCAATCAGACAAGCACTGCCAACAAGGTCGCAGAGACGTCAAATCCAGCTGTAACCGCGAATGTCCTCGCCAACAGTAGCTGCGAGAGTTTAGGCACTGTATCTAGTGCTTTCGGCTTGTTTACTCGTTGCATGCCGGGGTTCAACTTGTATGTGCTTTGCTTTGCCCAAAGAACACATGAATCATTTGCCGATGTACTGCCCCATCTGCGAGTACATAGCCGAAGTCCTAAGACGTTGTTGGTGCGGTATGTCTCGTCACGAACGGGATACTAAGCGCGGCGGTGGAGATCGTCACGTCTAGCCCTGGATCTCGCAAAGAGTAGCACATTGTAGCAAGACTTGTGTGGACATATGGCAGAGTCAGTTGCCCAGCACATGAACCAATGATATACGGTGTATTTTCGCCGCCTCGAAGTTTCTCCGCCTTCGACAAATAGAGTTCATTTCGCCAGCTCTTCGGGCGATGAGGGCCGGCGCCCGAGTTCAGTCGCAATTTCTCCTTACAGTATTTTCATGGCAGTCAAGAACAACTGGGGAATTTCCCCACTGATCTCAGCCCCGTATTTTGAGAGACTACAGACTCGATCTCCTCCACCTCCCATGATCACGTACGGAACTAAACGGCACTGCAAACACATGCCAGAAAATCGAAGTGGAAAGCTTCTGGAAGCCCATGCGAGTGCGGTCAGATCAATTTCCGAGATATGTCCAAGGTAGTTCTCTTGTTCCGCAAATTGCTATAAGAACATGATTTCCTATTCCCAAGTCAGACATACATCAAAGCCATCGTAAACGCGAACATACACATCGAGACGCGAACTTCGCAATATCTTAAAGCGAAGGCGAAGCTTCAATCGCCAGTATGGGTGTTTCTGGTGGACCAGTCAACAAGGCTGTTGGTCAAGAATTAGCCTCAGCCCTGCCACAAGATAACAAGGCTTGGTACTCACGAAGTCACCTGTTGAAGCTCAACTTCATTGTATTGTCGCTCATCCAATTCTCGTCTGGCAATGGTTATGATGGGTCGGTCATGAATGGTCTACAAGCGCTCCCCGGGTGGAATGAGTTTATGGGCGGGCCTACAGGAGCTTGGTTGGGCTTCGTGAATGCCATCTACTGGATTGGTGTGGGTGTTGTGTCACCGCTGGCCGCGATGCTGGCCAACAAATATGGTCGCAAGCTCGGTGTCTGGGTTGGATATGGTTTTCTTATTGCAGGCGCAATCCTGCAAACTGCTGCCAACAATGCGGCCGCTTTTATCATTGCTCGATTCCTCCTTGGATGCGCATCCGGATTCTTCAGCAATGCTGTACCACTGCTTATCAACGAGATTGCCTATCCAACTCATCGAGGCATAGTCAGTGCCACTTTCAACTGCGGATGGTACATTGGGTCCATTCTAGCTGCTTGCATCACATACGGCACACGAAACTACGTATCATCGTGGAGCTGGAGACTGCCATCACTCCTGCAGATTGTCCTTCCCCTCCTTGCTGTTCCAGGCCTCTTGATGTGCCCTGAGTCACCACGATGGCTCACTGCGTCTGGTCGCAACGAGCAAGCACGTCGTGTGCTCACAACATTTCACGCTGGTGGCGACTCGGATGCTCCTTTGGTCAACTTTGAGATGATCGAAATTGAGACCACAATCGCTTCCGAGCAAGCTGCTAAGAACTCTGCCAGCTATCTAGATATGGTCAAGACGAAGGGAAACAGGTGGAGACTCGCCATTACAGTCTCACTTGCGATCTTCAGCCAGTGGTCTGGAAATGGTGTGGTATCCTATTACCTTGCCCTTGTGTTGACCACGGTCGGAATCACAGATGTGTCAGATCAGCTCCTGATCAATGTCGGTATGTTGACGTTTGTATTATTCAAATCGCGCAGAAACTAATATATGTACAGGTCTGCAACTGTGGAATTTGATCTTCTCCGTTACAGCTGCATTTCTGGTCGACAAACTTGGCCGAAGACTTCTTTTCCTTGCCTCGGCCGGCACAATGTTGACCAGCTATATCATCGTCACTGGTCTTTCAGGCTCGTTTGCTCAGACCGTGAATGCGGCGACTGGAACTGCCGTTGTCCCGTTTCTGTTCTTCTTCTTTGCTGGCTACGACATTGCCTTGTGAGTATATACTGAACAAGGAAATTTAGTACATCCACTAACAAACCACAGGACTCCACTGCTGGTCGCATATCCTTGCGAGATCTGGCCCTACGCTCTTCGCTCTCGTGGTCTTACAGTCACCTGGGTAACAGCAGTCGTCGCTATTGCCTTCAACACGTTCGTCAACCCTATCGCACTTGAGGCCATTGCATGGAAGTACTACATTGTTTTTGTGGTTGTCCTGGTCGTCATGTGCTTGACGGCTTACTTCTACTATCCGGAAACTCGGGGACACAGCCTTGAGCAGATGGCGTGGATCTTTGATGGGGAAGATGCTGCGGCACCTGCACCTGCTGAGACGAAGGAGCGGGTGCTCAGCCTGTCGTACGAGGCAGGATCGATTGTTGATGAGAAGACAGGCACGAGGACTAGTATTTCTCACAACGAGAAGGTATGAGCAAGTTGTGGCGAGGATAAGCTTTCAAAGAAGCTTGGTGTAGCCGATGGCTGTAGGTGTGATTTAGAGGTCTGGTACAGAGAGGTTCTGAAGTTGTGTAATTTATGCACAATCGCCTCGATCCATTTCAATTAAATAGAACGACAACCTCAAGGATCATGTATTATGTGCATACGGGCGAAATTTTATTCGATAATTGATTTTTGCAGTCGCGAGTAGTGGAGATAGTCACATATGAATATGGAGAACTGGTAAGATGTGGCTGTAGTGGTAGGTGAGTTAGTAAGTAGTGGACAATCCGACGAGGACAGCTATACTAATCACTTTGGTGTGCGACTGCAAAACACTAGTCAATTCCGCAGATGCGTCGTTGGCCACTCTATCTTTGAACGACCTGCATACTACTTCTCAGCCCTGACCACAAGCATATCGTCAACAGTAGACTGAGTGGCATGGTACGATCATCAACAAGGACTCTGAAAGTGCCTACCTCAGTCAGCCTAACAAATGCCACGATAATGTTCCGCATCAATAGAGCTTGATTCGAAGATAAAAGCCATGGCACTGCTCGTGGCGACAGTCGATCAACACGTGGGAGTCCCGGAAATTAATGGGAAGGCACGTCTCGTAACCGCTTGTTCGAACTACACATTGGAAAAGCCACTACTCCGTATGTCTTTGTGATGGCTGACCAGTCTAGTGATGTGCAGGTAGCTTTTCACATCGTTTCGGGCCCGCCGCGTCTGAGCGAAGCCACACAAGCACACACTTGACCTGATATAGCTCATGTCTCAGAAAGCTAACCACACACCAAGGTCAAGACCTAAACAAAACGGGTATGCATATTGGTTACTGAAAACGTCCGAAATCCAGGGTACGAAAGATCCGTGCCGAGATGTCCTTCAATCCGCGCGGAGTTCTGCCCTTGCAGCAAATGAACACGAGTCTCCTCAACCGGATGAGCATGGATAATTATCCACATCTCCCACGTTCGCGTGAGACCCCGTTCGTGATATCATGTTTCGCTTGTTCATGAAAAACCATGCATCCGGTTTTTGCAACGAGTGTGGGTGTCATCAACGAAAGACAGTGTGTTCTAGTAAGAATCACGACTCTTGCAGAATGGTTGCCGCACGAAAATGGAGGATGTTACGAACGCATAATCAAGTTTCCAACGGTATATAAAAGACCATGACTTTGAGCGTGGAAAGGGTGGAAAGGCGTCGAATGCCATGTGCTTTCTGCCTGCACACCACTATTCGAATTTTTTTTAGAGTTTGAAAGGCCTGAACTCTACCACATAAGGTGCCAACTAATGCCCACTAGACCCTCGCCTAAAAGTTTAGCTGATTTGTGATGTAAATGGCAACGAGTGTGATGTTTCTATCCTAAGAAAGGAGTCTACGCATCAAACCCGGTGCAGTGCTCTCGTGTATCGAGGCGCATCATTCCCCAGTGCTGTTACTTACTGCGATCTCCACGTTTGAGACGTACTCTTATTCAAAACTGTGTAATAGCAGTGCCATCTATCTCCGAGGATTGGTCGAGCATCCTTGCCCATACACTAAGCCGATCTGACTGATCACCTGAGATTCCGTCGCTGCATCTACGCGCGGACCATACCCGCGATAGTGCTCGTCTAGGTCAGGATCATGTCCACCTCATCGACAAGCCATTGCCACAAATGGACAAACACATGTAAACAGGGTGAGTTGCGATTGTAGAGTGATCCTAGCACGCGGGAGTCACTAGTATGCCGTTGAGCTCAATCAAACGCTCGCTTGCAGCAGTGGCGACGAATGAGCGGAAAACTTCATCCACATGCCCAAGTATGGTCAGAATCTCAATACATAGGCTATTTCAGAGTTGTTTCATGAATTTCTGCCCAACAACGAGCAAGATGTATGCTGGGCTTCACACCGTTGTCTTTGTGAGCGATGGAGTTGAGTTACTCTGGACTAAGACACAGCAATTTGCCTTGCGTTTGGTGATCGGGACATCAACGATAACGCCGTTGGAGTGTATCTCTAATCTCGAAGATGAGCCTCATACAGACAAGATGTCTTTGATGGCTACGACGAGCAGTGGCGGACCTTTACTAGGGCGGGTCCGCTTCCGCACGATGCATCCGAGACTGGTGGTCTGTTTTGACACGTTTTTGATATTGAGTTCGATGTGTCCATGCCGAAGAAACGGCTTTCACTAATTCAGCCATCGATATGCAAGAGTACCAATATGTAACAAGCTAGTACCTTTCGGACAAACACATATCGGCACTGGCAGATATGATTACTCGATCACAGACGAACTACTGCAAACGATGGTGTTGGTGGAGATAGGCCTGAGGCTGTTCCCCTGACCGTTAGTGAACCTGCATGCATGCCTGTTCCGGACGAACTACTCGTGTATCAGTTCTGTGGACCCCCACCTTCACTTTCGATACGAAACTGTGGACCCCACGTCCTCACGAAGGCATCTTAAGCGACCACTTTGTCAGTGTGTCACTTATGTTCACGAAGAATCGATGTAGTCGAATTACCTTACCACAAATTGTTCTCCCAACTTCCGTTGCATTCTTGCGCAACATCAGCCTTCTCATAGTGTCTACGATCGAGCAGAAGCTGCTAGCAATATGGCCATGGGAGTCGGTAACGAAGGTGACAAGAAGATTTCCGCAGAAGAGCCAGCACTCGTGAGCCTCTGTTCCAAAGCAGTTAATTTGACCAACAACATCAACACTCACCTCAGCGACTATGCTGAATCTCCAGACGCGCAAAATGAGACCATTCAATCCTTCACAACCAGATTCAATCGGCTTCGTGAAATTTTGTGGAAGATTCAGGCTGGAATGCCACGGCTGACACAAGGAAATGTTTTCGTTCCATACAAAGCTTCACAAGAACTTTCGACAAGAATGCAGCATGTCGTCCACGATCTCGTATCGAGTGATCTGATAGTGGTCAAGCTCATATCGAGTTCACGAAAAACAGGGTTCCGAAAACTCCTTGCTGGCCTGAAACAGGCTTCATTGGACACAGACATCTCGATGTTGAGCGATACCATGGCTCGACATCGTGATGCTCTCAGAAATGATTGGATTGCGTTTAGCGAGAACCTGAGCAAATTCGAACAGAGCTCTGCGTTGAATGACGCCTCGCACATTAGCTCGAAGGATGGCAAAGACAACCTGATGGTCTTTCCAAAAGAACTTGCTGTACAGCCTCCTGCACGAGCTATGCCAGCCAAGATTACGAGTCCACCGCTCCGCCAGATACACGACGACTTCCGACTCAACTCGCCACTCGCTAGTCATTCGCTAGGACAAACAGGAAGTCTGCAACAAGAGACTTTCGATTATGCTCCCGCTCAAGGTGCGACATCGGCACACTCATCAATCCAGCCCGACGAACCTCGAACTCCGCATTCTGTAGATCAGGATTGGGGCAAGCCGAATGTCTGGCCAGGTAGCAAATCTCTTCGCATGGACAACTTTTCGAGAAACTCCTCCTTCCGACTTGGCTCTGTCACATCCATGCAGGAGCACTTGCCTACACCATCAGCAGAACCACAGTTTTGGTCTAACTCTGGCTCAACAGCTGAGAAAGCTGCTCTTGTTGCTGCGCTTGAACGTCAAGACCACAAAGTGCTACAACAGCTGTTGAGAGGCATGTCGAACGGAAATCCGATACCATCAGGTTTACTGTCGCAGGCTGTGGGGAGCAATGATGTCTCCAGCCTTCGTCTTCTACTGACATATGGTGCCTCTGTCAACCATGTCGATGCTGATGGAAATTCTGCTTTGCTTCTTGCTGTGGCTACCTGGTCCAATGAAATGGCTACGCTGCTCTTGGAGCACGGTGCTGACCCAAATCTTTGTGCAGTGGAGTCCAGCATGTCGCCTTTCACATTGGCTGCACAGCAAAACCAGGTGGAGCTTGTACAGCTAATGTTGGACCATGGAGCAAATGTCAACGCTATGTTGTCGAATGGTGATACTCCCATCAATGCATGCATATGCCAGGGAGCTCGTACTGAGATAGTCGCGCTCTTGCTTGGTAGCGGCGCAGTTCCCAATCAAAAAACTCGTGATGGAAAGACGCCTCTATTTGAAGCACTCTCGAGACGACGTCTGGATATTGTGAAGCTGCTTCTTGATCATGGCGCTTCTCCCAACCTTGCAGGTCCTAAGCATCCTCTTTGGCCAGCCACTTACTTACCACCAGCTCTGAAGCTATTGATTGCTCGTGGCGCCAAGCCCCATATGGCCTCGGGTAACATGGAGCTTGCCGCCAGTATCAACAACATCCAATCGATCCAGATTCTGCTTGACGCTGGGGTCAGTCCTAATTTGAAGAAGGACGGAGTCTATACACCTTTGTGCTCCGCTATCCGTGATGATAGGGCCGATATTGTCACACTTTTGTTGAGCAACGGTGCTGATCCCAATCTTCCTGCATCCGAGTATCCAGCCTGGAAGTGCATCAGTCATGGTCGCTTACATTTCCTACCATCACTCTTGGCTGCTGGAGCCAATCTACACTCGCCTTCTGGGATCGCTGAGTTAGCTGTGGCGCATAACAACAAAGACGCACTCATGTACTTACTGCTCAATGGCGTGGACGTGAATGCGGCAAACGATGATGGACGAACTGCATTGACTACGGCTATCCGAGATGATCGTCTTCAGCTTGTAGACATGCTGTTGGCACACGGTGCAAATGTGACTGCACGTGGTGAGAATTGGCCGCTGTGTATGGCTTTGGGAAACCCGACGTTGCTGAAACGCTTGCTGGAACACGTTCAACATCCGAAGAGCATCACCAAGGGGATTATTGAGCTAGCTGTCCAGGCTAATCAGCTAGAAAGTGTCAAGCTTCTCGTCGAAGCTGGCATCAGTGTCGAGGATAGGACTGGCGGTGTCTTCTCGCCACTTACATCAGCTATCCGTGAAAATCGCAAAGAGATTGTTCGGTATTTGCTGGACGAGGCAGGGGCTGATGTCAACTCGCCCGGCGAACATCTTCCATTGATCAAAGCGATTCGACGATGCACAGACTCGAATGACACCGAGATTATCGAACTGTTGCTCGAACGAGGTGCTGATATCAATCTTGTTTATCGTGGATGGAATGCTATCATGCAAGCTGTGGAGAAGGGAGACAAGAAGCTTATACGACTCTTGATCGAGAAAGGCAATGGTATCGACCTGCAGACTCTTGATTCGGATTCTGGACAGACAGTCTACGAGATAATAAGTGAACGTGGATGGTCGGAGGGCATTGAGCTGCTGATGGAACATCGGCATCAGCTACGGATGGTGACTGATGGGTCGATGTCGAGGAACTGAAGATGACTTTCGCGAGAAATGTGTATGTGACTGCCCGTCGTCGTAGGGAGGGCTGCTCGCAGTGGTTCTAGTTACGACGACGTGATAATAGGTAGACTTCGTTTTCGTCTCAGCGAGAAATTTTTGAATGGCCGCCAGGCTCCGCCATGGATGCTCCGGCCCAGGAGGTATTTCGAGGCTGAACACCACGAACTGATTTTATCGAGCTAATACATGAATACTCTTACACTTCGCAGTCTCTCTCTCCCGAAGCATGGGGAGCCATGAACAAACCGGAATAACCTGAATCGATTCTGCAATTGTGTCGGAGATGCAGCTTGTGCGAAGATGTAAGGTGATAAGTAATACCGCCTCCACTCGACGAAAGCCCATTATACCGGCCACTTCGCCCAAATTCCGCATGACATTTTGGCAATAACGAATAAAACGTTTGTTCCACTATCAGAGATTATTGAGACAACCTCGACGACTGTATACTTGTCGCAACATCGCCTCCCCTATGCAGCAGAACTCCTGACAGTCAGAGATGTAATGTGATCGTCTTGAGTACTGAACGACTTTCGTGTGACCTAGAAAATAAGATAAGTTGCGGACAGAGAAGACACCATAGAGTCAGGCATCTTTCAGAGCGATCTCTGCTCAGGCTCTCGAAACCCGCATTCGCTGTTCCTGCATAGACGAGGATATCTGTCCAGCGACCCATCAGTCCATCATGTGTCAGCACGATCTTCATCAGTTCCTCTGCGCCCTGCCGAAGGTTGAGCAGCACATCCACCTTGAAGGTTCTCTAGAGCCATCACTCGTCTTTGAACTTGCCAAGCGCAACAACACACCTCTTCCCACCGACGACCCAGCATATAGAGACATTGATTCGCTTTCAGCTCGCTATCGCAAATTCACAAGCCTCGATGACTTTCTACATTACTACTTCATCAATATGAGTACGCTCATCCACGAGGTTGACTTTGAGGACTTAGCATATCGGTATTTTCAGAAGGCGCATTCGCAGAGGGTGATACACGCGGAGGTGTTCTTTGACCCGCAGGCTCATACGAGTCGTGGCGTCGAGTTTTCTACGATCGTGAATGGGTTCAAGAAGGCTCGGCAGCGAGCGAAGGAAGAATTTGGCCTCACTAGTGGACTGATTGTATGTCTTCTCCGTCACATCCCGCCTGCAGATTGTCACAAGGCCTATATCCAGGCTCGTCCTTACCTTGAAAGTGGCGAGGTTACAGGACTAGGACTGTCTAGTACAGAGCTAGGAAATCCGCCACATTTGTTCAAATCGAGCTATGACGATGCAAAAGCAGCTGGTTTCAGGTTGACCGCCCATGCTGGTGAAGAGGCAGACGTGAGCTATATGCGCTCTGCCGTCGAAGACCTGCATTGCACACGCATCGACCACGGAATAAAACTGCCTAAAGATCCTGACTTGCTGTCTCAATTCGCGAAGGAAAGGATTCTTGTTACGCTATGTCCACTGAGTAACGTCGAACTACGTTGTGTGAAATCAGTGTCGGAACTACCAATACGACAATATCTTCAGAGTGGTGTTCCGCTTAGTATCAACAGTGACGATCCGGCATATTTTGGTGGATATATACAGGAAAATTATTGTGCAGTCCAGGAAGCATTCGAATTGAGTATAAACGATTGGCAGGGCATCGTGCAGGGCAGTATCGAACTGAGTTGGTGTGGGCAGGAACGAAAGGAGGAGATGTCGAAGGAATTGGCAGGCGCGATGGAGATATGCGTGCAGTGAGAATATAGCCGTTTTCTATTTCTTTCTTGGATAGATGGAACTCTAGATTTTTTACTTCACAGAGACGCGGTGGAATATCCTGGTCACACTGCAGCACTAGACACAACGTGGACAGTGGTACAAATCATACCGTCGTCAGAAAGTGGTAATAACAAGAACAACATCTCAACTTTCGCAGCCTGGCTCAGTCGAGTTTGAGGACTCGGAGTTTCGAAGCTCAGCGGAATCCACTTCTCACCCACCACCAGGCCAATCATGGCTCCGAAAATCATCGCCCAGCAACCCCAACACGAAAGCCCTGAATTCCCAAGCCAAGCCAATCCGTCCGTCGCAAATGACCCAAAACGCTGGGCACAGTTGAGTTCTGCCGTGGCGACAATGTGGCTCGGACCCCTTGTTGTCAAAACATGCTTTATCGAACATTCAGATCAGTCAGACCTGCTTCCATAACTATGTGTCATGGGATAGTGTTTAATGGTAGAGAACACCTCCAACGCGATCCCTGTATAGGACGATAATTGCAGTCGGCTTGCTGCTGTGCAATCGCCTACTTGACCTATCGTGGCTTGCGGAGCAGAACGGGACTGCCCAAAAGAGACAGGCGACGAGCCGTGACCAGACCGCCTGACTACAACTTCAATCACATACACATGCACGCATGATCAATTTTGTGTGACAAGATAAGACTGAAGTCCATCTCGACATCGATTTTTAGGAAAGGACTTCTGCAGCGCCCTTTGTCTCAGTCTCCGCCTCTATCCATCTTTTTTCCTTCTCACCACCACCGCAATGGCATCCGCGACAACCACAATCCTCCAGACCGTGACTCGTACCATCTCCTCAGTCTCTGGTCCTCCAGCATCCGGTACCAGCAATGCATCGGCAGATCGTGCACCACCACAAGGCGGTGTTTTTGAAGGTCTTAACCCGACACATTATGACACCAAAAACCCGATTACGCTGTTCGTCATACAGGCGGTCATTGTTATTGCATTTACGAGGCTGTTGCACTGGCCGTTGTCAAAGCTACGGCAGCCGAGGGTGATTGCGGAGGTTATTACTGTAAGTTCATCGAGGATATGAATTACCATTCTCGCATGATAAGCATACGACCGTGGGCGAGCAAGAGACTAATGTTCCTGCTACTAGGGCATCCTCCTAGGCCCCTCAGTCTTCGGCCGCATCCCAGGCTTCACACAACACATCTTCCCCACTGCCTCAATGCCTGCCTTCTCACTGGCCGCAAACATTGGTCTTGTTCTCTTCCTCTTCCTCGTCGGCCTCGAAGTCGACCTTCGCTTCCTGGCCTCCAATTGGAAAATCGCACTTTCAGTCGGTGCAGCAGGAATGGCTCTTCCCTTCGGTCTCGGTGTCGGCATTGCTTATGGCCTCTACCACGAATTTCGTGAGGATGAGGGTATCATGCCTATCAGTTTCGGCGTGTATGCATTGTTCATCGGTGTCGCGCTTGCAATTACTGCATTTCCGGTCCTGTGCAGAATTCTGGTGAGTTTGAAACTACTCACTACGCCTGTGGGTGTGATTGTTCTCTCAGCAGGTGTGGGCAACGATGTCGTCGGCTGGATCTTGCTTGCTCTCTGTGTTGCTCTGGTGAATTCCGGCGCTGGACTGACGGCACTGTGGATCTTCCTCGTTGCGATCGCGTACTGTCTTTTCCTGGCTTTTGCGATCAAGCCTGCCTTTCACTGGATCCTACGAAAGACGAAAAGCCTGGAAAATGGTCCGACTCAGGGTGTTGTCGCGCTGACTATCCTGCTCGTTTTAGCGTCTTCATTCTTTACAAACATCATCGGCATTCATGCTATTTTCGGCGCATTTATGGTGGGGTTGATTTGCCCCCATGAGGGTGGATTCGCGATCAAGCTCACGGAGAAGATTGAGGATTTGATCTCCGTGTTGTTCTTGCCACTTTATTTCGCGTTGTCTGGTCTGAGCACCAATTTGGGTTTGTTGGATAATGGCATTACCTGGGGATATGTCGTTGGCGTCACAGCAGTTGCTTTCATCGGGAAGATTGTTGGTGGCACGGTCGCGGCACGACTCAATGGTCTCGTGTGGAGGGAGTCTTTCACCATCGGATGCCTGATGTCCTGCAAGGGTCTTGTCGAATTGATCGTGCTGAATATTGGTCTTCAAGCGAGGATTTTGAGTCAGCGCACCTTCACTATTTTCGTGGTCATGGCACTGGTTACGACGTTTGCCACAACACCGCTTGTGGTGTGGTTGTATCCTGATTGGTACCAGGAGAAGCTCGACTTGTGGAGGAAAGGCAAGATCAATTGGGACGGTACACCGATTTCGGCGACGGTCGAGCAGGGCGATAGTGCTGAGGAGATGGAGGTGGATGTTGCGAGTCGTGTCTTGGTGTACCTCAGGACTGATGGGTTGTCCAGTCTGTTCAATATCATCGGGCTGTTGACAGGAAGAAGACAGAGTTCTCAACAAAAGACCACTCAATTAACTAATACTGAGAAAAGAGCAAGTGCGAACATGGATGAAAATCACTTGAAGTATCAGAGACCACTGCGGATTCATGGTCTGAGGTTGATGGAGTTGACGGAAAGAAATTCATCAGTCATGAAAGTGTCGGAGTTGGAGGAGTATGCGACTCGCGACCCGATCATCAAGGCATTTGGGTCTTCAGCACATGGCACAGCGAGAGACGTGACGATGTCAGGACAAATAGCAGTTGTGCCTGATCATTCGTTCGCTAACACTCTGGTGCAAAGAGCGACCAACACACGCAGTCACCTCATTCTTTTACCCTGGAGCGAGACTGGCTCTGTCTCCGAAATCCCTTCTTCATTCGACAGTGCCCCGCTCGGCGCAAACGCTGATCCTCTAGCGAACAGATCATTCTCATCTCTGGTGGTTAGTGTCTTTGACGAAGCTCGGAGCACTTGCCATGTTGCAATTTTCGTTGATCGATCATTGCTCAGGCAAGGCGTTTCCGATAATGATGGCCAGAGCAGTCCAGTCCACGAACGAGCAACACGACAACTCAGCAGGACGTGGACGGGCGTGGCTAGTATGCCAGACCTCCATGAGAACCAGGGCATGCTGTTCAAGAGCAGCGACAGCAACGTCATGGCACAAATTCGAGTGCTCTACACAGGTACAGCTGACGATCTTTTCGCGGTGCGTCTGGCATTGCAGTTAGCGAAGAATGGCGGTGTTACTGTCCGCATCATCAATGTGATTGGTGAGCAGATTGACACCACAACCACCAAGTCAGCTTTCTCCTTGGGCAGGCGTAAGGAGGCCACACCTCTGCAAGAGCTTGAGCATGAAATTTCAGATCTGGTCAAGAACAATGTGACGTTCGAAGATGTCAACACTACCGCATCAAGTGCAGTTGTTCTCGACGCACTATTGTTGAACTCAGCCTCTGATTCTGGAGACATCACAGTCCTTGTCGGCAGGAACGTTGCAGCACCACAGAACCAAGGAACTCCATCTAGCTCGACGTTACTCGAACGGCCGAACGTGCTGGGCGGATTCACGAGTAACCTGGTAGCGAGGATGAGAGGGTATAAGATAGCAGCGAACTTGTTGGTTGTACAGGCAAAGTTACCTGTAGTAGGTAAAGGGTCAGAGCTGGTGGGCAAGCATGTAGGTGGTAGTGATGAGAGTTTGGCGATGGGATCGTGAGTCGGGCAGACTCTTCTTCTTGTTTATGATTGTCTGAATAGTATGGATGCATCTGAATGGGCAAATACCAAACCAATCTGTGCCAGCCAGAGTCTTGCGGCGTGGAAGATGGGAATGCGTGTGCTTCGAGGCTTGGCGAGCAGTGAGTATGCGCCAGTTGGTCATGTTCAGAACTGCTTCAGTGATCTCCATGTAGTGGACATAATTTGACCATAGAAGCAGCAGCAGCAAGGTGATTTGAAACAGGTTAGGGCTCAGCCATTGTCAAAGTGTTTGCATGGTTAGTTTGCTGACGTGTCAGAAGTGGCCCCTACCATGGCTTCAAGCAGATCTCATGACAGAGAAACGACCAGCCCTCACGTGTCTCTTCTGTGACCTGCGATGATAGGGTTGAGAGATTGAGAAGCCATGGTTGAAATTGGCGGAACAGTTAGTTCATGCTGATCGCGACTGCCCGAACTGCTAATCGAAAGACGCTCCTTCCGGGACATCCACCGCCTATCGACGTCATTTTTAGAGGTTGCACTTGCCCTCAAATTCCTGCTGAATTTCCTCATCCTTGACCTCTCACAACCAGCGTGCCTTGGTGCCGCTGTCCCAGCCTCACCTTGATGTCGGTCCGCGTTCAACTCGACCTACCCCATGGCGATATTTATACCAACTTGGACTTTGTCACCGGACGAGTCCTCCTTACCCTCCCTACTGATGCTACTGTCTCCGCCATAACCGTCAAACTAGAGGGAGAAAGCAGGACGCGTCTGGAAGGACCGAGGTCGTTGCCAGGAAGTTACGATGATGACAAGAAAAAGACTCTACTGGAGGTTCACAAGTTACTCTATAAGGTAGAGACTGTCTTTCCGACACCAGAACTTCGGCAGCCAGGACCCTACAGGACGAATAGAACTTCGCAATACACTCTGCTTAGAGGTCAATATGAATATCCTTTCAAGTTTAAGATGCCCTTCAACAGCGACTGCGTCAGTAACACGAGCATAATAAAAGATCTCAAAGTTGGTCAATTGAGTGTGCAGTACGGGCAGGAACCGCTGCATGCCAAATTACCATTACCACCCTCACTGGCAGGATATCCTGGCGAGGCTGACATCAGGTATTTTGTGAAAGCAACTGTTGTGCGACCTAAATTCTACCACGAGAACCTGCGAAACGAAATATCCATAACGTTCCTACCCATTGAGCCACCTCGCGCGACGGCAACAGAAGGAGAAATATACGGCAGAAGAAAACACCAATTCCAGAGGACAAACACTGGCAATAGCATACCACGCAAATCTTTGTTCAAATCGAGCAAGCCGGATCCTGTTCCAGACGAGGAGCCTCTCGCTTTCCAGGTTGATGCCAGATTACCCAATCCTGCTATCATAACGTGTCGGGAGCCTCTACCACTACGAATTCTGGTTGAGAGACTGAATCAGAGTACAATGAGCATATTCCTGTCCATGTTGCAGATTGAGCTCATAGGGCATACCGAAATACGAGCATACGATTTGCAGCGGAAAGAGTCGCATCCTTGGTTGCTCGTGAGCATGGCCAATATGTCTATACCACTCGAACACCCAAGCAACAAGATCGACAACTGGACCATTCCAAGCCAACTTTGGGACAAGATTCGTCTGCCTCCTACGGTCCCTCCCACCTTCAAGACATGCAATATCAGTAGAAAGTACGAACTCGAAGTCAGGATAGGCCTGACACATGCCATGGCTACTGGAATGAGGCCGGAAATCATAGTGAGTCCGATCAGACTGGATGTCGAGGTCTACAGTGGTATCCGTCCACCCCCACAGCTACTGGACGCGATGGCACAACAGGCTCAAAGCCAGCAGTCTCGAACAGACTCAATGAACAGCATACCGAAGCTGGACACCAAACAAGATACGCATATTCAACAATCCTATCTCACTCCAGCAACTCCACAGTCGCATTGGTCTCCCATCTCCATGCCGCTTCCTCCTGGTGCTGATCATACGCCTTCCACTCCTGCAGCGGTTGCCGGCATTCCTCATACCACGAACGACGATCTACCTCCAAGCTACGAAGACGCAATCGCAAATGACTTGGCCCCAGTCGATGGTCCTCGACCGTCAGGCTATACCGCAAATGGTGCCCCATCTCCACAAGCACCAGCTTTCAACCCAGACTCGAAAAGCGGTCTCGCCAGAAGGGTCTCGGAACGACTCTTCTCCTCAAACGCACCTGGTTCGGGCAGATCTAGCAAATTTGCCTCGGGTGATATGTCGCGATTCGGCGGTGATGTTGTGCCTGAGGAGTCGGCAGCTCATATTGATGCGGATCTGGTCGAGGCGTCGAGTCGTTTGACCATCACGAATGAGAGTGGGAGTACAAGCGACGTGCCGGAATACAAGCCACCTTTGCCTGTAAGAAGGACGACTGAACAGCAGTATCAGCAAGCCCAGCAGCCACAATACACGAGTGGGACGGAGAAACCCTGAAATCTGAATAGGATCCAACTCTCGCGCGTGAAAACATGTAGCCATGGAGCATAGCCTCGCTGCAAGAAGTCCGAAAGCTCAAACTGTTGAAGTGTGGGTGAAGGTGGACGTAAACTCATCGTCATTGCAACTTCGTACGGTACCCAGATTTACTCCAAATCTTGGAATCAAACGACCCTCACTTTACGCGATTTGGTTCACTTGACACAAATCTTCACTCAAGTGGAATCTCTGACCCCGCATTACTTAGCTGATCACGAAATGCAAAATCCGGCTAGCTATGCTGGTCAAATCTTCTTTGAACCCAACTCGTTCTTCTTCCTGACCGTCAACGATGAATCGATCTTCTGACACGACTGACGAACTTTGTCTCTCTGACAGCGAAGTCTCCCGGTCCATGCAACCTGCTGCGAAGTATAGAAGCACACTGTATGCCTATTTCCAACATCTTCCTCCAGGTGGCGTCTGCAGACAACCAGCTGAGTATCGCTGCGAAGCATGCTCAGATGTATCCAGTGATCCCCTTCTCGTTTCAAAGCCATTCTTGCAGAAGACCTTCTACTGCAGTCAATGATGTCAAAAATGAGACTGGTCTGCACATAAGCCCGGCTGCAACATCACACGACTTATGGTTAACAGATTTTGCCTCACCAGAGCAGTCAAATTCAACCAAAAGGCTTTCTTCACTTGTCGCTGAAGTTTTTTTGATCTTCCCATTGATAGCTTGAAGATGAGGGCGGGCGCCCTTGAGGCGAAAGAGAGACAAAGTTGTGCACGGAATGTTTTGGCTGATTATTCGGAAAGTGTACTGGGATACGAAGACAAGAAAATCCAGCGCATGGTAGACACTATGGTGATGGGCACTCAGACATTCCATTAATCTTTTCAGTATGTGCAAGCTGTTGCTCATCGATAGGAATGACCCAGAATCTGTGAGGATACTGTATTGACGTGTTCCGGATGCAGGGTTGCTCAGTAAGATTGAGGAGATCACCCTCCGTGCCCAGCCAGGACCGCACGGCTGGGAGTATTACAGACTGTAAGCACAGTCCTAACAGCTGATAGCCCGGACTGTAGGATTCATCGCGTACTTCGCCTTACTGGCTCGTCACATGAAACGCGCTTGGCTCTTGACATTGATGGTGGTCAGTCTGGACACGAGAAGATGCTTGTAAGAGGGACTGAGTATAAGACGCAGCAAATACGCCATGTCGTTCGGGTTCAGCCTTTTGATTCTGCATTGCGTTACCCGATGCAGTATGAGCAGCCCGACTTGTCGAGCAAGATGTTCACATGTAGAGACGACGCAGCAGCTCTGCAGTATCGGAAGTGGATGCAGTATAGAGCCTCATTGCTGTTTCTCGCTAAGATTGAGTGCGGCCTCAGAGGGAAAGGCTGGGCTCCTCGAGAGCTGTTGTTTGGCTCGCAACAAGAGTTTCTGGACATATACCAATGGCTCACGCAGTGGCGCGAGGCACACTTGATCGACTTCAAGCAGGCGCTGGCACGGCACAGCTTGCTGTGTTCAATCGAGACTACGGAGGAGATTGTCGATGACGAAGAGGATAAGTCGATGTTGTATACGCAGGCTCCTCCTGATTCAGAGAATCTTAGCACTTTGGCCCGCCGTCTTGCCACTGAACCGGATTTCACTTACGTTTCTGGCAGTCAGAGTGACGGTGAAAGTAAACCTTAACAAGGAAATGTTGTCGTGAACTAGGTGCATTTTCACTCAAAATTAGTAGTGCTTTCTAGAATTTTCACTATGTTTCGTTGCTTGCACTCACTGTGCAGACACTCATTGTGCGCGACCCACAATAGCAGTTTAGGTCACCAGTGCAGGAATAAACAGCCACGACTTCTAGTCCACAACAACAGAACCCTTCCACACCCCTGCTCGTTATCGAGAACCAGCCAAAGCAACACCCCACCTCGATTCCCAGAGATGACGACTTCCAATGGCAAGCTTAGTCCGCGGACTTTGCTCTACATACTCAAATCAATTATTGGCGTTCCAGACGAAGCCTTTCAGGCAGCGAAGTTTGCAAAAGGACAAGATCCGAAGACACACGCCCCGGTCAAATGTGCTGTTTGTCAGACACCTACCACAGAATGCTGCGTGGGCTGCTCGAACGTCGTCTACTTCACCGATCTCACAGCGGATCGAACGTATTACTGTAAGAAAGCATGTCAAGAACAAGGTTGGCAGAAACACAAGGAAGAGTGCAAGAAAACCAGGGCTCTTGTCAATCAACAAACCCTGCAAAGAGCTGCAACGCTTATGCAACAGGCGTTCTACACTTTTCGATTGATGTCCTTCGACTTGTCGTTCAAGAGCTTGAAGTGGTCCGAGAACACTCTTGTTCTAAAAGAGGGAGCTTATGAATTCTTTGACATCTTGGCTGATTTTCCTGACGAGTTGACACTCAATGAGAGTCAACAGACGAAGCAAATACTGTTGACCATGACATCTTGCTCTGACACACTGATATCCTTTCACAGAGTCTGCGTTCTATTTCTGAAAGGTAAGCTCGACTGTCCCTGAACGACCCGCATGTGCTAATCTTGTTCGAACAGATGCTGGCATGACCAAGAAGATCGAGGAGGTACCTTTTTTGCCAAAGCCAGGACCAAGAGCTTGGATCTTTCACGGTGGGGACAGCACATCACATACGACTTCCCATGGCAAGAAGTCGTCGCGCAATTTTACGTTGCGTGTGATCCTCGTAATACTGAGGAGACGTGACAATGACATTGTAAGCCCTTCATGCATTATCTCCACTTTCGTACCGCATGCTTGCCCATTGACAATGGCACCCACTGACACAACAGGCCAGACACTAGTAACATCTTGAGACTTCGCGTAGATAGATTCTACTACCGCAGAAACCTGGGTGCTATCCATCCAGTAACAAGTGAACAAACGGGTATAAGTATACCACAAACACGACAGATAACTCTTTCAGGGAGCACCAAGATCAGCATCATGTAAGACTTATACTAACCCCCCTATAATGGTGCTGGCCACGTTGTCCGTCGCGTCCGGCGCAAAATCTCACTCGCAACCACCGCCTCCTCCGGCGCCGATGTTCACCTCTTGATGAAATGTGAACATCACAGAAACTGAAGAGCTATATGTCTTCGGAACGAGCCTGTTAGCAAGCATCAATGACCGTACCGAAGACGGTATCGACTAAGAATGCAAGCCGAGTTGTTCTACCAATATCGAGTCGAGTCACCAACAGTACAGCCACTGCCAGTGATGGCGGTCGGACGAGATCAGTCTCTCCCTTTCCACCTCTATCAGCTCGAACCTCGTCGTCCTCAGCCGAAAACTGCAGCAGTAGCAGGAAACGAACTTTCGTCGTGCCGTTGCGTCCTATTCCCACCAGTGTTGCTACTTCGTTTAGCACCATTGCCAGCACGGTTCGGATAAACAGTACCGTCCTCGAGGCCAGCTCCGGTAGTAGTGCAGCAACAGCTCCAACGACAGGTTCAACGACAGCAAGCTCCATCGCACCACTCGAGCTCGTACCAAGCAGTACACTGACTATGTCTAGCACAGTATCTACGAGCTCGGAGTCATCTTCATCATCGTGCCCCCAGATCGAACTATCGGATGTCGATGCATTGTGTATCCTGGTTGATAGGTGTCTGTACTAGAGTACGTCTGATCAGCCATGGGTTGAGTAGTACGGAGAAAGAGTTGTGTAAGATATGTATGGCACGATGTGGGTAGTTCGTCTTTGAATTATGTCGAAGACAATGTGTTGAACCACGGTGATAGTGATAAGGCTGCGAGAGATAGGTTGAGACGAAAATTCTTGCTTAATCATCTATCAAGGTGCAGCTCCAGCTCGGACAGCGCGGAGGAAATTTTCCTTGTTATGCATAGACAGCAAGGACATCAACACAGGGTTAGTCCCTTCACATATCCAATCTGCATCATGTGCCATGGCAATATGCATCCCTTCCTGTGTTTCTGCCTTTCGAAGTCTTGAGATAGTGTCTTTAGCTGCGTCGATATCCTCATGCAAGCACGCTTTACTACCAGGAATATTGAAATACCCGATTTCTGCCTGTCCGGACAGAAGCTGCCTGCGAGGGAATATCAGTATCGGGAAAGGACACGTTGTGGTGGTAAAGACTTGCCTCGAATGACAGCAATCACTTGACAGTATCACCCACGCTTTAGATCCGCCCACGTCAACCCGAGCAGCGGCAGCAAGATTACCTACCATATGACCAGGTGCATCGAGGATTATGAAGGAACCATCACCGAAGTAGTCTAAAGCCCTGGCAAAGGGCCCGAATGCCTCCCAGGTACCTTCCAGCTCTGCCCAATGTTCCGATACATATTCGGAGGGACCGAAAAATCTGCCATCCCAAAGACTTTCACTTGTGGGCTCTCCATCGACGATATGTCCTGGCGAACAATGTCGTTTTGTACCCGGACCGAGGACTCCCTTCGCCATAGGAAACTCATCTCTGATAGGTCTACAATGGTCCCAGTGCGCATGGCTGCCGTTCTCATTAGTACAGGCATGTAAGCTTCCCTCTGTTTCGATCACCAACCTGAAGAAGACGGTATCGATCTGCTCACCCTGCACGTTCAGAGCTTCGAGCTGCTTCACAAGAGGCTTTTTAGGACCCACCGGGTTTGCGAGTGACCATTGTGTGTCTAGCACTAGCGGAGTGTAAAGGCTGCGGTCCTGGCCAGGCGCCGATCAGCTCAACGGCATTGCTGCGCTGCAGCGTCATGTGCTTACCGAACTGATGCCTACATCCCATAGTATGTGTCTGTTTGAGGTTGGATGGTAGATATGGAAGCACCAGTCATACATCCGAAAGGCACGTGAATTCGTGTTGGCGTGAAGCATAGAGATATCAGCAGTGGATAAGCTGCCTCCATCCAGAAGGTCGACACGTACTGTCGCCATATTCATGCGAGATGCTGAAGCTCAATCAACATTAGGGGCCTCAATATGTCGTAAGTTCTGGTCAGGATCTACGAATAACGAGGATTAGCTACTCGTACGAAGATCGAACACGGATCTAAGATGTGGGGTAGCCTTTACCTCTTGCGCTCAAGTTTCGGTTCTATGGTGATCGGACCGCCTAGAAGAACATGGCAAGCTAATAATGGAAGATGCGATGGCTTGTCCACGACAGCGGCAATGAGCCTATGCGTGACATTAGTCCTGATCCTGGGAAACGTGTGGACCACGCGCGAGCGCTTCACCGTATCTTGAAATTGATGCTCAACAGCATGCTTAGCGCAAACAAAGGTATGGAAAGACTCAAGATTACAACAGGCTTGACACAGGGGGCTCACATGTCTGACTACATGGCTGAAAACATAATACCACAATGCGAAATCACAAGCAAAGATCATGCCCAAGCATAACCTGGATATTTCCAGTCGAGTGTCAGAACCCCACCTCGTACGACACCCCACGACTACAGCGAAGAGGCTGTGACATATCGAAGCTTTCCATAGCGACTCTGCCATTGATACGGCCTAGGTTCTCAGTTTACTGTATCGATAGTCCACCAAGTCATTCAGCGACTTTACAACACATCAGTAATCTCAATAGTTTTCAGTCAGGATGACAACACGGGAACTGCATACCCCTGATCTAACCAGGCTGAAGGGCAAAACTGTGGTCGTTACCGGTGGTGCGACTGGCATTGGTCGTGCGACTGTACGGCTCCTGCACGGTAGCGGAAATCTGGTTTATCCTCAGGGAGGCTGACTGACATTTACAGAGCACGGCGCCAACATTGTCTTGGCAGACTGGAACGAGACTGAGGCAAATGCCTTGTTGAAGGAGCTGAGACACCCATCGTGTGTATAAAGTCACTATTAGATAGCTGCTCTTGCTCACAACGCTGTTTAGAAGCATACTTTTCACCAAGACAAATGTGGCAAGATGGGAGGATATACGCAATGCTTTTCAAGCTGGCTATGAAACGTTCTCCTCTATCGATGCGATAATCTCGAATGCTGGAATCAATTCAGCAGAAACGCTGCTGGACTTTGACCTCGACAAAGAAAATGGCTCATTATTACCGCCGAACCTAGACTCTTTGGAAATTAATCTAATTGGCCATATGTACATGGTCAGGTGCGCAATGTACTACTTCGAAAAGTCGAAGACAGTCACAGGTTGTATAGTCTTAACAGCATCGGCTGCTGCTTTTCTGGATACTCCACCATTGTATATCTATTCAATTGCCAAGGCAGGACTGCTTGGTCTCATGCGATCTCTTCGAACAACGGTGACAAAGCAAAACGTCACTATCAACGCAGTCGCACCCTGGATGACCAGTATGCCTCTTTTTCGAATTGCCATGTCCGTGAAGGCTAATCGCTTACAGTGTCTCCCATGGTCCCTCGAGCTCTAGTAGATCTTTGGGGTGATCTGCCTTCAAATACGGGTGACGGTGTAGCGCGCGGACTTGTACTTCCCATCTGTAATCCTAGCATAAATGGGAAGACGTTCTTTGTGGCAGGAAACACACTTGTGGAGGTAGAAGACGCGATTGCAGCAAACGAGCACCTTATCTTCGGAAAAGAGCTTTCAGAACAAATTAAAGAGGGCCAACGAAGGCTTCTGACTGACAACCCTTTCACTTGAGGCTATTTTGCTGGACAAGTGATAGATAGCAAACTCTTCCATCGTTAGATCAATTCGCATTCGAGGGCGACAGCATGTGGTGTAATGCGTTCTGCCAATCATCGGGCCGATCGAGACTGTTTATTTTCTATCAAGTTCATCGCGAACTCAAGAAAGCTAGACAACCTGTATTGAAACCTTTTTATTTCATCATGTCCCCTGTTCACATGAAATCATGATCAAAGCCTTTACTAGTCCACATCTACTGGCAAGATGACAAGAAATTGAGAGGACTATTCACAGTTCGCATAGTACTTCAATCGGGGCGATCAACATTTCAATAGCACACGGAGACCAGTGCATTCAACAACAAGCTAGTTGTGAGGAAATGTTATGCTTGACAACATTTTGTATGCAAAGAAGAGTGCTATGTTGCTATCATGCCCAGGATTTTGGATCTGATATTTGGGGGACCCAAATACCATTGAATACGCAGCGTATTGGTCATCCGAAACACATCCGAGAAAGTAGGCAAGACACCTTGCGTAACACCGTCTCACGACTTATGATCCATCTGCTGCAAAAGCTTTCTGGACATCCGTTTCGCACCTATAAGTTACGATGCTGTCAGCGTGACGACTCAGTCTATATTCCCTACTGTTACTAGATTGTATCTGGGAACATATTATGTTGGTTGAATTTCAGCCATTCATGGTCGTGAGCCGATATTACTTCGACGCCCCAGCTGGCTAAGACCTTGACTTTCTGCAGGGTCTGCCTTGCCCCAGCTGGATCAGTGTGTATACACATTCGATGACCGACTTCGGTCTCCCAATGAGCGAAATCGCGATCTTCATCCAGTAGACGTCTATCGTGAAAGGCATCGCCGCTCAGACAGACAAATTTGTTTGATCTTGTCCGACACAAAAGGTTGATATGACCAGGCAAATGGTCAGGCGCATCCAACACGTAGACTGTGCCGTCACCAAAAACATCCAACGAAGCATCGGATGGTCCAAGTGGTTTCCAGCTAGTTCTATCAGCAGGCGAGCTGAGCTTAATGACGCGGTCTAGGGGCAGAAGATCAGGGTCAAAATGCTGGTGAGAGCCCATGCCTCTAGGAGGATCTGCCAACAATCTCAATGAACCATTACCAACCACGAACGTCGATTTTGGAAAGGTCTTAGGGTCTCCATGATGATCATAGTGTACGTGACTCAGGAGAATGAGATCCATGTCATCGGCATGCAGGTCTCCTGATGCAAGCTGAGCTGCGGCCCCCTGTTGAAGCTTGTAAGCCCGTCGGTTTTGCAGATGCTCTTGAGTTGCAGCACAATAGCGATCCTCAGAATGTCTGAGCCCGAGGTCGAAGAGTATTCTGAACGGTTTCTTTGTCATAGTCTGGTTCAGTCCTGAGGCTGCTGCTTGACCAGCATGCTTTACCAAGAACGCCATTGAAGGGACTGTTTATTTGGCGTGCATATCAGCCCCAGATGTGAAAGATCTTTCGGGCAACGTAATTGACCCGCATACAAGAGGTGAGACAGCAACATATCGTCCCTTCCATCGTGTAGTAGCATGGGATTCCATGCATCTAGACAACAGTAACAAAATGATTAGTCTGTTTCAATCACTCGTTAATCCAGCAGCGGTTACTGGAAGACAGGATGTGGGGTCGACCACTTCTTCTTCGCATCAAGTATATAGGCTTTGATGAAGCTACCGCCCGGACTTTATTTCACTATGGAGCCTGAACTTTGCAAAGCCTGTGCGCACACCTTGATGTCGTGAACACATGCTCAGACTCAATCTCCAATATCTGACGAGCTTAGCTGATTTTGCATGTGTCAAGAGATTTCGTGAGCTAACGAGCAAGCAAATCTTCGAGTCGATGTCACCCTCTTGTGCGGGAAATGAATGTCCATATGATTTCTTGCATCCATGCAAAGTCTGCTACGGTAGAACCTCTTGTGCGCAATCTCTGGCAAGACGTACCGCTTGACAATGAGGTCGACACAAGAGCAATTAGCGTTTAATTTTCGTGCAGATACCCAAGCTGGAATAACAACTAATGTAACCATTACTAAAAACACAGTACGCAAGTGGGTGTCCACTCGGTCGTAACTTCAAAGTTCCTCCCCCACATGCCATGATCGCTTTTACTTGTAGTTTAAACTATCTGGATCTCGTTGGTTAGAGGGCACTACTTGCATCTGTTCAGAAACACGATATGGAAACACTTCATCATCCCAAGCTAGGCAAAATCCGGGGCAAGATCGTGGATGATGTGAAATCTTTTCTAGGCCTTCCTTATGCGTCACTGAAGCATCGCTTTGCTGAGCCGCAGCTTGTGTTACAGTATGCTGGACACGAACATGACGCTACCAAGCCTGGGTGAGCACTATGTGCTTGCATACTAAAGCACCATTGAAGATTGACCATGATTGCATCTAGTCCGATTGCGGCCAACATTCCCAATGCTTGCGAGCGCGAGCACGATCTCATTCAGTGCTCTTTACCAAGCAGCAAGTTTGACTTTGCGGAGCTTGACTGCTTAAATCTATCGGTTCATACTCCAGCTGCTACATGCAATGGTCTGCCCGTTGTCGTTTTTATTCATGGGGGTGGTTTCGCGACAGGGTCTCATGTATGTCTGAAGCCAGTTCCGGACAGACGCCAGCTGAGATATGTAGGCATGGCCACAATACGATTTGGCTCGAATTGTTCGACAGTCTGTAAAGGACAATCAACCTATCATTGGTATTGGTATCAAGTATGTTGAAATAACCACACACGGAACGTAACTCATTCAAGTGCCAATCAGCTACCGCCTCGGCTTGTCTGGCTTCTTATACTCTGAGAATCTTAGAAGAGCTGGTATCAAACCGAATAGGGGCCTCATGGACCAGAAAGCGGCGTTGTCGTGGATCAATCGAAATATTCATAACTTTGGCGGAGATAGTCGCAGGATCACACTGCTCGGTGAGAGCGCTGGAGCTGGTGAGTACAGAAAGCGAGCACAAAGTGTGTCTGTCCTAATGATTACAGTATCTGTTTTCCACCACTTAAGTTCGGTTGAGTCACTGTTTGGACAAGTCATAGCAATGAGTGGCACTCCGCTACTGATGAAAGCCCTTCCACCACCAGCATACGAGCACATGTATAAGATCGTGCTCGAAGCACTGGACATCAAATCCCAAAAGCCGCACGAGGAACTCGAGGCGCTTCTGCAAATAACCTCAGATGACATATTGAACAAGGTTCCTCCCACTGCAGTCTTGCTGCCTGTGGAGGGTGCTGGCACCATCAACCTACAACTAGGCTCGTCCAATCTCGAAAAAAGTGTCACAGAGCTACCTGGTCTTGTGTGGTGTAGAAGGATCATGACAGGAGATTGCCAGCTAGATGTAAGATATACCACCGAGCCAAAGGTCGAAGCTAATGGACTTATAGAGCAGTATATTCATGGCCATGCTTCAGTCTAAGGCGAACCTTGTCGATAGGTTCCGGCTTGCTGTTTCGGATGCCGTACAACACGATGACCGTCTTACACAGCTAGTTCTCGACACATACGATGTCAAGCCCATCTCTGTGCTAGAAGAAGTGAATCGATCTGTGCTTCGATTCATCTCAGATATAGGCTTTTACGTACCTACTATCTCTATTGCTGACTCGTGGCCGACCGATCGAGCTTTTGTGTACCATTTCAACGAACGAAATCCGTGGGCAGGCCCATTCAAAGGTTTTGCAACACATATCTTAGACGTTGCTTTCTTGTTTCAAAACTACTCAGAACTTCTCTCTGAAGAACAACGGACATCATCTGAGGACATGGCTAAGCACGTCGTCACATTTGTAAATGGCAAGGATCCATTTTCACCGTTTAAGGGCAAGCAGAATGGTGGTGCTCATATATATGGGCCTTCTGGTCAGGCTGGTTTCATTGTTTTTGGATCAGCAGAGGCCGTTGGCCGTGATTCGAGAATCTGGAAGCTTGGTGATCAGGTCGGTTTGGATAGATTACTGGAAGCATTCCAGAATATTCTCAGAGGTTAAAAGCCATTTGCCTATACATGGCAACAGTGACAAGGGACAAGTCGCATGGAGCATTGTGAGAGCGGCAAAGTAAAAGAGTTGAATATTTAAGTCAAGCGCCGTTACAACCATCACAACTAAGATGAAGTGATAAATCAGCAGTGAGTAGCACCTGCAAATCGTTGTGCTGTGCAGTAACGGGATTATCACATTCCAATCGTGGAGGCTTGAATGTTTGCCAGTCCTGCTGGGGTGACCCCACCTCGTATTCTATGAACAAAGCTATTTAGCTTTCAGATACTTCACTCTTGCAACTTTGAGGCGACAAATATCCTATCCGAGGCATCAACATCCCTTGGCACAGACTTCAAAGTCGCTGAATCATCTTCATCATCATGCAGACGTCATCCGACGATGCTGCCAAAGCAGCACATCAGACTCTATATGAATTGGGCATCAAATGTCGTCGCGAAGTTGTTGGAGATGCGTATGTTGATCGGGCGCTGTCACAAGGAAGCAGCGACTTTGCAAAACCTATGCAGGAATTAGTCACCGAGACATGTTGGGGGTCTGTATGGACAAGGCCAGGACTTGATCGCAAGCAGAGAAGCCTTCCAAATATCGGGATGTTGTCTGCTTTGAATCGATCCACTGAGCTGGCCAGCCACGTACGAGGGGCTGTCAGGAACGGACTGACACTCGTTGAGATTCGAGAAGCATTATTGCAGGTATCACAGTATGTGGGAATGCCGGCAGGGTTAGAAGGATTCAAGGTTGCGGAAAAAGTGATAAATGAGATGATCCAGAATGGAGAATATGCACCAACAACCTAAGCAGGCGACCGGACAATGGAGGATTTGGGCTATGATCTTTTGAGAGATCTGAGTGAGCTGATAGAATCGATCATGGTATCACAAGAATTGACGTTTCGAGAAGATACTCGCTGATCTCGTAGAATTATATGTGGGAATTTTGAGTGCTCACTCTGGACAACGTCACATAGCTTGCTGTAGGAGTATCGTCAGACAGATCTCCCGAAGCACTCCAGTGTCTGCCCACTTTGGTAGGCTTCTCCACCTCGTCCGCTATAGCGACAGCCAAGTCCGCCGCAGAGATACCAAGCAGTCGACCGTCGAGGTTCGTGGGATCATCTGCGTCACCACGCACAGGCAGTCTATCATACCACACTTGATAATGTCCCGTCCTTTTGCCTGGACGATAAAGAGCACTAGGTGAGACGAAAGTCCACCGAAAAGAGGTATTGCCATCGAAGAACATGAAAGTTGTGCGACAAGCAGTCACAAAAACAAGAGCACCATCGTTCTTGACAACAGCCTGCTCGTAGCTGTCAATGACCTCTCGTGACTTGACAGACCCGTGGCCACGGTTTTCCTCCATTCTTGCATTTCTGTAAGCGCGAAGAGCCGAGCCCATAGGGCCAAGTCTCTCTTCCATATAGCTTGTATGGGCTTCACTATCTGCGATGGCTCTTCGATAAGAAATCCACCATGGCTTGTTCTCCAACACAGACTGGAAACCAATTCCTGGCATATACAGGCTGCCACAGCCTCCTACCATGACAAAATAGCCGACGTTGGCATGTCGCGCTGCTAGAATGATCTTTCGAGTGACCTCCAAGAAAGGCACTGTTACGTTTGTGTCAGTAAACAAGACTACTTATGACAAGTGTTACCCACTATACTTCAGAGCTTCATGACCAGCTGAGTGTGGTCCATAAGCATTAATCAGGACGTCAACATCTTTGAACGTCCGTGCCAAGGACTCGATGCTTAGACTATTGACGTCTGCGGCTCTGGCCAGGTATCTTTCGTGCTGTCCGAGAGTATGTGGATTCCTTGAAATCCCAATCACCGTATGGCCTCGATTGATGAGTTCTAGGCATAGGTAAGATCCAGTGAAGCCGGCTGGTCCGATGATTCCAATGTTCAAAGGGTGGCCAGACATGGTGACGGGAGGCTAATCTCTATGACGGAGAATACCAAGCACTGGCTACTGGAACATGCTCGACACAGCAATCGTCTGGGGCGTGAAGTAGCAAAACTTATCGAGTGCTGGCTGGGCTAAGAACCACGTGGGGTAGTCTAGCCCCGTCAAACCCGTAGTAGTAGTAGTAAGCTTTAGCGAGATTGGAGGCCGAGAACCAATCGAGGACCCACCCCCAGCTTTACCAAATTCCCCCATCTTCATGGACGAACTCAGATGTGGGGTAAAGCCTGTCTTCCTGTCAAAGCTATAGAAGCTTTAGATACCCTAGCGATCAGGGAAAATGTTCAGTCAAATCGCCTGGAAGTGTTTAAATTTCTGTTCTTGATAACAAGCTCCCACTACTTTTCGCAAGCATGGGTTTCCTCGGCATCCTGGAGGACACAAAACTTGCTCACGTTCCTGCTACTGTCATCCTAGACGATGTCCACAACACTGGCAATGCAAACAGCAGTACCTCCTCTCTCAAACACGGCACAGGCAGGCACTCTCACGTCGTACTTGTTCCTCAACCATCCGAAGACCCTAATGATCCACTCAACTGGCCAACTCACAAGAAGACAGTGATCATGATGCTTGCAAGCTTGGGCGGTTGCATCTTCGCCTCGACCTTTGGACCGCTTTTGAACGCTGGACTGTTCGTTGTCGCGCAGGAGTTGGATCGAACATTGACGGATATCACTGTCACTAGTGGATACACTCTTCTCGTCGCTGGATCGAGTGGAGCTTTTGTCTCCGCCTTCTCCCAGAAATGGGGAAAGCGTCCAGTCTTACTCGTATCTGCTCTTTTCGGATTTATTGGCTCTATTATGGGTTCGACTGTCACAAGCTACCATACACTTCTGGCCGCACGCATAGTACAGGGGTTTGCGACAGCTGCTTACGAGAGTCTGATCATCTCAATGATCGGAGACCTCTATTTCGTGCACCAGAGAGGTGTATATGTGGCCCTCACGAGCTTGATCTTAGGAGGCGTCTCCAACTTCTCGAGTGTCATCTGCGGAGCTATCACCAAGAACCTGGGGTGGAAGTATCTATTCCATTTCTGCACAATGGCATCAGGTCTTCACTTGATACTCTCTTTCTTTTTCTGGCCTGAAACTCAATATCGACGGGATCACCGCTATGATATCGATGAGTTAATTGACGACAACCTTGATGAACTCGTTGGGGTGGAAAAACGACATCAGGCCGAGCTCGAAGACATCGAGAAGACGGCGACGACAGTTTCTTCAAGTTCAGCTTTCCACATTCCACCAAAGAAAACATTTATGCAGGAGCTGGCAATCTTTTCAGGCATATACTCGTCCCAGAATCTACTCAAGCTCATCGCGGCACCGTTTCTTGTCAACACCAACCTCGCCGTGCTATTTGTTGTTGTTATCACTGGCAGTCTGACCGCTCTCTATGTTGCGATGTCTTTTGTGATAGCACAAATCTTTTCAGCTCCGCCATACCTCCTCACACCTTTTGGAGTGGGCAATCTCTTTATCGGACCGTTCATTGGCGGTCTGGTAGCTGTTGTGTTCGTCGCGGCGACCTATGATGGTTTCATCAAATGGTGCTCTCGAAAGAACAATGGTGTATATGAGCCAGAATACCGTCTGCTCCTGAATTGGTTCGGCATAGTGGCTGCAGCAGGCCTAGTCGGGTTTGGTGTGTTGTGCCAAAACAGTGCAAGTTATTATGCGACCGCAACGATGCACGCAATTGTGCTTTTCGGAATCGTTGCCTCGTCCACCGCCCTCAATTCGTATGCTCTTGACGCTTTCAGAGACATGAGCAATGAGATCTTCGTTGCCGGAATTATTTACAAAAACTTCCTTTTCTACGGCTTCTCATATTTTGTCAACAACTGGACCGCAACAGCTGGACCCAAAGTTGTCTTTGGTACCTTCGGTGGTGTCGCTGCTGCTCTGGTATTGACTACCCCAATCTTTTTCCACTGGGGCAAACGCTATCGCAGCCACTGGGCAAGACATAATATCCTGAAGAAGTTGTCCATCGAAACCCATGCCAGCTTGTAGCAGCCGGATGGCGTACTTCTGAGCATGGCGCAATAGGCCATGTAGTTCTTTTCGTATCGTGCATAACTCTGTACTCAGAATATAATCTTTAACGAAATCGTTGATCATCGTTGTTCGAAGTCAAAACGTTTCGATTCATATTGACCAAGCGCGTCGCGAGGTTTGCTCAAGCCTGTTGAATGGTTATGATAGGTGGGGTATGACTAACATATAAGTTTGCTGCTTCTCGCTTATGGAAAGCTCGCGCGATCCAGCAACCTCGTGTTAGTTCTCTCAAGCATGGCATCTCCTCCGGGCAAGATCATCACTCATAGCAATGGACAGACAACTCATTACATCGAAGATGATTTTACAGACCCATGGAAACCTTGTGAGACTGTTTTAATCCAGCATGGATTTGCTCGTCATACCGCCTTTTGGTATCACTGGATACCAGCGCTTGCGCGAGAATATAGAGTGGTTCGGCGTGATGCTCGCGGTCATGGATTCTCGAGCGTTCCTTCGGCAGATTCCAGTTATAGATACACGATGGAGACCGTATGCTCAGAGATCATTGACACCATGGATCAGCTCAACATCGACAAGGTCCATTTTCTGGGAGAATCCACAAGCGGCATGGTTGGAGAGATACTGGCGGTCAAATACCCTCACCGACTACATTCACTAACCATTTGCTCCTCTCCAACGTATCTACCACCACGAGCTCTGTCCCTGTTCGCATTTGGCCACTCTGATTGGCCGACTGCTTGTCGTTCGCTGGGATCTCGAGGCTGGGCTGAGAGTCTGAGCACAATACCAGGGACTGTTCAAAACACAAATCCCGCATATTTGAAATGGTGGGTGGATCAGGTTGCTCTATCGAGTGGCGAGGGTCTGGCAGGATACGCAGGTTTTCTCTCCGAATTGGATGCCAGAGATTACTTGCCACTAATCAAGATACCTATGTTAATTTTGGCACCAACTAATAGTGCTGCTGTATCTATGAAAGACCAGGAAGGCATTCAGGCGATCGTGCCAGGCTGTCAGCTTATCAAGATTGATGGTGTGGGACACGAGATCTATACCGAGAAGTCGTCAGAGTGCCAGAGAGCATTTTTGGATTTCTTGGGAAATATCCAATGCCAATGATTGATGTGCTTGAGGCATTGTGGTACAGCTCCTATCTTCGCAGGGTCTTTGCAATACTCAAGCACATTTCTTCATGCTTCAGCTATTGAATCTCCGTGCAATTCGTTGTTCAAAGTTCATCGAAATGCGATTTGTAGTTTATGAAACATCGACCAGCACCACTAGAGCTGGAAACTGTCTGCCTGCACCGAAGAGGGTATTTCTGTATGCGCATCAGAAATCCCTGTCTTGATATTACCGCGTATTTTGATCTTCTGACACTATCATTCCTCACCGTGGTCTGTGCATCAGTTTCCGATCCTGGCTGTCCGGGTAGTCCAATGCTCGCGTAGCTATTCAACATGGCAAGCGTTATCGCTCGCTGCTTCCCACTCGCCGTGCAACTCCACACTACCAGCCGTCCAAGAGCCTCAATACAGACAAGATGATTTTTTGCTTGATCGAGTTTGAGTGCGCCCGACCATAACCCAGGTGGGACACGTGAAATTGAGATTGAGCTCAAGTGACAGCGATTCATAGAGCAAATATCAGTCGGGTATGTTATTCCATCCGAGACTCTGAAAAAGGCAGCAAGGTCACAGGGAGGGCGTGCTGGTGATGGGATGGTTTGGTAGTGGTAACCTCACCGTCGCTAAGGTCAAATTCTGAAGCGTCAAGGTTTTGCCCAGCCTCAGGGGTAGTCATCAGTCAGACAATGGGATAGAGCATGACTCGGAGCTCTGCTGAAGTCATGAATGGCACGGGCCGCAGTGCGTGCATTATGTGCGACAGTGTTGGCGATACTACAGTGATATGGTTTGCGATTCTGGATGTGGAAGGTCGGACGACCCCGCAGAGGTTACTGAGTTCGCAAGGTTGGTGACATGGTCGTGCATATCTCACACCCTGCAACCTCAAGCGCTTTGCTTGAGGCTCGTGACATGACATCGTCTAGTGTCAGTGCTCTTCAATCTTCCATCAGGAATGAGATGCGAGTCGTCGCAATGAGGCGCTGAGCTCGTTCTGCTTCGTTCTCGTACTGTGGAACTGGGAAGATGACTTGAAACTCGATCGCAATCGACAGGCTATAGGCCAGTGTTTCAGATCAAGCAACACCTGGCTAAAAGTACTAGAATAGGTAGAGGCCTCAACCGTCAAGATAACACGAAGCAGACGATCCAGAGAAGCCTATGCGCATCCACCACGTCCCACTAAGCACATATTCTGTCATGAAGAGGTTGCTTGAATTTGGAGGCGTTTGGTTGTAGGCGAACATGCGTCGAGTTTCCCTGCCAGACTCACCTGCAGTTGCGGACTGTGCCCTTTTCACAGACTCACATCCTCGGCCTTCTTACCTCCCACAGCCTTTGTTGACATTTCTTCCCGCAAGTTACATCTAGAGCTAGGTCTACATGCACGCGTCGCTTCAAGAGGTTGATAGACTCATACAAACTCATACGAAGGCTCTACTTTGGAGCCTTTCGAGCAGGGTTGTGCTTCAAATCTGTCGCGACTACACTACTGGCATCAAAAACACTACAAGCTGAAAGACGTTTCATGCCCTATATCTTTCGGTAAGGTTGCAGAGTTATTGGATATTATGCATCAACGTTCTCTTTAAGATCAAGTCAAATCAGTTCGACCAGCTACCTGGTCAGCCTCCCAATCCTGTTTACCACCGAGGTATTTGAACACTACTCTTGCGTCGAGTTCACTGTATTCAGGATCAGTGCTGGCCTCTGTGTAGAGTTTCAAAGCTGCATCGCCAAGCGCAAGTCGAGCACCCCCACTCTTGGCTGCATCTACTGCTAGGCCAAAATCCTTGCGCATTAGTCGAAGCTTAAAGCCACCCTGATAGCCGTGACTAGATGGAGCGTCTGGACAGAGACCTGGTACCGGGTTCCAGGTATCATTGACAGTGCTGCTTGCTGTGCTTGTCTTGAATATTTTGTGGAGAACTCTAGGATCCATCCCTTGTGACATCGCTATGTTGAAAGCTTCAGACGTTGCGATAGCAATAAGACCAGAGCAATAATTGTTGCAGAACTTCGCGAGGAGCCCCAGACCTGGTCCCCCACAGGGTATGATCGATTTGCCTAGCATACTAAGTATGCTCTGGAGAAATCCGACGTTCTGGTCATTGGGGCCACAGCCGAGCATGAAAGTCAATGTCCCGTTCTCAGCACCAAGTGAGCCCCCAGATACTGGGCAGTCGTAAAATGACGCGGAGGTGCTTTTTCCTTTGACAGCCTGCCGGACGAGACTCGAAGTTGTGATATCGATGGTGGAGCAATCAATCAGAATTCTGTCAGATAGGTCGGCTGACAAAATTCCGACATCTGGAGTCATGTACACGGAACGAAGATGATGCCCTTCAGGAACCATAGTTAGAACGGTGTGCTGCTGGCGTGTTAGTTTCGTCAGGTCTCTGCGATCTGCCAGGTCAAAAACAACTCACGGAAGATGCTGCGACCTCGCGAGAGTTTTGCTGCACTACTACGCGACCCGGATGTTGTTCAGCCAATACTCTTGTTACTTCGGTATTAACATCGAAGACATAAATGACAACATCTCTCTCGGTCAGCTTCGTAAGCCTTTCGACCATACGAAGCCCCATAACCCCAAGACCAATAAACCCAATCGACTTTGGTACCGACATTTTGAATTTAGGTCGCGTTTCTGATCACAATGATAGACACGTACTTCACCATTCAAGTACTTATTGGTCCATCGTTGGCGCTGAAGTGGCTAGGGTGCACTTCAGAGTCAAGATGGACCCAGAAAGATGCGAAGTCAAACTCCAACCCCACACGACCCCGATCTGATAGTCCAGTTGTCCCCTCAAACGTTGATCACATGTGAATTCTAGACGCCATTGAATGATCAACTATAACACTACAACTCTTAATTGAGTCAATCTGTTGTCGTTCAGATCAAAAAATACATACGATACTCCTGACTCAACTGACCATGCCGTCAATTCAAGACTTCAAACCTTATGTCGTAGTTGTTGGGGCTGGACCTGCAGGACTCCTGCTTGCTCTCTTGCTTGCGAAGAGGAATGTGCCTGTGCAAGTTATCGACTCAAACAAGTCTGTGCCGCAGCAGGCAAGAGCTACACATTATGCATCACCAGCCGTCTACGAGCTTCAGCGTGCTGGTGTACTCAACGAAGTACGGTCAGAAGGATTCAGTCCTGGCAAAGTCGTGTGGCGAAAACTTGACACCAGTGTCATCGCTGGCATTGATGGTACTCTTATGAAAGACGAATACGACCGAATGGTCTGCTTACCTCTAAATCGATTGTGCGAAATTCTGCTTGACAGGCTCGCACGCGAATCTCACGCGGTTGTTTCATGGGGTTACCAAGCTCTATCTATCGGGCAAGAAGATGATGAAGCGTGGATAGAAGTCGAATATGGAGGTCAACGAGAAACGATCACAGCGTCGTACATTGTTGGCTGTGATGGCGCGAACAGTCAAATTCGACGCTCGTTATTTGGTGACTGGGAGTTCCCTGGCAAAACATGGAACGAGCAAATTGTGGCGACCAACGTCGGTGATTGGAGATCGCTTCAGAAAAGTAAAGGCTAACTGGGCTTTTAGACTTATTATGATTTCGATAAGTATGGCTATGATGACTCAAATTTCATCATTGATCGAGAGCATTGGCACATGGCTGCTCGGATATCCAAAGACGGTCTCTGGAGGGTGACTTACGGCGAGATCCCTGGGTTGACATCAGATGAGCTGCGAGCGAGAATGGATGACAAGTTCCATACATTTTTGCCAGGAAAACCGCAACCGCACGAGTACGAAGTGGTAAACTTCAGTCCCTACAAAGTGCACCAGAGATTAGCTCCTAAGATGAGAGTCGGGCGTTTTTGCATTGCTGCAGACGCCGCGCATTGTGAGTGAAGGTCCAATCAGGAAACCAATGCTAACGCCAGCCAGTGTGCAACCCATTTGGTGGGCTCGGCCTTACGGGCGGTATTGTTGATGTAGGTGGACTCTACGATTGCTTGGCTGGTATATATGAAGGCAAGGCAGACGACAGCATTCTGGACAAGTACGATGAGATAAGGAGGCAGAAGTATAACGAGATTGTGGATCCTATATCAAGCTCGAATCTCCGCCGTCTTTTCGATCAGGATCCAAACACAGCTCTTGAGAACGATGAGTTTCTCAGACTGTGTAAGAAAGCAGAGAAGGACCCTGTGCTATCGCGCCAAATGCAAAGAGGGGCTGATGCTTTGAAACACGACTTCACTCAATACTACAAGACCTGACATATAGCTGTGTAATGATATGGAAGTCTATCTCGGCTCCAGGCTCGAATAGGCATTATCTGATTAGTACAGACATTTGATCATCTACAGGCTCAGGCTTTATCGTTTGGTGAGCAATCTCTTGGCTGCTGCCAACCTGTTACACTCAAGCACTGTCGTGGTCGGAACCAGTCTGCATAATTTCCGATTCATGGAGAAGATCAGTAAGTGAGTCCAGCCAATGGTTTAGAATATTGCCACTCCATCCACCGACATACTAGTTCCCTGTTGGCTTTCGCCCCACAGCTCTTCAAAATCACTCCAGTTATAAGGGGTGTCAGCCCCTCCATTGAATGTGGGGTTTGAGAATGTGGGACCGCTTCCTCAGCAAGGCTGCCACTGCGGTATATACACTCCGACATACAAACATACGAAGTGACAAGCCTGAGGCCTAGCATAGCTCGTCGAAATGTCGCAGAAACTGCAAGATCCAAAGGAATACCAAAACATTTTCCACTGGGCGGAAACCCAAAAGAATGGCACAATCCCATCGTTTGCAGTGAGAAAGAATGATCCTTATCAATATCAACCAGGGTTCAATAATCATTTCGAATCGCAAGCTATACCTGGGGTAATTCCACAAGGACAAAACAGTCCGAGGGGCGTCCGGTATGGCCTGTATACCGAGCAGATGACAGCATCAGCCTTTGTGGCGCCTCGTCATCGAAACAAAAAAGCGTGGTTGTACCGAGCTCGTCCGGCTGTGGCACATCAAGGATTCGTAAGACACTACATGATGGACTGACCACGAAGCTGACCTAAGGATGTAGACAGACTTGCCTGACAACAAGAATACGGAGTCTAATTTCTTGCCCATGAACTCGAGGGTACATGTCTCTCCGACACAGCTTGCATGGCTGCCCTTCGATATCCCTACCGAAAAGGTAGATTTTGTCGATGGTCTAGCAACGATCGCTGGCTCGGGTGAGCCTACCTTGAGAGAAGGAATCGCAACGCATGTCTATCTAGCCAACGAGAGCATGCACAAGAAGGCATTCGTTAACTCCGATGGTGATTTCTTGATCGTTCCTCAACAAGGTGCTCTGGGCATTCAAACAGAATTTGGACCTTTGTACGTGCAACCCGGCGAGATCTGCGTCATTCAACGAGGCCAGCGCTTCCGTATCAGCGTTGAGGGGCCTTCAAGAGGTTACATCCTGGAGATATGGGGCGCTAATTTCGAGCTTCCCGAGCTCGGTCCGCTCGGCGCAAATGGACTGGCTAATCCACGAGACTTTCTGCATCCTTGCGCCAAGTATGAGATCACCCACGATGACCCGTGGTCAATCGTATACAAATTGGGAGGCAAGTTTTTCAGAAGCACACAAAACCACTCGCCTTTTGACGTGGTCGCATGGCATGGAAATTACGTGCCGTACAAGTACGACTTGACTAAATTTGTGAATGTCGGCTCGATATCAGTGGATCACATTGATCCCTCCATATTTTGTGTACTGACTGCACGTTCACGGGATCCAGATGCCCCCTTGGCAGACTTCCTTATCTTCTCTCCCCGGTGGGATGTGGCGTCGCATACCTATCGACCACCTTATTATCATCGTAATGTGGCCTCGGAATTGATGGGTCTTGTTTATGGAGAGTATGGTGGTAGATCAGATGAATTTCAGCCCGGCAGTGTCTCCTTCGAATGTGGAATGGTTCCGCACGGCGTCGCTTACGAAGTGAGTATCAATTTCTTACCCTGTATATCACGAGCTCAGCTAACCCTCGCAATCAGGAATTCAAAGCAGCAAGCGAGAACGAAGTCCCACAGATGCAAATATCGAAGGGCTCTATCGCGTTCATGTTTGAAAGTAGCCGACCATTCACCATTACAGATTGGGCCTGGAACAGCAACAAGAAACATGAGCATGAGCCTAAAATGTGGGACAATCTAGTGAACAACTTCTCGGAGTTTCAGCTGAACAACAAAAGTCTATCGAACGGCAATCAGAACGGGTCTTGAGGTAACTTACCTGTCTTTGACGTAAAACCATGATAGCTTTGGGACGCTACTTAAATTTCATATCAACAAACTGGTAGCAAAATCGGCATGTTTGTGATTTGCAAAAACTGAGCTTCACAATGGTGATTCATCAACTCCATTGCTATCGTCCTCGCCATAGGACAGGACTACCTCACCAGCGATGTAGAGAAACATAGCTCGATAAATTGGCAAGTCTATTGCAGCTCAATCTCACGCATAGTCATCATCGTTGCGTGGCCTCCATTGTTTTTGTTCATTTTAACCAGCTGCTGGATCGAGGGAGTCTAGGGCTCCGCCTACCGTAGATATGATTTTGATATCTAGCTGCATGAATTTGTGGTGTTCACTAGGCTAGAAATTAATTCGTATGCTTCTCTTCAGCTTGCGAGGTCTCGTGGACTACGACGATCTGGCAAACTTTTTCTACATGGGTGTTGAGGCAGCCGTCAATTCCTCGCTGCCCAAGCCGGATACATGTGTAAGGTTTTCGACCTCTTGGTTATGCACGTGATACGAAATGTCAATAGACAACGAAAGGGAGGTGCATTCACAAAGAACGATCCACATTTGGTCGTCTATAAAGATATGCTGCTTGTGTTATCGGTATCAACGCGATAAACTGCACCAGATGATTCTAACTCGATCGAACGAGAATTTCCTCGCAACCATCAACGAAAGACAATTCCCTCCTCATCAGCCTTTGCAAATGCCTCACGCACGATCTGCTCGTGCCCAGTTGATCGAGGTTTGATATCAATTTCGAACTCAACCGGTACACTGAGGAATCCTCTAACCATGGTCTGCGAAGGTTCCTTCACATTTCCCGCTGCATCAATAGCTTTGTTGATATTGAAACCCCACAATGTACGAACAATGTTGATGTAGAGTGATCTCTCCGCGACGTGAACGCCAGGACATACACGCCTTCCAGCACCATATGTGAAGTGATCTCGCTTGCCAGGGTCGTTCGCGTTGATGTAGTCTGCTGCTGGTTGTGAATGGCCTAAGAAACGAGTGGGGTCGAATGTCTCTGGATGTGGGAACAGTTTGGGATCATAATGGATAGCCCTGCAAGATGGTTAGGCGATTTGGCTCAACTAGGCAATTTGTTGTCCATGACTTACCACCAGTTCAGCATCACTACACTGCCCTTGGGTATGAAGTAACCCTCATACCAATCATCTTCACTCGTACAGTGTGGCATTCCAAACTTGTTCACTGGCCTCCAGCGCAGCACTTCTTTCACTAGAGCTCTGACATAGGGTAGATTGGCTTCATCTTCCCACGAAGGCAGTCTGGTACTTCCAATTACTTGGTCAATCTCCTGTTGAGCTTTTTGAGCCACCTCTGGAAATATTGCCATCGCAAGAAGGAAGTTGTTTAGCGTGGTCGCTGTGGTCTCAGATCCAGCTTCAACAAGCCCGCCGCACGTATAAGCTGCCAAGAGGTCATCTATACCGTGCTTTTCCGGGTTTTGTAGATAGAAGTCCTTGACAAAGCACTCTTTAGCAGTACCTTCGTCGACCTCTTTCTTCAGCTGATTCCACAAGCCAAGGTAAACCTTGCTGTCATGCGTGAACACTTTCTCTGCTTGGTCACGCCAGTTGCCAAGAAGCCATTGAGGCCAACGAGCCAGCGAAGGGAAGCTGTCGACAACATGAGCACCTGGTGCGGTCATTTCCGTCAAATTGTCCAGGACTGTGTAGATCTTGGCCATGAGAGGATGTTTCCAGGAAGGTAGACGATATCCGTATGTGACAAGCATGATCACAGATGAACTGTAACGTCTGTTGTGCTGGTAGAAATCAGACGGAGTATCCAGAAGATCACGCATTAACTGTTTGGATTCGAAGTCCTGAATCGGTTGGTATCTCACTGCTGAGGAGATGTTGAGCAAGCTGTGGCTAGTTTTACGTAGGGTCCGCCATTCGGGTCCGTATTGCATGAAAAGTTGCCGTTTCCCACCACTCGCTACATCTTGTGCGAATGGTGTCGGAGCCCTGGAGGAGTACACAGCAGACTTCTTGTCCATGAGATCTCGGACGGCTTTGGGCGATGACAGCCAGACATAGTCTGTGCCACCGATCTTGGTATAGAAGATGTCTCCAAACTTTTGGTGCCATTCACGCGCTTTATCCCGCACGACCTCGGAATCTGCAATGTCTAGCAGATTTCCAATGAATGGTAGTCCTGCCGGACCTGGAGGCAGTTTACGCCGTCTCGAATCCTGTATGTTGTGTTAGTTTTGCTCATTCACCTGTAAAGATGTCGTTGCATACTTTTATGGCATTCGGTATCGTCAAAAGGTATATTGCAAGCAGAGACAGTGGTAGGAGAATCGCAAAGGCGGCCGCTAGCCTCAGAGGGTATTGTATCTCGACACTTGAAATTCTCATGGTCGCTGACATCTCGTCCCGGGTTCTCAAGATCAGGATGTAGCGATCAAACTGCGTAACTGCTGATATCGTTCAAGATGTTTTGATGAGCAAGTGGGGCGCCACGGCACCTTCAATCTTACCCCACGAGTTTTCTTATTCACGAAGTTGGAGCCAATACCTGGGGTGATCCCACCATGCGAGGAAGAAGAGCACAAGCACTGTAAAGCCCGCACTGCCGTTGCTGACCACTGCCGAGATTGCAAGTCTCCACGGTGATATCCATAGTCGAATCGCCCCATCTTTGGAGCATGACTCCCAGGCTCAATAGCACGTTCGAGGTAGATTTGTATCACTCTTTGGCCCTTCAACGTCCCGGCAGTCGTTCAGCGCACTTGCGACGATAGTGACGCATGATTGTGGGTAGCTATATTGGAAGCAGCGAAAGTGATGTGTGGGGCAAACCCCAAGTTGTGTACCAAAGCTATAGCTAGCGACCCTTTCCAGCATTTTGACCGTATTTGATCAGTTAGACTCAGTCGATGTCGAAGCTATGGAGTGCAGTCTTTCACACTCATCCTTGAGTGTCAAACTCATTGGGCGTGTGGATGGTACAACACACCAGTACCGAGGCATACCATATGGCTCTGTTACACGAAGATTTGACACACCGTCACCACATACCACATTCAAGGATCCACTGTTGTGCAAGAACTACGGGTAAGTATCTCCGATCATGACAGCCGGTGAAGAGAGCTAATTTTTACTTGGCTGAAGCCCTCGATGTCCTCAGAATGAGGTAGATGTGCGACATCTGTTGCGTCTTCCCGCTCTCACATCTCAAACACCTGAGCTGGAACATGAATTCGACTGCCTGAACTTGGACGTTGTATGTCCATCGTCGCGCTCAGCAACGCCTCTGCCGGTCTTGATCTGGATACATGGTACAACAAGCGCTGTTCAAAAGTCTTTGTTGTTCTATACTGACATTTCTTCTAGGCGGGTCCCAAATCGTCACCTTTGCTAGTGCTGCATCTGGAATCTGTGGTATGAGCTCGAAACATAGCAGTATATAGGACTGACAAAATGAGCTCCTCAACGACTGGTCCAAGAAGCAAGCGAGCTGAAGCGACCCTTCATCTTCGTTTCCGTTAATTTCCGTCTAAACATATTTGCCTTTGGTGATGGCATTACGACAAATCTTGCGCTCAAAGATCAGTCATTGGCTATCGCATGGGTTCGCCAGCATATAGCGGGCTTCGGAGGTGCTCCTGTGAGTTCCTGCAGACAAGTTGATCGACCCCCAAATATGACTAGTACAGAACCGAATCACGCTTGCTGGTGAGAGTGCAGGAGCAATGTATTGCCATGCGCATATGGTCACGGGTGCTCTCGTCGAACAAATAATTCTATCCTCAGGCTCGCTTTATCTGTCTCCTCCTCAACCCAAGCAGCGTGGTCTGGCCTTGGTAAAGTCGCTACAGGAGTATATCAAGACCACCACACGTCAAAGCTTGCGTAGTGCATCAGTCGAATCACTCCTGACAGGCTTGCGCGAGCTGAATATCAACACAATGTGGCTTCAAACGGAGCCTGGTCTTAAGGAATGGCGGACGAGGACTGGCCGTGTCAAGAGACTCTTTGTGGGCGATGTCGAGTATGAGGTATGTTTCATTGATGCAGGTCCTGGATTTCGACTAACATAGGCTTAGTCAGTAATTTGGGCGAACGGCATACGATCCATGACTGGTGAAGAAGTTGTACAAGCTTTTGACAACATGGGCAGTACAGCACAAGACCTGAAAGATCTCTATGGCATCATGCCGGATCGTCCTGCGGCGTGCCATATTGGTGCTTTGGACTTTCTCAACGATGTCCTCTTCGCACTTCCCGTGGAGAAGATCCACCACGACTGGCAGAAAATCGAACAACCTGTCTTCCGCTACCTTCTCGACCAGCCGAACCCGTGGCAAACTTCGCACCGAGCACATCACGCTGTAGATCTGCTCTTCCTGTTCGGCAGTAACGATATGTCTTTCGATCGTGCTGCTGATAGGGTCGGTCACGAACTGAGAGCAAGATGGATCGCGTTCATTAATGGTGATGATCCTTGGTCAACAGCTAAGACCTTCGCCTTCGGTCCAGTCGGCGAATGTCGGGAATTAGATGACAGTGAGATTGCATCACGCAGGAGAAAGCGACATATAGATTTCCTCAGGACATGCGACCCTGATAGTGTATCACTGGTGGTGAAAAGTCTCGCAGCTGGTCGCATCAGTCTCTTGAATTAGCTCTCAACGAAACATGTGATCACGTTATCGGAACATTGGGATGGTATATGCAAGACGCGTCGACATCGTACAGGTTTCGAAAAGAAATTCTTAGATATTTGTGATTAGATGTCTTAATTGTCGCAATGCGGAATCAGTTCCGTGTGGTCCAGAACCAATCTCACTCTACAAAGGTCTTTTTCCAGTATGTCATTACGGCTTTCCAAATAGTGCTTGACATCGACAGCTGCATCCAGATATCTACCAGACATGAAATCCAGTTTGCCGCTTGCCAGGACTGTTACCAACCCAGCTGCCATGTATGGACTGTCAAAGTGTTGATCTTTCAATGCCGTGTACGCGTTGTGCGCCGAAATATCCTCCAGAGGTACGTCCTTTGCGACATAGCTGTCCTGTGAGACCTCACGACCCAAAGATTTGTCCTCAAAGTCAGTGAAAAACCTTGTGCGAACACAACCTGGATTGAATGCGAACGTCCTGATGCCGTAAGACTGACAATTTTCGACATGCAATATTTCTGCGAACCGTACTTGACTCAATTTGGCTAGGACATAGCTGGACATGCCGATGTTTGTGTGCGCACCTGAGCTTGAGGTGAAGATAATGCGGCCTTCTTTCTGCTTCTGCATCACAGGCAGAACTGCACGTACGGCGTTGTATGCGCCTTTCATGGACACCGAAACAGTCTGCCACCAGATGTCGGGGTCTGTAAGGGAAGTTGGAAGGAACTGAGGTGGTCTGCCCGCATTCATCAGAAGAATCTCGATCAAACCGAACTGGCTGTGAATCTCTGCAACCAGTTTCTCGACCGCAACAAAATCTCTGACATCGAGGGCAGCAGAGAAAACTTGAACATTGGAGCTCAGATCATGGCAGATGCCCGCTGTTTCTTGAGCTTCCGTTGCCTCTAAAGCCAGGCAGGCTATCGACTTGACACCTGCAAGCACAAGGAATTCACAACAGGCCCTTCCGATCCCTCTTCCTGCTCCAATCACTATTGCATTCTTGCCTAGCAGGGAGGTCTTGACATCCTCATTGATTCGTGGATCGGTAGCATAGTAGCAATCGTGTTGATCACGAGGAAACTTATTCCCAAGAGGATTCGACATTTCGTTGCGATCGATTTCAAACAACCGGAAGCTAAGGCCCAGAAGCGCGAATACGATATTGAATGTATCAACGACTGATAGCATGAGCATTACCCCACATACATGATTTCTGCGCATCCATGGCTGCCGTATTATGTTTGATACATCATATAAAACTGATCAATATGTAGCAAAGGGACAAGTTACTCTATCAGGACCGAAGGCAAAGTCGTTTCTCAAGTCTCACTAATATTATTGATGTGAAGCCATACTGAAGACCCATCCCGGTCTATACAACGTGGGTCTGCCGCAGCTTCTTTCCAGATGTCAACTGCGGTACTGGCCATACGTGGCTCAATGCCAACCCTTTTTGCAGCTTCTACACCAAGACTGATGTCTTTGATCATCATCTGTGTCTTGAAACCTAGCTTCCAATTATTCGAACTGGGCGCATGCGCGACCACACCTGGTACAGGGTTTACATGGTCACCCATGAAACTCTGACCAGTTGAGTTGTGAATAACAGCTTGTAACAGTTTTGGATCGATACCAGACCTGACCCCGACCGCCATTGCTTCGGCAATGACGAGCAGCACCGAGCAGGAGATGTAGTTGTTGCTAATCTTTGCTGCAAGACCTGCTCCGAGATTCCCGCACCAGAAAAACTTTTTCTTCTGGCCCATCATCTCCATACATTGCTGAGCACGTACTGACATGTCATCTTCTTCATTCCATGCTCTGCCTATCAAGAATGAGAGAGTACGTGCTTCGGCTGCAGGTACCCCACCCTTATACAGATTAGCAGATGACTATATTACAGCTCAGGGGGTGAACTGACCGATACTGGTGTATCAATATACGTGCCTCGTTCAGCCTGCACCAATTCTCTCCCTACTTCACGCGCCACTTCAGACTCGATAGTGCTACACTCCAAGATGAGCCGTTGTGAGTCCATTGGCGCAGCCATCACTCCTCTCTCGGTATCCAGGTACACTTCTCGGACATTGGCTCCTGTAGGTACTATCGAGATGACCGTCTTCGTTTTCGTTGCACATTCTTTGGCTGATCCAACGCTCACGGTCGGTCCGTGTGAACCGAACTCTGAAACAAACCGTTCACACGAAGGAGCGTAGACATCATATATGTACATTGTGGTCTCCTTAGGTAGAGATTTGCGAACCATGCCTGCCATCGCGTAGCCCATGGCACCTAAGCCTGCATGTGCGCATTAGCCATGTTATCAGTACCATGAGACTGGATCCTTCTCACCAATGAAACCATAATCGCCCGACATATTGAGATGTGGCACGTGCTTTGATACAGGCAGTCTGGTGGTTAAATCGGCCTTGGTATTCGCAAGCGAAACTAATGGCTGAATAGCAATCTATATGAGGTGTGATTCCAGTAAGCTTCGTCTCCAGATTACTGACAGCAAGTACTCATCGAATCGTCCATTGTGTAACCATGCACTGTGCCCCAATCATGAACTTCTCAGAAAAGGCATAGGCGAAACCCCACATTACACACAACATCGCGAGGCGAGTACAGTGATACTTTCCCCTTGGCTCTTTTTGCTAGGAGATTATGTGCTTTGAAGAACCTGGGAAATACCAGTCTTCTGATCGGATACTAGCCAAGTACGCAAGTTGTACTGACAACTGGCGATGGTTCTTCAGAGTCTACCCCACAACCTTGGGTCGATTTTGGGAGCTACCCCAAATTCATTGAGTATGTGGAGAAGTGGATTTTCGACAACATCAAGTTATGGCTAGATTTGGAGGATCATGCTGGGAAACAATCCTCGTTGAAATGGTTCTCACGCCATTTAGTCGTTGTAGAAATACAAGGTCACAGATACACGTATGCATAAGACTGTCAGCTCAGCATGTGACACTGTCCTCTTTCACAGCACACTTCTTCGGGTCTGCTGGACCCGTTGCTGTCGGAAATCTCTTTCACGCTGAAAAACGCCTTGTAACTCTACATAGCCGTAGTGTGCGTTGATGAACGAAGATGCATGCGGGGCGAGGGAAGATTAAGACGCAGAGTCATGTCTCAACTAACGTCTCATATGCATTGCCCAATTCCCTAAGTACCCAGCCGATTCGAGGCGTCACTGTGGCCAAAGGTTAGTCAAAATTGGAATTCACCCTATGCGGAAATCAATCATGACACATACCACCCCAAACCCAAGTATCATCGTAGAAACAAGCCCATAAACGAGCTAGATTCGATGCAAGCAAGATATCTGACCCGTCGTAATCTTCTTCTTCGACCAGTGACCTTACCTTGTCAAGCACTTCCCGCTCATGATCGGTGATTGGTGCTCCTTTCTTGTCCAACCTTTCTATTAAGAAAACCCATTTCGTAACGAACAGTGCTAAGATCGCTTTAGTACCTTATTGCCATCTGTGTGCTTGGGCATAGACGCTGTCAGGTCGGGGGAATAGAATTTCTTACCTGAGTCCCAGCCTGCTAATGCGTGTTCGATGCTCCATGTAAGAGCTGCAGTCTTCCGAACGAACAGCGGACTTGATTGGAACGGGATAATGAGGCCCTCGAAGCTCCGCTCAACGGATTTTGTTGTTGATTCACCTCTTTCCTGTCTCAGAGAGATGTAATCGTGGATTGCCGAGATCATGGCATCTTTGCTCTCATACAATAACAGTTCGCGATTCGACAGGCCGACACTTGTGAAGGCTCGACTGAAGGATACCCGCAGAATAGCAAAAGAATTGAATAGCATAGGGCTTTCGGTATCGTGGTCGGCATCGCTGGATTTACTGTGGGCCTCGAGCAGAAGATCGCGGCATCGATTTAACACCGTTTGTGTCCTTTTGGCAATGCTGACACTTTGACCGTTTTCCTGAAACATCCCTTGGCTGTTGGACAAGTCGCCAAACATGGCTCCCTGAGTAATCTGCCATATCTGAGTGCTGATAGCATGCATGACAACAGATGTGCCAAAAACCGACCATGCTCCCAAAATTCCGCAAAGCTCATCCATAGGAGCTCCTCCTGTTATCAGACCAGCAGCGTCGCGGACACTGATCAGAGATACTGTCGGTTGTGTACTAATGAGCTGAGACCACTGATCTTCAGTTTGTGCTTGCCAGAAAACATCATTGTCTGGCATCTCCACAGTGCCGTCTTGGCTGAGACAGAAAGCTGGTGGAACACCGTAGGTGATGTTCGATAGATTGCTGAGAATAAAACACATATGTAGAAATCTGAAGGGTTTGCGTCAAGATTAAATCTTGACAAGATCAGAGTCTGACTTACCTTTTAGAAGACTCCCTTTCAACCCACGCTGTCCAAGATGAGATGATACGATCACTCGACCCAGCCTTCACATCCCATAATCGCACTCGGTAGTCCTATTGAAGTTAATAATCTTCCGTGAGCTTGAACTCCTGCTTACACTCGACAGAATTCCGAAATCTTCGAACGACTTTCTGACTATCATTGGGTCGCCACTGAAGATCGTGAAGACCAGGGACAGGATACGTGCTTGACTGTACCATAATGGACGTTTTGTTTGCCTTCCGGGTGTACATGTTGGCTTAGTCCAGCCATACAACAATTTCCGTTCGAGAATGAGACTTGGGATGTTCACTTCCAGGGCATCGAGACACTGCACTGCCTTGACGTGTAAAGCCACTGCAGCTGGTCTGTTCAGGCGATACAAAGCTCCAATAGCACAAACTGCTAACGTGAGAGGACTTGGTATCTTGGTCAGATCGAGTGTTGGCAGGTGGAGAAACGGGAAATGTACATGAAAGGCATCGACATAGAGACGAAGCCACTTTCGGATTAGGGCTGGCGTTGGCAACTTAAACGTGCCCAGCGTAGTCATATTGAGTCGCGAACATAGATCGTTCCAGGTATGAGTATGCGCTTCTTCTCCAAAATAGGGTGTTGCGCTTTTGGAAGTTGAAGGAGTAGCACTTTTGTCGTGGGATCTCGGCATCAGCTCACCAGCACGAACATTGGATACTGCAGGAACGCTAGCTCTTTGACTATTCTCGCGAGCCTCGTGATGCAGAAGGGTAGTGTTCAAGAGACTTGTGCGTGAAACGTTCTCGGATCCGGCTTCAGAAGCTCGATCTGGTGAGAACTGAAATTCATTACCGTCAGGCAAGGTCGGGAGCGCGAAGTGATCATAGGTATTGCCCATGAAAGGATCGAAGAAATCCAGGTTTGGGCCATCCATATCCATTAATATATCGTCGATCATTGCCACGTCTGGTACTTGATAAGTAGAATCATTTCCCGATCGCTCCATGATCTGTTCGACTTCCCTAGGTGTTCTGCTGGACAGGCTGAAGCTGTTTAGGATATCAGTAGGAAGTCGCGCGGTCTCTAGGTCATGCTGGAGCGAAGCGAGCGGTAAGCCCTGTCCTGGACTCCTAGCATGATTATGGGAAGGACAGTCTAGAGGTTGTTGGTTAGTTGACCGACGGGAAGTGCCTCCATTCGATCTAGATGATTCCAGACTATCTGGCTCGATTTCCGCTGTACGTAATCGAGGACGACCCACGACTATCGTGTCGGGATTATCTTCGGCATCGAGGTTTGGACTGCTGCCTTCGTCGCTTGATAGTAATACTGGGACACGCATCAACAAAGGTCCGAAGAATGGAAAGAACAAGACGAACTGGAGTCCACGTCGTTCGTGTCTCGCGCTTTATCTCTTGGTACGGCTAGTCGCCTCTTGGCATGCTCGTCTGCATGGAGAGTCCGCTCGTGTCGTACCACAAGGTCCCTGTGGGCACGTTAATGTTTAATGCCTTTCTTGAATGACTCAACACCATACTTTCGACTGTATCGTTTGTGGCAGTGACGACATGAGTACGGCTTCTCCTGTGTATCTGCAGATGCGTCAGTAGCCCAAAAGAACTGGCTTATGTGTATCTAAGAATCTCGACATCCGCAGTATCACAAAAGAGGAGGCAGAAGATACGTACGTGCCCGAGTGTGCCTTGCACAGTGTTCGCTACGCTTGAAACCTTTGGAGCAGATCTTGCAAACGTACTTCCGTTGAGGTTCAAAGGCCAAAGTATCTGCGTCAACATAGGGCATTTCTTCAAGAGATCTCGAAGATGACGAAAGGCAGGCGCAAAAGTAATCGATGTCTTGCGTCTCGAGATTAGCAGACGTTCGGCAGATCAAGCACAATGCCCCGGATGCTGGAAAATGCGGAGAGACGTACGAAGTTAGACTGATAGTTGCCCCGGATGAGCAATCCCCGCATCTCGCAGGTAAACCGAAAATCCGTGATCGCAATCGTCATTTTGGACCAATCAACTCTATGGATTGCCCATGAACTAGAGTGAAGATACGTGAATTCTATAATACTCCTCTAGACTTGTAACACGTTTCTACAAATGCACTCAAAATTTTGCAGGGCAACACGGATAAAGAAGATTCTTGCTGATCATGTAAATTGACATGAGAGAAGCAGCGTGTAAGATCACGCTTACGATAGGCAACTTGACTGCGGTATCTGAACATTATCGATCCATGTCTGACTCCCACGTTTGCCTCAATGAGGTCCAAGATCTGGTTTTGTTTTCATCTTATGTGCCTCTGCTCGTTTCAAATTGAGCTAATCCAGCTCGAGCTTGCTCCCAATCTGCCACTAAAACATCTGCACGCCGCTCGTTTCTAACCTGGAAGCGTATCCTATACGGTTTTGGTAAGGTGTTCCCGCCGTCCTCATAGCTATCATCGGATATGTCAACCTTCTCTGGTTGACCGTTCTTGCCGACTGGCGGAAGGATCTCAAAGGCCCATAAGATCTTTGCAAGAGTGATCAGAAGACTGTTCTCTGCCAGATGCATTCCTGGACATATCCGACGCCCAGCACCGAAGCCGAAATGATCTCGCTCGTATGGGTCTGGATGACCGCTATAGGCTCCTGCTTTCAGAGGATGATTTAAATAGCGATCCGGTATGAAGTCGTTTGGTCGCTCGTAGCGCGAATCGAAATGTAACGCATACTGGTTGATGCTGACCACTGTCCCCTTCGGAATATGGAAGTCTTTATATTGTATATCGGCTGTGGTAAAGTGAGGAGTGCCAATGTTTGTGACAGGTCTGATTCGTAGTATCTCCTTGACCATGGCACGGATGTATGGTAGTTGCTCTTCGTCCTCAAAGGTGGGCGACCTGACGTCGCCGACGATTTCCGTTAACTCTCTGTTCGCCTTGGCTTGTACCTCGGGAAACGCTGCGAGATATTTGATAGCACTGTTCAATGCTGAACTTGTCGTCTCAGATCCGGCTTCGATCATGGCTAGAACAAGAATGTCAGAGAGCACTGTCAATTAGACACGTCGATAGACTCACTTCCTGCTACATACGCTGCCTGTACCTCGTCGATGCCTTGCTTGATGTAATCAGTCTCTGCAAATTGCTTCACAAAGCAGTCAGGAGCCCTCTTCTCGTTGATAGCACGCCTCAGATCGGTCCAGTATTTCATCCATAGGCTGGTCTGCCGCCTTGAGTATCTCTGCGCACGTGGCCTCCACCATTGCAACCCAAGAGGTATAAAGCTAGCTAGTGGGGGTATCATGTCGGCGACAAATGCTCCGGGTGCGGTAGCATCAGAGAACTCTTTCATCAGGCCATAGACCTCACGGACATCCTCGCAATCCTGCCACTGAGGTTAACAAATTGAGAGATGCAAGGACTTGAACAGGACATACCCACTGCGGAATGCGCCTGCCATAGGTAGATGTCATAACGACAGACGTCGTGTAACGCCGAACGTGCATGTAGAAGCTGGTCTCATCGAGCCTCTGGCTGTCTCGGTAAACGTCGTAAATCAATTGCTTAGCTTCGAGTTCTTGACTTGGCCGAAAAGTCGCTGACACTTTCGGCGTCAACAACTTGTGGACAATGGCCCTTAGCTTCCTCCACTCCGCCGTATAGCCCATCAGCAAGAACCTCTTGCCATCCGAGATTAAGTCCGACGCGACAGGCACTGGAACACGTCCGGAAGTTACCGCAGACTGCTTGTCGAATATCTCCTTCACCGCGGCGGGGTCGTTGACGAACACCCAATCGTACCAACCCATTCTAATCTTGAAAACTTCGCCATACCGCTGTGCCCACGCCTGGAATTGACGCTGTGGCTGAGGCTTCAATTGCAAAGTATTGCCCACCAATGGCCAGCTGTGTGGTCCAGGAACGAGGCTTAGCCCTTTGGGTGGCTTCTGATACCCCTGCAAGGTGCGATATATCAATAACAAGGCAAACGGGACCACCAAGAAGAGGTACGCCGACATGGTGGCACATTCAAACTCTGTAGCGCACACTATTCAAGGCTTCCAGGTTGATATGCTAAATAGTCGGGCGTCGACGTGGTGGATGTGGGGAGTTACGAAAAGCTACCCCGGAATTCGTAGGTGGATCGTCTTTTTTGCCTGACATCCCATTGAACCCCACTAGACGTTGCATTGTTGTTCTACATAGTCTGCTTTGCCGGTACCTTGACAGCGTACGATACATGCAGCGGAAACACAGCGAGCCCGTTGTTATTCGTCCATTTTTGCTCCACATACCTTCGGAACTTTAGAATTATACATTCGATAAGGGTAACTTTGCGAGACGTATATTTGCATTAATGCCAAAGAGAGAGATCTTTGTAAAGGTACTGACCAGAACATGGTGTGACATGCTCGACGTTAGTCTTCCTGGACTGAGGGTAGATACATCAGTAGTGTGTGTTGACCGAAGTACAAATGTTTGGTCACCCCTTGCTTCACAACCTTTAAACACGTTGTTTGCAAAGATTCATCCATGAGCCTCGAAGGCAGCTCACGCAAGTGTTGGTGGCCGACCGATCATTCTTGCCTTCTCGTAGGCTGGCATAGCACAGTAGGCGAATAAGAAGCGAGCCAGACAAACAGTTTTCACCTTATTGAACGCGCATTCTGTTTTTGTCATCATCTTTCGACACTTTGTATACAATTGTTGCAACGTACTTGCAGTTGCCACCTCAACGCGTCCTTTCTAGTCGCTGATGGTGTTAACATCGTGCCTAAGTCAGTCTTCGACAGAACCATCAACGCCGATAACAATTTGTACTTTGGAAGCATCGATTGGAATGACCCGAGGACGTTCGCGTTAGTCTCAAGTTTATTCGGTTTTACAGTTGTCGTCTTGTCCAGTTGAAGCAGTGACATCACCGGCCAAGCAGCTTGTAGCGCTGATGTTTACCGAGAAGTACTTGTATGAGCATGAAACCGTTGTAGGTTCTCTGAGATGTTGTCCACTTCAGCCTGGAAATCGCGACAGAGGAGAAGTTCGAAGGCCGCAGAGACACTGGCATAGGTCAAGCGCGACCAGAATTAGGTGTCCCTACATTTACGGATCCCTAATTGAACGTTACACGGGTATTGCAATCCAGGCTGATTGGTCTTTATGTCTCTCATCATTGTCGCATATACTAGAAGCGTTAAACCAGTCGTACTGGCCTATCAATCCTCTCAGGACTAGATACCCTACCAGACTTCATGAATTTGAAAAGCTAGCTGAAAGCTCCATTTGGGCTAAGCCTTATGTGGTCAAGCTTTATGCAACTGGCTGACACCTGTGGATGCGCACCTGTCAAGACCCACGCTCCTGAACGGGGTAAATCATCATCGCTGGACGAAGTACTGAGCAAAGTCATCACGTCTTGTCGACCACTTTCCTGTTCAGTTTTCAGTCATCCATGTGCATACAGATCATCAGCGACGTAAGACATTTGGTCCCCTGCAGTCAAGGTCCGTACGTAGTCTAGGATAGCGACGAATTACCGCGATTCTGGAATCTCGCCTGTGCGATGGACTGCCTGAAATCACGATCCACAAAAACATCAGATGAGACACGAACTGCCACTCTTTCGATGCTACCATGCGCTAATGTTCAATATCAGGACGATTGGCGTGGCATCTCCGACCAAAAGCGGAGGAAGAAGCTACAGAATCGACTGAATCAAAGAGCGCTACGGGAACGAAGGAAGGTCATCGACACATTGACAACGTCTTCCGAAGTTACAAGCTATGTAAACCATGTCAACGCAGCCGTTGGACAGACTACTGACCGATCATTGCTGCAAGCAGATGAGCTTAGGGGGATGGAGGTTGGCAAGATTTTGCGAGCCAACCCTGATTCCATGAAATCCATTATGCAACGCTTGGAAAGATTGGCCAGCGGCTACTGTTATCTTGAATCTCCGCGTACAGATCTCCTTCTACATGTTGTCCAATTTAACTTCTCCAAAGCCTTGGTTGAGAATATCAGTATTCTTGGGCTGACATCTGAAGACCTTGATGACGAGGCTATCTCTCCTTTCAATACCGCACATTTGCACCAAGGCCTTATGAAAATCGACGAGTCATCTCTTCCACATGACTTACAACCGACTGCAGTACAAAGGGCTGTACCCCACCACCCTTGGTTAGATCTGCTACCCATACCTGGCATGCGTGAAAATCTCATTTGCGCAGGAGATACATATAATGAAGAGAAACTGTGCTTAGAGATGAAAGGCCACGGAGGTATGCATTCTGAGCAGATAGGCATTGTGGTGTGGCGGGACCCATGGGACTCGAGCGGTTGGGAGGTGTCCGAGTCGTTCGCTCGAGATTGGAGCTGGGTGATTCGTGGTTGTGAAGAACTCTTTCGATCTACGAACTTCTGGCGCGCACAACGCGGAGAAAGGCCTTTGTTCAGGTTGGCTAGCTAGTCTTGATGGACTGCAGTAGAGATTCAGGTTCGAGTATTTTCATGAAAGGAAAGAGTCTGTAAGCTCGATAAGCGGTTTTCGAATAGCCCTCTTTCAATCGGAGCCTCTGCAGTGATTCTCTGATGACAGATATGGCATAAATTTAGGCTTTGCAACCAGCGTGTCGATCAATGTCAGCCAGCTGCATTAGCTTCTGATGACGAAAACACCGAGGTGCTGTATGGTGCCAGACTCAATCAAATCCAAATCTTGAGCTATGTACTGGCTCTATTACATCTCAACAAGTCTTACCTCCACGATAGCTTTTCAAGCGATGTTGTAATGCATTTTAGGAAATGACTTCACAGGTGTGAATAGTTCCGGTCATGCCGACCAAGAACACCTATAAGGTCTGTAAATGTACGCAGTCCTAAACGTTGCGAATCTGCAGCAAATCAGACCTTTTACCACCGTTCTCGTAATCGAAAGTCCGATCCGAGCTTTGCAAGGATGTCGATCTTTGCATCTGCGCCAAAGCCAAAAAGCCTTCTGGGATATCACCGTGTGCTGGCGCCATCAGCCGGCGTTAAGGTCTCACCACTATGCTTGGGAACAATGAATTTTGGTGATGCTTGGAAGGAGTTCATGGGCGAGTGTGACAAAGAGCGGTCGTTTGAGGTGCTTGATGCATTCTACAAGCTAGGAGGCAACTTCCTCGATACGTGAGTAGAGAGAGCATGGAGATGGACAAGAAACGATAGTGCTAATACCCAGTTCAGGGCCAACAATTACCAGAATGAGGAATCAGAGACATGGATAGGTGAGTGGATGAAAGCTCGAGGCAACCGGGAGCAGCTTGTGTATGTCACAAATAAGTTGATCATTGTAGCTCCCAGCTGACTCTCATTGTAGACTTGCTACAAAATACACGACAGGTTTCCGCAACGCACATCGTGACAAGGAGCCACTGCAATCGAATTACGTCGGTAACTCAATGAAGAGTATGCGCACATCGGTTGAACATAGTCTCATGAAGCTTCAAACCGACTACATCGACCTTCTCTATCTGCACTGGTGGGATTTTACCACCTCGGTTGAAGAGGTTATGCACGGTCTCAATAACCTCATCACCTCCGGTAAAGTCCTTTATCTCGGTATTTCTGACACTCCAGCCTGGCTCGTTGTAAAAGCGAACGACTACGCTAAAGCCAACGGCTTGCGGCCCTTTTCAGTGTATCAAGGAAAATGGAATGCTGGTTTTCGAGACATGGAGAGGGAGATTATCCCGATGTGTCGTGACCAGGGCATGGCAATCTGCCCATGGGCGCCACTAGGACAGGGCAAGTTTAAATCCGCAGAGGCTCGGGGACTTGGTGAGAAGGGCAGCGCTCGTGGCTCCGACCTGTCAGAGAACGACATCAAGATCTCGGATGCTCTGGAGTCGATCGCCAACAAAAATAGCACCACCCTTCATGCGATTGTGAGTCTAACACCATTACGATTGCTCCGTACCTTATGCTGATCCAACTTCTCCATAGGCACTCGCATACGTCATGCACAAGACACCGTTTGTCCACCCGATCGTGGGCCAGCGAAGCGTCAAGCATTTGGTATCCAACATTGAAGCATTGAGCGTGTCACTCTCCAATGAAGACATCTTGGTCATTGACAAAGCAGCCCCCTTCGACATCGGCTTCCCGATGAACTTCATCTTTAGAGAATATAGTTCCACTGTCACCGCGTCCGATGTCATGCTAACAAGATCAACTGCGCTGATCGATGTACCACCTAACCCTGCGCCAACGAAACCACATAAGAAAAACGACATTGCTTAACTGAGCAGAAGGATGAATGCATGACATCGACGGACCTGACGATGCCTCGATTTGAAGGGAGAGTTTAGATGCAGTTGGAGTGAGTTAGTATCTACTTGTGGTAGTTTTCATAATAGGAAAGTCTTTGCGCAATATCGCTGCTAGCTTGGGACCCTGTCTATCGGTTCTGCAAAGCTGCCGGCTCTCTGTCAAGCATGACGAAACACCGGGATATACGAGGTCTGGCTAGGATTTATGGGCGATTTGTCCAGCTCCCGTTGAGTTTGGACAGATAGCCGCAACCCATTCGTGATAAGGGATCAATTTGTCTTCCTGCAGCCGTGACAAACAGGCTAGAGTCTTCGTACCTGTGACTCCAGAGACCATCTCACCACCTCGCCATCTACCACAAGGCCATGCTCCGAAATTCTTCGCCTTCAGTACCCCTTCATGCTCAGATCATTGTTGGTGCTGGACTGTAGAGATTCTTACCCTACTATCCATGTCCTTATTTACTCACCCAGGACCATTGGCGATACCCGCAATCAGTCTCGCAGTATATTCCTCACGCCGATCCGCGTCTGCCAATCTTGCTAAGAGCTCGAGTCTTTGTTCCTCCATCGACTCTCGATGCCAGGAAGCTATGTTCTCTAAGGTGGTCTTTTGAGAGTGTTTGTAATCATCGTGTGAGTACGTAATGACAGCTTCACGTAAAGGTCCAGATCAGCGCGGTATTGCGTGAGAAAGTCTACTCCGCGAAGGGTTCGAAATCGTTCAATAATCTCCTGCATGTTTGTAGAGGCTTAATGCATGTGGAATGGTGGCTTTTTGCTAATCAGTGTCCGCTCGATATCGTCCTTGAATCCATCGAAGATCTGAATCTTCTCCTTTGCCTGGGCTTCAACAACGAGCTTGAATACTTTGCATCAGAGATCTTGCAAACTTCTCGCATGGTCGGCTGTGAATGGTCCCGAATGCTCAGGTATATGAACAGTAAGGACGAGTTTCTCAACTGCTGCCAGAATTTGTAGGTGGTGACAAATGATATAAAAACCCTTGGCTAATTGGTTTCTGAGACACATCCTTGTATGTAATCCTTCGAATCGCTCCAAGATGCCTGCAGTCATTGCAACTTGTGGCGATCTAGGTGCAAACCAACGAAAAGCTTCTCCACTATCTGGAAGTCGTGTGATACGGTTACTTAGGTTGCACATATTATCGAGAGCTGATACAACCGGGAGTACATTTCACGCGAAACCACAGCATACGACGGGAACGTTCTCTCTGTATAGGATAGTGCTAGACTCCGTGTACAACTGTCGACAAACTCTCAGCACCTGACCGGACAGCTGAGTACTGTAACTAGAGCCAGACTCCCAAGCAGATTGACGCTTGAAAATGTCGTGATGTCCGTATGCACATCCTAAGACGTAAAGTGGCTCGATGATACCATTGTCTCTTCCCTTGAGCGAGAACCGCAAAATCTTGAGCCTCACTTGTGAAGGAAGCTTCATGAGACGTGACTCAGGGTTCTCATTGATTCAAAGAATGAAGTCTGTCAATTGGGGTGTCTGTAGATACTGAGTGTCGTTTAGGAGACATCTTGGTAGTCGTGGGAAACTAAGATTGTGTTCTAGGAAAAGGTCAGAAAGTCGAGTCGTCGTGGTTAACGTATAGGGTTGACACCTTCAACTGACGCTTAACAGCGCTCATAGAGTGTTTTGTGATGACGGGTGCTGCGTTGGATCAGAGTCCTCTTTTCGAATCGTGGTTGCATTTATCGAAGAGCCTCGAAAATGTGATGCGAACTCAAGTAGAAGCGAATATCATGAAAGACAAATGGACTATAATTAGCTTGGTGTGGTGACAACAAAAACTCAATTCGAACCTAAGGGCAGATAGTGATATGTCAACAAACACAAATATCGCACTCGTGCTAGAGTGCGCTTCTAGAGCATATGGCTCTGGCAAGTGTTGACAGAGCCAGGTTTCGGGCAAGACAACAGGTCTGGAGTGGAACTCTTTGGCGTCAATGAGGACTCATTGCCGTGATACGTTTCGCTAACGCTTTATCTGTGGGTATACCACGAACCATAGAATTTTGGTGGCTGTCGATACAACAAGTTGAAATATTGAGATGAGTGTCTGTTACATTTGCTCGAATGCTGAAAGTTATCACTGGCCCGAATACAATTGTGCATGGACCTCCTCAGACCGTTGATATCACTCACAACGCAAGTGGTTTGGGTGAGATCAGACTACGAGGGATTGATAAGCTAGGCGCCTCCGGTCAAGCTTAGTTGATCTGAGAATGATCAACTGCTTCCGATGTGTCACTCGAGATAGATACCTCAGTTTTGGGTGCTCTTTCCGTACATGTACTTGCTCTGGGAGAGTCTCAATATGATGCTATAGGCGTAGGTGATGATATATATGTCCGCTCTCTGATTGGATGTGACTTGACTGAAGATGGGTAAAGAGCGACTATGATCTTTGCTGCTTGGTTGTGCATGCGTAAAGCTAGGTGATCGCTTGCTGGGGTCGTGAAGATTGTCAAATAAGGTCACCAAGAAGCAGGTCTGCCATCCATCGGCAGATGAGAACGATCTGTATTTTGTAAAGGTAAACATCGTCGAACCTTCTTCAGCATCCACAAATCATCACTGTTTGCTTCGGATCTTACGTTCTCTATACCGAACTTCAAGATATATCACACTGAGTAGACGCTCGGAGGAATTAGGTTACACGATAGTCCAACCTTGGCAAACGTACCACGGTGGCCAGCTGGTTTTCCTGGAATGGTTCCCTGGAACGCTGACTGTCTACTTTGGCAGAGAAGAGAGTGCGCGGGCTCCGCTTAATTCGTGTAGCAGTGCTCGTAAAGTTGGAGATTATTGGTCTGCATTTCGTCTGTCTGCACAAGAGCTAAGTGAGCGGGATCATGGACAAGAGCACGAGCTTGCACACCAGCGCTCGTTGGTGAACACCCGCGCATCACGGCTGTATCGCTGGATAGCGCTGGAAAAAAAACCCCATTCACATGGCCATGCACGCAGCATCATGGGTGACTCCTGATTGAGCAATGCTTGTGATAAGTTTGTGAAAAGTCCGGAGCGACATTGTCTAGCTCCGCAATGTTTCACGGTCAAGTCTGGAGCAGAGAGACGTGGAAGTTGGCTTCTAGAAGAAGTAGAAGGCGTCATGGTGGCTCTGAGTGCAACAGCAAAGACACGGAATCTCGGCTCATCTCGGGGTAGTGATGGCCGAGATTACAACCCACAATTCACTGCACTCTCGGACTGGAATAGACACATTGTTTGCTTGGAATGACTTTGTTCCCGATGCTAGCACACCCTTGTCGCAAGAAGCTTGAATCTGACTTGTTTCAAGATTGCCAGGTATCAGTCTTTGATCATTGAATCTTAGGTGATAGCTTGTGTCGCCTCAACGATTTTGTCGGTTCAACCTCAGACGTGTCAGTACATTCGATGGTAGCACTACACGTTTGTGAGTAGGTACAGCCCGTGATACAAGTCATGCCGCTAGCCTCTCAATGTCAGCATTCGATTAAGGCAAGTTCCAAACTGGGATACCACGGGCACGTGGTCGCCGGAGGGGGCGGATCACAGAATCGCTCTGAGCCGCGCCTACAGAGACTAAGAGGAATCACCTTTCGATCATGTCCAATCCGGAGTCAGAAATCGTATCCACTGAAACTGTCCAGCGGAATCTTGAGGCATCACCAGGAGGGGAAATTGACCTTGTCAATTCGTCAAAGCAACGTTACATGCATCTCTGATACTTTGACTGGAGCGCTCAGTACTACGCGGCGATCCAAGTGGAGTCTTCTGTGAGCCTTCACATTGTTCACTAAACAGTCATTGGTTCGGTGTCGACTGATCCGAGCGCGGGCAAGCTCAATCCGCTGTACCCCCGACATCTTCAGCTCAAACATCTCCCCGGACAACTGTAAATCTGGTCCTCATCATCCCCACGATGTCTCCGCTGGGGAAGGTAAATACTAACAAGTAAGACTGACTTCCACTTTCCGACCATCAGCCCTTGTCTTTGTGTTATCCTGCTATAGTTATCCTTCGTGATATCTATCGACCTAAGGACAGGACTCCCTGCTGGGTCGCATACCAAACATCATGGATTCAGAATTTGAGTCGAAAACATCTTCTCATGCTCTGGAGATCGAGCAGCCGACCGTCTATGCCGAGAAGGCAGGCGTCGCTGATTACAAGGCGGACGCAATTGAAGCAGAAAATGTAGAGCATGCCATGACAGTGCTGGAGGCGGTCAAAGCCTATCCTATGGCCTCCTTCTGGGCTTTTGTCATGTCCTGCACCATTGTGAGCTCTATCAAGTATTCTTGGAAAAGACACAACTGACTCTTCTAGATCATGGAATCTTACGATGTCTTCCTTATCGGTAACTTCCTCGCCCTCCCTGCATTTCGAAACCGATTCGGCGAATATCATGCTGAAAGCGATACATACGTGATTGTGACTGGATGGCAGTCTGCACTTCAGGTATCTGGTCAGCTGGGCGCGCTCATCGGCGTCTTCCTTGCTGGTCCACTGACGAGCCGTATCGGATATCGTTGGGCAACCTTGACTGGACTTATGGCACTGAACGTCTTCATCTTCGCCTTCTATTTTGCCAAGTCGCTACCCGTCATTTTTATCTCGCAACTGCTCGAAGGTATGCCGTGGGGCATCTTCATCGCAAATGCACCAGCATACTGCAGTGAGATTGTGCCGATCAAGCTGAGAGCTCCTGCCACACAGATGCTTCAAATGTTCTGGGCTATTGGTAGTATCATCGTTGGCGCCGTCACTTATCGTTACAATAAGAGGCTAGACCCAAGCGCCTACGGGTACGTCTTACATTCTGCCCCTCATCTTCTCTACTGACGCATTTGACCAGTATTCCCATTGCACTGCAATGGATGTTCCCCACTCCACTGGCTATCCTCATCTTCCTTGCACCGGAAAGTCCTTGGTGGCTTGTGCGAAAAGGAAAGCATGATGCAGCAGCAAAAGCAGTTCAGCGTTTAGGACGCAAGTCCGCCAACAATACAACCGAAACCGTCGCCATGATGCGTCGTGTCATCGAGCTTGAAAAGACCGACAAGGCACCAGGCCTTCTTGAGCTCTTCAAAGGCACGGATCTTCGACGAACACTTATCGTTTGTGCTGTATATGCCGCGCAGAACCTTACCGGCAATTTGATCGCTAACCAGGCTGTCTACTTCTTCGAGCGTACGTACCGAATGTTCTTGCTGAATAAGTTCACATACTAATTCGCGCAGAGGCTGGTGTATCAGTTGATACTGCATTTGCCCTCGGTCTTATCACTTCAGCACTACAGATGGTCTTCGTCATGCTTTCTTGGATACTCACAACCTTTTATGGCCGACGATCGATCTATCTTTGGGGTTCGGGTGTCAACACCATTCTCCTTATTGCCCTTGGTATCGCCGCCTCAGTTGGAGTGTCGCACGCAGCCTCGCTCGCTCAGGCGTCTCTTGGTCTAATTGTATCCGTCCTCTTTACGTTGGGACCCGCACCAGCGTCCTGGGTCATCATCGGAGAAACATCCGCCATTCGTCTTCGACCTCTGACCACCGGCATAGGCCGTGCTACATACTACATCGTGGAAATTCCTTGTATCTTCCGTGAGTCTCCCGTTCGAGGACTAGTTTGTACTGGCAATACTAATACGAAACAGTCGCCTCGTACATGCTGAATCCCAATAGTGGAAATCGTAAGTCATCTCCCTTCACATATTGCTTCGAGCACTTGCTGACACGGAACAGTCGGAGGAAAATGCGGTTACGTCTGGGGTGCTACGGGACTGATTTGTTTGATTGTGGCCTATTTTCAATTGCCTGAGATGAAGGGCCGGTCTTACCGTGAAATTGATATTATGTTCAGACGTCGCATTCCAGCTCGACAGTGGAAAAAGACGGAAATTGATATCAAAGACGATGAATGAGATCGCGGTGCCTACGTACTGGGCCAGGTTCAAGATCAAGACTATGATCGAAGAGTCTGTGTCGTGTTTTAAGAGACCACTGTGGGTCAAGACCTTGTAGTAGAAACCTGGCACGTATTGAATGCGCTGAGATTCTCAGTCCTGAAGCAAATTTTTCACACACACTGCCCAATCTACGACATGGCCATGTCATTCATTGTACTCTAGCAAAAACGGCATTAGAAGCCTTAGAGTCTTGAAAGTACGTATGCTTGATTGATGTTGTATTATCTCATGATGTTAAGTATAGCTTGTAGACTAGTTTTTCCAGCTCTCTCCCGCATCTTCGACATCATGCCGCTGATCCTTCCTGGCTCAAGAAGAAGTCTGCATCAATGACAGCCCATGTGTCCTGCACGACTAGCTTTCTGACTCAGAGCCATTCAGTCCTCCTCAAAGGCCCATGTATCACCTTTATCCGACCAGTTCAGTCGTCGACATCGCATGTGACTTGTCCCAGACTACCGCATTTCACTCCATTTCCGCTTCAAGTCCCTGCCGAGTGTTGCGATGTCCACCAATTTTTGTTTTACTTCTGCGTCAACCATCTCCAGGTCTTGCCGTAAGCGGATCCCGTTCCTCCTCAGCTGTCGTTTTGACATGTTCGGTTCAGCTATAAGTATTCAAGGACAACATTCTTAGCTCGGAGGTCGACGAAATCGACTTTAGGATACTGTAAGTAATGCCAAGCTTCCTATTGCCCTGGTCGATACAAATTCTTATGTCCTGCAGGCGAGGAAAAATGCCTCTCTTCTCTGATCACACCGCAAGATGCATGCAAGAAGGGGGTCTCATGTCACGGCGAGATAACGACGGCTCCGTGTGGCAGAAGAAGAAGATGCTGAAGGTCGAGTTCATGTAAAGATGCAGGCCGAGGATGAACGATCCGGAAAAGGCGTACGATTGAATGTAGATAGGTCATCTAGCAGGTGCGAGTCGCGGACATCTCACTCCACCAAGCCCACACATTGTCGAGACACAACAGTAAATGACGGAGTGGAGGAACTTCTATCCCTGTGGATTACGAGTTGTTGCTGTGTTGAATCTCAAAGGCGATAGCTCGGAGAACAAACTCTGTCCATGTTTAGTCTCCTCTCGACACAAGGTTGCCACCTTCCGTTCGACACAAAGCGCAAGCCCCCGAGTTGCTGCGTTCGATATTGCGCCCGACCATTACACACCGCTTGACTCCCTTGGTGCCAACAGTTCACAGTCATACCTGTCATTCGCCTTTGTTATTTCCCATGGAAACTTCCATCGCTGATGTTCCGAGCAGCTCTAGAAACCACTTTGCGTCCCTGCGCTTGTCCTCGTCAATCCTAGCTAGACTAGCAAGGAGCTCCTGTCTATGGACTTCCGCTGCTCGATTGCTCCATGCAACAACGTGGCCTACAATTAACTTTTTCAGTCGCAGGTAATCGTCACCCGAGTACTCGCACACTGATCGAGTCAGCGCCTCGAGTTCCTGGCGATATTGGCCTTCGAAACTTCGGCGCCCAGTCCTTTCCGCCATCTTGATCCGCTGATACACTTTACCGAAGTCCACGTGGTAAGTCACCACAGGCTCATTGCTTTGAACTGTATCGGTAATACGCTGGGTAAGCCGCTCATTGACTGTGAAGAACCGTGGTTGGTTGTGATACTGTATGGAGAACTCGAGACGCGCACAACGCAGTCCAAGCAGCGGGCTAAGCATCGGCGCAACGTCTTGCTCATCTAGGTCGGATGCCGAGAAGCGAATGACGAGCTTCTTGTTGTGAAAGATGTTTCGGACATACCAAACGGTGGTATAGACTCCCAACGGGTCGATATCATCTAGGAGCATATCGAGCTCAAGCATTCGAAAGCTGTTGATAACAGAAAGCTTTTGGTATACTGTGGGTCCGTTTAAGCCAGTGTAGTCCAGTTCTGTTTCCTTCAGCATGGGTCGGTGGGCGGAATTTACTATGGTATCTAACCGCAGTTGAGCTGTTGCATCGAGTGTAGACAGAGTCAGAAGGTCACCTCCTTCTCTAGAGAAACAGCTGAGGTTCAACGTGTTCTCCCAATACAACACTTCAGTACCTTCCCGATTCAGCATTCGACAGACACGTAAAGCTTGTGCTGAAAGCTGGACATCATCAGCATAATTCGGGTTCGCCTCGGTGTGCCTCGAGCCCTCCTTCAATTTGTTACCGGCTCGAATTGGGTCAGAGGACTTGTGTAGATACCGAAGGATCTTCAACCTGATCTCTGCTGGGAGTTCCAGCAACCTGGAAGGTGTCGGCTGATATCCTTGAAACTGCTGAGTCAGCAGTAACACCGGTGCAGACTGAATGCCTTGAATGATCGACATCTCGAATCTGAGGTGGTGTTGTTGTACGTCTTTATGATAGAGAGCTGGACGCGATCGTATTTTCAATGAGGCAAGCTGTATCTGACTGACTTTCTTCGCAATGGCAAGTCTTCGAAGGTTTTCCTGAGGCCGTTGCTCTCCGATAATGAGATGTGTAGAAAGTTATGACACACAGGCTCAATCCTGTTGAGTGAGAGATGTTTTGATGTCGATGCGGAGCTGCAGACGCAAAGTGCAGAGACAAACGGGTATGTGTCAGCTAGTGATATGCAGTGACACAAAACCATCTGCACGGATTTTCGACTCCTCTGGAAGTCCCAGTGGTCACATAGAGGCAGATCAGATATGGTATTGTGAGGGAATAATTTGACTAGATATATAGCAAGAGGGTAGGTCGAAAGTACATCTAGATAAGTGAACTTTCTGCTGGTATATTTTTGATTAATATTTGATATCCTGATGCAGGTAATAGATTTTTGAAATGTATTCAGGTATATAAAACTTGCTTGCTTAGTTCATGTTTGAACTTGCTTGATAGGGTTTTCAGATATTCTTACCGGGCAGTGTGAATAAGTTTGACACAAGCGCCGCTTGATGTTGTGTCAATCTACTACTGCACACTTGCAATTATGTTCACCCGTGCACAGCCACTAGAGTTACCACCGACCGCGAAAGATGGAGTGCTCTGTGTGTCGTTCTTAGTCTACACTTACCACTTCGACGTCTTCTACTTGAACAGTTCCAGTATTGCCGCGTTTTTCGACCCCTGGGCCTGCCCGTCGCTACCCTGGGTCGAAAGAAAGAGTAGTACCAGTCTTTGCGTATACATGAAGTCTTCGTGGACTGTCGCAACCATATTGCCAAACATCTTTATGAGAGTTGACCATATCAGAGCCACTAGGGTTTTTGTCAAAGGATACAAGTCGAAAGATCAAAGCAGATCTTCATTTCGGATGTCAGGCTCGAGCGGACTGGATTAACTACTTTCGACTGAGTATTGAAGATTATAGGCTCGGTAGAAAATCCAGGAGATCATCAAGATTACCATATTGCGGCGTGAAATCTTCACAAAGAGCTCTTTTTTCGTTCGTGGCTTACTCAACCAAGATTGTCAGCTCCACCCAGTCTCTTGTTCCTTACTCTAACGTTGTCGCCATTGTGCGCAATGGTTGGCTGAAAGCTGGTCTTCTGGCTCAACAAGCACTCTTTTGCTACTGATATTATACCACATTATCCACCATCTTCGAAGCTCATCTGTTGTAGTGAACACGGGTACGATGCTGCTAAAGTTAGGGCAATACAAGCGAGAGGAATTTGGTATTGCAATACGCCCGACACCTGCACAGAGGCTGTGGCAAACACCTCTCTCTTCCTTGTCCTCGACACCTTCCGCTTCTTGACATATGCCCAGTGGTGTGCTCGTAACGACTGGCTGGCAAGTTGTGATTTGGGGCTCAAAGTCGTTGATCCTTGTCGAAAGGTACGGGGAATTGTCGGTATAGGTGCTATTGACTATCATTTGCACAAAAACGTGAGTCGGCATTCGGCATGAAGGTTCACTATCAAGGGCCTCGGGGAAACTCAGAAGCTGAGAAGGCTTTGGCGCATGGTGTTGTCTATTTTGCGAAGCTGAATGACATGATACCGACAGTTGATTGCGTTGTTCTCACAGCTCCATATAGCAAGGATACACACCATCTGTTGTCACGGCAGCAATTCTCCTTAGCTAAAAATGAAGGCCTTGGTGTAGTTGATGTCGCAAGGGACGGAACGATTGATGAAGATGCACTCATCGCGGCCTTGGAAGAAGGGAAAGTCGTAGGAGCTGGCCTCGACGTGCATGCGAACGAGCCAGGCATAAATCCCAGACTGACGGACAACTGGCGTGTGACAGTCCTACCATATATTGGGGTCTGCTCATGCACGAGCTGGAAGAACTTTGAGCGGGTGAACCTGGACAATATAGAAACATTTTTCGAAACGGGGCAACCACTAACGCCAGTTCAATGATACTGTTCCTTGAACCACCATTCTGCGTTACCATACCCAGAAACATGGCAAGGCACTGACAAATTGGGTCTTCTTGCACTAGATATGTCGACCTGCTTGTTTCTTGGGGCCAAGGTCAATGCTCGTCTTGTGCATCCATCGTGTGTGACTCGCATCGAAATTCCATTACCAGTTTCTAGTTCTGCCTGGCATTCGTTCGAAGGCTAGATCGTGACAGTCCGATTCTTCTTCGCAGGGTGAGATCAATGTCTGTGACAACCCCGAAGGGTAATACACAAACCTACATCAGGACATCACGTAACCATTGACAGGTCCGACACTTTTATATTTGATTGCAAAGGACTAAAGAAGGAACCAAGTGCTAGCATAGCCAACAGTATATTTTTTCTGGTTCACTGTCTTAGACAGGCTGAATTGCGAGTAAGGATTCTGCATATGTGCGAGCACGCTTGACCAGTAAATGCCGATGCTGTATACCATCACCAGGTCCCCATCTGTCCAAAGCATTACATTCACCTTCTTCGTACACCAGAGCGTTGATTGATTGGTACAGTCGCGTTGATCATATCCGTGAAACAGAAGAACTACACCTATTGCCTGAAACGCTTATTGAGCTGCTGGTATCTCGTAGCATTGGCTCGTGCCTGTTGATCTGAATTGATGTGAAATAGATGAGACGTGGTGAGTATATCTCCATATTCGTTCACTGCCGTGTGTTCGTCACTGCTCAGCTGCTCAGATAAATGCCAGCGAAGCTGTTCATCTTTCCTGTCCAGCACGGCATCGAGTCGACGAGATTGAGGATGCAGATACACCAGGATGTGTTCGACATATGTGTCCTCAACATGCTCTGCTTGCATCTGCTTGTCGTGGAGTGGTCCAGAAGCTTTGCGCTTGTGACACTGCAACAGACTAGGGAAATCTGGCTGAGCCATGCAAGTGATCCGTGAATAATCTTCTTCATGTTTCCTCAATGCGTCCATTAATGTGAATGTGTTGAAAACAGCACTTGCTTTACAACGAGGACATGAAACGGACAAGCCTTCCATATACCTGACTATTAGTCGCGCGCAATCTTTGTACAGCATGGAATTGTTGCTGACATTCTCGGGACTTGTTTGTGAAGTGGGGCAGGTATCGTAGATCGCAGGCGGTATATAGTTAGGACTACGCTTTTTAGTCCGTGTGAGAATGATGAAAGCGCTTCGACCTTTTGGATCATGCCGAGCCAGATCTGACATGTCTATACTCAGTATATCGAGTAGACTGCAGGCGACACCTCGGGCTGCCATGACACATGGTTCCAACGAAAACTCCTTCAAATTTGTGAAGAAGCGGAATGCTCTGAAATAGAGGTCGTAAACGTCAATGCTGTAGTCGACCGGGAAGTGGCCTCCAAGCAGTGCAAGCAAGCCATAGATCTTGTCGCGCTTATCAGAACAGATCTGCTTGGCACACTCACGTAGTACAAGGAAGAAACAAGACTTTGGCGCACGACTTGAATGCAGCAGAGCTTCCAGATCGCTCTGAAAAATGCGAGGCACATTCTGGGTGTAAGGCCGCAGTTTGTCCATACGCCAGTCGATGATCTTGATCAAGCCCTGTGGAGCATACTTCTCGAGTAGTGCTACACAAGTCTTTGATATGAAGGATGCTGAATCCGTATTAGCCGGGCCTGAAGAAGGCAAGGCATTTTGTGATACAAACTGCAACTGAATGCCATGAACACGATTGATAAGAGCTCGTTGTCGAGCGCTGCCGCAACAAACTGCATCTCCTAGATCTTTCAACCAGTCAGATGCTGAATTGTAGCGTAGCTTTTTCTGCCTCTTATCTTTGACTGCCACAATCTCCTGATGACATGCCGTGAAGATGCTCCAAGATATAGTTAAAGAGCCATATATCATCGTCCGCGGCTTGTTAAGAAGGAATTCCTGAACGACCCATAGTCGAAGCCAGTAATCGTGTCCATAGACATGCTCACATATATGCCGTACAGACACGTACAGCGAGCATGGTGTGTGTGATCCACAAGCTGTTGATGGCAACTCTTTGTTCTTCCACGATAAGTATTGAGCCATTTCGTGGAAGCGGCGTATCGGCAGAGCCGCTGCTGCGAGGCGGCCTGGCTAGCGACCCTTGTGGGACTCATCCATATCAAGACCTCCTGTGCATGGCGAAAGACATTGCCCATTCGCCCCACCTGGCGGCTTTTCTCATGGTCATCATTCTGGTTGATACACACCGCATCTACCCAGTATGTCTTTGCAGCATAATCTGGAGATATGCTGACACGTTTAAGAGATCCCCACAAACTCCATCTGATCAGCATGGACTTGCCATTCACCTGTATTTCCTGCTCTTGTGCTGCCATACCCCACGTATATGAAAGGGCAGTGTAGCAGTCTCTGGTTGTCGCATGAACCAGCTCGCATTGCACAACGTCTCGCACATCTTGTGCTGGATTGATTTTCAGGAGACGAATACTATCAGCGGTGTTGGGGAGGGGGTTGTGGACGAACCGCTCAGGCGTGGCCATCGTTTGTTTCCTCTACCACAAGGCGCATCGTGAAGGCAGTTCGAAAAACTCTCATAGAGCATCTAAATGTTAGGTTGTGCGTCAATGTTAGTACCAGAGCATGCGACGACGTAAAGGAAACAGGCGACTGCAGACAGACAGAGCTGTTTGAACACGACAAGAACCATTGCACAGGCGCAAGACAAAAAGGCAGCTTCACAACGCGCCTAAATCAGGGGTCGCCGCAAAAAGACAAACGGGCTGTATTGCAATTCATCTCAATCGATGCTGGATGATGCTCGCGGGATAAAGACGCCCACATGCTTTTCATTTCACGTCAATCATATATACGTGTGCGCCGAAGAACAAGAACAATTTGAGGGTGAAGATAACCAGGAATGCGACTGCGTAATTTTGGGCAGGCACGAAAACAAGACACAACGGCGAGAGCAGGCACGATTTATATAAAATGCCTGAGGCATGCAGATTATGGTTCGCTATCGCATTGCACTACATCCTGCCTCCCTGACACTGCCGGCTCACAACTCATAGCCGTCTGCATATCGTCGCAGGAGGAAGCATCTCATCCCCTGTCCTGTAGCGCTGCAGATAGTTCATCGCTTCGCGACGAGACAACAGGTAATCACTTTCGATCGCCCATTTGAACTGTCCATCATCACACCCTCATCCCACGCCCCTATGTGTCTTCTTCGAGGAGATACACAAGAGACAGGGACTGCATGGTGGAGATCTCGAAACAATCTATCTACCAATATGATTGGCGTCATCAATCACATATGTGCCGTCGCGATGGAAGAAAAGGCCGAAGTTGATACGTTTATACCTCGGAATGTGCTCCTGGATCGTCTTGCGATCATTGTCGCCGTCTCTTCTTTTCGGGTTTCTTGCCTGCGTCGACAGTCTCCTCGTTGTCACGCTTTCGTTTGGAAGGAGGTTCAGGTGCTTCGTTCGTGGCGACCTTCTGGCCCTTGCTGACAGTTTCAGCATCGTCTCGCTTCCGCTTAGAGGAAGGCTCAGATGCCCCTTCTTTGACAGGCTTCTTGCCTTCCTTAACATTTTCAGTTTTGATTCGCGTTCGCTCAGAGAAACGTTTAGGTGCTTCGTTCTTCGCGATGACACCACCGTCTTCGACCTGCTCGATACTGTTGCCGGTCTGTTCTTCTCGCTCTTGAACATTACTCACTTGTACCTGATTTGCTTGTTCGTCTTGTTTCTTATCCAAGCTGTCAATTCGAGACAGATCTTGACCTTTGTCTGGTTGCTCCTCGTCCGCATCCTGACCTCTGTCCAATTCGATTTCCTGTTCGACCTCATCTTCTTCGCCTGAGCTTGTGTCTGAGTCAGTCTCTGGGTTAGTCTCTGGGTCAGATGGAGTGCCCAACGTGGTGCCAGTGATAACGCTCCGAAAGTTCTTGTATACGTCAACGTTAGCGGCCTCTAACTTTGCGACGTATGCGATTAATTCCTCCTTGAAGTTCGTGGTTTGACTCTTGACCAGTTCCAATTCATCCTTCAATTTAGCCATCATCTCTGCTTGTTTCGCCCCTTCCTGCGTCTGGTTGTAGCTGCTCGTTGCAACTTCAAGCTTTATCGCTAGCTTTAGCAGTGCAGAATCACAAAACCGTCGAAGCTTTTCAACAGGGTTGTTCTTGAAAGCGATCTCATAGACGTTGTTGCCCGCCTTCCGCCAAGCTTTTGCCTCGATGCATAACACGACTATGGGTAGATTGCCCTGCATATTGTTCAGATACTGTTGAAGGATGTCGGCACCAATCTCTTCGTCTTTGTTGAACCACTCCGATGCTTCTGTCTGATCATTGTCATCACGTCTAATGAACCAAACCCCACTGACGACATCTTCTTTGTGACCGATCACAGGCACTCTACGCGCAAACAGGGTCTTGTCAATCGCCGGGATGGCATAGTCGACCAGCTTGAGTACAGTCAAAGGTTGATCTGGAGTTGGCAGCTTCAATCCGAAGTGAAGCTCGTCAGGACCACCCCTGAGTCTGAGCAGCTTATATTCGATCGGACGTTTTGTGTTTGCATTGGTCGCAGTGGGAGTCGGAAAGTCTCCAATCTTACTGACAGAGGTGCTGTGAGGGTGCCGGTAGCGAAGCTTTTCACTCTTCTCGCGTTTGGTGATGAGAACGACTAATTGCGCAACTATCTCGTTCCTGGAAGCAACTCGCGTCCCCGTTCCTGTAGGATTATCTTGACTCTCTGGAGCCATGGTATCGTCAACGCTCAGCTGATCAGTATCATCATCATCGGCGGCCGTAATTCTGGGATCAGTATTGACTACGACGACATCTCCGATCGGATTATCGTCTGCTTCAGGGTTTTCGGTTGCCACAGTATCTAATACCACAGTGAACTTGGTGGGTGCCGACTTCGCAGCCTCTGATTCTTCTTCTCTTTGCGCCAGTTGCGCCCGGCTTCGTGTGAATGGTCTGAATTTCGCCATTCTTTATACGTCAGAGGCTGGAAATGATAATTTGTCTGCTTCAAAAGATACAGACCGACACTTGATGGAGATTTTCGCAATTCTGAGCGTTCAGTAGAAGAGAGAATCTGGAAGGATACAAGAACTTGTCGTGACCTCGAGTACCGCCATTCGAGCTTGGAACTCCTAGCAAACACGCATGATAGTGACATTACCGCCTGCACAGCGGTTTGCAGCGGCTCTTCGTTCATGGTGAGGAAGCAAGTGCAAGTCCTGCACTTCCCAGACGCGTCACTATTCGTTGTCCTGCTAGTAGAAACAAGCACTGATGGTAGACGCGTAGTGACACTGCTTGTGAACACATCGAAGGCCAGACACAAAGTAAAGGCTATTCGCGCCTGGCACTCAATTCCCATATTGTCACGGGACGTTAGTGACAAGGCTGTGTCAAGCACGAAAACTTTATAAATGGTTCACACTTTGCAGTCCCACTTACTTTCTTTTCTTCCCTCACTGGTATTCTGTACTTTGCAAAATTGTACCTCACACTCGCCACTTTCCAAACTCTTCCAGTTGATTTACACATCTCAAAGGACATCGATTAAGGTACGAATCGACTCGAGTATTCAGGTAAGTGAAACATCTCTCTTTCATTCAGTTGAAAAACACATCCTCTGCGAGAGTGTGATAGAGTCTGCTCACGGGCTTCCTCGGTGACACGAGGACAAAGACCCCCGACGCCAAATCCTGTCTCCTTACTCCGCTATGAACTCATGGTGCCGTAATGGTCGTGGAGACCCTTTGAGACCGCCTCGGATTCCCATCGAGGCGGCGAAGGGGACATTCCATGTTCGTACGTGAACGGTTGGAGGGTGTATACTTACAGGTGGGCTACACTGGCATTTGGTTGTGTTGCGATTTCTGAGACTACCCTGTCCTGAGGTGTCGTCGACCTCAGACTCGGGCAGGGATAAAATAGTCTCAGCGACCCCTTCGCATCTGGCTCGAATCTGCTCGTACGGGTCCCCCACTACAACCAAGAAGATCTGCTGCTGCAAGTGATTGCCGCACCACTAATTTGAACAGTACTCATCCATACAGCCAAGCAGCAGGTCGATTCCTGCTGCCTTGCTGCGATCATCGCAATCTTTTCAGCTTTTGAGCAGCTTCATGCTGGGAAAAGTGGAAGAGAAGGAACCACAATGCGAGAGAAGGGAATACATTACACATTGATCAACAACAGGCACCGCATTGTCGCTAAGATACGAAGTTACTGTCTCGTCTTCGTGAGACACAACTGGTTGGACGGCAGACAAACAAGAACGAGGTCGCGAAGTCGCGGTCAAAGATGTGGGAGCGGCTTTGTCAAGCTCTTTGATGCGGAGTACTTGGCTTTATTAATGCTCGGCAGTGTTTGATTCCGACACGCGTCCAGTCAGACTCAGAACTATGTTCAGGAATGTCATCTCTGAGTTTCTGGAAGAGCGATAGACTGGAGTTCGTTCGAAACGCTGCAGGAGACTGACAGAAAAACGGTCGAGATGGAGCTTCACGTGAGAGACAGCTTTCCCTGCAGTAAACAAGTTGAATCTGATCTCGCCGCACTTTCCTACTTTAGCCACTGAATGCGGACCTCGTTTCATCTTCTTCACGTGACCATGGGCATCGCCTCGCGCTCTGACCTCTGCAATTGGTGGAGAACGATTATCATGATCGTATGGGGAAGGTGCGACGAGATGCAATATGATGGACATCCGCCTTTCAGTGTATAACTTCACTGAGCGAGGTATACTAGTATGGTGGTGGAAAGAAACATCAAGGCTTCTTCAATGATAGCGTTGTGTAAGGTTCTTACAAACTTACAGTGATGTGATCGTACACGAAGTTAGAAAATTTTAGTGTTGTCGTGAACTTTCACACTGCATTTTTATTCTGTCGGCTCTGCAAAACCAAAACATTGCGCCAGGCAGGCTCGCCGGCATTTTGACGGCGACGCCTCGTTACCTGGATGACGACTACATGTTCCAAGACCATTTCTCAAGCTTCAGGTTTCGGGTTTTGCTTCTCTGCCATCTAGGATCGCTCTTGTCGAGGGCATCGCACAGACAGTGCAACTATCGCCATGACAGCCACAGCTCGACATACAGCTCGACACACAGCTCTTTGGAGTGAAATGTGATAAAGGGTACCGGATTTGCTCAGCTCAAACTTTCTACCCTACATCTTCGCAACAATCATGACCTTCACTGGCACCCTACCCTCATCCTCTCCTTCTCTCGCCTGATTCGCCGCTAACCTAAAGGCCTTCTCGCCATCCTCTAATGGCACTCTGTGACTGACCAATGCTTCCGCCACACCTTGCAACTTCCCACTTGCAAACAGCTGGATTGCCGCTGGGTAACAATTCGCATACCTGAATACACCAATGATATCCACTTCTCGCAAAGCAGCAGCTCCAAGAGGCAGTGTCTGTACTGGATTGCCCATACCTACAAGGACAAGTTTTCCACCTGGAGAAGCGGCAAAGATGCCAAGCTGGACACAAGGTGGAACACCTGTACATTCGTAGACACGGTCAAAGCCAGTCAAGCCAGCAAAGAGCGAGATTTGAGCTGCGAGGTCTGTCGCTGTCGCGAGATTCTCTTCTATGTTCGGCAGAGGTGTTTTCTTCGGGATAAGGAACGTGCGAATGCCGAAACGGCCGTTTCCGAGGCCTTCGCAGATTTTCAGTCTCGGAGCATCGATGTCTGCGACTATGATGTTGGAGACGCCGGACACTGATAGAGCAGCTGCGGTGAGCATACCGACTGCGCCAGCCCCGATGACGAGTGCTGAAGAGCCGAGAAGTGGTGTGCCTGTTCCTGAACCAGCACTAGTAGAACGATTGATGGCGTGCAGAGATACAGCTAGAGGCTCGATTAAAGCGCCTTCTTCAAAACCTACACTATCGGGTAGTAAATGGCACATGTTCGCTGGCTGAGTCACGGCAGTTTGTAGAGTTCCATCTGCATGCGGGAAAGTCTTTGCACTCGATCGAAATCTCAGTGTCGGGCACAGATTGTACCTTCCGCTTGTACACAGATTACACGTCCTGCACGGTACCCCTACTTCCAGCGCAACTCTGTCACCCACTTTTAGACCTTGCTGAGCTGGTGACGTTGAGCCGTTCATCGTCGATTCTTCAGGAACAGCTGTGATCTCTCCCGCAGATTCGTGACCGAGACACATTGGCGATTGGAGGACAAAGTTGCCATTTCGACCATGAGTATAGTAGTGAAGGTCGCTGCCACAGAGACCGGTCGCGCGAATGGTCACTTGCACTTCGCCGGGTTGTGGAAGAGGTGCTGGGCGGAATTCTAGGCGGAGGTCCTTGGCGCCATGAAGAACCAATGATTGAATTTGCGAAGAGGGTGCCATGATAATATCTGCGCTAGTTTTGTATCGCTGTCGAAGTTGTAGGCTCTCCCAGAATCGATGTATCTGGTGCCGAAGCTCGATTATCTAATGCTGACCAGTCCGAGAAAATGGCAAGGCTCACAAATTGAGAATATCGTCGAATGGAGAGGACTGATTGAATGTTGTGCTTGGTATGCAGCCCTGTCGTTGTGATGAATATTTATTGACTGTCCAGCTCAAGACAAGTACGGACGTTCAAGGATGGCAAGCACGATATAGAATTCAAGAATAGCACGGTACTGATTCACCAGCTCTTAGCTCTGTCTCATGCGACATGCGAGGTTGACGCAGCAATCTTTTCGATACGTATATCAAGCACGATCGTCTCTTCACTGACCGGAAGAGCCTCCATCACAGCCAGGCTGTCGGACACCATACCACAACTCATCCTTGAAACCAGTAACACTCGGCGTGCCTGCTCAAATATTCCTTCCAGTTTCAAAAGCCGCTGCCATGCCATTGGCTTCCGTGACCACTGCCAAGCTCCAGCATCGGCATATGTTCCGGTTCTTCTCTCCCTTCGCGTGGGGAATCGTACTTCAAACCACCAAATTCCCCCATCTTTTCTCCCATACTCCAACTTACAGAAAGCGAAAAGACAAACAAGACAAAAAGAATTCTCCCATGAGTTCGCCGGGGATTTCCTCAGTCAGTAGTGGCGCCGACGGAGATAGAGAAATACGTGTTCCAGCTTCTGAGACGAATACTGCGAATACCGCTAGTCGTGCTGAAGTACAGAGCAAAAAGCCAAGACAGCTGCTTGCTACTATACTTGAGCCGTTACTATTTCCATTTGCTGTTCTGGTATTGAGAGTATTGACGACTCTGAGTCAGAGAACACGCAGTTCATGAACACATACATATTTCGAAGAGCTTCGAAAAGAACAGCAAGCGATTTATTTTCCAAGGGCTCTCAGACGTGGTTAACCCGCTCAGCAGGAAGCAACGTGATCTCGAGAAGATACAGTCACAACATGTCGAAACCAACAGTCCTCCTGATAGGAGAATTAACACACACCAACCAGGAATGGCAAGCTCTTTCTTCAAAATACAAGCTCAAGGAATTCCGAACAGGTAAACGCGATCAATTCATCTCGAACCTCAAGTCGGGGGAGTACAAAGACGTGGTAGGTCTCTATCGATCCAATATGTCCGTCTCACAAACTGGTCCTTTCGATGCCGAGCTGGTCTCATTATTGCCATCAGGCTTGAAGTGGGTGTGCCATAATGGTGCTGGATACGACAACATTGACGTCAATGCGGTCAACGAGAGGCAGATACATGTCTCCAGCACACCAGTAGCGGTTGATGATGCCACAGCCGATGTCGCGATCTTTTTGATGTTGGGAGCGCTGAGACAAGCACATATATCATACACAGCACTACGTCAAGGTAAATGGAGGGGTGGCGCACCGCTGGGTCACGACCCGAAAGGGAAGACGTTGGGAATATTAGGCATGGGAGGAATTGGCAGAGTAAGTAGTCCTTTTGTGATCTTCCCCTATTTGAAAAGCTAACTTTGTCTTTTAGGCAGTGGCCAAACGAGCACAGAGCTTCGGCATGTCCATCATCTACCACAACCGCTCACGACTATCCCCAGAACTAGAGGGTGGTGCAACCTATGTCTCCTTCGACGACCTCCTTGCTCAATCAGACGTACTATCCCTAAATCTGGCCCTGAACGCCAAGACGAAACACATCATCTCCGCACCACAACTAGCAAAGTGTAAGAAGGGCGTAACAATCATCAACACCGCACGAGGCGGCCTCATCAAAGAAGCCGACCTCGTTGACGCCCTGGAATCAGGTCACGTCGAAGCCGTCGGTCTCGATGTCTTTGAAGAGGAGCCAAAGATCCATTCTGGTCTTGTGAGAAACGATCGAGCCTTCCTGATGCCGCATATGGGCACGTGGACGTATGAGACACAGAGGGATATGGAATTGCTTGTGCTCAAGAATCTGGAAAGTGGTGTCGATTCAGGGAAGTTAACTACGAGGATTAACGAGCAGAAGGGCTTGAGCTGGGCTAATGATGGGGACAAGAGTAAGCTATGAGATGTGTCAACCAGAAGATGTAGCCATGTGCTTCAGCCAGCTATATTCCTGGTATCCGTCACAAAAGCGTGATCGATCTAACCCAAGGCGCAGGAGCAACTCATATCTTATTTCCGAGCACAAATTCACCTGCAGAACCTCTCAGATCTTGCTCGAGATAATCCAAATAGACCCTTAGAAGCTCAAGTATTCTCCTTCAAAACACACTATACTACATCTTTCTCCCTCACAACTTGGCCTTCATCCCCTCCTGCGCCTTTGCCAGGATCGGCTCCATCTTCGTCGCCTTCATCACATTCCCTTTGACCTTCAATTTCCCACTCATAAACAGACTCTGCGCCTTCGTCTTTCCCTGCACCATCTTTGCAAAATCCGCATCGGATAAACTCAGCGTGACATCTGCTTTTTTGCCTTGTGGTGCTTCCCCCTTGGCTACTTGCCCGGTGGTCTTGAGGTCTATATGCCAGGCTTGCTCGGCGCCGGAAGAGTTTTTGAGCTTAAAGCAGAAGATCGCGGCGCCTTTTTTGATGGCGTCTTTGCGGTCGGCGTCGGAGGAGGAGAGGGATGATTGGATTGCATCGAAGGCGGCGGAGGAAGGGAATGCAGCTGTGGGAGAGAAACATATGTTAGTCGAAATCCTGAGGGAGAGCTGAAGACGATTGTGTTGGTCAGATCGATGGAGGATCTGGATACTTACAGTCCTTGAGAGACATGTTTGTAGAATATGTAACTTGGCTGGTTAAGATCTATTAAAAATGGTGGCCTGGATCTCCTCAAATCAAAGAATTTACACAAAAACGGGAAGAATGCAAGACAAGAGTCCTCCAAGATCCGGAACGAGAAACGTTAAGCAGGATAATTGAGCATGGTGTGTCCTTCGATCACATGGGCATGTGAGCATGAGAAGGCATGAAATCATCGTGTACCTGAAGCATGTGAAGATTCAGATTCCAGCACCGAGGCATGGATCACGTGTGATCTCGCGCCGATTCCGGCAAGCTCGTCCCATCCCGGTATAGCTCAGGACCGGCCGGAAGAACCTTCCGGAACAGCTTCGGCCACAGTCGTGAGAAGGCAACCACTATTCACGCAATTCAGAACTCGAGCTATGGATGAATTATCCAGTGATGTAGCATATTGATGTACCGATTTACCCTTCCTTATAGATCATCATCAGGTCCTATAATCTCCTAACCAGCCAGAATAACCTACGTGACGTTGAGGTTCCATGCATTCTTGAAGGTGTTCTCTCCAAACACACCTTGTAGCCTTGTCAAGCTGGAGGCAGGTATCAGCTTCCCTGAGTCTCTGCGCCAAGAGCTTCAGAGGCTACGTAAGCTAAAGCATGTCCGACCTACCTGATGAGATATGGATTCAGATATTCGACTACATCGACTCTGAGCAGTTACTCCGGATTCAGTCCGTTTGTAGAAGGCTGCGGCGGGTCGCTCGAGATGCCAGGTTATGGCGAGCAAAATGCTTCGAAAAGGCGCCAAGCGCTGTTCATGCTTTCAAGGCAAACGAAGACTCTCTCTCAGAATTGTTAAACAGCCTATCCCTTACACAGGCTGGTAGTACTCCACAACCGTCCTCTAGCAATGATGTAGCCAGGTCGGCTGTGGGCATGAGTCGTCGCGCTCAAGCCATTGCAAATTGGGACTACACCGACGGCCGAGAAAGAATCGATTGGTATAGTGAATACATGGCTCGTCATGCACCTCTTCATATGGAATGGGCTCAGAGTTCTGACACTACTGAGATAAAAAATGTAGCATTGTTTGACGACCAGCAGAAAGTTATAGGGGCTACAGAGGATGGTAACATCCGGATATGGGACATTCAACAGACAGCGAACGGCAGAAGAAGCTTCCACGAATCGTTTCGAAGTCACGACAATCTGCTGTATGCAGGGTTCGAAGTAGACAGTCCATCCTCAAGCAGTACGCCTATGCAACAGCCCACGATTGGCAATGCGGTCGATAGCATACTTGTCCATCATTCAGGCACGAAGGTTTATGTTGCCGTTGAGGATAGACTGAATGAGATTGATTTAAATACAATGGCTGTTGTGTCCCAACAGAAATGGGCATGGAACATCACTGCAATATCTCAACAATCCAGTGACGAGTCTGCAGTCATGGTTGGCACGTCATATACTCTCAACATGTATGACCCTCGAACCATACTGAGGAATCAGTCACAGAATAACGATGAGAAAGTCGACGTCGACTTGCAAGAGCGAAATACTGTTTTCCTACCAAACTACGCCAAGTCTTGGCTGGCTTCTCAACCTCGCTCGGGTCCACGACGACGCCAGGTCTCAATGAGGGCACGGGTACCTACCAGCGGTATCTCACGACCAGTCTATACTTCACGCAGAGCAGATCCAGAAGTGTATGCTCCCGTAGAACCTGGCCCACAAACGATTCTTCACCGTGGCCCGAACGACATTGTTGTAGCTGGTCGCATGCCAAGCATACTCTTCTACGACAAGAGAAGCTTCCCTAAGCTAGAATCCGTCATACATTCAGGTGCACGACTGTCGTCCCTGACTAGTCTGGAGTATCCTCCTCGAGGTGCCACGAGCTTAACGGCGGATGCTACCCTCATTGCTGCAGGAGAATACCACGGTCGTGGTAGCTTGGAACTATATGAGCTCCCGCATACCCGTCTTACTGACCCACAAGCTACTTACGATGTACCTCCTGCTCAAGACACCGACTCAGAACCAGCACTCCCGTCCACTGACGACGCTGGGGAGTCGAGCAGAACGACAGCAACCTCTGAACCATTCTCATACCGCAATAGACAGTCGTCGTCCTCTGCAAAGCTTCTTTCTGTCGTCACTCAAGGCTCTCGTATCGTCTATTCTGACACCGAAGGTGGTATCAAGTGGGTTGAGCGTGACGGACGTGGCCTAGCAAGACGTTGGAACATCAACAGCTATGAATATACACACGCAGGTGGCGCAGTGGTCGGTGACTACGTTGCTCGCAAAATGCTCACCTTCTCATCAGACGAGCAATACACATCTGGCAGTCTCGCAGGTATGAAGCGTGGTGATGGAGACATCCTCATCTGGACAGGCACTCATATCGGTCTCGTGACGAACAAAGTCAAATGGACAGTCCACGATGAACTTATTGCAGCTTTTGAGGAAAAGATGAGTCTGGATGAAAGTGCACAAGGACAGTCTAGTATGCGATCAGCAGAAGAAAGCAGGAGACAGGAGGAGGAGTACGCACGGATTATGAGACGTGCTCTCGAAAGGCAAGCTGATGAAAGAAGGTTCCTGGCTAGATTTGGAAGGATGAGTGGATAGTGATGTGTTGTGATCTCGTACACGATGTGTACATTGCGACGCAACTGCGCTCTTGGTATTCTTGTTAGAGAGTACTTCGGCAACTCCAAATTCTGAGCTCGGTAAACCACGAAGGAGCCGCATTTCTGGGGTGAATGATTTTGGAGAACTCACATGGAGACTCCATAGTAGCTTTCTAGAATTCTTAGAATCAAAGCCACAGCACTTTCTTGTAACACATCTCCTGGCGCAAGCGTCACAACTAATCAACATGGTTCGAAGACTCAAATCGAAAGAAGACACCTCGGCCAAAAACGCCGTCAACATAGACGTGTCGAAGATTGTGAAAGGTGTGATCGACGATATCAAAGCAAATGGTGACGCCGCAGTACGGCAATATTCTCAGCAATTCGATCAATGGTCGCCGCCTAGCTTTAAATTGTCCAAACAGCAAATTGACGAGATCATTGCATCTGTTGACCCGCAGACTGTAGCTGATATTAAGGAGGTACAGCAGAATGTTCGGAGATTTGCACAGGCGCAGAAGGACTCTCTTCGTGAGTTTGAGCTTGAGATTCAGCCGGGAGTGTTTCTAGGCCAGAAGAACAATCCAATCGCGAAGGTCGGATGGTGAGTCTTCAGACGGATTTACCTTGAGAGTTGCGGTTGACAGATATTTCAGCTATATACCTGGAGGCAGATATCCGTTACTTGCCAGCGCACACATGACCATCCTAACAGCGAAGGTTGCTGGTGTGCCACATGTCATTGGTTGTACTCCACCCTCAGCAGGAGAGATGCCAGCAGCGACCATCGCAGCCATGCACCTCGCAGGCGCCGACGAGATTCACATTTTGGGTGGTGTGCAAGCCATAGCGGCCATGGCCATCGGAACGGAAACCATACCTCGAGTCGATTTCCTTGCTGGGCCCGGCAATGCTTTCGTAGCCGAAGCCAAACGTCAGATGTTCGGCCAGTGTGGCATCGACCTCTTCGCAGGACCCACTGAAGTCCTGATTGTGGCGGATGAGCACGCTGATCCGTACATGTGTGCTGTCGATTTGCTTTCACAATGCGAGCATGGACCTGATACACCAGCTCAACTAATCACAAATTCTGAGAAGGTCGGCCAGGAGACGCTAAGGTGTATTGACGAACTACTCAAGGTATTGCCAACTGCACCTGTCGCATCAGTATCTTGGAAGGCATTTGGTGAGGTCATCATTGGCGATTCGATGGATGAAGTGTATCAGATCGCGGACGACTATGCTTCTGAGCACGTACAGATCTTGACTGAAACTCCAAGAGATGCATTGACGAAGATGACAAATTATGGCGCAATCTTCCTGGGCAAGAACACATGTGTTTCTTATGGTGACAAGGTACGTCCACATTTCCCTCACACATTCTTGCTGGCCTCAAATCCTCACACCTATTTTCTCCTCATTTAACCACACCATGCTAACTATGACTCCGATGTAGTGCATCGGAACCAACCACGTCCTCCCCACCCGTTCCGCCTCCCGCTACACCGGCGGTCTCTGGGTCGGAAAATTCCTCCGCACCCAAACCTACCAAGAAGTGCGCAACGACGAAGCCAGTGGCCAACTTGGCAGGCTGTGCGGACGTGCTGCGAGGGCAGAGAAGTTCGAGGGACATGCGAGGAGTGGTGATTTGAGGGCGGCGAGGTTGTTGGGGGATCAAGTGGAGTGGATTGAGGGAACTAGGAAGGCGTTGGGGTTGGGGAGTGTACAGACTGGCAAGGCAAAGTTGTGATGAGTGTGTGTAGATTAGGTGGATAGGCAGGTGGGATAAAGCTTGATGGTTCACAAGTTAGACATGATCAGGATTTTGTATGAAAGTCTTGTGCTGGCTGGCAGACAGGTTCATTGTCAGTTGCTGATTTCGTACGTCTGTGTCAAGATGTTGCATTGAGCTCGGAAATTGTCAGTCTGAAGGCGACAGCGGCTTGCACAATGACTACTCAAATGATCAAGGTATCACTTCCTCATATTAAGTTATCATGGGCTTTCCGCCCCTATGTGCAAATCTCCCAGTGCGTGGTCCTGGTGTTATTTCACATGTTGTCTTCGTCGGCCGAATACTCGTATTCTTCATCCTAGTTGCCCAAGTCATCGTTTTGGGTCTTTGCACTTCGTTCCTGAACTCCGTGCATCCTGCCCGTCACGTTCCCGTCATCAGCAGCAGCAGTAAAAGCAATCAATTGAGCCAGACTCGGATACTGCGATAACCATGCTTCACGCCCTTCCCTCTGCTTATAAAACGCAAGGTAGTCCTGAAGGTTTCGAAACATATGTGTTAAATACGCGTGCCTGGGACCAAAGTAGTCAAGTCCTGCCAAGAAGGCGGAGTGTACATATTTCGACGACTTGTCTTCATCGCCTGTTTGAGAGTAGATTTGAGAAAGTCGCATCATTGCATCGATACGTATACCAGTCACTTGTGTGTTTGATGATATGGTTTGTAATGCTTGTATACCTTCTGCATGGCGACCGTGGAATATCGCGGTCTCTGCTAGAATGAAATCGAGGTATAGGGCAAGGTCAAGATTTGCTTGTCGTGGCTGAGTGTGTATCTTCTTGACCTTTTCAGCATATCTTGCGATGCCATCCCAGTCGGACCACTCGTGAAGTAGTCGCAAGCCTCCGGCGTTGAATTTTGCTGTAACACCTTGAGTAAATGTTGCTAGGTTGTTCGTCGAAATATCAGCTCCCACCACATCAAAAGCATAGTGGCAGACTAGAGGTTGCCAGTAGACCGCCGCTTGTTTTCTGGCCAGCTGTCCGATGCGCAGCAGGTAAGTGAGTGGGTGGAACTTTCCAAATTCTTTGTAGCAAATGGAAGCAAGTTCAGACAACAATCTCGCCCTGTGAACACCACGTTCATGTTCTTGAGGATTCTGCTTGTCCAGGATGATGACCAGGGACAAGATCAAATGATCCAAGGTAGGTTCATAAAATATGAGTCCAGCTTTCTGTGAGGCTACATTCAGGGCGGCCACGGCTTTTTGAAACGAACCAATACCTAACCACATCTTCGCTTTGATGTAGGTATCAATGACTTCCCAAACTTGAGACCTTCTGAATACTGACGCCCTAAAGGTTTCCATTTTGAGACATGCCATACATGCATCCACGGCTTTCATAGCTCTATCAGCAAACTCGAATTGAGGAAGCAGCTGTACAATAGAAGTGGGCGAAGGTTTGTACTGACGTTTGCTAATAGAGACAAAATTCTTGTTCGTGGTCCATGGTATTCTCGACCTTTGTGCTTCACTCAGATATTGCCGCATCAACCTCAGTTTGTATTTCGTTGCTTGACTGGTGGCCGGCTTTTCGTGGGCAGTCCTGAACTTATCTTTGTCTTCTTTGACATTGAGCCACGGTTGAATTTGTAGCCCACGCAGTCTCAGTGGAGGCTCTGCTGAACCACTGCCACCAAGGGTGGTGTCCTTGGCCGAATCCGACAGAACGAAAGACGCATATTTGATCTGCAGAATCAACGGTCCATATATATCGCCGAAGATGCCGACACCGTCATCAGAGACTGCCACAGGTCCGTAAAGATCACCGAGTTTGTGTCTGCGCAGATCCATTTGAACGTCACATCGCTGTCGATCTGTTTCACAAAAGCCCGCCTGACAACCAAGAGAAGAAATGGTCCCGAAGATTATACACCAAGCCTTACAATTCCTAGGAACGAGATGCTCGATTATGTAGGAGTTCTGAACGGAGATGTGGCCGATCGAAGTGCATGACATGCTGACGGGGCCCCTTTCGGTGGAAGGCAAGTGAGGAGGCAAAGTGCCTGTGACTGGGATACAGAGACCATTGGAGTGAGGATGCATGTTAGCTGGATGCTAAGCAAGCCCCGATCGTAGCAGCAGCTGACACGATTTATGTTAGCATGAACATCATCAGAATTTGTATCCTTCGAGATGGAGCTGCTTTCCGTAGGCGTACTGCCTCACTTAGCCTCAGGCGCACGTGGGTGAACAGATGATCCATCGGTCTAATACATGGGCTTGCACACATGAGTCCCGCGAATTATCTTGTCACCCACGTGAGGCGTTCTTCGAATATGACCACGTTCCCAACTTTTGGTGATAAGGCGTTCGACAGGCAAATGAGAAGATTGTGAAGCATCTTGCCGCCTACATGGAATGAACAACGGGGATAACCGGCCATCATATGATGGATTTGAAAAGAGACGCGCCAATGAAACTGTTTGTAGGTACAGATGTGACGCCAGCAAGGCAAGAGGATATGGGGACACCCGTCGATACATTTCCGAGGTCTTGCACGACAGATTCGGGGCTCATGTTTGGGGTTCGTAATCGGAGAAGTTCAAAGTAATGATATTGCGGTATCGTAAACATGTCTTCAATAACCAGATTGCGTCGCTCACACCGCACATGAATACTTGCATCGCTCTTCTCAGCCATCACCATTGAGGTATGGGCTTTGCGTTATCCTCAGCTCCTGGCACCGCCACTGAGATTGCTACCTTCCAATTGGTTTTGCTTTCTGATCTGAGTATATCTTGTCATTTTTCCTAATTCGACGATACTCAGTCGTCTGAACTGGCCTGTAGGACGACCAACAATGATTGGTCTCCAGCTTGTATTTGCACGCTTGATATGCTCGTAGGTTTCGGCTCCATCAGGTACCATCTGCACTTTCCTCCATTTCACGAGGACTACCGTCAGCAGAATCGTCAATGCTAATGAGATGATTGCGACACCTGTTGTAGCCCAAACTGTGCCTTCTCTTCGTTGAACTGTGCCGCACACTGCTGTTGCTGCTGCTGCGAAAAGAAAGCTAGTGGCTTGAACGATAGCGAATCCAGCTGTGACACGAGGGAAACAGGAGAATTTGGTCCGTTGTTGAGATCTTCCGCTGTCTCCTGAGGCACGGATAGGACGACCTGTCATGCGTGGTTGAAGATCAGTGGTGTCAAAAGTCTCCATGATGAGGCCATAGCATTCGGCTGTGGCCATCGTGCTGAAGAATCCTACCAGTGCAGCCATTACACACGGCGCTGCGATGAGAAGAGGCGGACCAATGGAAGCGCCAGCGCAAGCAGCTGCAGATAGTGGCAACAATATCATAAAGAGGATACGTCGTACAAAGTGTGAAGAGCACTTGGAGCGCTGCCGCATGGTGAAGCTGTCTGTTCGTGGAGGCGTGCTTCGAGATCTGCTGAAGTACGATGCACGCTGAAATGGAGCTGCAATAATTGCACCAAATGCTGGAGCAAGCGCACATAGACCGACCCAGGCTGGCTGGTAACGATAGTGCTTGGATGACAGAGCGCCAAGTAGCTGTGGTAATGTTAGCCACATCTTAAGTCCAGGAATCACAACTCACCGATAGAACCAGGCTGTACTGTGCATATATCCAACCTGTGTATAATGCCAGAACGATAAAACCTGGTTGAAGTATCATCTTGCAGCTGAGTTTTACACCAGCCGCGACTTCTTGGCCCCACTAGTATGGTCCAGTCGAGTCAAGATGCATTTTGACCTCGCCTCGGGTGACCCGACTGAAGCCGCCTTGTTGTCCACTCAGATCTGCTAGTGTCCGACGAAATGCTGTCTCACGTGTCTCTGGTACTATGATGTTCAAAAACAGACACAGCAGTAGTACGAACATGCAGATCCAAAACCCCCAAGACGTAGTTGCACCAGAGTGCACAATCGAGGCGCCAACCATGAAACCAATACTGATTGGCCCAATAGTACACCATGAGACAAATCCGAGCCACATACCCATACCACCTCCGTGCTGTCGTACATCCAACGGATCAACATCCTCAGAGTCAGCCAATTGACTTCGCAGGGAGGCGCCGAAACAGTCTAAAAGTACTGCCCTTAGGTTGATGTAGGACAGTCCGAGTGCTAGTCCCGAACCAGCTCTTGAGATGAGTAATAAGCATTTGTAAGTCATGGTGGAAGGATCGCGGAATCCGGCGACGGCCAGACCCTGCGGCACTTGAAGCACCAACGTGATCAGCAGGGCAAATATAGAATAAGGCTTGCGTCCGTGCAGTAATGGAAGAGGCCAGCAAGCAAGACTCGTAAGAGCCAAACCAGCGTACATGACCACATTCCCGAGTATGGTGTAGTGTCCAAAGTCAGCTAGAGCATATTGCATTGCAGGGACCTGACCATCATAAACCCCGAACAAAAAGGCTATGCAGGCAGTATCCATGCATGCAACGAATGCTGTGAAGCGCTTGCGTGAGTTTGGCCATTGTCGAGCGATGACGGGATGTGGAGTCGTGTCATACACATCGAAGGATTGCCCTTGGTGATAGACATCGACATACGACCGCTTTCTCAGATCGATCTCAGGAGGTTGCAAACTATTTGGCGGAAGGTCGATGGCCAGACTGGATGTCGAGTGAATACCAAAAATGTTCGAGAAGTGACGTTCGTGCCCGGTCATCACTTTTCTTGGCTTGAGATGCTCGTCTGCCAATACGGCATTCCAGTCCGTGACTTCCATGTCGTTGATTTGTGCTTTGGGACTGGCAAACTCTTCGGCTCGCAACGGCTCCTCAAATCTTCGAAGTGATACAGTCCCTGGTGAGGATGCAAGGTCTTCATCGGAAGTCGACTCGTGAGTGATGACGAAAGGCGCAGGTGCAATGCTAGGTTTCCGCCACCTATGGTGCTTGGAAGAAGATTGCCTCGCAGGGACCACTGGATAAGATTCTTGGAAGTGCACCCTGGGCTGTAGCAGCCTGTCTTCCGGTGACCTGTTGACAAGCTCCGTGGTTGTCTTGGGCTCGAAAGGCAAAGCTGGTAGTTTTGGAGGATCGTCGGTGATAGCAATAGCTGATTCCGCGAATTCAGTAATTGACTCATGCCTGCTCTCTGGACAGACCCAATCGTGCAGACGCTCTTGTATGTTGTGAAGTTTTGGTTCATAATTCCCACAAGCCGACCTTGGCAACCAGACGTCGCGGTCGGAACTCGTCGAATCAGGTAGGGTGAGTTGAGGCAGGGCAAGAGTGGCCTTGACAATAGGTAAGCTGGTAACTGATCTCACGCCCCGAGTGGTCAGTAGAGGAGGGCTCAATGACCTGGCAAGCTTGACAGGGTGCAGAACTATGTCTTCTGAGTCATCTTGAGTGCTAGCCGTCGTTGGCTTCTGTTGGACTTGGTTCTCTCTATCATCTTGGGAGACAGCAGCTTCAGCCAGGCGAGCGGCCTCATGAAGCAGAGACTCGAGTTGAGCGATTGAAGCACGGAGAGTGGACTTTGCCGTGCTACTGAATGAATCAGGTCCTACTCTGTCGACTGGCTTATCTTCACTGTGACCGACCGAGGAGGCACTTGGCAGACGCGGCGCTTCCTTGGTATTGATTCGACGAAGAGTTTGAATAGGTTGAGAGGGACGTCGTGGTAAATTGTCGGATTGCACGTTACCTGACCTGGTTCCTGGAGTCTGGTCGTCGCTGGTCGAGTCTGCAGTAGGACATGATAACTTTTGTGAAAGATGTACGATCTTAGGTATGCGAAGGTGAACAAATGTCTTAGGGTCAGACATGAGGATCGGACTAGGTCAGTCTAAGGCTGAGAGAAAGACGAAAGTTGGATGAGAAAAATGTGCTGTTAGGACGTTCGGAGGTCTCCATCAAGTTGTAGCCCAAGTCGTGAAAACGCTTTCTTTGAGGGAAGGCGCGAACCACAAATAGCGCATCGCCATTGCCAGCAGTAAAAATGTGGGACAACGGGCAAGCTTAGACACGTCGCTCGTTGATGTCGTTGATCTGTTTCTGCATGTATTCTCGGTGTTTCTCGTCTTCACGTTTCTGGCGCAATCTTTGCTCGGCCTCTAAGAAGTCCGTCCTCTTCTGTGCTTCGCTGCGCAGACGTCCGTCGCTCTTACCACTGTTCTCAATTCTCCCTGCGACATCCATAAACACTGCACTGCCGAGGAACAAGGTCAACGTGAGTTTAATCTGACCTTTCGGAGTATACGGGAAGCTTGAGAGCAATTTACGGGCAATCCTCTCCCCAACCATTACGCACAGATGTACCCGATTTGTTGGTCATGTACTGCGTGATGAGGCAGAGCAAAATGAGTAGAATAAAAGAAGGTGAAGTTGAAAAAAGAAAGAATTGAGGTCTGGGCTTCAGATTACCCCCCACTCTCCGCCTGGAGCTATGGCCTAATTGAGCGTTTGGGGGTGGAAGCCGCCTGGGAAGATGACATCAGATGCCTATCAAGCCTTTGCAATCAATCGAGCTTCACTCATCCTAAGACTGTTCGCGATGTCCATGTACAGCTTTCTGTACAGACCAAGTTCACATCTTCCTTTACAGTCGAGTGTCTTCGTGAAAAGTCTGTCTGCCTGGATCAACCCGAAACCGACAGTCTCGTTCAAGACATCAACCAGAACAATGTCTTCACTGCTGAAAAAGAATTTCAAACTCGGCTGCATTCAGCTTGCGGCAGGTTGGTAGCCTCCAGATGGTATAGCTTCATGCTGATGGTATTCTTCGCAGGTAGCGATAAACAGAAGAACCTGTCTCATGCACGAGAGAAGATCCTCGAAGCCGCCAAAGCTGGTGCACAAGTGATTGTTCTGCCAGAGTGCTTCAATTCTCCTTACGGCTGCCAGTACTTCCCAGACTATGCCGAACCTATCGAACCCTCTCCTCCAAAGAAAGAGGACGCTCCGTCATGGCATATGTTATCCGAAGCAGCGGCAGAAACCAAGACATACATTGTGGGTGCAAGTATCCCAGAGTTGGAACCAGACACGAAAAAGTACTATAACACTGCCTTTGTCTTCGATCTAGAAGGAAAGCTGCTAGCTACACACAGAAAGATCCACTTGTTCGACATCGATATTCCAGGCAAGATCGAGTTCCACGAGAGCGACGTGCTTTCACCTGGAAACAAAATCACTATCGTCGATCTCCCAGAATACGGCAAGATCGCACTTGCTATCTGCTACGATGTGCGCTTCCCTGAATTGGCCATGATAGCTGCAAGAAAAGGCGCTTTCCTGCTTGTTTATCCAGGTGCTTTCAATACCACAACCGGTCCTATGCACTGGTCCTTGTTGGTAAGAGCTCGCGCTGTGGACAACCAGGTCTATGTCGCAATGTGCAGTCCTGCTCAGGATATGGATGCCACGTACCATGCTTGGGGTCACTCCATGATCGTGGATCCGAACGCTGATATTATGGATGAGATGCAAGAGAAAGAAGGTATCATTTATGCCGACATCGACGGTGCTAGAATCGACGAGGTCAGAAAGGGTATTCCGGTCTATCAGCAGAGAAGATTCGATGTCTATCCGGATGTTAGTGCTGGAAAGGTTCGATTTGAAGAGTAAACCTGGACCGCCCATCACTCTTCATGGGAGACCCCAGGTAGAGTTTTTACCGGAGATCTCGCCATTCCGGTATTCGATCTTTGTATAGAGTACTACTAGTGCACGCGGTCGTGTCAACAAATCGAGTTTCTCTAGCAGAGCTTATGTGCACGTCTGAGGCTTACTGAGCGTGATGCAGCATGCTGTGTGGTTCCACGAAGTTCGATCGAATGCACCTACGTCTTTGGCAAAGCTGGCATGCAAGCTATGGTCGCACAACTTGTCTTGCTCCAACAGGTCAACCCAATATCAGTCCCGACTTGGAAGCTGACAATCTTGGTCATGAGTCATTTTTGTGTTTGATGCAGATTCGAGACGAATACAATCAGCACTCCTTCTTGGTCGACATCCTTGTCCTAGGAGGAAGGAAGGCATTCGAAGTCAAGGGGCACAAGATTGGCGAGACACTACGGACCATTCTTGAAAATCCAGCAAGACAGAAACTGATCTGGGATGTGCGTTAGGACTCATGCTCCACGAACGTTAATACTGGCATCAAGTTACAGGGTATTTTTGACCTCCAAATCATGTACATGCTCACATATGATTATCCGCCCTCACTCCGTCCAGATTCGAGGAAACTATTCCAATTGTGTCTGAGATCTAGGTGTAGTCGCTCTCGCTCGATGGAGGGCTAATAAGAGAATTGGTCTTGCAAACCAGACTGTCTGGAAGACACATGCAATCGCACCAAAACACTTGGGATGCGCTCGTTAATGCGGGATTTCCCGAGCCCATTCATGCACGTAACGCAGCACGATCGTTCTAGGAGGACATGCAAAGGGTTCACAAATAGGATCAAGGCAGGAATCCAACGATATGGCGCAGGACTGAGTAGTGGCGGTCCTCAGGAAGTGGGACTACCTTCGTCTCCGCGGTTATTGCGGAGACGAACTATGGAAGCCACGACTGATGCGTATTGGTGAGCCCTTTGTGAAGAAGAGGCCGAGAAGCGCATTGAATGAGTATGAGGACGACTAGGAAAGTTGCGAGTAGTACGTAATTCGTACGATTGTGATCTAGAGACCGACTCGCAGTATTATTAACATTAGTACTACATGTGTCATGTTGGGTAAATGAATCCTCCGAGTTCTGTGATCGCGTCCTTTGAGCGGAAAGTGTGGCATACAGTGACCGACATGAATTAGCCGAACGGTCTGCTTCCCTCACCAAAATCGTGCTTCTTTAACTTTGATTATCTCAACGAATACGTACTGAATAGTAGTAAGATTAATACTAAATAATAGCTTATCGTCTATATTACTTATCAAGTAAGTTATAGATCTACTGATAGAGATCTCGTAGATAAGTAATAGATAGAAGAAAACGCCCTCTAAATAAAGTGTATAATTAAGCTTCGGAAGAACAATATCTTTAGATCTTACTCTTATACTCGGTTACTATACTATCTATCTATATTATTAACTAACTTTCTATATATAATATAGGGAGCTTTAGTCGCTCTATCGAATGGTATAGATAAAGTAAGTACTTGACGCCTAGATTATCGAGATAGGTAAAGTTGAAGAAGCACGATTTTGGTAAGGCAAGCAGACCGTTCGGCTAATTCATGTCTCTTACTGTACACACATCCCGATTTTCGCCAAGGATCAAGTGCCTATCTTACGTATTCTGCTCTCTTTCATATTCGCAGCACGCCCATCCTTTGACTGATCGCGCTTGTCTTGCTACAAAATCCTCTTGCACAAATCTGGGTCATCAGGCTGTCTGTCAGGTTTGCGGACGCCTTTGCCATACTGAAAGGCCATGAAGGTACTTTTGCCGACTAAGCACGGGTGTGCTGCATGAAAGCCGAATGTTCCTTGCAGCTGGCGGATCAGGAACGAGTCGCCGCGACTGCAACTGCCTCTATCGCCTACCTACAATTTCTGTGATATGATAATGGAGGGCTCCTGCTAAGCTGATCGCCTGAGCACAAATTCAGATAAGCATGCGCCTTTGTCCCTCAATCGTAAATTGAGTAATATCTGTCAACTCTTTATCATGCTGTAGCGCCTCGATCGATATTCGCACGAAAACAGCAATTTCAATGGTGAGATGTGGGGCGAAGCTCTCGTTGCACAAGAATAAGGCTGATGATTTACTCGTCCTTTCCGCAGAATTTGGCTCATGAAGTCACCTTATTTATTCTCGACGCCTTAAGTGGTGCTACAGGAAGGGATTCCATGCCAATGATTACAACCTCATGCTTCGGGTCGTACTGACACTAGATCATTCAATATGTCAGGAGCACCATACGCTTACCGTCTCATTGGCATTCGAAGTCCAACAATCCGCCTTGTGAGGATTACGGGTCGGCGAGAAGATGGTAGTGTACTCCTTCAGCTTGAGTATTTTCCTCTCGCCGATGTGATCGGCAGGTACATCGCCATATCCTACACCTGGGGCCCAGACGACAAAATTCGACGAGTATGGATCGGTACAAAGTATGTTGTCATTCGCGAGAACATATGGCAGTTTCTGCTACATTGTGCTCAGCATCAACACATTGTCAGTGATGGTTGGTTATGGATCGATTCTATATGCATCAATCAGAACAACACTGCAGAGAAGAACAGGCAAGTTCAACTGATGGGTCGTATCTTTTCGGGTGCTGCTTACGTTTTGATCTGGCTTAGTTCGTCCAGTCAGCGTAATCTGAAATTATTGGAGGATGCCTGTACATCTGCGACGCAGAATGACAATCGTACAAAAGTTCAGAGCTCAGACCATAGATATGAATCAGAAATCACGTGGTCATGGCAAGAATGGAGAAGCTTCGTTAAATCGGACGATGAGTCTAGAATGGCTGACTGGTGGAGACCTTACGTGGACGATGTGAAGGACGTACTCTACAATGAGTACTGGCATCGTTTATGGATCGCTCAAGAGGTCAAATTGGCACAATCAGCAAAAGTCATATTCGGGACCATGACGTTGGATATACAGCAACTCGAATCAATTAATCTTCTGTATGAGACGTTAAGAGACGAGCAACGTTCCGTTGATGAGCAATATTACAGATTCAGCAGAAGCAAGACTCCGGCAACTAACATCGTCTCACAGCATCCTTTACTTTGTCGCGGAGCGCCGTCCTTACCTAAATTTCTCTACATCTATCGGAATCAGCAGTGTGCTGACCCAAGAGACAAGGTCTATGGTCTACTGGGTCTCGCTGGCATAGATGGGACTTTTGCGATCGACTATCGATGCGCTAAGGAGAACCTGTTTATGCAGGTCCTGAACCACATGGGATCTCAACCTCACAGCACTGCTGATCCAGTAGAATTCCAGGACATCGAACTGGTACGTCTGCTGTGTCGAGCATTAAAGATAACCCCTGACTCTTTGTCCCAATGGGCAACGTCGTCAGGCAACACTCCTTTAAGTCGAGCTACCACGAAAGTAGACTACGAGCTTACCCTAAGACTATCATGTCGCCTTGTTCCGTGTAAGATCAATACAGCATCTGGCGGAGTAGTAACGCTTCGTGGTTCAGATATTCAATGCGAGGATAGTAGTACATTGCGGGAATTCACAATTGACCTCCCTTCCAAGCCGACAATCCCCTCAGACGATCTGCTGGTATGTTACTATGGCCACATCAATCTTAACATCGTTCTGGAATATACTAGCGACAGGATGAGCATCATCTGCTTCACACCTAGAGAGGAATTTACCTTCAAGCCGGGAGAACTAAGACAACCATGGCTTGCTCATTCTGACAACGAGCAGAACAGCCATACGACGAAAGCACTGACTATGCTGACACTGCCACAAAAGATATCAGCAAGCCTGACAGAACGTCTTACACGCTTGCGCTCGAGTTGGGACGAACTCAACAGGCTCTATGTCCCGTGTTCATCATTGGAACTTGCACACATTGACAGCATGCAACCCGCTGGAGCTGACCAGGTCAATGACAATGGTTTTTGACATCCTTTGGTAATACGATTGGCTGCTGAATTGCTCTACATACCCAATCAATCAATATTATCAGCATGCGACCACTGTATGCATGGGAGTAACCAATTCAAAGATCCCTATCTTACGTGGCAGTAACACGATCTCCCTTGGAAACATGAGATTGACGAACGTGTAAGTACTGTGAAGAAAGTAAGATAAGAACGACACGGGCTGAAATACGTGGTGTCCACATTCGCGCGAGTCCAGCCTCACCCCCGCTCAATTACTACATCTTTTGGGAGGATGTGCACCTCGGTAGCTCACGAAGCTTCGATTTGAGTTCGATTTTAAGTTTAGCAATGGCTTAGTACTTAACATCGACTCGTTGCCACCCCTCACTGCTGGTACGCAAGGAGAGCAATTGTCGCATACAGCTCCTACAATGTCGTTCCAGGGCGTCCATCTTTGCGGTTCCCTCCCCTTCGAGTCAGCACAAGAGAGCTTCGAGCAGATTGGCAGCGCACTTGGTGACTATCTGTACCGCCTGCCGGACGGCGAGACCAACGATGGTCGGCAAATATGGCTATTGTGTCAATCTGGACTTTTCGAAGGCGGTAGACCTGAGCTGATGCATCCTGACCTGAAAGTTATGTTTTCACACCTAGCGACAAAAGGCGCTTCTGATAAGGCGGCCCAGGCAGAGCAAGCTCTAGACTATGAAGCTATACTTCAGGACTTTCAGCCAAATTACGATACTTGGGCGATCGAGTCGTACAGAATCTTCAAGCAGCTAAAAGAGTCTGGCAAACTTGCTCAACATCTCAAATTCCAGGTTAGCGTTCCCACACCATTAGCTGTTGTGACTCTCCTGATCGCTGTAAACCATCGTTCTGCCATTGAGCCAATCTACACCCGTAAATTGAGAGAGTGTATACTTCGTATGCAAGCTGAGATCCCTCATCAAGATCTTGCAATCCAGTGGGACTGTGCAGCGGAAATCGCGATGATCGAAAATGTTCCTGGATATGCTGGGATGTTGCCAGAATTCTTTGTCCCTCACTTCGAGAAAGGAGCTGATGTCCAAGCAGAGGCTGTCACGCGCATGATCGACCTTGCAAGTTGGATTGATGCCGATGTTGAGCTTGGGTACCATCTCTGCTATGGCGATCTCGGACATCAGCCATTCAAGCAAGCGACCGATGTCTCTGTGCTAGCGGATGTAATTGAGACGTTATGCTCTAACATCGATCGCTCGTTGGAGTTCGTGCATATTCCTGTGCCACTGAACGAGGTCAAGACGTATCTACAGCCACTGACGCCTCGAGCACTAAAGATGCTTACAGAGAGAAAGACTCATTTGTTTCTTGGATTGGTGAACGGTAATCGTGAGCAGGAGGTTCATGAAGCTATTGAGGTTGCACGAAAATTATTCGTCAATATACCTGCTTCTGAACAGTTAAGATGGGGCATCGCCAGTCAGTGCGGAATAGGGAGAACACCAAAGGAAGAAGCGGAGGGTGTTGTGAACATTACGAGAAGACTGGCTGAGCCTGTTGTAATGACTTGAACCAATATCGAGTCAGGAAGGCACCGATGGTGCCGAGGAGGCAATTACAGCTTGCTAATCCAAGTGTCGTAGCAGTTTGGCAGTATCTTTAAGTATCTGAGCACTGTTCGACGCTTTTGCACGTCGTGGTGGTATTAGATGCACTTTTGAGTCCTCTAAATCTGTCCAAGCCATGTACCATTTCGTGCAACAAATCTTTTCATTTACTGGATTTACCATGAAGCTTGACAATGCCATATTGTCTGTTGTCACTCGTCGTGGATTCTAGAATTTCGGTTAAGAATGTTGCGACCCTTTTGGATTCTTTCCCAGGATGTCAACACTTGACAAAAATTTAGCTATTGGAGGCGAAGTGTTGACGAGTAGGTATTGAGCCAGACCATCAGGATGGGCATCCGGACTCCTGGATCATTGACCGTTTATGCCTTTAGTCATGAGCAAAATGTCACGTTGTCGTTGAAGGCGGGAAGCGCGTGTATTGGCAGAGTACAGGATCGACTATGTTGATGAGATGGTAACGTAGGCCACGAGTTGCTCAGTCTCATCGCGCCGCTTAGATATACAGTTCCTGTTGCTTTCTGCTATCGTACGATTAAGATAAAGGGGGACTTCATGTACCCAAGTTGTTGGCGACGTTGTGCCAGAGCTCGAGATAATCCACTGGAGCTGTCAAGGTGTCTTTGCTGATTTCAAACGTCGGGATACTGATCGTCGAAATCCTTGTCGCCGCTAAGTAATTTGTCAATGTTCAGCCTCACGCTCCAACGAATATTTCGTGTATAGGCTCTGTCCGTATGTTGATCATCCTCAGGATTGATCTCGCTATCGCCAATATTTGACCCAGCAGGCCTATAGTGGTCGAAGAGTTGCGGCAACACGCTGATACAAGTATGTCGCTGGTGACCATTGTTGCCCTCACACCAGTCTCGTAAAGAGAGGTCGAAGGCATCATCGAGACGTTCCAATCCAAGATCATTCAGAATTCTGCGAGCGCCGGTTCTAGACACGGCATATGCAAGGGAACAGGTACCCTGGCGAGCACCATAGGCCACTGCTCTGGTGTGAGAAGGTAGAGAACGGAGAGGTGATTCAGCTTTGATGTCGTATGACTTCTGGTACTCCACCTGGGGCACGCTAAGATCGTCGTAGTGCAAGATGACTGAATTTTGATCATCAATTGGGAGTTCCATGCCACAGTGTCCCAGCCACAAGACATCCCAACCGTCCCCGAACGGTGATGAACTCGGCACATGACTAGTGTCAACCGTAGATAGTGCTCGCCTCCCCTGGTCACGATGACGCAGGAGGTCATCTGTCGACAATGCAAAGTCTTGTAACAACGATTTGAGTCGAATATCCCAATCAACATCGTCCTCTAGTATCAGCGCACTAGTCCAGTTCTTCTCGACCACATGGGAGATTGCATTCATGTGAGCTCGCCAGGTGCCGATCCAGGGAGGTACCTCATCGTGTCGATGACCTGTTGGTAACACTTTTGATTGAATTGATGACCGCGACACACCATTGATGAAATCTACCTTGATGTCGGAAACCGCAGTTTGTAATACCAGACCGTCGCGATGGTCTGTTCTTTCTCGTAAATTGATTGCGACAATACGTTCGAACTATAACATGTTAGAGCAGTAAAATCCAGATAACAGCATTATACGTACACCAAGAGTGGAATTTCTGACATCGTTCAGTGAGCGCTGTCTGGCTGCAGATACTGTCACTCCAGCCCTCCACCTTTGACCGCCTGAACGACTCCCAATTAGAGCAGGATTGCGGAAGAGTTGAAGGAGTAAAATGAGGCTGAGGAAGGCAGCAAAAGCAACCACGCCGTTTCGAATTGGCTTTGTGAGAAGCTGTCGGAGCCAGGTCGATGACGGACTCATTACGTTGAGCTACAAATAGTAACGATGGAAGGGCTTCATGTTATCATGAATGAATTTCCTCCAAATACAAGGCTGTGGTAAGATGGGAATATCGTTGATTGCGACCCGCGAGGTTTGTAAGGGGAGCGAACGTGTTCAAAAGGAACCTGGTCCGAGCAGGGCGATCGGTGGCAACACCGCAAGCAAGAGCCATGCCAGGAGGGATGCAGCAGCAGTACCAGGCTCCACAAGAGGTACACTCGCAGTCGATTCCGCTGCCTCCATATGATCATCAGCCAGCGTACAAGCATACATATGATCATCAGCCAGCGTACAAGCATACATATGCTCGGCAACCAGTCGAAATGCCTGGCGAGCAGGCAAGATACAGCAAAAGACCTTGATGTAGATGATATCACGTCAGCGATAGCGCGCACCTAATGGATGAATGTTAGTTTAGAGATACTTCATCTTAATATCTTTCATTCCTCTTCTTCTTCTCGAGGTGCGTCAAATTCTGGCATTCACGACTTCGCGTGATTTTCACTTATGGCAATGCTTGGGCAGTACATGCAGAAAAGCCGCCTCTTGATACAGCTTCGGGGTCGATCTATCAGGAGAACTGTCGATTAATTTACCATTTCATTCTCTTTGATGTAAGGAGTGACTCCACGCAATTTATGATGCGGCCTCATACAATATGGGTGACCTGCAGTCGCCGAGACTTTCATACTGGTTCTGTGATGAGCTTCGAAGCCGCTCAATATACTTAGTATTCGGTGGTAAGACTTATTACATCACCGACGAATTTGTGAATGCTTTACAGCTTGATCGAGGCGGCCTTGACGGAATTGAGCCGTTCGGGGGAAGTGAATATATCGCAACCGTTTGCACCCTGGCAATGCGGTATCAGACTGTTCAAGGCAAGCAAGGGATAATTATGCACGCCGACTAAGTGATCGCCTATACAACAATCACTTTCTCTATCTAATTTACCACTGACTGATTTTTCCTTACCATTGTTGCAGTCTACCACAACACGTGACTATAGGTAGAATAGACAAAGAAAAAACGACTGCTAATATCGTAGTGTGTAAAATAGTATATCTTCAGCGATAACGATAAGGGTTTTAAATGTACCAGACTGGGCGATGCAATGGTGTAGTTCTGTGTTACTCTCTATTGCAGTACAAATTTGATGTGGTTGTGGAGCTGCTCGCAAAGTCTCTGACAGCAGAACTTGTTAAGCGAGTATGATCAAGCTACCACTTTTCAAGCTCGAGCAGATCGTAGAATCATTGCAAGCAGCTCCGAGGTAAGCAGGGTATCGGCACAAAAGGTATACTCCTCGCGGGCTTCCTGTGCTGCCGTAAGCAGATACTGGCACATGACCGACCTTGAGAGCAACAGTCCTCCTCGTTTGCCTTTCACTCGAACCTGGACATTGCAAAGCCTAAAGTATCCTCTCAAAGAAGACTACGTTCAAGACTTTATTGCATCTGACAGAGTTTGTGCGCCGGACATCCGACCCCAGTATTACATCACACCTTCACCACCGGCCCGACTCATTGAAACCAGCCATCATACTGCGATCAATCAGATCTGAAGTCGTCTGTGAGGTGAAAGGCTGTCAGCACATCGTCGAATGAGCATCAAGCATTTATCATGCACTTCAAATCATGGCGCTACTTCACTCCATAGATCTCCTGGTGCCTGACCACGACTTCACGCCAAACCGTATTCTAGAGTGGTGATGGTCTCAGATTCTGTTAACTATATTCGTCGTCGATGAAAGTCTACCTTGACCGGATTCAACTTAAGTAGAGTCAAAGAAGTGGAGGCAATGATGCTCTCGGACGTCGACCGTCACACTTTGGATTTAAACACTAAGTCGACTCCATATAACACCAAGATGTCGGGACGATGGATCAAGTCCTTCGCATCGCGACAAGGTTGGCATGTATTTCATCAGAATTGCTGGTTTGGCCCTGTCGCTTACTGTTACTTCTACCACTGCTCAACAGTTACTTAGTAACCGATACGGCCTTGCAGGTGTGAATGCGGCATACGACTATGTCATCGTTGGTGGCGGCACTGCTGGTCTAGCTGTAGCTTACCGCCTAGCAGAAGATGGCTCGAAGACAGTAGCTGTGATCGAGGCAGGTGATTTTGCGGAACTAGAAGGTAAGAATCAGTGTCGTTCCAGCATACTGCTGTTAATATGGTGCGGTCGACCCGGAGAGCGCAGATACATTCCCTTTGACTGACTGGGGATTTCTTACGAATCCTCAACAAGGATTGAATAACCGTGCATTGCATTGTGGACGTGGTAAGATTCTAGGTGAAAGGTTCGTGAGGAAGTCATAATCAATATTAAAGCCCTACTGACTACCAATAGTCCGTCGCAAAACGCTGGGACCTATAACCGCGGCACAATCGGATCGTATTAGGCATGGGCCAACGCCGTCGATGACCCGAGCTGGAGCTTCGAAGAACTCCACCCCTATTTCGCTGGTGGTTGCAATTACACAACGGTCGATCCTAACAACACTCACCGATCCGCAAACTCGAGTTTCATTCCAGTACTTGCGAACCCAGATGCATCAAACGTAACCGGTGGTCCGTCGCATCTCTCGTTTCCCAATTTTGCCCTAGGCATATCTACGTGGATGCAACTGAGTCTGAGAGCTCTTGGTTTCCCAGATCAACAAGACTTTCTTAGTGGCCATCTACTAGGTGCTCAATACGCTCCAGTGACGGTCAGCCCCGAAGGCCAGGTACGCAGCTCGTCCGAAGAGTCATATCTAACAGCAGCGTTTAACAGTCAACGCCAGAATCTGAAAGTGTATACGCATACACTTGCCAAGCAGATAATCTTTGACCACAACAAGAAAGCGACTAGGGTACAAGTTTACAGTGAAAGGGGTCAACCCTATCTCATATCTGCGACACGCGAAGTGATTCTATCAGCGGGAGCAATTCATTCTCCACAGTTATTGATGGTATCAGGTACTGGCCCCAAAGATGAACTTGCGAAATTCAATATTTCTGTACTCGTTGATCATCCAGGTGTTGGACAGAGTATGTGGGATCATCTCGACTTCAGTCCAACTTACCGAATAGACGTTGAAGGCTTGACTGCGCAGTACTCCGACTTCAATGCCCGTGCAGTGCAAGAATACATTGCTAATCACACTGGAATCTTGATATCCCCGCGAGTCGCATTCAGAGGATGAGAAAAGCTTCCAGTCGCAAATCGAGTCAATTTCACTGCCAGTGCAGAAGCAGATCTAGCTCAATTCTTGAGTGACTGGCCAGAGGTCGAGTATGAGATTACTGAAGCACCTCTAGGTGTTTCACCTATTCCTGCAGCTTATGGGGCTGCCATTGCTGTTCTTGTAGCACCGTTAAGTCGAGGCTGAGAACTCAAGGTATAGTATCATGGTAAGTTCGGTCACACCACTAACGAACCTACGGTTTCTATGAGCTTCAATCAGCGCTGTGTCGATAGGACTGACTTGTTCAGAGGGCCCAATACACCGAAGCCTTTCGCCGCTGCTGGCAGGGCGGATAGATTATAGTCCACCTTCCACGGCCAAGGACTCCAGCAAGCCGGTCTGAAAAGGTGGACACTTTGCGCAGAGAAGATGTGGTAAGGCCAATGACCCGTGTTATCGCCATGATGACGTGCTGTGTATGTTGAGGTGTGTCAACGGAAGCGAGACTGGCAGAGTAGAGAAGACCACAAGGGCGTGGTATACCAGATACCCACAAGCTTATTGTCCGAGTACTCTGCGGTCAGCCAACGATCACGACTGCTGATCAGGAGAAGCTCAGATTCAAGACTACTGTACTATGCCAGAAAGATCAAACTTTTCTTCGACTTTGTCCTCGTTTGCAGCGTAGAGTTCAAAATTCTGGGACCTGTACGAAGACCTTGAGGCCTCAGGCAACTAGCCCCTCTTGGCGTAAATCTTGGCGGCCACAAGCCTGATCGCGCTTTCCTGTCGAAACTGCGTCCTGCGACCAACTTTTGCTTGTCTATTCCTGTCGCAAACTTCAACCTCATTGTCACCACTTCAATACCGCCAAAATGGTCAAAGACAAGTACGTATCGCGCTTGTGTACACATAGGTATAGTGATACTGACAGATGCAGGCCATCAACCCAGCCAAAGAAGACCACGCCTAAGCGAGCTGGTCGATCAGCCATCACTGATGTTGTCGCTCGAGAGTACACCATTCACCTTCACAAGCGGGTATGCTAGTCCTCAATTCTCTGCCACAATCGAGCTTCAGAACACGACTGTGGCGATCATACAAGAAAAGATAAAGAAAGAAATTTCAAGAGCTGGACCAAATATTTCCTTTCCACACAATCAGTTTTATGAAGTCCACCCGAATGGCTGAGAAGTTTCTTTTGAACATGCAGCATTTTGGACGGAAGACTGATCGATCAATCCGTGATTAGGTACATGGCATAGCCTTCAAGAAGCGAGCTCCACGAGCCATCAAGGAGATCCGAAAGTTTGCGACAATTGCAATGGTAAGCCAAACACATTTCCTCTACACACATCCTAGATTCACTCCGATGTCCTACCGTATCTCTCCCATCTCTTTCCAAGTCCGTGACTAACCCATTTATCCCAGGGCACAAACGACGTCCGTCTAGATCCTCAACTCAACAAGAAAGTCTGGGAGTCGGGCATCAAGGGTGTTCCATTCCGTCTCCGAGTCCGGATCAGCAGAAAGCGAAACGACGAGGAAGGCGCGAAGGAGAAGCTGTACAGCTATGTACAGGCCGTAAATGTCAAGAAGGGTGGTGAGAAGGGACTGCAGACTGTTGTCGTTGAAGACTCTTAGACTCAAAACCAGAGCACTGGCGTAGCATGAGTCTAGCGGGAGTTGATTGCTGTTATGATCGCTGCTGGCTAAACAGCCAAGCCTGCACTTAGTTGTGAAGGCGCAGACGAAGTCGGTACATTGATCTAGCCTTTGCTGTGATCTTCCCACATCAGCAGTGCGACGGTACGGCAAGACGTGATCGTGATCGTGATCAAACGAGGTGGAAGACAGCGTAGCCGCCCACGACCATACTGCAGAGATGAATGGCAAACTTACACTAAGGAACAAGTTGCACAAGCACAAGCGCAGAAAGAGTCCTACGGTGCGCATGCACGAAATGATACCCCATGCCGCATATCTTTATTTTCAATTCCTTTTCATTCTCTTTGCCATCTTTATGATCATGTTGATACTAAACTCAACGTCTCCTGCTGTATTGCAGTCCTGGTTTTCTTTCACCATCTCATCAACTCTTTTCCTTCATCGATCATGCTGTGGAATTTCAACGACCAATATCCTGTGCGCATCTCTGATAATTGCCAAACCAACCTAGATCGCCATGCGCCATGTCACTCTTCCTGTAAACAACAAATATGCCATCCAATAAATTTTGTTGAACATCAAACACTTTGGAGAAGTCTTGGACAGAAGTTGCCGCTTGTAATACTCTACACCAACCAAGAATCAGGTTGTTATGTCTCTTTCAAACACTACCGACCACAAATAAACCATACTTTGCCATTTTTTCTTATTCGTTACAAATCTGGCGGCACTGATTGCTCCCAGGCGTGCTAAAATCGCATACAGCGAGTGGAACGCAATATACAACATAACAATACAAAGTCATGGCGAGCTCAGCTCATTACGTGAGGATACCGTATCGCGTCTGTAAATTCACGCTAGACTCTAGTTTGAATATCCTTCTTACATTTTTATACACGTTCCAAAGAGCAAGCATGCTTTACTACCACACGTGGCATGCATGATTCTGAATCGACTCGCTTCGCTGTACACTTTTCCTGATCCTTCCTGCCATGCTATCCTGCTTGCTCAATGGACATTAACTCCTGAGCTGTCTTGCTGTAGCTAATCAATTTAACACAGCGCCGCATCTCCCTCCATTTCCTGTCATAGTCACAGCTGATCGCAGGTGTAATGGCCAGCAAATCACACAGTCAACTTTTATAAGAACCGTCGTTTGCATCCAGTGTTCCTGTCCACACAATAGTCTGAATCTGAACGTCACACAAACGTCTTCACCACCTCCAATTCTTCTCTCCTAGCACGCCACTTTCCTGCCCTCGCCACAAGGGACTTCACTATAGTGGCTGTTGCGCCCTCGCCACAAGGGTCTTGACTCTAAGTAGTGACTGCGTTGCCTCGATAGCAGAGGACTTCACTTTGAATAGCTATCAATCACGTCTGCGACGTGTCCGAGCGTGCTTCGAGACATAGTGATGTTCTGCCCCGACCGGAAGGGACTTTACTGAACCGGTCTTTTTGGTGTAATGATGGGACGTGCTGTGTAAACATGTCTGTATACAGGCGTAAGTGTAGAAATTCGCCGTGAAAATCGAGATGGCGGTGGTTGAAGGAGAGCGGCCCTATCATAGCTGTTTGTGTAAAGCGATGATATGTGACGCTGTAAAGTTTTCGGGAACAAGACAAGCCGGACCAGGAAGGACAAAATCAAGGAAACGCTCATTCATAAACAATCTTCACGATGGCGAGTTTGCAACCACGCATTAGCTAATTTGCTTTGTTGTTCTCGCAGGCCTTCGCCATCTCATCTGCTTTCTCTTTCGAGCCTACCCTGATCAGAAATTGACCTAGCTGTCCATCTTTCTGTCCCTCGACGCTGGCGAGGAATCGAACGGCGCCTTGCTTGCCTGTGGGTTCACTGGCGTACCGGACACCAGAAATCAATCGCGTGTTCAAGAGCACATTCGCGCCAGGTTCTGTACGGAACACGATTCTGCACTTGTTTGTGTCATTATGTTTGAGCACTCTTACAAATCCAGAACCAATCTTATTCCAGCCAACAATAAACTTTGTGTTTTCAGGTAGATCAGATTCGTTGTAGGAGCGTGATAAAGAGGCTTTCGCCTCGAAGATGGCGGACTCATCCTCTTCCCCAGCATTGGCTGATTTCAGATCGAGTTGAGGCTGAGAAGCATGTTCGTTTGTATCTTCTGCGTCAGTACCAGATAGATTTGATTCTGCTTCAGATGGAATACCGGGACTCGAGCCACGTGAATTCAGACCCGAAGATGCACCGAGATGAGAAGCAGCGGAGAGGAAGCCTGGCGCTGGTTTAGAAGAGTCAGCACTCGTTGATGGAGTGCCGAACGAGAACCCGACAGAGGCACCGTTTGAGGTTGCTGCTCCGAAGAAGCCACCTGGAGTGCCAGTAGAGGTACCAAAGAGTGGTTTACTAGTCCCCTTAGCTGGCGGGGTGGCTGCCGAGACTTCAATGGCAGGAGCGGCTGTATCTTTCTCTCTATCTGAGTCAGTTGAGGCACCGAACTTAATGGGAGAACCTTTGGTCCATGTGTTGTCTGAGCCAGAGAACGATTTTGTGCCGCCGAAGCTGGATGCAAAGATATTGCCACCGTTGCTGCCGGCTTTCTCTACGTTAGCAGGCTGCGGCGTGGTTGGCCTTGAGCCAAATAGTCCTTCACCAGGAATCGGGCCTTCCCTCAAAGGCCCGCCACCAAAGACACTAGATGAGTCGCCGAGAGTGGCAGGTTTTGTCGCATTGAAATGAAACGTGGTAGTAGGTACAAAGTCCTGCTTTACCGTGGCTGGAGTGAATGGTGAAAAGGCCGGCTGATCTGGAGAGGATTTGCCTATATGATCGAACATCAGACCTGGCTTGTAGTAGTCTTTTCGAGCTGATTGCAGAATTGGCTCATCATCGACTTTCTCTTGGTGAGCCGGCTTCTCGACACGACTGAAAAGAGATTCGGCCTTTGGAAGATCTGGAATCGGCTCTCCTTCCTCCTCTTCTGCATCCTCAGGGAGATCATCGTCAGCTTCTTGTTCTTGTTCATGTTCGTCATCACCAGAGTTGCCAGAACCTTCGTGAATAGATTCTGTCCTCACGCTGCCATCGTCGTCGTTCTCGATAGAATTGACAGGCTCTCTGGATTCGCTAGTGACAGACTGTGGCGCAGCAGGCGCTGTGTTGGAGGCAAAAGCAAAAGGTGAATTTGATCGACTTGTAGACGCACTAGGAATAAAGCCAAAACCACCTTTTGCAGCAGCCTCAATCTTGGCTTTTTTAGCTCGTTGAGCTTCTTCGTCTTTTCGGGCCCACTCGTCCGCATCGTCTTCGTCAGAGTCAAAGTCTTCGGATTTTCGCTTCTCAGCAGAAGTCCTCTTGAGCTGTGCGGCACTCTTCTCGGCTTTCGAAGCGAACGCGCTTGCAAAGTCGCCAGCAGCAGCACCAAATTTCGGGACCTCAAATTTCGATGGCTGAGGAGCAGACTTTGGAGGTGAAGAAGGTGGTGTCGTGGATTTGGCGGGTGTCGAGCCAAACGAGGGTGATGTCGTGGCTCCTGGGATCATATTCTTGAATAAATTTGCAGTTGCAGAATTTCCTGTGCTCGCAGAGGTGGAAGTGGTCGCAGGTTTAGGACTCGGCACCGAGCCAAAAATGTTGGAAGCTGTAGGAGTTGGTTTTGTCGACTGTGCGAAGATGTTCGATGTCGTCGCGGCAGGTTTTATCGAGCTACTGCCGAATATGTTGTTGGATGTTGGCTTCGAGTTGGCAATATCTCCACTTGGCTTCGTCTTCTTACTTTTTGCATCGTCTTCCTGCATATCATCGACATCCGTCGCCTTTCTCTTTGACCCGGCGGTCTGTTTTCTCATAAACTGTACAAGTCCGTCACCAATGGCCTCTCGATGGTCAAGATAATTCTGAACTAGACTAGCGAAGTCCTGAGTGTCGACATTTGCGCTAGTGACGGACCTCTGGAATTGCCGGTTGAGTGCTTTCAATCGCCAATTCTCATCATAAGACTTGTACTTGTCTGCGTTAAGGTGTCGTGGGATGGAGGGAGGACCTTCGGTAGAAACAGCTCGGCTAATTTGTTCAGTTGCAGATTGAGGTTTTTGCGGTTGAGTAAACTTTGGCTGTACGGGTTCTGAAGGACCTGGCACAACACCGGCCTCTCTAGCCATATTTTCTCGAGCGGTCGATGTATTGAACAGACGCCTCTTTGCAGGTGGGGCATCATCTTGTGGTTCGAAAGTTTGCGATGGCTTGAAAGGCGTTGACCCAGCATTTGTGGTATTCGAGCCAAAAAACGAGGGTACTTTCTGGGACATCTGTTCTTGTGTGCTAGACTCAGCCGAAGGGGTAGGCTTGTTCAAGTTGAAGAGACTGATCGTGGAGGTTGTAGGAGGTTTTGGCGAGAAAAGACCACCACTGGAGGTGTTGGGAGTTGACGAGGGAGAGTTAGATTGAGCCATGGCAGCTGGCTGTTGTAGTGTAGTAGCAGGCTTAAGGAACAGCTCTGTTGAGGGAGAGCTTTTTGGGGCATCTGAAGTAGTAGTAGCTGGCTGGCCGAAGCTAAACAACGGTTTTGGTTTGGCAGCATCACTATCGGGGACAATATCACTCTTCTTAGGAACAAACAGAGTCGCGAATGGGTTCTTCGGCTGTTGCGACTCTTCACCTGGCTGTGGCTCATTTGTAGTCTTGGTCTCCTGCTCTTTCGATGGTTCATCAGCAGGTGGTGCCCGGCCAAATAGCGACGTTGAGGAAATGCTCTCTGCTGGCTTTGACATTGAACCGAAGATGTTGTTTGGTGGCTGCGGCGTAGATGTGGCAGACTGTCCAAAGCTAAAGAGAGGTTTTGCGGGTTCAGACTGTGGTTGAGGGGCAGCATCAGCGGGTTTCGCGAACGAGAATAATGACTGTGTAGGCGTCGAAGTAGAGGTATCAGGTGTGGCAGATTGGCCAAAGCCGCCGGAAGCAGGCGCAGGTGAACCAGTAGTCGAAGTATCTGTTGTAATATTTCCAAACGACGCAGTCTGGCCGAAGCTGAAGGAAGGTTTGCTCTTTGGAGTGGTTGACTCTTCCGGCTGAGGCGTGGATGGCTTGTTTTCGACCACCGTCGTTTCTCCAAACTTGAACGTGGGAGCTGGAGCTGGAGCTGGCAAAGAGTCCTGGGCGGTAGTCAAAGTACCTCCAAAGCCGCCGAAAGTGGGTGTAGTCGAGCCTGAAGTTTGACCGAACAGTGAAGGACTGACTGCGGCGGAAGTGCTTTGACCGAAACTTGGTGCGAAGCCATTTGTTTGCGGTTGTGAGCCGAACAGTCCAGTTCCTGACGATGCTGGTTGTTCCTGCGCTTTCTGGCCAAACACGCTGCTTCCTCCTCCAAAAGCATTGCTGCCACCCGTGGCTGGTTGAGATTGACCGAAACCCCATCCGTTTGTGGCGGGTGCAGATTGAGACGTGCTTGATGCAAAATTGAAAACACCTCCACTCTGTTGTGGTTGTGAAGAATTCATGGAATTTTCTTGTGCCATCGCTCCACCATTTGCACCACCGTTACCGTTGAGGTTCGTAAAAGGGTTCGGAAAAGATTGGTCCGGTCCATTCTGCTGGCTGCCGAAGTTGAAAGAGGCATTTGGTACACTAAAATTAAAACTTTGCGATTGTGAAGGTTGTGGGAAGGACTGAGACGTGTTTTGCGCGCTTCCGCCCAGCTGAAAAGGCGAAGACTGCGATTGACCACCGAATGAGGACGAAGAGGTCGGGGTTGTCGATCGGCCGGTTCGTGATTTAGGCTGGATGATTCTGGGTGGTCGTCAGTATTTGTTGTCGCACGGGTGACCGTGACTGGCAAACAAAGAGAGGGGCGGGCTTGTACTTACTTTCGACGCGCTTGCTGTGCAGCGGTCGCCATGGTGCGCTGTTCTTCTACACCACCTGAGTTGGGGGTAGATCCGTGTTCTTTGGTGATATAAAGCTCTGCTCCCCGTTTCATGTTCTTGGTTGAATTAGACCCCAAATCGTTGCGGGTATGGACATTCCCTGCAGTATTCAATTGGTATTTTCTTTCAAGTTTCGATGGAGTGGAGATTTTGGGCGACGACCATTTCGATGCTGAAAGGTCTTGTTGTCGATGGTTTGGCCGAGGAAGAATGGAAGACTCGAAGGTGCGTCCTGACGTGCCAGCGATCGCACCTGCCAGCAATACAGAATTTGGGTGGAGCTGCCAGCCAGATACCGACTAGCGTGCCTAACAACAATAGTACCCCACTTCCACCAACTCCTTCTGCAGTTGCCAAGACGTTCTTCTCTTCTATGGTCGAGCACAAAAGGTCAGATTGTGGGTTGCCAATATGGGAAATACTCAAGAAAGACGACTCATGCATAAATAACAAACCTATCGAGTCTTGTCAACAACATGTGTTTCTAGACCCGGAGTATCACTATCGGACACTGTTCGCATCAGTCCTGGTCCTTTTGCAGCTGAGCGCAACCCTCAGTACTTCAAAGTTGCCGTGACAGCCCACTCGAGCTGTGCTCCGCCTGACCTTTTCACTATCCTCTATTCTTGCACTTCATCATTAACACTAAGCATTTCACTTGTCCTTCCACGCGACTCTTGTGGGCTGTGACCGACCATGGCTCACCTTGATACCTATGCCGATGTAAAAGGTCTAGTCACATCATGCAACCCGATTTGACAACGAGTTAGAGATGTCCTTCATCCTTGTTTTGCAAGATCTACGACACGAGATTAGCAATACCAACATGGTTCTGCTCGAGTGGCGAAAAGTGTTTGGAAGGGATGCGCGCGAGTCAACGAAGCACGTCTATCTGGTCGCCCTTGAAGATCCAACCTCTCTCGCGATTAAAGTGATTCCATTATCTAAGTGCATTGAGAATTTTGGCCTTGTTTGCGGAAAGGCTGTTGCGACTCCAAGGCGAAAGGCTCCCACTTACTGTCATTCGAGCCACAAAGCGACTTAGAAGCCCTCTCCAGAACGTCTAGGAAGTTACACGATGCCATTTCTTTAATCATACAAACCTCTCTGCGATTGATACTGCGCTTGTATCTTTCGCTTTCTGCAAGAACCAGACCATTCTCCCTGATAAGAATGAACGACAAGAGACTCTCAGGAGACGCACCAGATGAGGTAGCTTCGTCCCAGCCCTACTCACGACGCATGAATGCAGGTTTCAATGAAGTTGAAGCCATGTATACATACAACGGTAGATTGCCAAAAGGAACGTAGGCCGAGGCATACGAGATGCCGACCTCTTCAACCACAACTTCGAAATCGACTCATCGCCAATAGACAGACACGCAAGACTGCAATACCCGTAAGCCAAGTATGTGACCTGGAGTGCTTACCCTTCAGGCGTAAGTGGACCCAGGCCCTATAAGATCTCCACTTCTGGACAAGAGAAGGCGAGTCCTTCGAAGTTTGCCATGGACGGTTAACAGCGCAAACTGGTACAACTATATACTCTCTATAAAATTTCTTATATGTACAATCCCGAAAGCTACCATGATCGAAACTCAACTCTACACTCTAGCGTTCAGAAAAGCAAACAGACCTAATAAAATGCTCTAGCCAGCTACGTTTCTCACTGTTCACTCACAAACTGAGCGTTCGCCTTAGGCATTCACTTCATGCAGCCAAATCTACCCCGAATTAGCAATCCGACAAACCACCACGAAAGGTATAGCTCGAACTCACCTGTTGGATCTCCCTGGCCGAATATGTTCCGACTCCGAGAATCTCTTGCATCTGCCTCACACTCGTATACAAAATGTCCCTCGACACAAACCACTGCAAACCCTGGGTACAAGGTGGTGTCGTGTAGCTCCCCTTGTACGTCCAGAACTTAGCATAATCTTTCACCTCGCGAATAGCCAAGTATGGATCTATCTCGACATTCTGTACAGTGGAGTCATTGTTGAAGTAGATAAGGGGTTTTGGAAGCTGTGCGAAGAACGGAGAGTCGAAGGTGCCAGCCTGGATAAGAACCCCAATCACGGCACGCGCGGTGCCATTAGTGTTCACGCTGAGAGTGTCAGTATCTTTCATATACCAGTGCCGTTGAAGAGGAGAACTTACTGCACGAAATGCATCTCCGCATGAGTCCTTACCCCGTCAACCATATGCTCACTAGGGGTATGCATATGCCACCCTGTCAAAAACACTCTTTCTGTTGCTCTTCCTTGGCCCTGAATCTCCATGCTCGGCAAGCCCGAAAAGTCACCTTCTGGATGATAGAAATTGAATGCTACCCCGTGGTCCCAGTTATACAACTCTCCTTTCGCCTTCTTATATCTATCGAAAACAGGTGTTGTCTTCTTGGAATGACCTTGAGAACCGGAAAGGCCGATGGGGGACTGCTGTGTGCCATTATGGCAGAGCGCATATTCTACGCGAATCTCGGGCCAGTTGAATGAGGGATAGGACCAGTCTTTGGTGTCGCCTTCTTCGGCGCGGATGGATAGATGATTGGAGTGGTTGTGCTGAGGGGCAAAGTAGTTCGTATGGTCGATGCAGCTGAGCACGGAGGTGATGGTGCTAAGCAAAAGGAGTATGTGAGTAAGCATGTTTGTTGTTGCTGTTGATGATAATAGTGACACTAATGATAGAAATAAGAGAAGATGTGATCGAGGTACTGGAGCAGAAATCAATGAAGCTCGGCTCTTTGAAGCTGTGGTTGTCTGACTATGCTGAACTCTATGAGAGCTTCTTCGACCGTGTCGTCGTGAGTCTTATATAGACCATCATGATGTGTGTGTGGTTACTTGAACGAGGCCATGCGATGTGATGAGATGGTCACCACCTCGAGACGAACACCACATCAATACATCTAGCCACGATAACACTGACAGTCCTAGCCTCAACGATACGAACGCCACCAGGCGTTAACAAAGGGGAAGATCTGCCGCCAGCACAGTCTGGCTGAACGAGTGAGTGAAGAAATCATATTGAGAATGTTATCGCCCAGACCACAGGCTGGAACGAAAAAGTTCATTTTTCCGAATGAGAGTCTGCTATCGATCGGGATAAAAAGCCGCCATATCTGGCTAATCACGAAACAGTGAGGATGGTATGTGGCTAGCAGAACTTAGCTGATAAGGAGGAAACCACTGCATCAACCTAGACGACCGAAGCAGCACGTTGAGGATCTGCAACATGGAGCTGGATGAACCAGCTTGGGCGAGATCGAGCTCGAGGTTGACGGGTCATAGCATACAAACTCCAGCATTTCCTCGCTCCTGCGCAGTCCTGTGCGCTCCCACCTCATGTGCTCACCACCGCCCAAGCCGAAATGTATCAGATGTGCTCTGCTGTGCTCTCTGATCAACGGAGAATTGGAAAGCACTCCGGAGAGCTAATTCTTGCGCGAGGAAGTCCTACACAGCCAGGACCAGAGTGATGGTGGGCGCGACACCATGGAGGCCAGATGGGCACGACTCGTATCGCATTGCACTTCTCGCGAACCTCATTTTCGCGATTGCCTGGTCCAGAAAAGGAGTACTGCAAGCCATGCAGGTCGTAATCGCTCTGAGAGTCACGGGATCGTCCTCGAGTGACGAGCTCGACGACATGAGTGGTTGCAGAGTCAAGGCAGCTAAAGCTTAGCGCGTGGTCTTGAAGAGTTGACTGGCCGAAAAAGCGAGCCTGATCACTCGGACTTCTGGTTACCGCTAGAAACGATTCCATGCTCGCGCTCACGTATAGTCGGATGATACCGTCTGCCAGAGATAGGGCTTGATGTTAGACGAGCAGGAGATCAAAGTGGAAGCAGATGATATGACTTGTCCAGATCGACACATACATAGGTGTTCAGCGATGCATACTTACCAAATCAAAGTGCCAAGTGGTGGCCCCGAGATGCATGATGTGGGCATGTCAGTTCAAGCAAATTGACGAAGTCGATCACAATGCTTGGTGATCATTGGTTTCCGTACTCGGCACCAACTCATCTAGGTAACCACACACCTAGCTCTTTGACACATTTTGACATCTGGTCCTGTGTCCGGACTACGTTATTGTCTCCGAATATGGAAGGTAGCACACCGAGACGTCAGAATAAGTAGCCTGGTGCCAGACTGTCCAAAGTTGGACGCCAAGAGGAGTGGAGATGATCGAACAAGAATTCCGAAGAATGCGATCGTGCGCGGCTTTTTGTAGATACTGTACTAGAAAGCAGAACGAAGGCTTTGTCAAGAGGATGCATCCGTTCTTGTAGGGGTATGTACACTGACGCTTGGCGACGATCTAGGTGAGTGGTCGGAAACCTTGATGGAGCGGAGGCATTTTGTGCTTCTCGCTTGAACATCCCAGAGTGGGGGAGTGTAAGCGATTACCAACCGCTACTCGATACGCGATTGCCAGACAAGCATACGCCAAGGATATGGGATCTACAATGTCCGCTTTGACTTCGCCAATGCTCGGCGAGCGTGGTTCCAAAAAAGCTTCACGTAGACACTGTTTCACGACATAATGCGAATATCAGCTTTTAGCATCGATTTTCCTTCACCGAAGATCAGGCGCACTTGCCACTTCCGAGAATGTGCTCTCATTCATAGGGGAAAATGGCGTTCACCAACAGATTCTTACCCCCTTTGGTCGCAATAGTCGAGTAGGATGCGCACATTGGACAACTACTTCAGCCTGGAGGTGTAAAACTGTCTTTATTTTTGGCAACTCGATCGTTATCGCAATTGTCCGAATGCTTTGGTGCAGTATAAGGCGAAACACTTCCGATGCACGATATTCTCCTGTCACCAGCCCTATTGGCCCACGAAACAAAGGAGGTCTGGAAGTCAGTACAGCTGATCTGAACGCAAAAGGCGGCTGACAGATATCCTCCTTCGAACACTTTGAGGACATTGGCGCCTGCGACTTCCAAACATGGAAGAAGAAAAAGAGGACACGGGAAGAGAACGACCGAGCGAGATCGCCGCAATCAGAAGTTATAGAGGACCTACTTATCTAACAATTAAGACAACGCTTTCCCATAAAAGCGCTTCAATAAATTTATCCTACGTGAGCAGGTGCGAAAACAAGTGCTCGACACTCGATAGGTCAGTGCTGCGCTAGAAGAACACGCTCAGCTCTATAGCAGAACAGCTTGTCGACTACAGTATCATGGCGTTGTCCTGTCACTTGTGAATTCATCGAGTCTTAAAAATGAACCATGACGCAGCAGGATACAGACTGTATGGATACCTGTTTCAAAAGCTGCCAAATCCCAGTACAATACGGACGTCAACTTTTGTCCTTAGAAGGTCGAGCAGTATGAAGCGACTAGTTAAGAGCCACGTATATGAGGGAGATGGATGCATGGTGGACCATCAAGACTTCTTCCAGATCTTCTCAGAACGATAAGCTCAACTGCAGAAGATTTCCCAGGAAGAATATCTGGTTGCAACTTCGAGAACGCTTAAAGGAAGCTGAGTTGTGTTGGCTTTCCATGCTCCCCAAGCGCCAGGATCTTGTCACATAAGAAGGCGGAACACGTGGCAGCCGAGCTTGAGTATAAGCGATCCTAGATCTCCGGCTTACAGATGGAAACAGCTTCTGCATGTCGAAGATCTGCCCCTATATCATTGGTCATCATAAGCCACCTCTACATGTCCGGATATCGGTCGCAGCAACAGACTGAGCATGGGACAATAGACTTATGAACGTGTATACTCACATAATCTATGCACTAGCCAGCACAAACAAGCTCAGTCAAATGTAGGCCTGTGTCGTCAGCCACTATACGAGAGACTATACGAGAGACTATAATTCAGAGCGAGATAGCTCGTTAACTGGATTTGAAGTGCCTCATGTAACAGAGAAACGATGTGCAATCACAAGCTCAACGTTGAGTATCAGCAGCAATAGCAGTCCGCGAGTTCATTATGTCCAAGCACACGATCTCAGACGTGGCATCTGTGCTTATTCCTTGATCCTTCGCATTCGTGGCCGATTACGACAAGATACAAGCACTGCTTCATTCTGGAAGCCACAGAGCTCAAAAAATTGATCTTCTTACTGCCAACAACGGAACTTGTCTCCCACGAGCCACCACAGCAAACGGTATTTCACACATTCAGGAGGGTGTCGTCTCAGTGCTCGAATCCAGCACCGTGATTACAGCACTACACTCTTGCGCTGGCATCCCAGGCTCATGCGCGATCGAAGGCCTTGCAACAGTCAGCCGCAACAAGGCAGGTAAGCCCACAGCTGTATCCGGCATTCCCCACATTGCTGCATCTCTACCCGAAGTTGGCGGAAACGCACGCTCAATTATGACCGCGCATGACGCCATGCCTGAGCCATCCAAAACGGGGTTTTCGAGCCAGTACATGCCCGCTGTTCCTGCTGAGTTGGTGCCGATGGTTTTCAATGACCCATACGACCCTGATGAGATTTTGAAGTATCACGACATGATGGTATTGCAAAGCAGTGATAGCTATAGCGGGCAGGTGACATATGCGGGCTGGAAGGATGTGCCAAGTACGTTAACTATGCCCAGTCAGGATACGATGATTCCGGACAAGGTATCGGAGTGAATGGCTGAGCGGACTGGTGGGACGGTGAGTGTTGGGAAAGAAGAGGGTGCGGGACATTGTGTCAATGTTGGTCGACCAGAGGTTGCGGCTAGGAAATTGTTGAAGTTTTCTGGGAAGGGACGATAGGCAGGAGCCAAAGGACGAATTTTCTCGATGTAAACGTGAGTGAATGTAAGAAAAAAGCAGGACAATTGGGATTCGTGCGTCATTGCGTGTTCGCCAGTATGTGAATTTGCATTATCGCGCAAAATACCCAGTCATAGGTTTGTAGAAGAACTGCGTACTCTGTGCGAACAAACGATGGCCGAATGATAGCCATTGCTACTGGCTAAAAGATATCCTGTAACATTAGTGCTACTCAACAGAACCATCTCAATCTGATATTCTGGAGGTTGAAAGCTGAATGAAGGGTACGTCACTTAAGCTTTTATGTCGCCAGTATACGCTGGCTGAATACTGGTGTTTGATTTCACAGATCTATGTATACATCACCACCTTTCATCTGGTTGAGCTTTCAGAACATGGAAAGCATAGAAATTGTCGGATTACAAGGTCCACCACCATTCAGCTTCCCACATATAATCCTCGTTCCATCGCTCTTCTTCGGAACCTTCATCCTCCGGATCATCATCTTCGGGCTTTATCTACGTACCTCTCCTGTACGGAAAGCCTTGGCTCATTGCAAGCTTGATGAAGGCCCACAACGGTCATGTGTTGTAATTGCTGTTATCACGTTCATAGAATGCCAAACTCGACAAAGTTCTCGTAGTACGCTCACTCTCCTGTGGTTCTGTAAGATCCCCTAGTTGCTCAATGCGGCTTCGCTCAATTTCGCACAGAAGACTCCTTGACATTGGCCACTTTAAGACTTCTCCTTCACGACTTTGCCGACAACAGTCAACACTTGATTCGTCCGCTCCAAAAACTTCTAGGCGGTTCATAGCCACGGAGCGTTCTTGATTTTTACGCCCTAGTACGCTGTTTAAGCTGCGCGAGACAAGCTGCCTTATCGGCTGAGCGTCATAAGAAGCACACGCGCGCTTGTTCTTATACACGCTGAACGCAACGGCTGATTGATGCGTCCATTGCTATATATCCAACACAATCGCATCACAGTCAATGTCTTTGACTCTTTAAGTGCCAACAAGTCTCTCTAGGGCCCAGCCCAAGCATTACTTCCAGTATCTGTACATTTTGGACCGGTCTCTTCACCCTACCAGCGAGAGAGAAGACGGCCTATTCTTGTACGCGGGATCCTCCACGATTACTCCTGGAGTTTCTGGGGATTCCCGTCCAGGGATTGGACCCGGGCTCAATATAGTCCGTTTCTCGATGCCGTCGCCCAGCTCCAAGGTCAGGTGGTTGTGGCACATCGTGCAATGGAATGTAGCATGATGTATCGTAATTGCAGACTTGTTGGTGGTCTCACGTAGTGTTCGCATGGCTGAGAAGAGCAGTCGACTTGCACGGTCATCTCGACTTATTTCGGGTATTCTGCTCCGTAGTTCTGAACCCCATGCGCGACTCAAAGTCGTAGGTAATGCTTCGAACCAACAGAGACTTCGTCTGCCGCGCTCAGGCATAGACAATCTGTGATAAGAACGCGCCTCTCATCCCTACTCTTTGCTTGCGCCGATCGACTCCTGAGATCAATAGACATTATAGCATGATCGTCACAATCACGATGAATTCTGCAGTTTGAAGCGATAATGAGGTGAGAGCCCAGGACGTGCAGGAGTCGTCCATCTCGGGGCTCAACCGCGAAATCTTTCAGTGTGAAGAGCTCGTGAGACTTCGAGTTCACTCAATAGTCAATGTCATGATGTGTTCCAATTATAATGGTCGTCTAGAGGTGACGAGAAAGTTAAAATGACAAACGTAGTGAATATTCACCACTCTCGAATCCATTATGTAGACCCTGGGCTACCTAGCATGTTTTGTTCTGCAGACTATAATCTTCACAAGAATAATCTGGATACCTTCCAGTATCTTTCGTACATTCTCTCTTTTCAAGTCGCAGTGAGATCGTTCATTATCCTTCAGACTCCATACCATCCCCATACAGTAGTATGACTGCTGTTTTCGCAAGAACGCCGGCGATTTTTTTCGCCATTGTACTTGATCAAAGCCGAAACTCCTCTTCTATGCAAGGTCAGAAACGCTCAGTTGACTGACCATAACGGACAGCTTCGACGATGCGATCCTCCTCCTCAAAGTGCTGGAGATCTGCTAGCAACACACAACGGACGCCCCTAACCCTTAGCATCAACTGCCATCAGTGCAGACTCCCACGTACAGCCGTGCTTCTTGTAAAATAGCGCCGTAGATGTCGGCCTCGAGCATGGTGTTTAGTGAGTGAACATCCATTTCAGCGATCGTCACTTCCAGTCCAAGAGCGTCGTAAGATCTGACAGTGTCCGTGAGCACACCAGGGATGGGAGCCAACTTCGGTGATGTGCATCTGTAGAGCGACTCCGTTGATCGGAACACCATGAGCAACGAGTCCAGCTACCAGGTCGTAGAGCTCCTGCCGTTTGTTGGGAAGGAATTCAACGAGGTTCTCGTTGATGAACAAGGTGGCGTCAGGATCTGCTGTGTGGGCAATCTGGAAGGCTTCTGCTACGGAACCAGGACCAAGCATCTCGCAAAAGGTGTTGTTGACATTAGGCCACCACCCATTGTCTGCAGAGCTTTCGTGACCACATCCCACCGATCCATCTTGCCACGTTGGCGGTGCATGATAGCTTCAAAATGCTCGGTCATGGCTGCGCGAAAGTCTACGGGATCAGTAATGTTCAGCAGATAGTCGGGGTTGCAACAGCTCGAGATCAGCCATGTCCTTTGACAACCATACTATTCTCTTCTACAAACGCGACTAGGCAATCGAGCGTATCTCAGTTGTAGTAATTTTCGGTGGGGTGGAGAAATGACCATTTCATCTCATCTTAGAGGGAGGCTCTTGAATTGGGCTGCGATGACAGCGGCGAAAGAAGGTTCTTCAAGGTAGACCAGATTGATCGCCACATATTCGATGAGGATATCTTCCGTTGCAGCCACTTTTCTGAGGGAAGGAGTGGTATAGAGAGAAGAGGCAACTGCGTTAGAAGCAAGAAGCGCAGCTGTGAACGCACCCATCGTTCTCATGATCTGGGCTTTCGATGGAAGTGTTTACGTTGACCAAGAGTATGTTGTGTCAGTCCAGCAAAGAGGCAGATAGTGTAGGCCTTCTCGATATCGTGGTGAATGTGTTGAGCATGCTGCGCAGACAGTGGTCTTGTGCTGCATATATGTGGTTCGAATAGCTGAGATGTCAGCCATGACCATGTATTCGGGCTGCGGGACAGCGCCGTCGAATTATGAAAGCAGGGCTATAATCAACGCTCACATTGTGTTTAGACTCGTGTTCAGATTCGTGCTTGGGTAGAGTTCCAGCTCGGCCAAAAGTCATTCAAGGTTGCGGCACAATTGCGGATTGACATTATGGAAGTTATGCGCGTATCCAAGCTGTAAACCCCTTCGAATAGGTATTTCTACTGCAGTGGAATCGACTGCCATGATAACCTTGGTACAGATCTGATTTAGCCACGCGTATACAATACCGAAAGGTCGTGAACCATCGCTGCGATACCACTTCAAATGTCTACTCCTCGTATGGTTTGGCTCTGCAACACAATCTGTTTACCGAAATTGGTTAAGTTCTGCTTAATCGTAGCACCTCAAGAATCAACATTTTCGCTCTGGACGCTTTTGCCTCTATTAAATTATGATTAATATACATCTAGAAAGGATTGCTCACTTCTTCTGTATCTAAACATGTAAGTTAGAGAGATTATGCTTGTTCAAATTAGAAAGGGGCTTTAACCAAAATTGTTCTGCACCTATAACGGTTAAGCATCGCTTATACGGTGAGGAATAATGCTGGGTGTTGCAGGGCCAAATTACCCGAGGAATAAGCCTTCACAACTTCGTGTGTGCGGGCTAAACATCGCTTTGCAGTTCCACCAATAGCCGACGTGAAGTAGGCTGCAGTGATTGAACTTTTGTTCCATCTGATCCGGGCAGTAATTCCGTATACGCGTATCACTGTGACCAACCACGTCTTTCTGCCCCGGACGTGCTTGTGAACGAAGTGTTGAATACAACGATACTGCGACGTAATGCTGCCCACAGGATATGAGTTCATGGTCCAGAGGATCTGAATTTGAATCCTTCCTGCCAGGCATACCAACGACAATCTTCCAGTATAGGTGCGTAGATGTGCATATTTTGAACTTTGCCTTTCGTCCCTCTCTATGCGTGCCTACTATGTAGTACAGGCACGTCGGGAAACTGCTCGGAGGTGTAAAGTTAAAGGAGCCAACAACAATGAGGATGAAAAACGAGGAAGTACTCTCATGGTCAGTCGAAATTACATGATTCGGTTGGGGAAACAGAGTATTTATTTGCATAGCTCTTTCAGAAACGCAGATCAGTACTGTATATTAACAACTGGGAAAAAAAAAATGAATACTGTCCCTCAAAAGGGTAACTCTAGCTCATGACTGGTCTAAATCCCGTGCACTCAAACGCCAACACTGCTTGCCATGGCTGGACGCCTATGTCCTAGCCATACCTATATTCATGTTATCCTCTATCCAAAATTCGCAGAACTCTTGATTCATGTAGTACAACCAACGCCAGATGCCACCGTGGCCTTCGCTCCTCCATTCGAATCATTGTCAAATCGTAGCACCTTTATACCGTTGCTGTTTGCGGGCCAGAAGTTTCCTGCTTGCGCATGGCAGCCGCAGACTTCTTGTTTCCTTTTGAGATTTCTGGGTGATACCACATGATGCAGACAACCAGGACTAGGACCATGAGCAGACCGTCAAAGACGTACAGTGGCCATTCTGTTGACAGCAAATACCCGCTCCAGCCCATAGCATATTCGACGACACGGAAAATGTTTCTAAGCGAGATGAGTATGCTGGAAACGTATAGGCCAACCATGAGTTTCCTCCATGTCATTGTTCCGAATCGTCCGCTGGAGATACCACCATTTTCGCCTAGTGAGCCATCAAGAGAGGCGGAGGTTGGTCTCTGGCTCATTCTCCTGTGGAAGATGATGGCTGTCACGAGAAAGACGATGAAGATGCAAACTTGTAGAATAAGACCTCCGAGAACGATATTGTTGTCCCTGTCGATCTCGGCTTGAGTAGTAGCCACAGCAAGCATGCCACCTCCTGCAGCCTGAATGCAAAAGCAGAGAACGTCTCCAGTAACGAAGATCTTTGTGAGCCAATTGACGCGAATGATGGTATATGCTTCTCCCTGGAGGACACGAACAATCCGTCCGAGAATCATGTATATCGATGCGGCGAAGAGGATGGGTGCAAGGAGGAGGCCAAGGGCTTGAATGGTGTATGGCGGTACACTGTCAATATTATTTACTGCAAGAGCACGGCCTATATATCCGATGATCTCGAAAAGTCCACCAACGACGAAGGGTACGCAAAACCAGGTCCGTCTGCGAATGAGGAGGAAGCTGTGGTAGGCGCTCAGAAGGACGAAAAGGACGATGAATATGACTGCGGCTGCCATTGAAGGCTTATAATGCCACAGTTCAAATCCTGCCCAGGCATCCGAAGAAGCATCGGCGCTGCCAGCAGCATCTTGTCGAGCATAAAAGTTTGTCATGGTCACCAATCTGAGGAGAGCCTCGGGCGCTGTCGTAGGATAAGGATCGCAGGAATGAGGTCGGCTTCTTGTCAGTCGTCTGTCTACGCTCGAGGTGAAGTACGAGGAGCACGATCCGAGTGCGAGGAGATGTGTCAAGGCGCTATCTGTCGTAGTGAGTGCAGATGTGTGAGGGCGAGGGAGGTGCGGAAAGAGCTGGAAAGAACTTGTGATTGAGGATGGAGAGGGTAATTACACAATTGCCACGCCACGCTCATGCAGCTTGATCCCATTTTCAGATCTTCAACCCGTCGGGAGATTGTCTTTGAGTAGAGACAGAAGCATTCACATACGCGTATTCCGCGGAAATGTGGACAAAGGAAAGACGAATACGCGGAGCTAACATCGTATTCGGCCATCAACTAACTGCTTTGAGTCAAGCCGATATTCAACCGAAACTCTCCTCCAGAAATCTATCCGCAACCGATGAACTCCGTCAACAGCAATACCCTTCCTCCAGAGGTCGGCATTGCCAGTGATCATGAACGACGAGGCGCAGCCCACTGGATCGTGAAACTTGGGTTTCATTCTGCGAACCTTCCTACGCAGTATGAAATTAATACGAACAACAATATCCGAGGCCGCGTGTACTGCACTATAGCGACTCATCCTTTGAAGGAGATACCACAATGCCTGCCGTACGTAAAGGATGATGTCACTTTGACGATTGCGAGATCAGTTTCGACTTATAGTTTTCAGATATGAGTGGACATAAATTCATTAGATGAATGCCTCTTCCAGCAAGTTCACACTAGAACCTCAATGTGAGACAGCTTCAATTTCCTGATTGTGAGAGACACATGTGAACGAAAACACCCTGCTTGCGACGCTGCCTAGCATGGTACTAAGCTCATCCGAATGAATCGACCTCGCCACGAGTATATCAATGTTCATCGTCAACTTTCGTAACATCCAGTTCACATACCCTCGGGCCTATTCTTTTCGCGCCATGCATGACACAATGGCTTCAATTCTTCCCCCAACTACTACTCCTGCCGTTTAGCGCTTCTGGTGGGAATCTCACCGCGACTTCAACTCTTCTGACAGCTGCTCTGTTCTCCGCGCAACCTCTGTCCGCCTGTTCTCCTGACCTCTAACCCTCAACCAGAACAATAGTCCTCCGCCAACACCAAGGACAGCAAGCAGTCGAGCATTTTGTCTCTAAGTTTTTCGTTAGTCAATGGTTATGCTCGCCTGGGACGTTTGAGTTTGCACATACAATTGGGCCTCTGGCGCCATGAGGTGAGAATGGGTTTGTTGTCATTTTTTAGTTACGACAAGGATTTTAATAGACGTCGTTGGTGATTCAGATCGTGCTATATAATCTTTGAATCGTCTGTCCGGAAAAGTAGCTCCTCGTACTGGTGATAGCTCTTATCCGGGGATGTGCTGCTTCGCTAACCATTACGTCATGATTTTGCCCGGGCAGAATCAATACAGGATCAAAAATTTACGACAGCAGTGCTTCAGTTTTCGAGTGAAAATCATAATTGTATAGCGAAGCATGACTCTGAACCGAGCATTCCAGTTTGTCGTAGTCGATCAGGCATCCTGCACGGACGAAAGCGAGCAAGACGTTCTGCGAGACAAAGGAAAGTGGGCTTCAGTGATCACAGTGTCCGGAGTAGCACATGAACCTCAAGAGCACAATCCATATCTGCAAAGCCTATGAGTGTGCTAGACTGCGATAGAGATTGTGAGCTTCTCGATTGTGTTTTGAAAAATTGGTGGCACTTTAACAAGTTCAACCCAGTGCAATCCAGTAAGATTGAATGAAAAGAAGCGGTTATGCACAAGTTTAAGTAGTGGCCTATCAGCGCCAAGCTGTTTCAAAGCACGCCATGTTGCATACAATGACCAAGTCCCTATGCAATTTCATCGTCTTCAGCCTCTTTTCAACCTGTATATCATCGAATCGCGTAAAGTGGCCCCGTCGGTTTACCCAGACTCATGACTGTCTCGATACGAGGTGTTCAACAAGGTCGACATTATGCTGGACTGATGTCCCTTGCACTCTGCACACGGACTTGAGCTGTGTGCTTCTCGCTCATATCATCGGTTGAGCTATCGTCACGACCAGTCTTGGACTCGGAGACTGACCGTGTAGCTTCTTTTCTTGCCTTCATCAATGGCCATCGACCTCTCTTCTCCTTAAATCTCAACAAGACGAATCCTGTAATGACCACGATCCAGTATAGATTGTAGGCGATGACGCTACCATATGTGGCACTGTTCTGCCAACCGAGAAGAGCATTGAAGATGCCCCAGCCACCTCCTCCATTCAGATCAGGACTACAGCAGTTGACATGCCAAACACTTTGACGGATGTCGTATGAGCCAGGGCCACTACCATTTTCCGAGGCGTCACCACCAGTCAGCTTGTTCCATGTGTTCTGCTCAAAGTACCAGACCGAGCGCGAGAACAGACCGGCAGCGACCAAGTACAAGAAGCATGTGCTGACGATGAGGAAGATCTGCAAGGGAGCAGCATTGCCTCCTCGATAGATGCCGTATCCGATCAAACATCCGGCTAAAAGACCACAGATGACTGCCAAAGGAATGGATGTGGCAGGCAGGCCAAGACTTACACCACCAATAAACACAACAGCTTCGAGACCCTCTCTCAGTACCGTAATGAAAGGCAGCATGAACATGGCATATTTCTCAGCCCAGATCCTTGCTTTTTCTCCAAACTTGGCAGAACCACTTCCTTTTGTATCGAGTGCCTTTGCAAGCTTTACACGCCATTTGTCCTGAAGCTTCGAAACTCGAAGGAGGGCTGCACCCATGACCGTGATGACAATAGAAGCGACCATCGAGAAGACGCCCTCCCAGATCTTTTCAGTCTTACCCCAGGCATCAGTGCCCAAGCCATAGAAAGCACCGATGAGACCACAGCCGATGATAAGGCAGATGACGAGGCCAGCGCCAGTTCCAGCCCATACCTGCAATTTGTCAGTCGAGATGCATCCATGACAGTGAGCTCAATGTACCTGTTTTCGCAGTCTTTTGTACACGGTCGGGTCCTGATCTGGGCCAAGCTGCTGTTTCAGGAAGGACAACAATACTGAGACGATGATGACTGTCTCGACTGTCTCTCGAAAGAGGATGAAGAACACTGGCACAGCGAACACATTCACCATCTTGCCGAATTTTCCGAGCTTCTGGTCACAACCTTGAAAATTGATACTTTGCTTGAGAGAAAAAGGCTGGAAGGTTGATTGAAGTACAGAAGATAAGATCAGATAAGATGAGAAGTTCGAAGGAGGGACTCAACTTTCACGCACGATCTCGAGCTTGCCAAGCATGTGTTCTGGAAATCGCGCTGCATGTACATTTACGACTTGCCGGAAGCGAACAGAATCATCAGCAACAATCAGATTCCGCAGACAAGCACAACATGAGCATTTTACCGCAATCGTGGTGTGATCATCCTGAATGCAGGAAAGAGCTACAACCGATGATTCGACACGGCAACGACTTCGGCGATGGTGCGGGACATTCTAGCGCCAATTATCGCCTAGATCGGCATAACTTGGGGGGCTAGCTTGTCAGAAGCCCGCTTATCAGATCAATTTTTTATTCTTGGCAAAGTTGGCGAGAAGCTTATGATCGCTTGGACGAGCTTCAACTTCCCGTGGTACAACGCGTTCCACCGAGAGCTCTGTGTCCTGCGTGCCCTTGCACTCAATCACATTATCCTAATTCACAGATACTAGTCAAGAATCTTTGCTCTATCGCAAAGCACACTGGTGCAGGCTTCGACGACCACGATTGTCCGAGGGACTACCCGTTCTTCCTCGTTTGGACTTGCTCGTACAATTGGAGCTTCGAATTCAAACTCTTTACAAAGTCCCACACCCATCCGCCAAGATCGGAAGCGATTGGCTTTCGCCCAAGATTTCCTGCTTCTTCTCCAAGCATTTCCAATGTGGAAACTTCGAGCTTACTTCTGGATCAACGTGCCTGCTTCCACACGAACAAACCTTGCAGTTCGTGCGAATTGAGGTCCACTCCTTCCAGCCAAGCCAATCGAGACTGCTCTTCGAACACTTTTCTACTCGCGTAGCACACGACTGTCCCGTGGTCCTGCACGTCCAGAAAGTCGACTGATATCATCCTTATTGACAACACACACAAACAAGGTCTTGTGCTTTTCCGCCTGCACACTTCGTTCTAGACTTCTATACTCGCTTAGGGAATTGGACCTAGCCGTCAAGTCAGTTTGCATGACACTTCAGTAAACCTAATCAAATCAATCAGCTCACTCGCATCTTATCAGATCCCTGCAAAATTTCGCTTCGATTTCGGCTTGCGGCATTAACCTCTTCCCACCCTTCCCACAGGCTTGCCAAGCAGTGCAAGAAGTCAATACACTACATCCCGCATCTTATCTGATCTCTTCTCGAGCACTCTCTGTTACCATCACCACATCAGCCGGAATGGCTCTAACTCGCGTAATGAGACTACTATCGACGGCATTCCTAGCCTCAGCAGCACTTGCTGATGTCAGGACCTACGACTTCACTGTTGGTTGGGTAAACAGAAATCCCGATGGACAACACGAGCGACGAGTCATGGCCATCAACGGTCAATGGCCTATTCCAACAATTCATGCCACTGTCGGTGACCAGGTCGTTGTCAACTTCAAGAACGACCTTGGAGACAGGCCGTGTTCCCTTCACTTCCACGGCCTATACATGAATGGCACTACTCATATGGATGGCGTAGCCCAATCGACACAATGCCCAGTGCCAGCTGGTTCAGTGTTTACCTATAGCTTTAACGTTACCCAGCCAGGCACATATTGGTACCACTCGCACGTTGACGGCCAATACCCAGATGGTTTACGTGGACCTTTGATTGTACGCGACCCCGAGAATCCCTATGCTGATCAGTTTGACGAAGAGCTGGTTTTGACTCTGTCTGATTGGTATCACGACGAGATGCCAGGTCTAATATCCTCGTTCCTAAGTGTCACGAACCCGACTGGTGCAGAACCTGGTAAGTTTCGCATTTGCTCACCGATGGGACATTGGCTAACGATTATGTAGTACCTAATTCGGCCCTCATGAACGATACCCAGAACCTGCAGATACCGGTTCAGCCTGGAAAGACTTACTTCATTCGAATTGTCAATATGGCTGCATTTGCAGCACAATACTTCTGGATCGAAGGCCACACTTTCCGCATTATTGAGTTAGATGGAATCTACCATAAGCCTACCGAAGCAGAACAGATTTACCTCACTGCAGCTCAGCGTGTCGGTATTCTGCTTACGACGAAAAATGAAACCACAGATAATTTTGCAGTCGTTGGTTCTATGGACCAAGATCTTTTCGACCAGATTCCCGATGGCCTCAACCCGAACGTCACCAGTTATCTTGTCTACAACAAAGACGCACCTATGCCAAATGCCACGGACATTGAAGAATTTAATCCCTTCGACGACACAGAACTAGTCCCTACCGATGAAGAAGCACTGTACGAGGACCCAGCAGTAAGTTACACAATCGACGTCAAGATGGACAATCTCCGTGACGGCGCAAACTACGCATTCTTCAACGATGTCACTTTTGTCCGTCCTAAAGTCCCAACACTATATACAGTCCTTACCTCTGGCGACCTTGCGACAAACGAGACTGTCTATGGCGTCAATACTCATCCTCTCATTCTGTCACACAACCAAGTTGTCGAAATTGTCCTCAACAATCACGATCCAGGCAAGCATCCTTTCCATCTACACGGTCACGCTTTTCAAGTCCTGCACAGAGGAGCTGAAGAAGGCGGAGACTGGGATCCTGAAGCTCTCCGCAATGGCTCTGTGACATATCCTGCGACGCCGATGCGTCGAGATACACTTCTCGTCAGGCCAAATGGTAACTTCGTCATTCGTTTTCGCAGTGACAATCCTGGTGTCTGGCTCTTCCACTGCCATATCGAGTGGCATGTTGACAGTGGTCTCATCCTGACATTTGTCGAGGCCCCACTCCAGCTGCAGCAACAGCTCAACGGCAAGATTCCTGAAGATCACTTCGACGCATGCCGTGCACAAGACATGCCGATCGAGGGCAATGCTGCTGGAAATACTGTCAACCTGCTTGATACCACAGGTATGAACGTATCACCAGGTTTGCTACCAGAAGGCTTCACGCCAAAAGGTATCGTCGCGCTCACATTCTCGATTCTTGCTGGCCTTCTCGGCATTGCTACGATTGTCTGGTACGGACTTGGTGAGATCAGCAATGTTGAGCAGAGAGAGGCGGAGCAAAAGATCGACGCCTTTGCGGAGAAGAGTGGTGGAGTCGTCGAAGTCTCTGGCGTTCATGCTGCGAGTATTCGATCTGGCGGTGGACATGCGGGAAGTGGTCCACTACAGACAAGATAGATAGCCAGGAACCACAACAAAAACATGGGTGAGATAAAACATGTGGTCAACGCTGTAGTATAAGCAGATGCCACACACAATAGCTGCAACGTTGAAAAATTCCTTGTATCAAGACAGTACTGAGATGACTTGTCGTATCTGTGCAACTCAAACTCCTCCTCGATCGTGTCGCCCCACCGTTATGGGACCACCACATGAAACCGATGCATCACTTATCATACCTGGACATCTTCAACCGTCCTCGAAAGGAAGCTCATCTGCTCAGAGTTCGGATAGCTACGATACATTACGATAGATCTTCAACAACCGCAGAGCTTGAGATAGACATTCTTGTCGCGAGGTAGGATTTTGCTTGCCGAACGCGCATAGCTTACCTGCCCAAAGCGGTAGTTGTGGATGAACTTCGAATGACGAACTCTAGCCCCATCACCACGTCGCGAGCACCCAACTACGGGCGAACGTAGTGACAGAGGGGCCGGTGTGATTCTGCAACTTTGAGACCAATTAGTCTTCAACCAGCACCATCTCTACTAATATGGGTCGCAGTAGGCTGAAAACAGTATCTATATCTTGAGCTTCAATCTTTGTTGTGGTACTGGTCGCGTCCTTTCTCGTTAGCTTTTGAGAAATAGTAATTTCTAATAATGTAATTCTCAGTTCACAAAAAGGGTCAGCCCTATAGCTATTCAGCCTCGCTTACACTATCGACAGCGATGATATGTGGATACGGTACATCTTCACTGCGCGATGTCTCAGGTACTGCTGCCACCTATCTCACGTAAAGTCGCGATGATCACATATATGCGTGGGTCTGCCAGTCCCAGACCCACCTTTCGTCATTAAATACCGTTCAGCTAATTCAAATCCTCTTCCATTCGAACTCCCCATGTGCGAACCAGAAAGTCTACATGGACAGATACAGGACACTAGCTTGGATTTCGTGCAAGTGTGCCGATCTGTGACTGACCTAACTGCCTGAGTTCGAGCCAACTGGCCATGAGATACCTGCACGATTTCCTTTCGACAACCGAGCCATGTCGCAAGAAAGTGGGCATGTTGTTGATTTAATGTAATCAGGCTACCAAGGCCATGTGGCCAAGAAATGAACCGGTATCAGACATGACGAGGCTTGGGTGACTTTCTTGACAGCACATGTCTCACTGAGACGAGTTCTTATCTTCGAAGCAAGAAGTACAATGATGACTAAGCTATAGTTCGTACCAGAAGAGACACAGTTCTATGCTTGTCACAAGGCCTGGGAGATAGCAGTGAACCAGGCAATTCAAACAGATTCAAGCAGCATTGAACGGTTTGGAACGAATGCCTGGATCGCTGTCATGTCTCTCACAGATGTCCTTGTTCCATGCAAATGGAGGAAGTTGATTTGATCAAAGTAGCAACCAACATGTGCTGTGGCAGGACTGGATGCAGACAGAAGACCACCCAGAGTCTAATCGATTGAGCCGAGGCTGTGGAAGGTACAAACCAACCTCATGTTTCAGTGGGCACAAGTTTTCAGCAAGCAGAGCATAATATCTTGGCCAAGGAGAAGCTCTAGGAGATGGACAGGTCATCTGGACTCAAAGCTTGAGAACTCGGTCACTAGGGAACTTGATAGACTGGCATCGATCCCATACCTTGATCCGGCAGATTGTTTAGCCCTGATTTTCTTGTTGGGTGTCGTGGATATTCTCGGTTGGACAGTGAGATCCTTGCATGCTTCCTTCGGTACACCGGCACAGAGGTGTTAGTCCGAAACTTGTCTTCACACTGCTTGATCCGACTATCTTCATTGCCAGAAGACAAAGAGCCTGCGGAATCTGGTTGCGCTGAGCAACTGAGGCTAGTCTTCAGAAGAGCGATACGATCTTACCGAATTGCGTGTTACATTGTTGTTCAGGCGAACAGGAAATACGAGCTGAAGAGGGCAAGCCCCAGGATGCAAGTGTCTAAGTGATCGATAACGACCTCGACCTTGCGCCATGATCTGCAAGGAGCCACTACTGCAGGACTACAAGGCACATGCTTTCAATGCCCACTTCTGCGTGCCAGCACAAATGTACCATCGGCATCGCGGCGATTTTGCCGAGCCATGATGTAGACAAGAAAGATTGCGACATGCACAACACTCGCTGTTGTCAATAGTCTATCAAAAAGATCAGAAGAGCCACACCGCGGCAGCTCGAGTGTTTTCGATATCACAATGACAATATTGAAGAGCAATATTCCAGCAAAAGCGAAATGTCTACCCCGAGGAGTCTACCCTCCCTGCATCACACTCTTCAAGCCTACTGCTCGTCAGGAGATTGACACAGACGCATGCTATGCTCATTACTCAAACTTGATTCGTGGTGGTGTGGCAGGTCTAGTAGTGCAGGGTACGAATGGTGAAGCTGTACTGCTCTCGCCAGAAGAAAAGATTGAGTTGACCAGGACCGCACGAAAAGCTGCAGCAGATCTGGATCTTCCAGATTACCCTATCGTCGCGGGCATCAGTGGGCAATCGACTAATGAGACCTTCAAGCTGGCTGAAGATGCAGCTGAGGCAGGTGCTAACTTTGCGCTGCTTCTGCCACCTAGCTTCTGGCCGAAAGCTGCTACCAATGATGTGCTCAGAGACTTCTACAGAGAGGTGGCAGATGAGAGTCCTATTCCTGTCGTCATATACAACGTAAGTATTCACAGTTCGAATTTTGGGACTGAGCTGATATCGTCTTCGCAGTACCCTGGAGCCACCAACGGAGTCGATTTGAGTTCTGCATTGCTTGCTGAGCTGGCTGAACATCCAAACATTGTCGGAGTAAAACTAACTTGCGGAAATGCTGGCAAGGTAACACACCTGAGTGAGCTCTTCTCACCAGAGCAGTTCAGCGTCTATGCAGGTCAGGTTGACTGGCTCTTGCCATGCTTGATTGGTGGCGGCGTGGGATGCATCACGGGGATGGGCAACATCTTCCCGCGTGCCGTATCCAAGGTCTACACTCTTTGGAAGCAGAACAAGATCGAAGAAGCAAAGAGATTGCAGGGTGCTGCGTCTGCGGCAGAGAAGGCCTGTAGAGAAGGTATAGCCCTGACGAAGTATGGTGCCTGGAAGTTTGTGGGGCCCAAGATTGGGTTCAATGATCCAGCTACGTACTTTCCCAGAAAGCCGTATAAGCCGCTATCAAAAGACAGACAACTGTGGTGCGTTGACACTCTGCAGCACATGGCAGACATTGAAGAGAGCCTACCAGATGTTGTAGTCTTGAAGGGCAGTGCAACAAATGGTGTTTAGGTGTAACACAAATCAATCCACCTAACAAACCCAGCGATTGCCACGTGGGACTTCCACTGCACAGATACTCTTTTAGTTGGAATAGAGATTCAAATCAGGTCCAGATTTCCGCGGTGTGAGACACGTTTTCGTGCATGGTATTAGCCTGCACATCTTTGGTACTCCTCCATCTGACCATGACATTGGCTAACCTGGGCTTTGGAAGGTATTGTCGAAGTCCTGTATGCAGGCCAAGGGATACAAGCCTACTAAGAGCTTGGCGTCCTGCTCTCAATAACTACTCAACCTAGTCGACATTGTGGCCAAGCAGATAGCGTCAGTAGAGCCTGACTGATTTGCAGAAGTGCGAAGTCAAGACAACACCGGGCTTACAGCCATGACAGGCCTTTCTCCATATCGCCTGAAATCCTAAGCGCCCCAAAGTCGTTTTGCAAGCTCGAGACTTCGCGCAAAGTTGGGGTAAAAGTGTGGGAAAATGTGGGAAAATGTGGGAGGACAACCCGGTCGGGACATGAACTCGACACATATAGAGTCTCTCGCGCTCCAGATTCACACCTTCCGTTGTTACATCTCGGACGAAGACCTAATTTCTTATATCTGGAGCAAAAACAAGCATTCTCACGATGCCGTCAACGCACGGAAGAAATACTCAGACCTTTTCCGAAACGAAATCAGAATACATCGAGCATGTTGACGATGCCAGAGACAAAGTCCTCGAGAAAGGTGGTCGCGAGGACCTGGATAAGTTCGGGTCTCATGCGAAGACAGACCCTGCTGAGGTAGCTTTGGTGAAGAAGCTGGATTGGTATATGATGGTAAGCCTGGCATGAAGGCAATGAACTTGTTGTTGACAAACTTCGCAGCCTGTGCTGTGGTTCGCTTACTTCCTCAATTTCCTTGACCGCAATGCCATCGTCAATGCCAGGCTGAATGGATTGAGTGGAGACCTCAATCTGAAAGGCACACAGTACAACACATGCAGTAAGTCCAATAGTGCTGAAAATAAATCGGATGCATAACTGACGTGGTCGCTTCAGTCAGCATTCTTTTCGTCGGCTATCTTCTAGGTCAAGTGCCTTCGAATATGTTGCTGACTCGCATCAAGCCCGGAGCATACATCTCAGTCTTCTTGGGCTTATGGGGCATCGTGTCAATGCTGACCTTCTTGGCCAAAGACTACCACGGAATGCTGGTCTGTCGCTTCCTGCTCGGCATAACAGAAGCCCCGTTCTACCCTGGAGCCATTTTTGTGATCTCTCTTTTCTATACAAGGAAGGAAACAGCCACAAGGATGGCGATTCTGTACACCGGAAACATGTTTGCGAGTTCATTTTCTTCACTAATTGCAGCTGGTGTCTTTGAAGGCCTGCATGGAGTGCACGGTCTCAGCGGCTGGCGATGGCTTTTCATCCTGCAAGGTGCTGTCACCATTGTCGCAGCTGTCGCGGCATGGTTCACGTTGCCCAACTCACCTCTTCAAACAAGATGGCTCACGCCTGAGGAGAGACAACTGGCTCATGATCGTGTTGCTGCGGACACCACTCACAAGCGTGAGGGTACAAGTGTCTGGACAGGTCTTCGGGAAGCCAGCTCAGACTATCGAACTTGGCTATTTGCGCTCACAGGCATTCTCCACTTCTCGGCGAATGGTTTTAAGAACTTCTTGCCTCAGCTGATCAAGACTTTCGGTTATTCTGACACGGTATCACTCGTCCTGACGACGCCTCCTTATCTGCTATCGACAGTCGTTTCTGTCTTGGTTGCGTGGACCTCTGGACGATACAATGAACGGACTTGGCACGTAAGTTCTCTCCGTCTAGAGCGATCATACTTCCGACCGAAGATCTTGCTAACTCGCAGACAGATCACAGCTTGCAAGCTCGTTGCCATTGCTGGTTTCATCATCGCAGTAAGCACTCTAAACATGGGTGCTCGCATGTTTGCAGTTTTTCTTTTTGTCGGCGCCACCTATGGTGTCAACAATATCAACATTGCATGGGTTGCTGCCACTCTCGGACAAACAGACGAGAAGAAGTCTGTGGCAATCGCGATTGTCAACACGATCGGAAATTGTGCGAGTATTTTTACGCCTTATCTGTGGCCAGATTCGGACTCGCCTCGATTTCTGACAGCCATGTTCTCGAGCATAGCTTTCTGTGTTGGTGTCATTGCATTGACGTGGCTTATGCGGTTGGTGTTGATGAGAGACAATCGTCGTATTCGTCAAAACGAGTCGGAGGCTATCAACTTTTATGCTTACTAGCAAATTGTATGACAACGTCGGGCAGGATGTGAAAAGGTCTCTTCTAGTAGTCAAGGCTCAATTCGTAGAGCAGTCAATGGAAATTCATCTGAGAGGAAGTAAAATTAGATCGCGATCTGGCAGCTTGTCGTGATATCCTGGCAAGCAAAGTAAACTGTATAGCATTTTTACTTGCGAATGGATGTGATCGTGGTTGCGAATAACTTCACTTGATTGTCCTCATCTGGTCGAATGAATCCCATTCCGACATAATCTAGCATGATTAGGCTGATCCTGTGCAGGAGCAAGATTTTACGCCAGCACCCACCGAATTTAGTCACTTCAGCTATGAGGGTGATTCTGTTTGGTTTTGCACAGTGTATGGACATGACTGTCAAGGTGTGTGGATTTCGCTAATAGGTAGGCACTTGGTTACGCGTGAATGTGTTGACGGGTCATGACTGCTGGACAATTCTCGAGCAACAAGGTGGAGGACAACATTTAAGGTACGACGGGTATGCATCGGCTGCAAGCCGAGGTCCGCCGAGCACAAAAGTACAAGGTGGGAATCGCCAGGAGAAGGCCACTAAATATCGGCACGGGGCACAGCCCCGGATGATGACCGGGCCACGCGGAGAAGAGAAATTCGGAGAGTCTCAATCAGAGCTACCAAATCTTGAAGCACTCGATCGACTGTCAATACCCTCTCATGATCATACTCTCAGTCTGATCAGCTTGTGGCATGAGACGCGATTCATGAGGCGGACTTGTCGATCTGGTTATGGGATGCGGCAGTAAAATCGAGGGGTCATTCATCTCGCAATGATAAATATGCTTAAGACGCCGCCTCCTCAAGAACACGCCTCGAGGCTGGGCACATAGAACTACTCCAATTGAGATCACGACACAGCCCGCAACAGTAGCGTGGAATACTTGCATGTCCACATGAGACGTGTGCTGTCCCTGCCGTCGGTACCTTGCACTTCCTGTCGATCTGCTCGAAGTGAGTAGCCAAGACAAACAAGGTGCGAAGCTCGAGCATCTCCAGACGACGATGCAACGTCCTGCATAGCAGCGGAGTACACACATGCAAGGTGTAGCTTCGGCATCTTCTCCATCTTACCGATGATAGTAACCTGTCGATGTAGACCCACCAGATCAATCTGAGACAGAGGAGTGTGCTGATACGTGTAATACCACAAAGACTGTGTTGAAGTGCTTTTTTGTCAAAAGAGCAATAACTCTTGATCAAAGTGCTGCCGTTGTAGCTGAAGCCGACGTCAAAAATGCCGAAGCCGATCATCCTACGGATCGGCGAGGACATCAAGTACAACCACGACTTCTACAACCAAGAATTTCTGAAGAAGTACGATGTAATCTCTAATCCTCACACAGATCGAGTGTCGTTTATCACAGCTCTAAAGAACAAGGAGTTCGGCGATTTCTCAGCTATTTTCCGACCACACTTTCAGACAGGTGGTGAAATGGGACAATGGGACGACGAGCTGATTGCTTTACTCCCTCCATCTGTTCGTATATTCGCTTCCGCTGGGGCGGGATACAACTGGGCAGATACCGAAGCACTAGGAAGACGCAAGATATGGTATGCCAATGGTGCTGGCGCATCAGACGAGGCTGTCTCTGACACAGCACTCTACTTCATTCTCTCAGTCTTTCGTAATTTCACTAGGTCTCAGCTAGCTGCTCGAACTGCAGATCCTGCTGTGTTTCAAGAAACACATAAGCTCATCGCAACCATTTCGCAGAACCCAGCTGGTCATATCCTGGGTATCGTAGGCCTCGGGAGCATCAGTAAGAAGCTCGCCTACAAAGCTAAAGCCTTGGGTATGGAAATTCATTATTACGACGTTGTAAGGTTAGCCTCTGAGGAGGAGACGCGGCTCGGTGTAACATTCCATGAGACGCTTCAGAGCCTTCTCGAGGTGGCAGACTGTGTCACACTACATACACCACTCAACAAGCATACGAAGAATCTCATGAACAAGAACACCATTTCCAAGATGAAACCTGGAGCACGGCTGATCAATACTGCCCGAGGCGAGGTTGTCGAAGAGGAAGCACTCACAGAGGCTCTCAAATCTGGCCACCTATCTGCTGCGGCATTGGATGTCCATTACCACGAGCCACAAGTCTCAAGAGTATTGGCATCAATGGAGAATGTGACGCTTACTACTCATGTTGGAGGTGGTGCGTTGAATACAAGAATCAATTTTGAGTTGAATGCAATGAAGAATATCATGGCTGTTGTCGGCCACGACGGACAGTTCACTGGCAAGCCCTTGACGCCTGTTAATGAAGCAGCGTTTGTGAATGCCTAAACATCTCGAAGGTTTCGCAATCTGCTACCTCTTTCAAAGGGACTATGTATTTGCGCTGTCATGAAGGCCTGTAATATATCACCATGGCCTGCAGGAGTTTGGGCACAGTCATCGTATCCTGGTTCGCTGCAAAGGATGACACTTTCGTCCCGACTCGGACACCTGCAACCATCTTGACCCATACCCCAGTCGATGTCGAATCGCGCAGCTCAACAGCTTGACCCACGCTCTTCCAATCTCTGAATATCAGGCTTAGACCAGAATAAGACTCATGAAACACCTAACACATGTCAAGCAAGTCCATCATTCCGCGACCTCTTCCGGGTACTATTACAGTCTTCTTCGTGTGTCCTCATCTAAAACTGTTTTTCTCAGCTGGTCCTCCAAATTCTGGTGCATACAAGCGGAAAGCAGTATCGGCTATCTAATCCGCGGCTGATCAGCCTCGAAGGTGTCCAAACACAAGGGAGCTCAAGAAAACGCCAGCTAGAACGGAGAGAAAGTCGCCGACACTCATTGTCATCACCGCAATCGTTCTGTGAAAGTAAGCTTGAGCGTCCACCCATCGTCACAAGCAATGATCACTCACAGTAAATATCCAACACAAGAAATCAGGACGTCAATCACCGCAATCAAGACCGCTTCGCGACCTGTTCAAGGACGAGGGGTCATCTTAATCCCACTCAACAAATGGTGATCTCTTTGCCCGTATCTCAGGCTGCTCAGGGTGGATTGTATGTCGTAAAAATCTGTCCTAAGAACTAAGGGAGCCCTGAATACCGCCGCAAAGGCGATCAAAAATATGCACATTCCCGCATATTGACCAGCAGACTTCGGAGCCCACTGCAACGAGAAAAGTGGTGCCGTGCTCGACATGAAGAAGATCATTGCCATTGACTCCATACCCATCATCATGCCAGAAGTTGTGGAAGATGCGGAGGTTGACATGAACATCAAGCCTGTTGAGCTCGTTGTCATTGTCATATTCGACATGTCCGTAGCCGATGGCTAGAGAGACTTAAATCAGGCTGATATGTTTTGACTTCGTACCAAATCGAAATCCATGTGTGAGAACTCATTTTATGGGAAGCCAAGGAGTTTTGATTATGGCCGGGCACGCTTGGATGTCATCCTCGCACCATGTCCTTGCGGGAAGAATGAGCTGCCCGTTCGGCACACACCTCCCCCCATTACTGATTGGCCCACCATTCCAGCATTTGTCTTTCTGCAGACTGGAGAAGGCAAGAAAGGAGTACTCCGGAGTCGAAGCAGTGAAAGTCTATACCTACCAGATCAACGATCTCCCAGCAGAGATCCCCAGCCGCGATCACTCAGCGCCCAAATAGGAAGAGAAAGTATCTATAAATCTGCTCAATAGGGTCGCCCGTAACATTGTGACTGGTGGCGACGTTGGGAACTTAGACAGGAACAGATAAGCTTCTAGGTGAGAACATTTTCTTCCCACGCTGGTCAGTATCCACTACATTCACTGGGTAGCTGCTGAACGGGGTAGGATCGATCGTGCACGGATTTGCCTCACACCGCTTTCGCCCAGGAGGCTTGATTCACCTTGGCTATGGCTAGATCAAGGCTTCGAAATCTTATATCTCCATGACAATGCTGATATCTAGCGTACACCCCCTTCGAGTCTGAGTTACTCCTACCACTCCTCTCGTACAACATAGTTGGACTCCCTCAAGATGGACATGTCTTCGCCAGCAAACGGAGTGATTTTACAGCCAGACTACACAGCCTGGCGGCTAAGGAAATAAATGTTGCGATGCCTGTAGTATTGGACGGTTCATATAGTGGTATTGATGTCTTGACATTTCGAAACAGTCGACGACTGCTTGTGATTGCTGGGGGGCCGGTTGCAGGCTGGATGCTGCCGTTCCTGGAGCAGTAACGAAGGTACTGCTCGATGCAAGATGTACAGCAGACTGTTGGGACTGAGAAGCTGGAAGAGCGGGATTCTTCCAGCTCAGAAGCCTGCGTCGCATCTTCGAGGCCAAGAGCACAAACGGTTCGTCAATTATTGGCGACAAGAGACTCTAGTGGCAAGCATGGTTTCTCGACGCCGTTAAAGACATATTGACCAAACATGTTTTCAGAGCCAATGAGGCGACAATTAGCATTGATGTCTACTTAACAAAGGAAGTCGACATCCCTGTGCGTCTTCCAGAAAAGAAAGAAGACGCCTCCAGCTCCGGATCTGATCTCATTGTCAGTCCTGACCAAGACAAAAAAGTCAATCCATCCTTGGAAAGGGACTACATCTTGTGTCGCGAACAAATCGGTCGACCACGATTGCCACAACTGATCCAAGAAGAAGGAAACTGTATGGCAGAGACAGGAGATGCAGTAAGGGCCTACGTGTGCGGGCCAATCACTACGCAAAACGATGTGCGTAATGCTGTTGCTATGGAGAATTTGAAGATCGCAAAAGGAAGAGCAGGAGCAATGTATCTGCACCTCGAGCATTTCTCGTGGACATGAATACATATTATTAGTTGTCAGATTACATGATAATTTCTCGTTCAGCCCTTTAACGCATTTGCCGATGCGACCGATCCATGTTCAGTACTAGTATTTCCAATGTTGACGCCTTCACCCATCACTGTCTTGTTATGACAAGGTTCGTGTTGCGGCTTCTATGATGCCTTAATGGTTCTTGGCACAGCCGCCGCAGGCGCATGCACCGTCTTCGCAGGCCTGTTTTCGGTTAGGCAGATGTTGTTGAATGGTCGGAGCGTACTTACACATGTGCCTTCATTTCCACCACATTGGCAGACAGTCTTGTTTGATTGAGCAGCTGGAACGGCCTTGTTTACTGGATTGCTGCTCTGTGGGCAGCTTGCACAGGTGCATTGGCCTGGTGCACAGCCACACACAGAATCAGAGCCGCCACACTTGCAAACTGTCTTGGCAGAGTTGACCTCGGCGGGTCGTGGTTGGAAAGTCTCGGAAGTCATCTTGAATGAGGTTGTGTGATGTTGTGCTTGTTTATTGAAGAATATTGTGTGGAGAGATTTTCAGTAGTAGAGTGCAGTTGCTTGTCAAGAAGTGATAGGCGATGGTCGTGCATTGATATACTCTACCCCTGTGGAGCGGACTCTTGGCATTAACGTCACAAACTTTACGTGCTGCGGTTTTTGTGCGTTTTTGTTGTTCGCACATTGGTTAGTCCAAAGACAAAAACCCTCACAAACTTAGATTTTCAAATGGCTTACTGATTTCCGGACTTCTGTGAGACAGTCAGCGAGCAAAACTAACTCAAAGCAGGTGAAAAGTTCGTGTAACGACGTGTCAATGAGGATCGCCCAAGGCTCGATCTTCTCGCGAAAACCTTATATATCTTATGCCAATCATAAGCTACGAAGGCACCAGGAAAACCACTAGCCTACAGAGGACTCCGAATTGGCTACACGACTTGACAGAGATGACATTCTAGCAGATGAGTGCAATAGCGCAGTGAGGCCGAGAGCACAGCCATCGCATACATACGCTGGAAATACTAGGAGGCGGATCGTACGTTTCTGCTGACTTTCTCGGATTTTTCGACAGTACAGGTTAGCGCGAGGCTTTTGTGCGTTCATGTGGCGAATGCCCCAGATGATTTCTGACGATCCACTGCGCACAAAAGACGCATCTATGCTTGTCAGAATCCAGGCACATGTTTGCTCCGCAGCAATCGAAGTCACATCTTTCAGGCATATGCATCGACCTGTGACGAGAGATAGCCGATGCCCAAACAAGCAATGATAGATCAATTCTTCCTTAATTTGTTCTCTAGCAGGCAGAAAGCATGGTTCCGTGGCCCATAGTCGTGCGAAGTGCAAAAGTAGAAAAAACGTACAACGTACCAACTCATTTTGAACGCTCGCTGTTGAATATTCTGCTGCTTTTCTGATGTTATGTACCTGGTGCGACATCAGTGGAATGAAAGGTGCGGTGGAACAGCTATATATCTGCGAATTTTAGCTTTCTCATCTTCGATTATCTAAGCGTACAATACAATACATTCTTGGTGAGAGAAATCCACTTTCACGTCCGCCGAGGAAGCGAGCAGCCACGTAGGCACGATGAACAATCCGCGTCAAGTCCATGTTCTATCCGCCGGCATGTGCATCAATGTGACCCTCAATGCCTCGATAGCTCGAGTGTATCTGCTTCGCACATGCTGAACTCAAAGCCGAATTGTGGAAGCGAGGCATCGCCAATTGAAGCATATGCCAATCAGGAGAGAAGGATACCTTCACCGGATCTCAAGCAGTTAAGAGAGTAAGACGAGCCCGACGCGGATCATATTGCGTTAGCGACACACACTTGAACGTGGAGCGCTCTTTCTCAACACAGCAACCTCGACACAGGCGGGCATTTGATATGTCTTCTTCAGCTGTCAATTTCTCTCATGACCCCAGCACACATGATGGCGAGGTCTGTGGCTGTGCAACAACATTGACAGCACCACCTGGACGATCTCCAACATACTCGAAAGCATCATTGACTTGATCCAACGAGAAGCACTTGTGTCGCAGGTACGATAGATCGATCACGCCTGCTGCGACAAGAGCGATCAACTCGTCCACCTCGGCACTATTAAACCAAACAGTACCAAGCACGCCAACATCATGAACCATAGCCCTACCATAGCCCTAGCATACTCCAGCTCCATCTTGCCAAATGCACCTCCTGCGACTAAAGCGACTCTTCCACCTGATTTGATGCTGTCGACGTACTGGCTGGTGAGAGTGGCATCGCCGCCAACGCCCAAGCAGTCATACATTGCGTCTGGTCCCAGTCCGTCCGTCTCTTGCTTTATCCATTCAGTAATACCCCCTTTATCTTCAGATGACCGCACAACGACTCTGCCATGTGGCGACATCTTTTCGACTTCGGCAAGGCGTTTTTATCACGTCCGATACCAAGAATGTTGGTGCAATCAATACCCAGCGCAATAGCGACTGCGGCATAACCAACGGTACCCGTCACTCCGTTGATCAGAGGCGTTTGCCTGGTCCAGCATGTGCTTTCATGAGGCCCGCGAAAGAGGTACCGATGTAGCCAAAGCGAGACGCAGTGGCGAGATTAATATTCGGTGGCAACACGGCTATGTTGGTATCTGGCGATGTCAACAAACCACCGATAGGATATTGAGCGATCACTTTGCTACCACCAGGAGGATAGAGGACAAAGTAGCCACGCAAGCCACTGTTATAGCACATATCCTTTCTATCTGGAGTGTAGTAATGTTGTTGGCATCTACAGAAGTCATTGTTTCGATTGATGTAGTACACCCTAATCACCTTGACGATTGGTCACGCGTACCACAGGTCAAGATCGGGTCGACATAGACACGATCGTTAAGCTCAGGCTTAGCAAGTTTTCGCTGGTAGCCTCAGTAACACCTGCAACATCGAGACCGAATACACATCGCAGTTTTCTGGAGTACGAATAGAGTCTTGTCAGACAGCACGCCTCGAATCGGACAAGGACATCCTTTAGGCCTTGAATTAGCTTTTCGATGACACTGTCCACAAGTGGTTTGCCGACCTCAACAAGACATGTGACTCAAATTTCTGTGCATGTTGTGGCAAGCGTACGGGCTGGTTGCAAAGATTACACACCGTTTGGCAATCGTTGACAGCTAACTACGCGGTGTGATCGTCGGCAACGGCGTCGTCTTATCCAACTTGCTGCGAGAACGCCCAGAGATTTGTCTTCTCTGGTTCAGGTGCTATATTCCTCGACGACTTGCTAAATCCTGCAGGGTTCTTTTGAACGCCACCATCTATGCCGTTCTTTTCCTAGATAATCCACTGCTCGTTGACGATCTCGTTCACTTTCTTAGCGCCGCTTCGCAACTTGAATTCTTGCTGAAGATGATACGCGCACACCAATATCCGAAGCTCGAAACACCAAACCTGCTCGGAGATTTACGAACGTCATCCGGTCGAAGTTTGACCACGTCAAGCTCAAGATATACTGGCTTATACAGTGCGCTTGGATGCTTCGCCTCTAGTTCTTCGTAGGCGGGCAATCGGCTGAAAGATTTTGGTTCATGGGCTACCCGTGTATCTAGCTGTCTCCAGCCCCTCATCGAGAGCTTGTTTGTCAATCTTGTCATGGTTAAAGGCCTATATTTACGAGAGACGAGAGCAGAAAATAGCAAGGCTTACCTCTCGCAAAGTCTGTCGAACTTCGTTCAGATCCATCAACGCCATCCGCTTAGAAGAGACCTTCTTCGTTGAATATGGATCTCTCGACCGCACAGACTGCTTACTGTCTGGTTTGTTGTGTAGACACGGTCTCTAGCGTTCAGTCCAAGCACGGCTTATGTTTCTGTGGTGTTAAGCCTTGAAAGAATACGGATATTGTACTTGTTCTGCTTCTTGCGAATTGCTGGCTCGTGTATCGATTATGGGGGTCGAGCATCTGTTTGACTACTTTGCCACTCAAAGCTGACGGACCGTCAATTGGTTTGAGCAGGCGGACGTTGTTGGGATATGAAGACAATGCTAACAGTAAACAACAGGGTCAAAATGTTATAGAATATCGCTATATCGGCCCTTTTTTGGGTGGTGTGGCCGATTTGTCTCCTGCCCGTACTATTGGTCGCTTATCAGATGATGGAAGAGCTGATTCTGTCTTTCAGAAGGAACCAGGCTGATACAATTGGTTCGAGAAGCTCTGGCTATCAGTCTGTATGTCTAGTATCGATATTGGGTCGTCGTATTGGAATCCCGTCATGAAGGGCTCGCACGAGCTATTCAATTCTTCCTGACCTTGATCAAACCGTAGAGCTGCTTGAGTATACGGGAAGCTTTCGTCGACCCAATTATCGCTCCAATTTAAAGAGTCGAAAACGTTATTCATATAGACCTCTTGGGTCGGAGAGTCATTCAAGGTGAAGTCGAGAGGCCCACTCATTTGCGATTGCTGACTTATGTTTTCCGAACCTTTGATTTTGGTTTCGATCAGCTCATGTCTTCGACATGCTCGATAGATCCTATCAACGACCTCGGCTGATCGACCCGCTGTTTGTGACCACGATCGTAAATCGACAAAGACTGCTAACCCAACCTCAATCATGTTTTGGTTCTTCTGGTTCCATGCTTCGTTGGATCTGTCTGCAAAAAGGTGCAATAGCGGCACCATCAGCGCTTGGTACAAAAGCCACGTAGCATTCCAACCAGCCATTGAACACGGTCTTGATACTCGCCAGGTCGTTGCAATGTCGTTGATAAGCTCGAAAGTCATTTCTCGGCAAATCTCGACGGCATATCTCTTCTCTTCGAGTAGTTGCGTGAAGGGCGTTTTGCGCATTGCTGCCCACAGCAAAACCGGTCGGTGGAGGATGATCCTACAGAGTACGTACCGCCACCTCATGATGTTCTTGACCACTGAAATTCCATGCGGTTCTCCAGGTTGAGCCCGGGGAGTATTGTTTTGTGCTGATGATGTATTATACCAGTGTAGAAAAGAATTATCCAGTGCTCTCCTCTCTGCCTCTGGTATCATTGGTGATTGAGCAAGGGCATCCTCCATGCGAGTGCTCAGTTGGCAGAACTGTATGTTCTCTTGGATGAGGGTCAACAACTGCTGAGATAGCCGATGCATTCCTGTGGTGGCTTTACAGAAATTGCATGGTTCATCCTGCCCATACTGGGCCTACCCAGACCATAGCCGACCCATGAGTCGATCACGAACATCGACCACCATATTCGTCTTCTGAGCTCGATCGACTTGCCATGTTTGTCGCGCTTTGCCGGATCGACGCCCTCAGAATAGTCGCGATGCAAGCCCAGTGATATGGCTAATCGGAACGCCGCTCCCATGAGCGAATTGGCCAGGTTCGGCTCCTGAATGTAATGAAGATAGAGCCCGCTCAGCAGAACCAGAGCTTGTACTGTCTCGATATGTGCAGATCCCAACATTTCGATGCTTAAATTTTGTTTGGCTCTTTGCCAATAGATCCGATGACCATGCTCATCGCAATGTGAGGTATTAGCCATGCTTCCGAGAGCTAGCACCGTGTTAAGCAACAATGACCATCGAATATCGTCTCTTGACTGTGCTATGTAAGTGTCGCGAAATTCTTGTTCGTCCAATAGTGGAGCAATCGGATGAACATAGCTGAAGTAAGCATTGATTAAGGGAACTTCACTCCAAGGTGAAGACGTCCCAGGGACTCCAATTCCTCCAATGTTTTCTGGAGGAGAAGAAGCCTCACGACTCGGCGCATGACTTCTATCTGGGGTTTTGATGAAAAAGGATTGAGCTTCAGGGTCTAGCCAAAGGATAACTCGAAGTGCAGCTGTGACAGAAGAAATACCTAGATATGAGGTGGACCTCTTCACGGTCAGGGAAAGAGCGTTCACGTCGTCAGTGATTCCTATCAGACCTGTTCTCGAGGTTGTGTCAGTATTCTCCTCAGGCATGGGCTGGAAATGCTCAAGATGTGCAGCATCTGGATGGGTCAAAGGCCTTTCCTCCGATCTAGGCGTAACGGGAGAAGGCGGGCTGAGAACAGCTCTTGGGCTCGTTTTAGCCACGAGTTCGATCAGCGACTCCCGATCTAATCCCTTAAGCTGCTCTAAATTTTTGATTGTTGGGAACAGACTTTGAAAGATTTTTCGATAGTCTTTCAAGGTCTCATCTGCTTGCTCAGTGGACCTGACAGCCGATCAGCCAAAGGTCGTAGATTGGGTGGATAGCTCTACCTTCTTTGAGGCATACTGTGGCGCTGTCTGGGTTGAGTGTAATGACAACCAGTTGAACGTTGGTACCAGGTACAATTAGAGCAAGGAAGTTCTGTATTGATTAGCTGAGAATAGACGGTAAACTCATTCTTACCTCCGTTACAGCGCGTCTTTCGTTTTCGGCACTAAAAACATCAGAGCTTGACTCATCGATTGGGGAGGAATGCTTTACCGGCTCGCACGCCCTTATGGTGCTTATTCTCCGCTTGCCACCATCGTTGTTGACAGGTACGGCTCCCTGCCCTTGAGACTCCCATATATGGAACATGATGATAGACGGGCCCGAGGAGAGCTCCAGCCGTAAACATCTGCGTAGCGATAAAAATAACAAGACGAGACATAAAAATGACGGAGCAAGAGCACGGTTCTCCTCACAAATTTCATTATGCCGGGGAAGATTTTAGGTGTGGAGACCCTGGATCTAGCCCTGCATAAACCTGGAATGACTGACATGACATCGAAGAAATGGCTTATATAACACGGCTATATTCTGCCGTGTCCGGCATGTTTGATACAGGCATTGCCACACCTTTCGAATGATAGGCACATGATCTAGGCAATCGTGCCCGTGACAATACTTGGCGTGAGTATCTACAGCAATGAAGTGCCGCGAGCTATACTCATCGTAACGGCAGCGTCCGCTACGAGGTCTGCAAGCCAGTCATCTTCAGCCAAATGATCTAGAGTTTCTCGCCGTTCTCAATCAGTCAGGCTTCTCGGTAGGTTGACCAGGCACAAATCCCTCGAGCTACGAGTTTTGTAGGATTGCCCGTTGCTCTGTTCGCCACATCTGAAATCTCGTTCAAGATCGACACAGTCTCTCTGATGGCTAGTGTCATGGGCATATGTTAGCAGTAGAGTAATGTGGCACTAAAGATGACTTTCACGGACGTGTAGTCCTTTTCAGCCGGCATTGAGTGCACTCTGGCTGATATCCTCAAAGTGACTGGCTCTGGAGACAAAAACATTGATGACACTAGTAGCGAGGTTCTTACTTCATATCACACAGATGCGCCATGGTACTTCTCCCACGCTGACCAATCTTTCGTGTTTTAGTCGATGGTGAACCAAACACTTGCCGAATCAAATACACAAGCCTTTATCATTAGCTGAAAGCACTCTATCATAATGTGTCTATATTTCATATCACTACGTTGCAGTCACTCGAAACACTGGCTCGGTTGATGGATGAAAGTGTACCCATTCTGGATACCATTCTGGCTCGTCAAAGTTACAAGGTTTGACTTCTTCATTCAGGATGCGCAGAGTCTCCTTGGTCCAAATCTCATAACCATCAGCATTCAAGTGCAGTCCATCTCGGAGGAATCTCCCAAGCTCCGTACTAGGGGTCAGCTTCATACTTCCTGGAACAACGGATTCATTCTCTCCACAGGCAGCAAGGTTGCAACCAGTATCTTTTAGAAGCGCAGACCAGAGGTCAATCACTGGGAGTCTCAGCTCCCTACCGACCTCTCTAACTGCTTTTGCGTACTTAGCGACACGTTCCGCCCGACTCCGGCCATCATGCGGCAGTCGATATTCCTCCACAGGGGGTGGAGTCGACAGCACTACGTGTGTATTGTGTAGCTCTACTCCCTTGTAGCTGGCAACAGATCGCAAGTTCTCCTTAAAGTCGTGAACAGAACAGTGCTGGGGCTCACCAGGACTACAGGAGTCATTGGCACCAAATGCCACTATCAGGACCGCAACACGTGCGTTCGTTCGTGAGGGTGCGATGGCTGGGAAGAACGACGAAAGCAACACCAGGCCAGCTGCAGAGTTATACCCACCAAAGCCTCGGTTGAGAACATCAAGCCGCCGAGTGTAGTGCATAGAGAGCCTGGCCTGTAACTCAAACGCACCCTGGGTAATTGAGTCGCCGAAGAGAAGGATCTGTGGAGGCGGTGGGGTGGCAGCAGCGACAGCATTAACGTTTCTCTCATTCACATGAAGACTTCGTGACAACATGCTTGCATTCACCGTTGTCTTGGCGAGGTTGGATGGTTGAGTCGACATCAGTATAGCATGAAAGGCCAGGATAGTTGCTCGAGAAAGACGTCGAGATAGGGTGCGACAATGAATGCGAGCCCGGATCGAAGCATGCAAAGTCTGGGGACGAATATAGCTCGAGAAGATTTCCAGGTAAGAAAAACGCACAAGGCTCCTAAAAGCAGCATTCCAGGCGCGTTCTGACCAAAGCAATGTTCTGATCTGTGCAACACCTTGAAATCACTTATGTCAAACCCAGCGGACATTTCTGAGAACTACATGCCTGAGGCATCAAGGTAAGAAGACTCCGTTCCCAAAAGAGATCGGACCTCAAGGATCGTGCTACTTAGGGCTAGCCTGACGTTTTAGGGTTTGACATCTCGGAGCGAGAATGGTAAAACTTTCGAGGCTCATCTACCCGGGTGTCGTGAAAACAGCTACTGCTCCGGAGCCTGCATTGTCGGGAAGCCTTGATCGTGTTCCATTGTAATCGAATGACAACCTTTCGAGAGCTGTCAGAGTGCTGTCACGAGTACCACGCAGATTTGAGTGGAACTACCTCATGATCCAGCGATCTGGTTACCAAGTTTCAGTCGCCGCTCGCCATATCTGTCAGGCTGTATCTGCAAGGAGAAGCCGTGTTGTTACGATATACAGCGAAAGTCTGAGGACTCAAAAGTCGTCTTAGCGTCGCTATAGACGGTTGTTGTTGCCTAGCTCTACTCATGTTGTTAGGCCTACAAACGAGGCAGTCAGGCAGAAGATAACACCCCGAACGGGGTTTTGATCATCATATGGTATAGACATATCCTCTGCAATGATTTTACAGTCCTACATCGACCAGCCAGAGAGCTTTCATGTTCCTATAGAGAGTCTTCGCCACTCCAGTTTCTAGGTCTCCACTATACTACGAATCATTTTCCTCTGCGCATCACGTCTTACCCCGGATACAGGTGCTACAGTATGGTCGAACCATGACAGACTCGCACACGTGATGAATGACACAAGCGATGTCTTCTCTTTCAGTATGATATGTGGCCATTCGGAGCACCGACTTCGTCCTGCTCCACGTGCCGTTGAATTGTCCCGAATACGGAGTCTGTCTTGAAAAGGACAAGCGCCGGTTCCGCACCTGGCGGGGTCTTCCGGTGATTTGCATCGCCCCAGCTGTGCGGCACAAAACAAAGATCAGTCTAGACACACCAAACTGTCTTCAGTTAGGCTGATCAGCTGCACGATTGAACCTGAAGTATTGCGGAGCTGTCTGAAGTGTCCAGAGCCTTTTGTACGCCGACTCTGAAATGAGCCGCTGATCCCGGTACCGAATTGGTTAAGCTCACCTGGGTCTTCTAGCAAGTGTACATATGTTACAACATGCACACATTGCCTTTTCTGTCTCATCTTCTCCAGCTCTACCATTTTCCCCGGATTCATATCTACTGCGCGTGCTATGGAGAAAGACCACGCTATGGAGAAAGAAACAGCGACCACTCAAACGACTGAGCACGTCGACAAAGTGCCGAACGCTAGCTCTGTTGGAGCAAAAGAAACTCGCGTACTCAACGTTGCCTACAGCGATGCCATTGCCAAAGACAATCAGTCCCCATGGGCTGCTACCATGCTCAAGCTTTACGCAGTAAGTTCAGCCAGCTCCTCGTCATGGACCGTGGATATTAACAGATCGACAGATCGTTGCACTTGTCACTATGAGTACGAGCAAGCCCCCGAAAAGTCCTAGCACCAGAACTAACATGATCAGATAACTGTGGTAACGGCTTCGATGGCACCATCATGTCATCTGTCAATGCTATGGATCCTTTCCATGACTATTTTGGCACCTCGATGCAGGGCGCTTCAATCGGTGCTGTCTTTGCCTTGTACAATGTTGGTCAGATAGTCGGTTGCTTCGTGGCAGCCCCTGCCTCTGATGGTCTGGGTCGTCGCAAAGCTATGGCTTGTGGTTCAGTGTTTCTTATCATCGGTGCGGTCATACAAGCTGCAGCCATGAATATCGGCACCTTCATGGCAGGGCGCTTCTTCCTGGGATTCGGCTGCACTCTCTCGATGACAGCTGCTCCTATTTATCTTGTGGAATTCGCTTATCCTTCGTGGCGCGGCGCGCTCTCTGGCCTATACAATGTCTTCGGATGGTATATTGGGTCCTTAGGTGAGTTTTAGACGGCCAAAGTAGCGGCTCAACTGACAATTTGCAGCATCCACCTGGACCGCTTATGGCACTGGTCGACTCACCACCAACTGGTCCTGGAGAATTCCTATCATGATCCAGATCGTGCCAGCCCTCATCGTGTTGTGCTTTGTCTGGTTTATCCCCGAAAGTCCACGCTGGCTGACCCTCCATGGCAAGTCTGACGAAGCACGCGCGGTCCTCATCAAATACCACGGCGCTGGTAATCCCGACTCGGCCGTCGTAAATCTAGAAATCGATGAGATGCACGAACAAATCAACACTCAAGCTGAGATTGAGGCTGGGCAAAAGTGGTGGGATTACCGCATGCTCGTCAATAACAAAGAGAACCTATACAGGATGTACTTGGTATTTTTGGTTGCTGTATTCAGCCAGTTTATCGGCGGCTCAGTCATCACTTATTTTTTGCCAGTGATTCTAGAGAATGTCGGCATCACAAGCTCGTCCCAGCAGCTGCTCTTGAACGGGGTCAACGTCATCTTTGGGTTCCTCAGCGGCACGGCTGGATCGTTCTGCGTTGAAAGTTTTGGGAGACGTCAATTGTTCCTTTGGGGTAAGTGACTCGCAATTGGCTCATGCAATGACTGACTCTTTTTCCAGGTACCTTCTTGACAGGCATAGTCTACATCCCCATTAATGTGATTGCTGCCAAAGCCGATGGCCATGTTAGCACGGCGGCCGGGTATGCCTTCATTGCCATGATCTTCCTCTACGGAATCATTTGGTCCTTCTGCTGGACTCCACTGCAAGCCCTGTATCCTACCGAAGTTTTGCGCACCGACATTCGCGCCAAAGGCATGGCTACATCGAGCCTTTTCAGCGGTGTCTCGGGTTTCATAAATACCTATGCCACACCGGTGGCTCTGCAAAACATAGGGTGGAGAACTTACACCGTCTTTTTGGTTCTTCATTTTGTGCAGTGGGGACTGATGTGGCAGGCAATTGTTGAAACCAAGGGACGTTCTCTTGAAGAGCTTGATGAGATTTTTAAGGCGGCTAAGCCGGTCAAGGCGTCCATGAAACGTCATGAAGTCATCATCCATTCGGGTATTGGTATCACCACCGATCGTGGAGAGACGGATGCTTGATTCTGCTGTTATACCTCTCTGCTGATCTAGACATCGAGCTGTCTAATTCGGAGCACAGGATAGATATCTGTCAGCGAGGAGCGATGATGAATCGGTCAACACATACATAGCGCGCTCATGAACACAGCTCTACGCTGCAAATTCTGTTATATTTTTGATTTCAAATCGATCATGTTCACAAATGCTAGCCTCCACTCCTCTTCAGCAAGGTTCTCCTCTTCAGTGATGAGTTAGCGGAGCGATCGACATGTATCAGAGGTCTCCTAATCATGCTCATGCTTGTAGATATTCCGCAGGGGTCGGAGTCAGCTCTCCTTACGACCAAATCATTGAGTAGATATCATAAAATCACAAGAACGCGGACCAAAGCAGCGAGATTCTAATGCAGAATAACACTGGGTTCTCCGCAAGATTACGGGAAACACAACGGAGGTTATTGCTAGAAATTGGCTCGAACCAGTATGAAGCGTTATGGTTGACATGAAACACGAATGTGTGAGGCTAAAGCTCACTTAGGAGCGCCGAGCAGGATGAGATCAATCTGTCGATACGTTTAGTAACTAAAGTGTCCATGTGTCGAACATTTTCTTACGTCTTGAAATTGTCAGGACATCGCCAGATGCCTCTCCTATATGAGGTCTGCCTTGTCCGCCTTGGTCATAGCTCGAAAAAAAACGATAAGGTGGCTGTGTACGAAAACCTCAGCACGTATTGATATACCGAATGATGGTGTCTGTAGTATATTTTACTGGATCTTAGTCCTACGATCTCGGTTATGGTGAGCAGAACATGTAAACGGGAGCTGTTTTGAGTCATCGTCCCGTCTCGATATCGGTCAAGACAGCAAATCCAAGTGCTGTTCGCACCGGAATAGGTACAGCTCACAGAGCCTCTAGCCTCGTTGACTGGTGTTTCATAAGACTGATTGCAGTGGCAGATCAACGTACGTACAGTGTAGAGATCCCGGTCCGAGCTTAATTCGGTTAGTCCGGAGACCAGCCAGACACCCACCATCTTGGCAGTGATCTGCAATGCAGCCAATATCGCGAATGACGCGAACCATACTGTACAACATGCGGATCATCCAGATTCACCCCGTTACCCCGTGGAGTCATGGGTCAATCTATTCTCGGTATTTTACGCACTCTTCCACGACCTTGCGATCCGAATGCAGCACGGTCCCGATGGTAGCATCTCTGATGCATGTATAAGATTCACAAAAGCGCGACAGTGAAGATGGCACGCCACGATCAGATCATTCGTCTTACCATATGAGAGTGGTCCTGGACCCAGTTCCTTGGCTGTTACGATGTTACGAACGAGTTTGACCCTCCTCGCAGCGTCCGCGATTGCTACAGCTCTGCCACAGGCTGTGCCTGCAACGTCTACCAGCTCTGCTCCAGTTTTTGAGATCGACGGCGCAAAGCAGTACTTCGCGGGCACCAACACCTGGTGGCTAAGTCACATCTTATCTGACGATGACGTCGATCGTGCTTTAGCAGAGATCGCTGCCAGTGATTTGAAGGTGACCCGTGTATGGGGGTTTGGAAACACCAACAACGGAGTGGATCAGCCTGTCTACTTCCAGTATCTCGACAATACCACTATGACGATTACCATCAACGAAGGTGCAAACGGCATTCCAAGATTGGATTCTGTTGTTCGTTCAGCAGAGAAGCATGGGGTCCAGCTGGTCCTCCCTATGTTGAACAACTGGGATGATCTCGGCGGCATCAACACATACTGCAACTACTTTGGTTGCAACAAGACCACCTTCTGGACTGATCCTGGTGCACAAGAAGCTTACAAGAATTACGTGAGCTTTATCGTTCAGCGATACAAGGACTCTCCTGCTATCTTCTCCTGGCAATTGGCGAATGAGCCTCGTTGCCCGAACTGCTCTACCAGTGTTATCACAAAATGGGCGCACGACGTGTCACGCTTGATAAAATCGTTGGATCCAAACACCCGCGTCAGTCTTGGAGATGAGGGCTGGCTTTGCGGAGGTGAAGACTACGCATACAGCTGCATCGAAGGAATCGATTTTGAGGCCAACCTGAATATTCCTACGCTCGACTACGGCACTGTACACATGTACTATGATCAGTGGGGCTACACATCTGACTGGGGCAACAAATGGATTACAGGTAAATTTCATTTATAAACCACCACAATGTTCTCATGCTTACCCGTATCTACAGACCATGCCGCGTTGGCCAAAAAGCACGGCAAACCCATCGTTATGGAGGAGTATGGTGTGAAATCCACAGTCTCAAATCAGACTGAGATCCTCCAGCAATGGCACCAGACCATCCTTGATACTGATATTGCGTACGATAGTTTCTGGCAATTCGCGACTGACTTGACCGACCGTGACCCATATGACGATTATGCTATCTATTACGGGACTGAGTTATACAATCGGGTTGTGATTCCGCATTCCAAGGCGATGTTAGCAAAACTGATCTAGGCATTGAGGAACAGGCCCTATGTAGCATAGGAATTGACGTATCTAGCAGGACCCTACGACTATGGAAAAGGTTGTATACAGGCACAGACCAGGGCTTCGTAATACAAAACCTGTGAACCATATCACAACGCGCGCAGTACTTCCTGCTATGGGACTGCTCTCTTATGCTATGGCTATACTGTACAATTCTACGAAAGGTCAGAATGCAGAGCAATCTCGTTGGCTACATTTCATACCTGTTCATCTATCAGCAAGTAATGTCCGGGCCGGAAAGTTTCGGGGCACAGTTCCCCAGTCTTTTCGTATGCCCCACGATTTTGCCTCATCGTTGGCACGAAGACACTAACCGCGGGATCCTTTTCATAGACATCGAAGAGATCGACCAATCATTCTCTGATACCGTCAAAAACTCATTGTACATTGGGGCCGATTAACACAAGAAGCCAGCATATTCGAAATTGCAGGGCGCTGCTCAGCGTGCTTTAGCGGATGGCTACAACTACATCTGCGCCCGACTCATCCGTTGTGCTACACTGATTAAATTTAGCGATATCATGCCAGTCACCACGTTGACTTCGATACTTGATATGCCAGATATCATTTTTGCAAGACTGAACTCGTCCTTCCGTCCGATAGCCTTCCACTTAGAAGAGCAGAAGACCAAATTGCGTGGCGCTAAAGGCTCTCGAAGTGTCCACCTTCGCTTCTACCACTGTCTACCAGCAAATTGAGTATTGCCTTGCTCAGTTGCAATGTCGTGAGTCGCACAATCGGCAAGGTATACGTAGCACGATTCAGAGGCACTGTACCATTCAAACATCGAATTTATGACTTCGGAAAGCTCAGCACTGCTGCTTTTATCGACACAACATGTGCCCACCGCTGACCGGACGACGTCCAGAACCGAGGACATGGGCTACTCTTTGATGGGCATTTTCTCGGTCAACATGCCTCTGCTGTATGGAGAAGGTAGAAAAGTCTTTTTGAGGCTGCAAAGGGAGATCATGAATGAATCTGATGACGAGGCAATCTTTGCATGGGCAGACGAAGGACTCCAGTCATTGTCCGGCCGCGGCGACGCTCACATTCTCAGTGGGTTGCTTGCCTCACATCCATCAGCGTTCCGCTCGTCTCGCAGCATTGTTCAGTACCACGCTCTTGAGCATGAGGTACCTTTTACTGTGACAAACAATGAGTTAATGATCTCGCTTCAACTCAAGGATGCTGGTGATAGCTTGTTCGTTGCAAGGCTGCACTGTATGGATCTGAGTAGCAACACTCAAGTTGGCATATATCTCAAAAGAATTTCGACATCGACCGCTCAATATGCCCGCGTCAAGGCTTCTGAATTGCCTTCTATCGAATCGTATGTACGAACAGATGGTGTGCCAATCTATGTAAAACAGCATCACGAACAGACTCCTGCTTACAATCAGCTTACCAAGGCACAGATGAAGATACGGTTGATCCGAGTCTTACCAACAGAGGACCAGTCCATCATCAAGCTCCAACTGTCAAATGCAGCTCTCCGAACCGCCGAGTATACAGCGTTGTCTTATGAGTGGGGTTCTGATAGACAATATCACGATATCTGGCTCAACAGTGATAAAGTAAAGATCCCGCAGAACGTATACGTGTTCCTGCAGTACAAACGCTCCGAAGGCACAAATACCTTTTTCTGGATAGATGCGATATGTATACTCCAGCACGACCTGCAGGAAAAACACCACCAAGTCAAGTTTATGCCGGAGATATATCGACAGGCTTCACAGGTTTTAGTGCTACTGGATGGAGTCGCTCTCTTCGAGACTGGAAAAGACAGCGAAGTTGGGCGTTCTTCACCAGACTCGAGTGTACCCGGTACTATACAACTGCAAGCCGGTGCTGGGAGACAAAGCTCGCAACAGTACTAGCATAAGCCTGGACTTGCTGACAACATAGCTGTACTCGAAGAAATAGCGCAACACAAATATTCGACGCGTGGGTGGCTCGTACAAGAACTTCTGTTGGCTCGTGAGATAAGATTGCAACTAGGTTCATGGACTGTTCCTCTATCATCGTTTGCAAAAACGTATTTCGCGAATATTCCAACGATGAAAGACCGTGGCCTTTACGAAGTTCCCGTGTCCCAGCATATGGAGACGTTGCTGCACCTTGCAAGATCCACCCAACGTTCAGGTCACCACTGGAATGAGCTCTTGCGAATCAGGTTTGAGGACTTACTTGAAAGCTGCCAACACTATCAATCTGGAGACCCTCGCGATCGAGTCTACGCCTTGGTCCACATCAGCAACCTCGGTCCAAGTCTTCGTGTCAATTACGCAGAATCGGCGAGAGATCTTTTATTTCGCGTTGTACCTGCGCGTGGCAATCGTCTAAAAAGCAACACCATATCACTTCTTGAGCAAACACTGGACTTGCATCTCAACGACAACGACCTTCAAGACTTGCGAAAGATTATACCAGTGGCCTGTGGGAATGTCCTCCAGGAACAAAAGACATCAATGCGAGATCTCACTGCAAATGTCAGACAACCACAGCAATGACATATTGAATCGCTACAGTCCTACATTCGTTCTTTCTTTGACAGAGGAAACGAAAGCAAACCGCGTAACTAGTCCAATAATACTTAACACGTCGTTTCTCCGAACGAGCTACCACCATCAGAGAATATCGTGATCATAGTAGTGGTGACAGTAATAAATAGCTCGGAACGACTAAGGTAAAAGTCACTCGCCCGACAATCAACGACACAGCCATCCTCACTCGAACGTTTTCGCTCCCCGACCTTCGATGGTACGCTATCTTCATCTAGCAATCGTGTAGCAGAGTCTCTTTTCTCGATGTTCATGTGCTTGTCAAAGAGGGTACACCTTGAGATACTGACTATGATCAGAGGCATTCCACTAATGATCGTGTTCTGGTCTTCGTCGAGTTTTGACCATTTCCCATACACTAACTCGCTTCATTCGGTTCATTTCTGGAGTGCGACTCGCAAAACTCTTGAGCCGGCAAGATCAACCTCAAGGCGTAGCTACCATCAATGAGCCGGAGATGTTGAGGTCTCCACTTCCGGCGAGTAGGAAACGATGCACTTTTTATTGGTTTTCCGTGTCACTTTCTGCTTCAATAGATCAACGAATACAGGCTAAGAGGGTGCTACTACAATCGTATCATCATGCTAATTTCCGCCCACAAATTCTAATCTTCTACCTATACAATCGAATTGGAGTAAAGAGGAAAGAAGTAAAGTCGAAGGATACGTAAATCGAACGGAAGATGATCACCTCTTTCTCGCAGTTGCTCTGCATGCGGCTCGGGCAGCTTCTGCTTCAGTCCGCCTGTCGCAACGTCCATGCATATAATGACCAGAACACCGTTCGCTCACTTGCTTTATGCATCACATCTCAGTGGTGTTGCGAAATGAAATGAAAGATATCCGATTTTGTGTTCTTGTTTTCCTCCATCCTGCCACGCTCAGCCAATCACAAGCCTCGGACCTCTCTTCTTGGGCGCTGTCCCTCGTGGCGTTCCCCTGGTAGGACCATTCATCTTCCTCCTTTCGTACTATCGATATTCTGAGTCTGCTCTTGCCTTTCTTCGTCGGAAAAGATCTTGTATCTTCTTGACCGCTCCTGTCCCACCACTATTTCCACCATGTCCATCATAGGCATCATTGAAGCGGCGTGGTTTTGTGAGCCTGGAACCTTGCATGGACGGCCGGGAATGTCCATGACTGGTGTTGTTCTCATTGAAGTAGGCGAAGTGCTGGCTAGACTCCCACTGGTTTTCGGGCAATGTCGGACGTTGCGGTTGTGCTTGTGACTGAGGTTGAGGTGGGAGTTGTTGTGAGGTTTGGGATGGGTTTTGGTAAACACCTGTGCTACCGTAGACATCGCCGGTCGATTGTTGCGGTCTGTGGCCATATGCAGGATTGGGATTATATGAAGGATTTTGAGGCTGAGGTTGGGATTGTGCAGGTCGGGAGAAATTGAAATTTCGACGATCGCGATCCTGTTGACCATCGGTCGTGCTTGCACCACCTGCTGTTGTATAGTCGTCCATAGTAGTTACAGGCCGAGAATACTGACCTTGCTCGGGAGTATAGGCCCTTGGACTTTCGGCATAGGTGTCGGTCTTCTTCAAGCCCATGGCTTGGAGCAGGGAGAAGCGTCGGGCTCCAGGGGATATTTTCTCGACGTCATCTTCTTGCAGTTCCTGAGACTCTTTCCTGCGGAAACCTAAAGAGAACGACCGTTTACTATCCGTGCTCTTTCTAGGCTGTGTCTGTGGTTTTGGGTCCTCATTCGCTGGTATTGAGGTCTTCATGGCTGTAGGAGGATACTTCCTGCCAGTCTTTTGTCGCGACTCATCACGCTCTTTCTTGATGACAGAATTAGATCGACCGAAGAGTTTCTCCCCTAAGCTGCTCAACGTGCTTGATCTCCTGTGATGGGTTTTCTGTGGTTGTGAAGGTGGACCCATGTTCTGCTCCGCCATAGATTGTCCTATCGAGTTGGAGGTGCCATGCTGGTATTGTGGTGAAGAGATATTGTAGTTGCGGATATTTTTCTGCGGTGCGGGCTGAGTCACCTTGCCTTGAGCGGTGGTAGTTTGCACTGAAGGTGCAACTGGTTGGCCGTACGAACCTCTCGATGGCAGTCGCAGATCTGATCTCGTGGGACCACTGGCTGAAGTCATCGACCCTTGAGTAGAAGGTCGGGTCGTCCATTGACCAGGTTGTTGAGCAGAAGATATGATTGCGCCAGGACCTTCCGAAGTGGATCGAGGCATATGAACAGGTCTGGTTGGCTGCTGGGCTGTGCTTTGAGTAGTGGCCATGTGTGTATTGCCCGTAGCAGGTCTTGGCTGATCAATCGGCGCTTGTGGGAGAGGTTTGGAGGTACTGGTTGGTATCGCGGAAACGGCTTGTGCTACGGTAGTCGTTCTTTGAATGGCCTCTGGAGCAGTACGTTCTGTGTGTTGTCTTGGGGCGACATATTCGGCTTGGAGAGTGTGTCTAATAGGTATGCGCTCTCTTCTTGGTTCGTCGCCGATAGCTTCTTGAGCAGTCCGTTGAGGATCATGTCGAGGTGTGGTAGAGGCAGGTACACGAACTGAAGTGCTTCGAGCCAGTGTGGCTTCTTCATCTAGTAGAGTCAGCGGAAGAGAAGACCTATAGGAGAGAATATGGTTACCTTCAGAACGAATGGTGCTGTTGGCGATGTCAGCAATATTGGTGGTACTGCTAGTAATATGAGCCACCACATGGTGATATTCAGTCAACCAGCTATGTCGAGCAACTTCGAAGAGATCGGCTCTTTTGCGTGGGTCGGGTACCAGGATTCGTCGCAAGAGGTCCCTTGCATGAGGTGTCACATACTCGGGAAAAGTGAGAGGAGTGGATGTGATATATTTGTACAGGAGATTGATATTATCGCCCTCGGGATTTGCTGGATCGTCGTCGAACGGTAGATAACCGGCTAACATGGCGTATAGAATGACACCACAACTCCAGACATCGACTTTGCGACCAGTGTAGAGAGAGTCGCTTACGACCAATTCTGGAGCAGCATAGCAGGGACTGCCACAGCTGGTCTGCATGAGATCGCCTTTCCTGTAGCCCTTTTCATTGAGTCGATCCAGCTTGTACTTCTTGACGAAGTCCTTGTTGGCGAGATTGTACTCGATCTCTGGGGAGAGATCATCTTTTGCGTCGAATGTGTTTGCGAAGCCGAAATCCGTAATTATAATGTTTTTGTTTTGGTCCAGTAATAGATTTTCCAGCTTCAAGTCTCGATGGACGATGCCCTTTTTGTGCAGGTAGCCTACACCAGAAACCAGCTGAGCAAACAATCGTCTAGCAGAAGGGTCTTTCAGGTAGCGTTGGTTGAGGATGTAATCGAATAATTCGCCGCCGGAAGCATACTCGAGAATGATACCGATATGCCTCTCAGTCTCGACCATCTCGTGCAGCTGAACAATATTCGGATGCTGCAGCTCGCGTAAGATGCTGATCTCGCGATAGATCTTGGGTAATCTTGTTGGATTTGTCGCGACAGATTCACGTCTAATCAACTTGATGGCGACTTGACTGCTCCCGTCTTTCTTCCAGCCGAGCTTGACCTTGCCAAATTCGCCCTCGCCTAGTGTTTGACCAAGGATGTAATCACCAAACTGAACCTCGCGTCTCTTCGACTTCGAGTAATCCTGTCTTTTTTGTGGTCCTCGGATCTCTTCGTTGTATGCTTCTTGAGTCAAACCCATAGCTCTTGCTTCTGGAGTTGGTTGCATTGGCTGAGCCTCCGCGATCCTCGCTCGCATTCGCTCTTCATCGACGATAGGGTCCGATACGACAACTCGATTCAGAACTTCACTGTTCTCGCGCATCATGCCAGGATGCTGTGGTTGTGTGGCTGGTGGAATTGGCGGATCTCGGCGACGGGAGGATGCAGGAGTTGTCGCATCATCTCGAGATCGATCCGCGTAATCTCCGTTGTACTCAGCTTCCTGTCTCGCTGATCGAGAGGTTGGCGTTTGAGCTGGTGAGCGAGCTGAGGTCGTCCGCGGCGGTACGTAGGGTTGCCCGCTATGTTGATCTCTTGGTTTGGAATGTATCGGTAGCGTGGTTGGCTGGCCTTGGGCATAATCGGCCGAATCTACCGTGTTGTATTGTTGCTGAGCTCTCCTAGAGTCGCGCGCCTGTTGACTGCTAATAGCATAGACATTGTGATTGGCTATCTGATTCTCATCTGTCTGCTGGAGATAGTGTCCAGTGGAGGAAGGTGAAGAGGTTGATATCGGGGCATGGACATGCTGATGGGCAGCTTGCATGGCACTGGCAGACATAGCCGCCGATGGCCAGACGCAAAGTCACACGCAGCAGAAGGGGACTCGGAAATGGTCCAAGCTTGAACAAAGAATCTATCGCATTCGGTAGTTTATTGACTCTGGTTGGGCGCGTAGTGCTGGCTTAACGCGGTCGAGTATAGGTACAGTCCTCTAGGAGTACAGAAACTGTAAGATGCGCCTGAATAAGCTGACGACGATAAAGGTGTGATTGAGTTAGAGGTGCAGAGTGAGACGTGTTGACAACAACCGAGAAGCGCGGCGGTGAGATGTGAGATGCAGCGTTCAAGATTCCCGCCGTATCCAGCGCACTCGAGGCAGGTGCGGCAAGCGTCGAACTAAAAGGATGATCACTACCCAGTAACAGGTGGCTGGGATCAGGAATTATTGCTGTAATTGGTAGGAAATCACATCGGCGGAGTTGCCTCGGACGCTACGAACCAAGATAAAGTTGATAGCTCAAGATATGGTGTTTAAACATAATTCGTAGATTGCTTGCGTAGATTCGAATGTAACAGCAATGGTAGTCGTCATTAAGTGCTGTGTAACTTCTCTGCTGGAAGAAGCACCGCCTCAGCGAGTGCTCGTCCGCTCCTTCCTGCTGGTGATTCTACTTGGTTGCCCTGCTGGCTCCAGCGACAACACATCGACCCAAGACGACTAGCAGGCTCAAACACGTGCTATTCCCGCCTAAACGTGTGCTATTGGACGCTAAGAATCCACTACCTTTGCTGGCACAAATGCTTCAGCAATTCCCCGAAGTCATTACAGTTGTCCACAGGGTATCATCTGATGCAAGGCTTCTAATTGACAGGTCTTGTCTCACACAATACCTGAAACCAGTGGTGTATCTGTCCACTAGCCAAAAAATACACGACTGCAATCTCGAGTTATTACCTATCTGGCTGAAAATGTAGTGCATGGAGTACGAATCTCCGACTTCGCGGGCATCCACTTACAGACCTCCGAAGCACGTGCATTTGAGGGTGAAGTGCATGGCTATGCTCCACGATTCGTCTTTGTATCCGGGCATGTTGATGGGGTGGCCGATATCTTGAGTCTGTGGTATACAAAATCGACAACACTGCAGCACATTGTCGGTAGGTGCAAGCAGGACGGCTGAGTCCTCCCACGCACCTGACTGGCTCTTGTACGGAGTACTCGTCAAATCGTAATGGCCCCGGCGACTTCTGCGGCGATCACCCTTTTGGCTGGCCGATTGCTTGGTCGCCTCTCCTTGCTCCTGCTTATTGTTGCTACTCCACAAACACCACCCATCATTACGTCTAGCTGAAGGGTTCCTCTCACGCTCCTCTGCGTTGTCGGGACATAACGCTACATATCCGCTCATCCTCGCACGGAGGGAGCTGTCTCATGCGTAGATATTACTCTTCCGACCACAAAAGGGCATGCCCACAACATGATCCACTCACAAGACTCGTTCCGCGGTGAAAACAGTCTTGCTGAGAGAGTAGGCACAGTACTTTGAGGCGGATACGGCAGGGGAATGGCGTCCAGATTGACTAAGGGGGAATCTGTGCATTGGGCATAGGTGTGAGCCTGCTGTCGTCGACCTGACACGTACGGAACACTGTCACTTCCAAGCTGTCCTCGAAGAGTACCTACGCATGCATCTTGACAAGTTTGTTCGTGCTCAATATCGAGATTCGCTGCTCAGATCCATGTAGAGCTGCATGCTGGGAGACTAGACGCGCGACGCGTCGATCCTGACACGACTTCCACGCGTCCCAGAACAGCTTAGCTTCGATTCGTCATGCAAGCTGGTGTGGGAGAGTCTGCTTCTGCACGCTGATGCCATCACAGCGACACTGATTAATTTCCCTCCTTCATCCAAGCTGGTTGACGATCCAGTCTATACCATTATACGTCAGTATACCTGGAACCTCGTTCGTTGCCTTGCGAGAATAATCGGAGACAACGTTTGAGACACGTCGATTGTCACAAACATACCATGGCATCTTCATCTTTCTCAAAGCTACCACCTACGACCTCTTCCTCAATAAAGCCTTTTACCATTACCTTCCCTGAATCTGATCTTCAGCAGCTTCAGGACTTCCTGAAGCTCACGCCACTACCTTCGCAAAGCTACGAAAATTCTCTTCCAAACGGCGATCGTCACCTTGGCTTGCGCCTGGACTGGTTATCCCAAGCCAAGAAGAAGTGGGAGACAGACTTTGACTGGCGGCAAGTCGAAGGTCATCTGAACTCATTTCCCAATTTCAAAGCTCAAGTAGACGACAAGCTCGGCACGTTCAGTATTCACTTCGCCGCTCTTTTCTCCGCAAAGCCAAACGCAATTCCTGTTCTCATGCTTCATGGATGGCCAGGTAATTTTACAGAATTCTTCGGTATTCTCGCCCTTCTACGAGAACGCTATACACCAGAAACACTTCCTTATCATGTCGTAATTCCTTCCTTACCAGGTTATACCTTCTCGACTCTTCCATCTTCACTGTTGACAGACTTTGACGCCGCCGACTGCGCGCGCGTTCTTGATACCTTGGTCACATCCGTCCTCAGCTTTCCTGCCTATGTCGTCCAAGGCGGCGACGTTGGATCGCGTGTCGCTCGTGTGATGGGAGCCAAGCACTCAGCCTGCATAGCTGTGCACTTGAATATGTGCTCCATGAGTCAACCACCTGACACCAGGATCAGACATCCTGATTCCGAGGCTGAGAAACAAGGTCTCAGACGTCTAGAGGAATGGAAAGCAACTGGTACGGCTTATGCTATGGAACATGCAACAAGGCCGGCTACCATTGGTGCTGTGCTTGCAAGCAATCCTGTCGCACTTCTGGCGTGGATTGGCGAGAAGTTTCTGGACTGGACCGACAAGGATCCAACGATCCAGACAATTCTCGAGCACGTCACGTTGTACTGGCTGACAAAGTGCATGCATACTAACCTCTGGTCATATCGTCATGTAAGTTTCTGCCCTTCCTAACCTCTTTTGTGTCTTTCGTACTGCTTGCTTTTATCCGACTGCATTTAATTAGACTCTTGAACGCTTCCACTCACTGCCTTTCGTCTGCTCGCCCACTGACATAAGCCTTCCATTCTCCTCAGTCCTACGGCCCAGCTGCGAAACCACACGACCATCCTGACTGGCATCTCAAAAAACCTCTCGGATACAGCTATTTTCCGAAAGAACTCATTCCTATACCTGTAGCTTGGGTCGCGACGACTGGCAACCTGGTTCAAAGCGCAGTACATGAAACGGGAGGACATTTTGCGGCCATGGAGGAACCAGAAGCGCTATTGAAAGATGTGGAGGAATTTGTGAATTTGGTATGGAGAAGGGAAACGGGACTATGACTCAGCTCGATTCATCGCGTATGAACAGGTACAGTCTACAGTAATTTAGTGCCCATGTCACGATGAAAAATGATTATAGCTCTTTTATCAAGGTTTTTGGTCGTGCCCTAACCTGCTGTTGGTCTTGGGTAACTCAATCTGGCTTTGCATACCCGAGCCTTTTTATGCTACTTCGGAGTCTATGGACATTCAGGGGACAAATGTAGACTCTACAAACTGGATACCAAGAAAAGGGGTTCAGGTGGAATAGGAGAAAGTTTCCGGCTATGCACGTCAGAAATATCCACGTGCTCGTGTTGTCGTCCAATCCCGAAACTCAAAGCCAGTTCAGAATGCCGATACTTGAGCTCATGTAAATCCATCAAGCGGTCAGTATACCCTTTGTCCAATAGTTTTTGACGGGCTGAAGATGCAGCCAGCCCTACGATTGTGCTTACCACTGCTTCACAAAGCTTGAGTTCAGCCGCAATCTTGGACGCCTGAAATGCTGACGTTAAAGTTTCAGCTTGTAGACGCCGAAACTCTCAATACCGGATGAAACGACCTCTGGAAAGCTCGCCATAAATGGGTATAATGATGAGCGTCTTCAGTTGATGGTGCTCGTGGTCGACTTCGCTCTACACAAGTGGTACCTTGTATCAAGATTTTTGTCAGCGCATACCGTTCGCCCGTCACTTTACTGACATTGCAGGCACGATAACCAAGACCGGCAGAGATGGGTAACGAAAAATTGTTACTCCTGGCGAAAGTGGCAGGTCTTACGTCTTCCGGAATCTTTTCTGGTGAGTGACTTCTTGATCACAGCTCTTCTACACAATCTTCTTGAGCCAGGTATCTAAAAGCAAGATCGCCACTTCCCAATGCTTACTCAACCTGACTAGGCTACACGTGGGCACTATCGCGAGCTACTGTGCCTGCAATTGTCGAATATGGATCTGGTGACGAAGCAGTCATGCTAGCGCAATGGCGATATCAATATGTCGATGGTGCAGCATTTTCTCGGCCTTGCTGTCTGGTCAATGCATTGAGTTTTGGATATTTGGCATATCAAGGTAGGGCGCACCACAATGACTGTTATGGCAATCTTGGTTGTCGTGCTGAAGTCATACATGAGGTTGTTGTACTAATTCATGCTCGACTAGCTGGCAACGTGGTCACTCCTAATCTCAGAATACCCTTGCAATACCTGTACATCATCGCAGCCATCGCATCAGCCTCTGGTGTTCCATGGGCTCTCACCTTACTTCGTCGCACGAACGGTGCCCTCAGTATTCGCTCGAAACGTCTTGCAGGACCATACAACGACCCTATTAGTCAGCCATTGTGCATCACTTATGCTAGCCACGAGCAAGGCGCAATGAAAAGGGAGAGTGATGATCCAAAGTACAAGACTGCGAAAGCCCTGATCAACAGGTGGAAATGGCACAACGATTTGAGGACGGCCTTGTTGATTCTTGGAACCATTGTGGGTGCAATTGCTGTCGTGCTAGATCTCTGATGCGATAGCAGGACTTATAGACAGACCATGCATGACTTCTGCATAGCGTTCTTGTACCTTGTTCTATGATCGAGTTTGTCAAGCCTACTGTCAATTCCGTTGTGTTCCTTATTCTGGCCGTCATTTCGACGTACTAGGCACATATCTGCAGTGTCTCGTTCGGGACCGACTTCGTTGCAGTCATGAGTACGAGAGCCTGGTACAGTGCTGGATAGGTACGATCAGGTTGCTTGCCTTCTTGGCTGATTGGCACCATGGCGAAGTTCACCCGAAATTTCGGCCTAAATTTCGGCCTAAATTTTGGCATGGTATAGCAGGAAATCATAACATATATGAAGCACGACAGAGCACGAGCATAGTTGTTTCTGTTGGCATAACAAGGAACAACTTCAATAAATCCACGTATTGCTTCTGCCGCTAGAAACAGTATATCGAACATGTCTCAATTCGAACCAATACCAAAACCAACAACACCGCTCGGCTATCATCGCATCCTCTCCCCAACAGCAGCAGTAAAAGTCTCACCAATTTGTATTGGCGGCATATCCTTCGGCGAATCATGGTCCGCATCGTTCGGAAAATGCGAGCCTGCCGACGTCCTGTTGGATGCCTTTTTCGATCAAGGCGGTAACTTCATCGACACAAGCAATACTTACAACGCTGGTGAGTCTGAGGAACTTATCGGCAAATGGATGGAGGAACGAGGTAATCGTGACCAGATGGTTGTTGCGACGAAATACACCTCAGGATATCTGAAGCATGAATTGGCGTCCAAACCGTTCCAGACGAATTATGCTGGAAATAGTGCCAAGTCAATGCATGTCAGTGTGAGGGACAGTTTGAGAAAGCTTAGGACTGATTATATCGATATACTGTATGTGCATTGGTGGGACTTTGCAACGTCTGTTGAGGAAGTGATGACACATCTGCATAAGTATGTCATGTCAAATCAGGTACTCTATCTAGGAGTTTCCGATACTCCTGCGTGGGTCGTGGTCAAAGCCAATGCTTATGCGAGAGAAAAAGGTCTCACACCATTCTCTGTGTATCAAGGACGGTGGAACGCAGCATATCGTGACATGGAGTCGGAAATCATTCCTATGTGTGAAGATCAAGGTATGGCTATTGTGTCATGGGCATCACTTGGTGGAGGGCAGTTGCTTTCCTCGGAACAACGGCGACAACAGATAGAGGATCCGAATGCCCGACCAGCCTCATATGGCATCGATGAAGGTGATGAGGCAGTTTGTGATGCGATCGAGAAGATTGCGAACGAAAAGAAAGTCCCGTTCCAGGCCATCGCCCTCGCGTACCTCTTTGCCCAGTCTACATACGTCTGTCCGATCATGGGCGTTCAGACTGTCGATCACGTCAAATCCATGAATGACGCACTGAGAATCAGTCTTTCACCAGAAGAGGTCTCGTCAATTCACAAAGCGAAAACATTCAATCCGTTGTTTCCGACAAGTTTTCTGTTTGATTATGGTGGGGGTGGTAACAAGCCATATTCGACAAAAGTCACTGCTGCGGATACTGTGCAGTATCAGATGTGGGCACATATCGATGCGCCGCCGAAGCAGGGTTCTTATGTACCACATAGTGAGTTGTGATAGACACATCTGCTTGAAGGATAGAAGATACAGCTCAGAGTGTGAACGCTCGACAAAGACGACGCTATATCATACCAAATTCTACCAGCAAGATCACCAATACAAAAGTCCAGCAAGGTGTCAGTTCTTCAGTCCAATTTCTGAGCCTACGAAAGGTCTTAGGAAATCTATTACCTGCTTATGTATTAACCAACTTACAGCATGATGTAGTGGACTAGGATGCAATGCTGCTTTAATTCAAAGCCTCAGAAGGATGCTTGCTATTGTTAGTCAATTCGGTTCTCATATTCCAGCGTACTGATCTGAATACCGATATGTGCCGTACAAACATGCCATACTGTCTGAAGCCCTCTTCTCTGCCTGAAGTTCCAGGTTCTGACTGCCATGTCCCAAGAAGGCACTTCATTCTTGGCGTCTTTTTCCACCTTATTGCCTGAAAACATGTGAAGCAGAAGGTTCGGACCCTTGCTGGACCCTAATGCCTTGTGAGGGCGGATCTTGTCTGGCTATCGTGTTTAGAGTTTTGGAATTCGTGTTGCCTGATGACTGAGGAACATCATTGGTGCAGATATTTTGATCCTCAAATCGAGCATGTTAATTTTGAGGACATCGCGACGAGTGACTCATTGTACCATTTTTTTTGCGTTGATATGTGCTCGAAGATGTGACAAGACTTCACACAAAAGGCCTCATTATGCTGCCAATCATGACGAGCTTGATGGAAGATGGACGAAGGCGATGCGAACACTTAGGGCTGCTACTGATACCAGTTTACAGCTAGTGCCAGGTCCAGCTAAATCTGCAATCAGAGATAGTTGGTTGTGGCCTTAAGTCAGGATCAGAGCCAGATCGACTCCGTGGCAGATAGACATGTGTTTTCCTTCAGAAGGGAGTGACTTACTGTCCTCAAAATGCTGTGCATGGTTCCCAATCAGATCCTCGGAACTGGCTTCAAGAATCACGATGTCTGACCACTGTCTGAGCATATTGTGCTCACACGATAATTAGGCTATAGTTGATCGATGGGCAAATTTCGAATGTGCGAAGGGCATAAAGGCGCGCCTTTGCATCTGCTCTTCCTTGATTCTTCTTTCTTTCTTTCTTCCATGAGCGACGAGTACTATACTGAATTCTTTGCTAGTTGTCATCTCGGTGGCAGCGATTGAAGTCTTCTATATTGTATATCTTGCACCGCTCTTCGCCGCTTCAGTTCTCCCTTCCTGTCTACATTGCACCCTGTCGACAGGTCAAGATGGGTTGTTGCGGCAGCAAACCTGCTCGCCATGAAGTAAGTTCTCCCCCTCGCCCTCACCCCAGACCCTCCCCTCGACGCGAAGCCACACGCGCTAGCTACCATGAAGAGATCCAGGAGTCGCGTTCCCGCCGGCGACAGGGCTGGGAAATCGAGATGACGAGGCAGGAACGTCAGGAGAAGATGCCCTCTCACCAAAGGGGCTCCACACAACAGCGATCAGTGGAGGATCGTGCTGCCAAGCAGCAACAGCTCAAGGCGAAGAAGTCGGTACGGCACAGCCGGGTGCACGAGCAGAAGTCGACTGGGGGAACCGTGTCACAGAAATGTGATGGTCAGGAGCTCACACGAGAGCAGGAGAAGAGGGCGAGGGCGGAGTTTAGCAAGCGGCGGACCGTCACGCCCGAAGTGGAGGCGAGACGTGCCAGTGAGAAGGCAGCTCGTGTTGAACGACGGGCGGAACGCGAGGCGTTGGGCATCAGCACCAAGGGAGATTCAGTCACCTTGAAAGCGGCCTTGGCAGCTGAGCAAAGGCGGGAAGATGCAGCTCGAAGCGCTGCCCAAGCCGCTTTTAGGAATGCAGCCAATTCTGGCGCTCGTGAGGCTTCTGACGGTCGACAGAAGCGAGGCAAGGGTAAGAACACCCACTGATTGACGAGTCGAGTTGTTGTGATGTGCTGGGGTGTGTGTCCGAAGCGGGTTGTTGGTGTGCCTTGCGGTGGGAGAAGGGAATCTTTGAGGAACTGACCCTCTTGTTGTTTCGACTACCATGTTCGTGTCGTGCACGCATACCAGGTATCGAGGAATTCATGGTTGTTGGAGTGGGCGGTTAGCGTCGTTTGGAGGGATCGGGAGTGAGGTAAGGTGGACAAACTGATTGACTTGTGGGAATGCACCTCCATCACTAAATAACATACAGGATCCACAAGCTGGCAATCGAGGCAAGCCAAAAGTTGGAGGGTGTACATATCTTGCGAGCGAGGCAGGCGTGGCTTCGGATGGGTGAGCTGAGGGTCATGGACGCAGAGGAACCGGATTGCGACACGATGGATTTGGACGACTACGAAGCTGACAGAAAACAGAAAGGATGAGCATTGCTCACTGGCATTGGTTGTAGGAAGTCTGAGGCAGCAAGTACAATCTCTTATGGAAGGACCGCAGGGTACGGGGGGCGATCGTCGCCACAGCTCAGTTCTGGCTTCAGCTTTGGCGCTTGACTGCGTTGATGTCTTCGGCTCGCTGGGTAGGCTTCTTACCTTTCTCTCTGACACACTCCTTCTCTCTCTGCCTGGATGGACATGATTTGCTGCACACTGTGTTGGTCCCTTGACCTTACGGCTGACTAGGGCACGCCCTCGGCTTCGCTAGTCCAGGTACTGGTGATGACCCTCCGGTTGTTCAGACGAGCTTGCGGGATTAGGATGGCTGGCACTGTTGTGTCGTGGTTATGTTTATCTTGTGTACCGACGATTCGAACCGTATGGCCATAGCGGCCTTGAACCTGGTTTCCGTGGTCTCTATGGGAATTGTACTTGTTGCCGATGGTTTTCTGGGCTGGTGTTGGTGGTCCAAGTGGTGCTCATCTGAGTATGAATGTCAGCCTTCAGAAGTATCCAGGTCTTGCCGATTTTGGTCTGTCTGTGGTTCCACCTGTTTCTCTGACGCGGAAACCCTATCCAACTATTGATAGCTACATCTGGGTATCGCAAAGCGGACGTGTGGACGTGGGGATGGGTGGGCGTGTGTGTTGTGGCTTGTCGAGGTTGTCGGGGAGTGGACTGTGTGTGAAGGTGTTGGGGGGCCCTGCACAGGGAGACGGCTTCGCGTGGCCGCAGGGTGTCAGTAGTCGGCTGAGGTCGACGAAGCTGAGAGCTCCCAAATGAGATTGCGGTCTCTATTCTTGTTCCATCTTCTGCTTCGAGCAGAAAAGGCGCAGCTGCGTCTACTTCTTTTTCATCATCGTCCTTGCCTGAGGCATGGACATCGTGAAGGAGAATATGAGGAGTCTGGGACAGGAGGGTGTGCTACCTCTTCATGTGGACAGAGTGGTTTAATTCCGTCGAAATGAATATAGGATCGTGACGGTAGAAATGTTAGCAATAGAAGAGTCGAAAATTGTTATGTCCCGATCACGCCGAACGATGCTGGCTCCTTAGACTTTTCTGGGCGTGTCAATGCCTAAAGTAGTTTCTAAAACGCTTGTACTATGCCTACAGGATGCCGCCGAAGTCTCCCAGCACACCTCCAAATCACTTTTGAGACTTCTATCTCTCTTGTCAACTTCGCACTCTTGCTTGATCGGTATCAACACAATTATATGCTATGGTACAAAACGGTGAACAACTCGCTCGGAGGTGCGCGGATACGTCGGCGGTAATTCCGCTACAGTCAGAACAGTTGGATTACGGTGAACAATTCTTCAATCCAACATCATGCTCAGGATTCGCCCTCGCCTGACCTGCCATAATTAGTAGGTGGGCGATCGTTTCTTGTTCGACCCTCATGAGCACCTGGTCTTTTGGAGTGAACTTAGCATACTGTACGAGCGTATGTTCTTACAGAAGTGCCTTCCTACTGTAACGAGGCACAGGTCCACACTCTTTGGTTCTACCACCTCCGCTCGCAGGCGTATGCTCGGAGTGATTTGTGGCTATCATATTCTTGTAGGCGCATACATGGTAATAGGCTGCTGCAAGCTCTCTTAGATAAGATATATTAATATAAACAAACTGCAGACCACCTTGACTCGAACACCATCTGATTCTTTCCATAATCTGGCCTTTCTCCGTTCGTTCTATCAGGTATCACGTTACGGCAGCTTTTCTAGTACAGTAAGTCTGGCGAGCACTTGAAGCTTGGTGCCTTGACTACCTGAGGGTCGAACAGGTAGTGTTGCGTGTCAGGCGTGACGAGGCGAAATAAAATGGGTTCTATAATACATCACGAGCGCTGTCACAGAAGAAATGATTTTGCTTCTGCGGAGACGCGTCGAAAGAGATAAGTATAGTTCAGCTGAGTCGAAGCTCCGCCACCTTTTGCTCGAGATGAGCTAGCCATTTTTCGGATGACTGTCGGCTAGGATGAAGTTCGTCCAGGGCCTGCTTGTGAACACTAACCACTTCAGCCATTAAGCTCAGTGACTTTTCTCGCTTATCCAAGTAACAGAGGTAAATAGCTAAGTTGTACTGAGAGGCGAGTCGTGAAGGGTGATCTACTGCTAGTATCCGCTTCTCAATCTCGACTACCTCTTCGAGCAGTGTTACTGCTTCTCGGACCTGCCCGTTAGCTTTATATACCCTAGCGAGTTCGTGCTGGGAGGCGAGTCGTAAAGGATAGTCTACCGCTAGTATCGGCTTCTGAATCTCGACTACTTCTTCGAGTAGTGTTACTGCTTCTCTAACCTGCCCGTTAGCTTGATATACGCTGGCGAGTGCGTGCTGGGAGGCGAGTCGAGAAGGGTGGTCTACTGCTAGTGTCCGCTTCCTGATCTCGACCACCTCTGCGAGCACTGTTACTGCTTCTTGTATTCTACCGTGACGTTGAGAGGCCTGGCCAGCTAAATGGTACAGACCGATCCATGCCTGCTCGACCTGGAGCCGCTCCAGTCCCAGGCTGGCGAACAGTGCTTGCAGCAGCGCGTAGAGCTTCGTATCAGCACGCTGTTCGAGCAGATACCACCCGCAATGAGCCAGCATTCTCGCTACTAACGTCGGGGGACCGGTTGATACAACGCTACCAATAGGCCAGCCAACCAGCGCTTCTATGTGAGGTTGTACTCGACGTTTTTGGTCATTGGTCATGTCAAGGTAAGCTAAGACAACTGCTGCTAGACAACCAATCTGCAGCCAGGCTTGCTGCTGGTCATGCTGACTCTGCCGATCACGCGCCCAGGCATGGACCAGAGCGTGAAGAGACACGTACATTGAGTCACTTTGCACATCGGTCGAGACTAGCGAGAAGGCTTTGAGGAGATTGACTGCCTCCACGAGTCGATACGCGTCCCATGTCTCGCCAGCCGTGTCGCAGATAGCAGGCAGATGAGCGACATGCCAGGGTGTGAGGAGTTCGACTTCTTCGTCCTCCGTCTCGTCGTTCAAATCAGATGGCACTTTTTGGGCGCCTTGCCAGCCGGCCTCGAACAGGAACAGAGGAAAGTGACTCGGTCCACCCACGGCGAAGAGAGGCAGCAGCTGGAGGGCATCCTGACTGGCGGGCGTGTCCATCGCTCCCATCATCTCCACCGACACCTCAAAGGTTGCATACACGTCGCCGTAGCGCGATCGAGCTTGAGTCGGACGAAAAGTCAGTAGTCGTTGTCGCTGTTTCTCGTAGATTCGAGGATAGTCAGCCAGACTACAGTGACCACGCTTGACGTATGCACCAGCTTGCACCAAAGCTAAAGGGTGTGACTGAAGCAGTAGGGCCACTTTTCGAGCGTCCTCGGCGTATCGGCTGTGATGACTGGCTGAGATTTGGGCTGCTTTGAGAAGCAAATCCTGCGCCTCTCGTATGTTCAGTCCGGGAAGTTCAACACTCTGATCGGTAGCGTACTGCTGGCACTCCTGATTCCGGGAGGTCATCACGATCACCCCGTGTCGACTGTCGGGAAAGTAGTCGCGGTAGTCGGTCTCGGGGTCGTCGGCGTTGTCCAGGATGAGCAGCCATGGATGTGACAGATTGGTGATCGCATACAGGCTGTCTTCCCAGCTGTCAGCCGGAAGAGACAGTCGCTGCGCAGCTTTCAGAAATGACCGCTCGGCGATGTCCCTGGTGCTCACATCGATCCAGAGCACGGCCCAGAACCTGCGAGACTGGTTAGGGTATTGCTAGTCATACCGACTGGATACTTACACTGATCGCAGGCGTCGAGCAAGCTGCAAACAGACTTCACTCTTGCCTTGTTCCCCCATACCTGAGATCACGATCCGGCACTGATCGCGGTCCCAGGGACAGTAGACCGCATCGCGCGCCGTGTCCTCCAGCTCTTGCAGCAGCTCTTGTCGACCAGTGAATAGAGGGTTAGCGGTGCGAGGCACCATCCAGTGCACATTAGGGTGTGCTGTGGTTCCTAAACATCATTAGCTAAAATGCTAGACTTAATCCAGTACAATTCAGTTGAGTTGAGCTGGCCTTAACTCGGCCACTTCGCTTCCACAACGGGCACATTCTCACCTGATTCTTGCTGCATCTCTCTTTGTAGTCGACCAAATGCCTTCTTTTCTCCTTCGCCGTAGATCACTGGGATCGACACGTCGAAAATGCCAAGCAGACTGTAGGCCCGGTCTTCGGGCTTCTTCGTCTTGCGCCTGTCCGCCCATCGCATCCGCTCGCTCGTCGAAAACTGAGCCAGAGACGAACTGTGTAGCGCATCAACAGGAATGCCGGTGATCTGGTGGATTTGCCGGGCCAGTGTTGTCTTGTTACCCAACCAGGACCCCTCGCACGAGTAGAACTCGACAGTCTTCGGAGCTAGCAGTTCTTGGAGCGTCCAGCCACGGGTGAACCACTTGCTGGCGTGGAATTGCGGCCCCCAGAGAGGATACGCATCACCTCCAGAGCCTTGCTGTGGGCATGACACGTCCGGTAGATACACATAGCACTTGACCGCCTCCTGATACCAGCGATACATCGACGTGATGGCTTCTGATAGCTCGACGAGATTGGTCTTGTCGATACAACACGTGTCGACCCAAACGTGATTGATTCCATCTGTTCGTGCTTGTTCGGCACAGAACCGGATTTTCTCGTAGCCTGTCTTCTGTTGGCCTTTGGCGGTCTCAACCTCGGTGAAGGTCACTTCCTGGCTGTTGTCCTCGGCCCAGGTGTGGGAGAGAATGGCGTACGATGGTCTCTTGTCGTCGTCCAGGTTTGGAGTCAGGCCAATCGACTCCTGGTTGTTCCATCTGAGCAGTCGCATCGCTCAGAAGTGGCCGGACACTCGTTGTGTACTCGTGTTGACACTCAAGACACCACAATCAAGGCAGCTAGCTATAAGAGCTGCTCCGGCTTGGCGACGGCTTATGATGAACAGGTTTGGGGATGGAGATTACTCGATCAGGCCATGTACTGGGTGGTTAGGAGATGAGCCCGTGCGCAACAGCTTTCGTCCTGGACCAGTCATGATCACGCTCGTGAATGGCAGTGAACGATGCTGACAGCGTGCGAGCCATCAACGATACCTCGCTGACGAGACCGTGCAGGCATAGGCGCAGGTGCAGGCGCAGGCGCAGACGCTGGCGATCACAAAATGCACGAATCCTGATTGCACCAGTCTAGGCAGAAGGGATGCCACTTAAAACGGTAAACGGGCTCTGTTGGAATCAAACTAAATTTAGGCGCCAAGGTAAAAGCCAATCATGAGTGTTCCACCGACGACTCCAATCTTACTACCTCCATTTATTGTGGCTGTTTGACACGGGAAACACGTGGCACCAGTCCTCCAAGCCGAAGCGCCTTATCTCTTCCTCGCCCTTTTGTTGCTCACCCACCACATCTTGATGCTGTTTCCCTATGCATTCGGCGGTCCCTGTGATTCTTGAAGACGAACCTTGATCGTGAACCTCGTTCCGCTGCTTACCTGCGCCTTTTCCTGTATCTTTCCTATTGTGCGTGTCTCTGACCGAACCTTTACCTCTACTTTTGACAATGCGTCGTTCTTCTGCGGCCACGAGCTTAGCACAAGTCATCACTTCCGCCGTACCGGTAATGGTGGCGCCTACGGAGGTGCGCATGAGCCTGTCGTTGTTCTACGTAAAGAGCAGCTGGTTCTCGTCCAGCAGTAAGCTACGATCTACGAAGGCTTTTTCCACTGCATGGACTAGCTTCGTAAGACGAGCTTTACTAGGGTAATCGTAGCCGAGGTCTTCCTCAGTCTTCGTGTACAGATAGGCCAAGCTGGCTGTAGTGATCAGAGTACAGAGCAATACTTCAGACTATGTAGCAGGTGCTAGTGGCGCGTCGATGGTCTACACGATGACATCGTTGGTAGGCTGAGACTTTCTAGCCTCGTGTGAAACGCGGTTGGGGTTGAAGGGTACTAATCTGACTCTGGACCAGCTAGATTTATTTAATGTTCCGAGTGGTAAAGATGGCATAACGTGCACGCGCGTAGAGAAGGGAAAGGTGTGCTTTCGTGACTGTATTGGCACCGCCACGATACAATTGTTCTACTTGCTCGCGATAGGCCAGCTTAAGTGGTCCAAATAAGCCGACATCACAGGCTTGCAGCTTGTGCGAGGTGTGAGATGGCAGACGACGCAGGACGATGTTATGCTCGAAGCAGAACCTGAGCAACTCCAGCGACTCGTGGGTGCCAAAGCCATCGTTGAGCAAGACTCGTGGTCGACCCTGAGCTCGCTCACGAGTAGATGGGTCAAACACTTTCTACATCCAGTGCAAGCTGATCGCGGTATCTGTGTATCCTATTTTGGAACAGGGAAAATGCCATCCTAGCTGAGCATGCACCGTCCACGTGCTACAATAGGTATTCGCAGGCCAAATGATGAGTGGATCAAGAGCTCCGCCGTCAGCCGAGATGCACTCGATAGTGGTGATCATGGTTCGCTTAACTCCAGCTCCACGATGCTGGTGGGTGTCTCCATGCCGCACTAGCATCTTGAGCGCGCTTGACGCGCTTAATTGCGTGCCTGTTTCATCCATGTTGTATATATTCTCCGAGAGTACATCTTGCTTCTCTAACCATTTTCCAATCACGTCAAAACATGCTACCATCTTGTCATAGATATTGACATCGTGTCTCGCCCAGTCTAGCGGTCGTAATCGCTTGGCCTGCAGTTCTGGATGACGCTGGTAGGGGGCTCGTGGCCATTTCTTGCTGGGCGGACTGATCTCGGATGGTGCAGGAACCTTATCACTAGTTAAGATGCGGCGACGAGCGATGACCACGGCCAAGGTGCGTAAGGACTTGACTGGTAGAGAATAGCCTCGGTCAGCCATGCGGAGCACATACTCCAGCAGAGCCTTTTGTTCGCTCACACTGAGATGCTGCTGACGGGAGGCATTATCCTGCAGGGTCGGCTGACCTCGTCCATGGCGCCACAACTTCGATCGGCTCGGTCCCTGCAACTGAGGTTGGCTTGCATTTACTATGAATCTTCTAGCCGGCATCACTTCCGCTCAAGACGCAGATTGGGTGGCATCAAGTCATCTGATCAGAGGCTAGCACACTGCACAGACAAAGTACCACGTATCCTTACTTCGAGTGACCACTTCTTTGTTCTTAGCCCTTTCCGTAGAATCGCATCGAAGCTGTTTGTCGTTCTATCGCCATGACGGACTCTGTATGTTAGGTCTGGTACTCGGCCGAATCGGACATGCTCTCGAAGTACTCTTGACGTCCCTTTCTAACTCTCGGATGAGCCGTTTCCTCTGCGACTTTCATGGTGACTAGGGTCTTCAGGAAAGACCTGCCCATTCAACGTTAAATTCTTGGTTGATGACTGTCTTCGTCAAGGTAGATATGAGATACATTCGAGCATCAGCCTTGTTTACTCATTGACCACTTTAATCGCATCTTCGTGCCTCCTTGCACATTCGCCATCGGACATGACGAGCACCTTCCATGGTTGAGGGCTTTGTGGTTGACATAGCTGAACTTTGGTGCTGGCGCACGGCAGTAAACCCGCTTTCCGGTTACCACTCCTGCTCACATGTGAGGCTGTGCAAATAGCCTGGGCGAAATTGAGCAAATGCATCCATCAGTCGTCGGAACTGCCAGGCGAGCCTGTCGTTAGCAGCGGGATGACGCGAGAAATGCCAGTACTTCTGTGAGGATTCTTGAGCCATGATGGGCACCCCTATCAGTCGATCAAGATCTTGATTGACATTGGGTCAGCCTAAAGTATCGATCCAAATACTGACATCCAGAACGTTGCGATCGTCATGGTGTACGGAGTTGTCTTTCAACAGGATCACCTGTATTCAAGACGGCGAGTTTACGCCTGGCAGGCTGTGGTTTGCAGGCCTCTAGTGCATCGGTATGGTAACAGCAGGTGGTGCATTCTGTTGCAGCGAGCAGAATATGGGACGATGGATTTTGGCACTATCTCCTGTTGGTGCGTTGATTCGTGCGAGAGTAACAGTAGAAGGCAGGGAGCTCATGTCATAGCGTCGTTAGAATCTTAGTGAGGCAGCAGACGTCTCTGCCTGGTTCGTAGGTAACTGTGCTGGACAAGGCGATGGATGGATATCTAGTAGCAGGAACTCATGTGTTTGAGGATTGTAACACCTTTTTTGAAATTTCAGGCAAGAAGTGACTTGTGAAATTTCGATTCCGCAGCAGAAAATGGCGCTGGTAATATCTAACATACACGAGAGCGACTGTTATTTACCTCATACATCTTCTTCACCATCAACGTCATTTGCAGAAGGTTTTCCTTCAATCTTTAATTTCTCTTCTTGCTTGCGATATAGTCCTGCCAAGAAATCATTCGTGCTAGCCTCATCAATACTCTTGTCTTCTCTGACCTTCAAGAAGCGGGGAAATCTCATACTCAGCCCTCTATCCTCACTGACAAGGCCGATAGCGGCCGTGTAGACCGGACTCAACGTAATATCAGCAAATGCCATCTCCCAGACCTCTTGCGGCTCGAACCATACAGCAGGGTGACCACCACTGTACTCGATGTAGCTAGGTTTGGTTTTCGTAGTGTTCTCACCGTCCTCGGAATATTTCTCCTTGTTTTCCTTGTAGAACTTGTCGCTGAAACCACTGATGCACTTTGTGACGACTTCCAGTGAGCCCGTCTCAGGATTACGACAGGCGAGCAGGATAGGAGACCACCAATTTGCTTTTCGACCTTGACCATGCCAAGCCGCAACAGGAATAAGGTCAATGGTGTCGAAGACAGTTGAGTCGTAGTCTTTCTTGACCTTGAGCCAGGAATCAAGCCTCTTATCAGGCTCATAGGTTGACAGAAGGGCTTTGCGACGCGCACCAGACTTCTTCTCCTCCTCTTTCTCGTCTTGTGTCTTCTTTCTGCCTTTCTTGGATGGCGTACCCCTGGAAGGCGTAGGTGGCGGTTTGAGCTCTTGTTTCAGTGCGTCGTAATTCTCCATATCTTCCGTGATCAAATCTGGATTGGGTAGGTTGTCGAGAACTTTGACCATAATACCTTCACATTTGATGTCTATGGCTGATTTGAGGAATTCTTGTACTGTTTCCGAATCTTGAGATGTGGCATCTATGCTCTTGACCCAGGTAAATCTATACTGCTTCTCGATAAACATATTGCGAAGCAAGCCTCTTCTTTCTCGAAAAGGACGGTTGAGGAGCGGCTCTCCATTCAGGTACATAAGATCGAAAGCAAAGAGGCAGACATTGACTTGAATAGTTCCAATTTCGACGTCCTTCCTTGCCCGATTGGTCAAAGTTTGAAAAGTCTTCAGGTCTCCTGTTTGCTGATCGACGGCTACCACTTCGCCTTCAAGGATGAAGCTCGAGACACCCTCTCCACGTACCTCAGGCACAAGAGCGACCAAGTCTGGATACTTGTCGGTCATGGCCTCTAGGTGTCGGGAGAATATAGAGACTTTTCCGTTCTCGTCGCAATGTACTTGAGCTCGTTGTCCATCGTACTTGTATTCGCAACTAAAGTCGCGACCTTGTAACTTGGTCAGCATTTCGGATAGATCTCTGGTAATACTACCCAACATAGGGCGTAGGGGCACGTGCATAGTCAAATTGCAGCGGATTAGAAGTTCTTCACAGACACCAATCTCAAGGAGTGCTGCGACCAGATCATTGTAGTTGGGTCTTCTCGCAAAGCATGTCTTGACAGTTTCTTCCACTTTGGCCCAGATCGGTGCAAGGTCCTCCTTTTTCAATTTGCCGAGTTCAGCAGTGTCACGTATTGGAAAGTGGGCACCAGAAGGTCGAGCCAGGGTGAAGGCTCTGGCAAGAGCAATCAGCATTGTGGTCTTCACTGCGCCGATCCGGAGGTGCTGGACTAAGGTACGCACAATATACCTGCTCTCTTCAGCTCCGCGAGCATCTTGAACTAGCCTTTCGACAAAGCGCTGTTTCTGCTCAACACTGCCTTGACCCTTGCTAGTGGCGATTTTGACCAGCAACTGATATACGATTTTGATGGAAAGTGGTTTGGGCTTCCGCAGGGTAAAGCTCTGGCGCTTCTTGGCCTCAAAAGCGACATCACCAGCATCACCATATTTATCGTACAAACTCTTAAGACCAGCATTGTCAAGCGCACACACCTTCTTCAGTGCTTTTGAGATAGCTGATCCACCTAGGCCCAGCTCGAGAGAAATGTAGGGTGGTGATATTGAATTTGTGGCTAGCCAAACTGCCGGAAGAAGACTTTCAGGGTCACCCTCAATCAGCAATCTCAGACAATTGACCAGAGTGTCGACGGTCTTGATGCGGCTAGTGGTGGCATTGATCAAGATGAAACACCTGGTCAGAAGAGCGTATGAAGCATCACCCCCATCTGCAGCCCAATGTCTCTTCAAATCTGGCAGGTAGTCTGAGGGTCGAAAGGTGAAGGGACTTTGGTCGAAGGGAATGTTCTGGGTAACTGTATCTTCAGCTGCGCCTGTCGATTGCAGGCTCAGAACGCTCTTGTTTCCTGCAGCGTTCTTTCCATGTTCCTGGAGCGGTTGTGGTGCTGGTTCGGGTGCAGAAACTGCGAAAGTCGCTTCGTCTGTCCCTGTGTTGTGCGCATTCTCGGCAGATGTAGTCGTGCTTTGGTGAGCGGTGACCTGCTGGGCTGAAACCTCTTGGATGGCTTCATTAGTTCGTGCTTCTGCTCTTCTGTCCTCTTCTTGCCATTGCTCCTGCAACTGCCTGGCTAATTCCTCATCCGAGATCACATTGTCTCCTGGACTTCGAAGCTTGTCAACAAACTTGCTATTCCCGTTCTGTTTCGCATCGGGTGTAGAATTTTGTTTGCCGAAGAAGGAATGAAGACTTCTGGAAGAAACTGCCACTGGCTTGGAATCGTTGTTCTTGCGCCTCTTCTTCGGGCTTTCCATGTTCGAATGTATTTCGGGACCAGCACTACGGCCGATGCTTGTTGCTGCTGCTACATGCTGCCCTTGGTCTGGGAGAAAGACTGGCTTCAAGATCGTCCACCTGCGACTGCTAACGATGTCATCGACGCGTCGCGTACCCCTTTACGCGTCATAGCTTGCACGCCCAAAGGAAAGCGTGACCGAAGCCAACAAGTTGCCGTTGTCGTCGATTCAGTCGCTTTTTAGCCGGTCAACACCGAGGTCATTGGCATCCCACAAAAAGCGAACATGCCACTTTCGCAGCACGGCACGTGCGGCTTCACCCTTCTAGAACCGCATGAAGGTTCAGAATGGCGACTACTATCGCTCGAGTCAATACAGACACTAGCACGAGGGTGCAGGACTACCTCAACGATCAATTCCAGAGCATATCAGACCTCGAGAACATCGACAGTCTACTTGCGAAGATCCAAGAACAGCAGACATTACTGAAAGAACAATTGGTCAAGGCGAAGGAAGACCATAGGCATGCCGAACGAGTCTTCGAGGAGGAGAAAACATCGCTAAGTGATCGAGCAAGCCGACAGCAAGCCGATCAGACTGACCTCACAAGAAGAATTCAGATCATCACTCAGTCGGAGGTCAGCGACGATGCTATCCGGAAATTGGACGAGCCTCTGCAAAAACTTCGAAGAATCGAGATAGCAGAGCAATATGTGACAACTTTACAGCATGCCGGACGGCTAGAAGATCAGGCTCGCTCCAGTCTGCCTTCCAATCCCGAAAGAGCTATACAAGCATATCAGTCTCTGCAACGTCTAGTCTATGATGTGGAGGATGCTCAGTCTGCTGCTGAGGGGGCTGCTTCTCAGCTGGTGCTGCATCTCTCCAACATAGCTGAGGCCCTGTATCAGTCGATCAAGCATGATTTAGAAAATGCTTTGCGAAAAACACTCGACAAGATGAAATGGCCTGCCAAAGAAGTGGCCTTGTTACAACCCTTGGTCGAAGATTGGTCGAAACAGGCCAAGCTTTTGTTGCAACTACAAGAGCCACGATTACTTCGTGCTCATGCTGATTCATCCAGGCAGAATCTGCAAGAGCCAATTGTTCTTCTTCCACTTTCCGTTATGGTATCCCCTTTGGCTCAACGTTTCAGGTACCACTTCTACGGAGACAAGCCGACGAACAAACTGGACAAACCCGAGTACTTCTTCGCTCACGTCTTGGGCCTTCTCGACCAACACAATGGCCTGGTGACAGACCTGTTGCAACCAGTATTGGACAGTCGTGTGCAGCATGATGATTCTCTGGATCTTGTCTACACTGATGCTGTATCCTCTTATATCTCGGCCCTACTCCCTATGCTGTCGGCGAAATGCCTGTCAGTCTTACCACATCTTACCTCTCAACCACAACTCATGTCTCACTTTGTACGCGAGACGATGTCTTTCGACACCACACTACAACAATTTTGGGCTTATAATCCGTACCCTGGCCCTCTGAGTGAGTGGAAAGGCTTGGCTTGGGATATGCTCACGACGCACGGCTATTTTGATTCGTGGCTCAACCTCGAGAAGAATTTCGCCCTGCTTCGGTACGACAAAATTATCGACAATCCTGATAGTAGATCCATTGATTACGATGGTGTAGAGCAAGGCCGTACAAAACCTACCAAAGGTGCAATTCGCATCAATGACCTGCTTGAAAAGATCACCGAGCGTTATCGAATGATCTCCTCCTTCAGCCAAAAGATGAAGTTCTTGATGGATATCCAGCTTGCCGTCTTCGATAGGTATCATCAGTACTTGCACGAGCATTTCAGAACCTACCAGACGCAATCACACACGGCTGGTCGCCTTGCAACTGGAAGTGTCACGGCAGGTGAAGCTCTCGGATTGCCTGGTCTGGAGAGCCTAGCCAAAATCTTTGGCAGCGCAGAATACCTCGAGCGCAAGATGACAGACTGGAGTGACGATGTATTTTTTCTCGAGCTGTGGGAAGAATTACAAGATCGAGCGAGTCAGCATCAGGGCATCAATGGTACTGTTGGTCGTGATCTTAGTGTTGAAGAGGTTGCCTCAAAGACATCATCTACCATAAGAAACACTGATGACATCCTCGAAAATCATACTGGTGCGCTATTTGACGAGACAGCAAGTGCCTATCGTCGAGTACGGGAACAAAGCGAGTCGGAGATTGTGCGACTTCTTCAGATCAATGCTCACAATTCTCTCAAATCTTTTCAAGCCATCTCAATCTGGACATCCCTTTCCATGACCACCTTCGATCTAATGCAACTGTCCCCTTCTTCAGTTCTCGATAGCTTCAACCAGACCATGATACCCCTGCTTGACTTCGTTGCCAAAGTTCTTGCTCCTACTGCTTTGCGGCGAGTAGCAAAGCAACTTTGTCATAGCATTCAGGAAGAAATCCTCGATCGTCTCGTCTTGAGAAACAGTTTCTCTGCCGCGGGCGCAAACCAGCTGAGACGAGACATGCTCGCTATCAGCTCGACGATTGACTCCAATATTAGGCTTCGTGATGAGGCTCAACGGCATTTCGTCAAGCTCAACGACGCCCTCGTACTACTATCACTTCCGATTACAGGTTCAGGCTCTCAGGTCTCTGACACAGATGGAGATGGTTGGGACTTTGAAGTCGATGAGAATGAGGCCGATGCCGACGCTAATAACGAAGCACCACTAGAAGGCGGCGCATGGGGTTTGTGGCAAGCTGAGAGGGCAATATTCGCTGATAATGCGTCTGCACGCAAGGCATTGCAATCTATGGGTCTGATTGACCTTTCCGAGAGCGAAGCACGAAATATCATCAAGAGGAGGATCGAGGTGAATAGCTGATCGGACCAAGATTTGCTTGAAGCGTGACTTACTCACATCCATCATATCACGTCCTTGGATGCAGACTCTTGTTGGCAAGGACCCAGGTTTCGGCATGCTGGCTGTGTCAACAATGCGATTAAGCTCTCAGAGGAAGGGAGACATCAACCTGGGCTGGCCTCCCTGCGGCTACTTGATTACTTCCATTAAGTGAGGATTGAGCACTTTACTTCATGTTCGCGGCTTTTCAGGCATAGCTGTTAACACTGCTCAAGTTCGACGCTTGTTTCTAAGCGAGGTGGTCCAATAGCTTCGAGCTAGGAATACAAGGCTATGCATTTCTCGCCTCTTTCTTTCTGCGGTTTATTGTCTTTGATATCACCATTTGTTGCACGTATTGACTAAATGGCGGGTCCAGTTGTACTTACGTTTTGCGGCATCGAGGTCAAATTGTTTACACCATCGTCCACTGTCTAGTCTGTCGCGTTTGCAACCTAGGTGACGGGCAGGTTTTCGAGAAAAGTATAATATGCTCGACCTCCGGGACTTCGCAGCATGAATATCTCTAATCACCAGAAGACAATATCTTTCTAAAACCGCTAAAAGATCGCGAACCAGTCAAGAGAATTCGTCCCTCAACCTACAGAGAGTCTTCAAGCAAGAAGCCCGTCAATCCTGTGATTTGCCAAGATGTTCCTCAACCTTCTTAAAGCTACAATCCTCGTCCTCGTCCTACATACAGCTAGATCAGCTTGCCAGACCGATTATATTTTTGGTGATCCTGTAGATCCAAAATCCCAAAGCCCCAACTTGCGCACTATCACTATGTGGCTCGAAAATCTTTCTGTCAGCGTCGATATACCTGCCGAGAGGCGAGGAAAGTGCATCAACGTCGAGGACGAGGTGCCTCCCACCTGGGCAGAAGGTGCACGTCCCGATCATGTCTATGTAAGTACAAGCTCAGCACAGATTCGGTCCATGACTAACCATTTCCGATCCAGATACCTCCAGCTACCTCCTGCATCTTCTTCCCAGGTAAAGACTGCCAGAGCTGGACTGTGGTGCAGACAGATATTCCTTCGCACCCGGGCGAGAGAACTCTGGAGTTTAGGAATACCTATGATCACAAGAGCTTCAAGTGCGCATATTGAGGTCTGTGTTTCCACGCTAGAACAATGGTGATCAACAGTGGCACGATGAATCCGAGTGGTTAAATTAGCGCGTCCACGTTCCAGCCGAGTCCGCTAGGAGATATGTGAACAATCCACGGAGAATAGATGAGTCTGCTGCTCTGGTGTTGCACCTGATTCACAGATAGCTATTGTCATCCCTCAGGTCCGAGTTTCATCTGCAATTCTATGCAGCTTGACATACTCGCTGTGAGACTACAACCATACGTTGTTTAACAAATCTTTTTCACCTGCAGTGTATTGTCACCAACCATCACATTGTTTGCACTTTTTGCTCCAATATCTCCCCAAACATGCTTGCTATCTTGAGACCCCGTAAACGCCAAACCGGCTGTCCAACCCCTATATACGTATCAATATCGAGAACAAATCCGTACACCCCTTCATGGAAGAAGATGAGAGTTGTTGCGTTTGATAGAAGCTAAATGCCAAACCGCATCATCTGAGACAAAAAAGCTCACAGATCTTGAACTCCAGCTATCGACTGTGTGTGCATAGTCCCGTGCTAAGTTGAGTTGAAAATGCTTAGCGAGTTTGAGGTCCGGCCCTGGCTATTGAATGGAATTAAGATGCGTCTTAAATTGGGGCTTTCGCCGGTAGCACTCTTCGGTTGCCATCAATCCATATCTCCAGACCACATGTTAAATATCGATCCATCTTCAACAAAGGCTAGAGACAAGTGTAGTGTTGATAAGAACCCTGCAAGGACCGGCATGCCACCCATTCGATGGGCGCCATCCGCCTCCAGCCCGTTGTGAGCCACGAGAAGCAACTGCTACGGTGATGAGAGCGAACAGAAACACGTCACAGTGGCAGGACTACGACCAGGTTCGTGACCTGAAACGTATGCACAGTCAATTGCTACCATGCAGTGCTCAGTTATCAAATTTGAAGCACTGATAGCAACAGGCAAAGAACACAACGTCTACGTTCTCTTACCAGAGTATACTAATCGAATGTCCTGTTCGAAAGATCTTTACCCATATTGAGAGGTGCCTTGCAGAGGCTTTTTGGTGGTGACTGATACCTCGTTGGAGCCTCACCATCCACAACTTGCAGAACGAGAATTTTGTTCTCCCAACAAAGCCAATGTTGCTCCCTTCGCAATGTGATCGTATCTAGACACAGATTTCGTTAGGTCGAACTTAAAGCTGAGACTGAGTGCTATCAGGCACTGGAACTATGCGGCACATTCTTGATCACAAGAGCTTTCAAGCTCGTTCTGCTTTGTGATCATCTCTAAAAGTTGTGACTCGAAGTCTGTTTGGAGTCCAACCTCAAGCATTGTTACTGTGTCTCAAGGGCTTACGAAGGTCTTTATGATGGGTGGTTTTTTCTCATTTCAAAAAAAAATATCGAAGGAGTTACAAAGCTGAGCAGTCCGCCTGGGAGGCGTCTCTGAATTCCTGTTGCCAAAGCCTGCGTGTTGACATAGCTCATTGCCTTCCGTTCCCACCATGTTTTTGTGGATCGAAGCCATAGTGACTGCCTGTAAACAGGTCATGCACAGCTACTACGATGCCATGCCATATAATATCTTGCACCGATCCCTCGTGGTCGTTGGCGAGGAGGAATTGTCCGTCGCATGGAAATCGCTTGGCGGAGGTTTTAGAACGTTTTGGTCGGGTACGTTACGACTTAGCACTGAGCGAGGTCACTTCCGACCAAATATTAGCGCGATGAACCAGCTCTAGAGGCTTAGAGGTTCAACCACAATCGTTGGCATCTCAGCGTGTGGAACGATGAAGTCGGTCCATAGCCAATCTTGTGCGGTCTTTTCCATCTTCGTCTCCATGTACAACACAATACGTTCCCATCAACGCACTGGAGTGTGTCGCAGCGTCGGCCTTCCTGGTTGCCTGCATCGTGCCGTTTACGATCCTGATTGGACAGAGGTTTTCTCCAACACGCGTGTTGCGATTCTGCTGAGCTCCCGCAAAGCTTAAAGACGCAAGACATTGCCGGAATAGGGTGGTTGACATCCACATTCACGTTCGACTTGCCCATGCGTGCGAGCGAGTACGCTTCGATAGAGGACCAGCAAAGTTTCGACCTTTGTTGCTGACGACCGACTTGATCGTCACCAGTCAGTAACCAAAGGTCATGGCCCAGCAAAATTACTGGTGTCAAGTTTGTGCAGTGAAGACCTTAGCAATCTTCCTGACACATATCTTTTGTCGCATTTTCCCTCAAAGAGTTGTTCTTGCGCTTGAAAAATATTCTATACCTACTTGCGCATGACGGCAATCCTCTTCCAAAGCACACCGTCTTCAACACTTCAGCTTACACTTTGTCTATTCTGCTAGCAACTGATCCTTGAACTGCAATGGATAGACTGACCAACCAACTCCACTGGAAATCGCTCTCACCATCCAACATACCCTCACTTGTTATCAACGCAATTCAAATTTTGGGCGCCATCGTCGTTCTCGGCCTCGCTGGCGCATCGTTCAACAATACCTCGGACGGCCACTCTGCTGCAGTAAGTTGAATTCCGTTGCTAGCAGAGCCATTTCTCTTATCGTTCATGCCTTCTGATACTCGTTCAATGTACAGGTGTATGTAATCATAGTGAACCTCGTCACTCTTCCAGCCTCACTACTACTGTGCTATCTTACGATCTCGCCACCATCACATAGACGATGGGTGATCCTGGTACTAGTCGGCCAGTGGCTACTCGTCGTTCTCTGGGCGGCCGCTGCCGGCGTTTTTGGTGGAGAGTCAATTGCAGGTGGGGATGAGAGGTTCAAGGCCGGACTGGGCTTTGCATTGGTTGAAATGGTAACATGGTTGATTGGTGGGTTGATGGGGAGTGTTGGGTTGTGTTGTGCAGGGAGGAGACGTGGTAAAATAGAAGATCTTGAGTAAGGTACAGCAACGAAAGGGTCGAATTTGTATGTGTAAAATGATTCACAATTGACGCTGGACTATCAATATGGACAATTCTGGGTATCCCTCACGAGAGACATTAAGTTCACAGCTTGTCTATCTGCATAGTTTCTCTGATGCTGCTTGGACCATAGGGCTATCCTTTACCTGGTTCAACTCGCTGTAAGCGGGTAATACGTCCCTGCTTAATGATCTATTGTCCATCTCGTTATGTTCGAAATCCCCATTATCTTCAGGTGCCACGATCCAGTAATCATCAAATAGACCCTCTTCAGCCTTTGATCCTGCTGGCCCCAGCACAGTAACCTCTTCTGTGCTTCTACCTTTCAGAACAATTTTCTCACCTGCACATTCGAGATCGATGACCCAGCATAGGATGTAGCTCCTCGATATATTATAGGTTGAGAAAGAGGGGCTGACAGAACTTTGGTTGATCACTCGACTCCTAGATCCTTTCGTCTTCGTTTCGTTCTTCCCAAATATCGTATCGTTTGTGATGAGTATGTTGAACTCTTTGCCAAGGTCTATGCAATTTGGCACTTCTTCCTCAACTTCATTCTTTTGATCCCAAGCAAGCGACCGCATCGAAAGAGACATATCAGTGAAGTGCTGATCGAACAGCGATATATCATGAGTGATGCTTGCATATACGTCTGACAATATTGATGGGCAGCGACATGCCGTGCATGCCCGCAAGACGAGCTTAGCATGCTTAACTTCCAACGTTGGATAGCGATAGAACGTCCCCATACTCGGCTGAACTGTGGTGGACGCAGCATCAGTCTTGGGAGATGCCGATATAACGAATGGTAAGGGGTCATGATGATACATCTGAACAGTTGCGGGATAAGACACGTCAAAATCGATTGTCAACTTTGGCAGCTTGGATGGTGTAAGAACAGATTTTGTCTTCTGCATGATAGTCAATGGGCGATTGTGCTCGGGTAATAGCTTTAGAGTTTTGACTGTGAAAACTGTCGATGTCCCACGGCGTTGTCGAGGGCCATCTGTATCGATTGGGATAGATGCTGATTGCGCCTGGATATTGATGGGTGTTGAAGCTCGTTGAGTCTTAGGCTTCAAGGCTTTCTGTACGGCGGGCTCTGTGACCGTTGCCTCGACCGAGTATCCGACAAAAACGGACCAAGACTTGCCTGCCGTCGAATGCGAGAACTTGAACGGAGGTATCAAATTGGTTGTTTCTGACCTATCAGTAGTCGGAAGAAACCCTTCTCGTGGCCTCCATCTGTTGCTCGTATCTGGACAGCTATATCCCACAGGTATCTCGAGCTCGAAAGGCCATTCGAGCGACCCACTTTTGTGCGTGTAATGGCCGTCGTGTAGGTTCTTTGCAACACGGAACAGCTCTACATCGCCTTTGAATGTGGAAGTTGACTGGCCATTCGACTGGTTGATTACTGACCTGGTGCATCCAGTCAGGCACACATCGACCCTACCAACAGGAGAGTCCTTAGACAAACTTAGGTGTATGTTTCCTCGAACCAGGTCTCCCGGACGGTATAGTGTTTGATCTTTTTCAAGTCTGACGACCAGTACTGTTTCGCTACGTGTCGCCATATCCTTTAACGTAGATGACAGTGAGCAGGGCTTGGCGGTACTCGACAAGTTCTACCATCTCGATGATGTTCTAGATCTACCGTTAGATGTCCCTGGAATGTGGGAAGACGTTCGCAAAGATTCGTAATGCGGGCATGCAGTATGCACGATGCCGTGGACATTGTGGAGTCTTGTTTGAACACGCGTGTTGGCACAAACGTACTTCACGTAAGCGGAGTCGAGCTTGCCAGTCACAAAGAAGCCACGATCAGTGCTGGCTCATCTTCGGTCAATGTGGTCGTGCTTTGCCCCATCACCTCGCAGGTACAAGCAACGTGCAATTGTCACCTGTTAACTTCACGATTGCTCTCTTCCGTGCAGCAACGATCTACAGGTTGTCGAATAAAGATGATTGCCTAACACATGTTGTCTTGGTCAGGCAGCCAGAAAAACCTGGCTCGATCGTTTTCAGCTTACTCGGCGTCAACATCTCTGTGGCTGGTCATGGGAGGGAGCACGACAGACGCGACAATCCAGAAAGGAGCGAGAACATTTGGCAGCAGCGGATCTTGCTTTGCATGCTTCGACGCAGCATGATGGTATTGTTCATTACAAGCCCAACATTCCTTCTCTCGGAACATTATTTCGAACTTGAGCAGGAGTGATCCACATTCCTCGAAGTCGGTATGTGCGGTTCAAGCTGAGTTGATAACCCCTCTTGGGTATTGCAACCAAGGCTGCCATTTCAGACTAAGAGATGATTCAATTATCTGAAACATTCTCGCGCCAGCAGCTCCAATGGCCCAACAAGACCTGCGGCAATGCAGGAGTGGAGTATAATGTGCCAGTATTACAAGCGCTTCGGGTCTCCTCACTTCAAGCAAATCTGTCAAGTCCAAAGAAACATTCATTGGCCATGCGAACACCCAAGCAATCGATCGATTAAAGTCGAGGCTGTCGAGGGCGCGCTGTACATGGTGGAATCGTTGCAGTTTCTGGACCGAATCAAAATATGTGTTTGTGGTTTGAGAGGAGTTTGTCAATTCGAGAGCTCTGATAAGATTTCTAACAAGGTCAAACTCCGGCATGCGTCCGTCGAGATCCTGCTCAGCCGCAAGTTGGTCGCCCACCAGCAATATTGGTTTCAGCTCGGTGGTTTGAAGATATCTCCACCAGCCATCAAGCACGACGTTGACTCCACGTGAAACTCGCAAGCACTCCACGAACTGGTCAAGGAACTCTTCAACACTGGTCGCAGGTGATAAGAAGAATCTGGTCATTCTATGAGCACTAGTAATGTTGCTGAAGAGGAATGCTGCGACAATCGAGTTTGCATCGAGACTTGGCAAGGTAGCATTGAACTCATGCAAAGCCTGAACAAGGAGGTCATCAGCGTGCTGTCGATATAATACCTTTCTGCCCGGATGCTTCATACTCAAGTGCAAAGCAGCATTTGCAAGAATTCCATGCAAGAGGAAAGGGAACGCTAGTGCATGGTTGAGTGTCGTTGAGCCGTAGATCTTGGCATGCTCGTCGTTGAAGACGTAGGTCCGATGCGTTTCTGTCAGCCATTGTTGCAGAAGTTCTACATAGGGCAGACCGAACCATGAAGACGGGAGATTGAGCTGCACGGCAGGCAAATTCGAAGGAGAGGGGCCAGAAGATGATCTCGTAAGTGAATCGCTAATCGAAGAGTCAATGGGCGTCGCTGTCTCCACTGCTCCGCATTCGTCTTCATAGGGACATCGACGCTGTTGAGTGATACAATTGACACAAGAAGGACGAGTCTCATCGCACTTGATGTGTTTCCGCTTGCAATTCGCACATCCAGCTGTCGATTTTTTGTGTCCACTACGTTTGGTCCTTGTCATATTGAAGGACCTTGACACAGACTTCTAGACCACGTGGATTTCCCATAGCAGTCGTACCAGTCAGCGCGTCACGCGTTAATCTTGGACAGACGTTTTGCAAGATGCAGGTTGCTCTCTCGGATCAGTCGCGTGAAACAAAGAGCGAAATTACTAAGAAGGAAGGTGTTCCGATTGGTCGCCCAAGCAGTTTCGGCTTTGAGTTTTTGAAATTCATGAATTGGGATTTGTAGGTCTGAAATTCCACCTTGTCCATCGCACAACTCTGGACTTTTCTAGTCATGGGTATGGAACATACAATGCCCTGGCTTGTGCAAATGTGTTTGAGCCAGCGCCAACGATGACCGAAAGGGCGTTAGACATGGTTGTCGACTTGATCTGGACAACTACAGATACGTAGTGACAGGATATGCGATTCCTATGGCTTGTCGAGGCTATGGAGTCCTGCCTGAATCGCAGAAACAGCTGAAAGGAAGTTCGCGTACAAACACTCTATGACCACAACTTATGACACAGAAGGTATGCATTTTCATGGGACATTGCCGCGTCAGCTTTCTTTGAAACTGGTGCATCCAGTTGAGCCTTCGACAGCAGAGGCATCAGCAATCGAAAAAGTCACCATTCGTCGCTTCATTCCTGCATTCAATAGTATTCTACCTCGAGCTTTTCTGTCGACCACCAGCCAACACAACCGCCATATGCACGGCCTCTTGCCTGCCTTCGTGCCCAGCTCTTGTCGACAACCTATCGGAATTCAGCTCACTTGTACATGCTCTTGACGGCGGGTGAAGGTGCAATTACTATCCATCTGCGAGGCCACGATGCTTGCTGTCGGCGAGAAACGGGCAGCACAACTAGAGTTAATTATTTCGTAACCAACAATCAGGCGGGTTCGCAGGCACGCTTGTACCTATTTTCTTGTCGGCTCAAGACTGAATGTATGGTAGGTCAGAGCAGAGGCAGCTTTGCACGTCGTGGTGATGGGATGTATGCGTATGGTTCGCATGAGAACCATGTTGGACGGCAAGCTGCATATTGGCGAACCTCCTTAGCTAGAGTAGATGGTTATTCTTCAGTGTGTACTCTGCTCAACGGAAGTCTGAAGCATCCGAGAAGTGGCACTGTGTAGACCTTGCAAATGGCTTGCCTCAATCGCCTCACTACACTATCAAGCCAAGGCAATCTTTATCTTCCACTACGGTATCTCACAACCGTAGGGTCACACCACGTCGGGCCAAATTTCCGATAGGTGCAAGGATCTGGGGTAGCCGACACATCGTGAACGCCTCATTGTGAATGTGGTATAGTTAATTCGCTTAGTGTCCCAGGTGTACGGGAGCGGATTGCCTCAAAAGGCAGGCATAGCCAAAGTCAAACGTGCATGAGGATGCAAGGGCACAGCATGGGTCGAAAGGTTTGAGAGAACGTAAAGGAATGTAGTCGTAGCTTTTGAGTTGGACGTTGCGAACAAACAATGACTTAATTTGTTGAACTATGAAGTATTCACCAAGATGGTTGATTGACTATGTACACACCGAGGCTGTATCGTAAATACCACGTTGACCATCAACAGGCCATCTTTCTCGTTAAGGCTGTACGCTCCTCAGACCTCGAAGGCACGCAATATTCTAGTACGAAGCAACAGAGCTTCTTCGATCCTTCTTCTTGCGGTTGAAGCCCACAAGTTGTACCATTTCGGTCCAAAAACCAACTGGTGGCGTGAAAAATGACGCTTCGTACGCATCAACGATCGGTCGCTCCCAAACCAAATCGGCCTCATGTGGCTTGACGAATTTAGTCTTCTTGACCAATTTCCAGATACCGAAGGTGAATGGCGCGATGAGCAACATGAGGTAGTATGAGAAAAAGGATCCAGTATTCCACGGCTTGAATGAGCCGTAACCATAGACGCAGACAATGCACACCATCCATACAGTTCCGATGTAGCCGCAATATGGTTGAAACCAGCCGGTATATGGGAACGAGCTTCGATCGATACCTTGCGCTTTGACGGCCCTGTAGAAGAAGATGTAGGTCGTGCCCATGACAATGTATGTGATGACACCACCTGCTGTGACCAAACTGACGAACCAGCCTAGAACGACAGATGAGCTGCTGCCAACCTGTAGGAAGGACAGTAGTGGGAATAGGAGTGTGATGAGGAAGCAGTAAATCGGTACTCCACCCTTTGTGCACTTTGTCAAAACTCGAGGGGCGCGGCCTTCGAGTGCAAGTCCGTACAGTGTTCGTGTCGCACAGTAAGTGTATGTGTTTCCTGCTGAAAAGATGCTGGTGCACAAGAGTGCATTGACAAGGTGAGGCAGGCCACCAATTCCAAGATTTCGCATCGCAATAACGTAGGGCGAAGCAGCAGCAGTACCACCACCTGAGCCAGTTCCAGTGACGATAGCGACTAGTGATGGCTCGTTGTAAGGCACAACAATACCGACACAGAGCGCGCTGCCGATGAAGAAGATTGCGAATCGCCAGTACACAGTCTTGAACGCGGCCTTGATGTATAACCGAGGTCGCTTCGCCTCGGCGGCTACCATGGAGATGTACTCAGGTCCAACGACTGTGAATGAAGCACTCCAGAGACATGCGAGGAAACCTTCGAATCGGCCGAGACTGCCGGTGGTTCGATGTTCGGCGAAGGAGCCTGGGTTTTGCCAATATCTGAACCCATAGGCATCGTGCTTTGGATTACCGCCGACCATTGTGACAAATGTCAAACTGTTCAAAGTTAGGGACTGCGGGCATAGTGAGTGCGAGGCGCTACTTACGAGAACACGATGAAGATCAAGATGACCTTACCACCCGAAAGCCAGAACTCGGCCTCACCATAAGCTTTGACTGCCAGGACATTGAGTAGACTAGGTTGATCAGTACACAGAACCGCGCCGAGCTGGATTTGCTGGACTTACGAATAGGCTACGATGCAGCCCGCGCATACTGCTGCGACGGGTATTTCGTCGCTCCAATATGATAGGACCAGGTTCAGCGCAGTGATCTCGAAAGGAATGATAAGACCTTCGTATAGGTAGAAGTTCCAGCCAGCCATGAACCCGAAGGCTTCATCGACAAAGTGGCCAGCCAGACGTACGAAACCACCCGAGACAGGGTATAGGACAGTCATCTCAGCAATGCCATTGTTGATGAGACCAAGCATACAAGAGTAAATAGCATAGGCGAGGAATAAGCTGCCTGGCCCGCCACGTACAAGACCACTACCGATAGAGACGAAGACGGCAGTACCGATGGAGCCACCGATAGCAATCAACTGAATTTGTCGGTTGCCCAAACGACGTTGTAGGTGATCGGCATTGTCGGCGGCGAAGACCTCTCCCTCGATGGCAGTTGTTGGGGTCTCGCCAACTTTCTGGGCAGTAAGGTCGTCGTATTTCTCTCCCTTGACTTCGGCCATGATGAATGATATGGCGCGACTTGGAGAAGAGATAAAAAAGGTGAGTGAAGAAAAGACAAGTTCAAATGAAGCGGCTGGCCAGGGTGATAGCTAGTTCTTATTCAGGAAGAATAGAGCTCTTCGCTAGACAGGCTCTGTACGATAAGCTCTAAGTTTGTACTGGAAAAGAAAGGCGAGAGACTCTTCCGCTTGATTGGGACAGTCGAGTGTGGATCAGGATTGATCTGGGCCACGCGACCATCGAACCATCGATCGGGCGTTACCTATCAGATACGGCAGCTTGAGGCTTGTTGAAGCTCACTGCGGAGAACGTGATCCAGGCCCGTTGCTTGTGCCAGAAACGCACTAGCACAAACTCAGACCTTATAGTGAAAAGGCAATCGCTGTTGCAGCAGGATAGGAATCTGCATAAGATAAGATCGGGCTTACTTCGTATCGTGCCGTGCTGCAATCAGGGCACAGGCATCTCGAACGACGTATCCAAAGCGACTTGATGCACAAAGACACCAGAGATTGTGAGCGGCCGGGTTGAGGGTGAGCAGAACAGCAGTCGGCGCTACGGATCAAAAGACCGAGCCGATGTAAGCAATTTAAAATTACCAATCACAAGTGATGGTTGAAGTGCCACACTCAGCTCAAACTATGTGACCGTCAGAAGTTGAAGGAGTGAACCGTCTCTTTGTGCCCTGTTCCGGCCATCTCGTCCTAATAGACGTAGATCTGTCCCCGGATTCTGGGTTACTGGAGTCCGCCGCCCTGGCTGTCTAGACTCTGGTAGTGCCGTTGATAGGTGGTAACGGTGCCATCAGGCCTTGCACACGGGGATTGGGGCACAAGACTTATGATACTAGTAAGACTTTCCTGCTACAAGAGAAGAAAGGCAATGAGCCACAGCAACTATTCCATGGTTGGCACAGCGCAAGTGACCAAACGAACGACGATAGGTTCACATGATGAGGTCTGGTTGTGTTCGTCTTTGCTTGTTTCTTCAATCCATTAGGTCATTTGCGACATCGCGCTGAAGAGATGTACGAAACGAGACACTTGCATACTCTTAGCTACTCTGTTGTCAAGTGTGGTCAGAACATGAATGGACAGGGAATGGCTGCGGGCTAATCATGGTGTATCGCATGCTCTCATTTTCGATCCTGGTCTGAATCGTTGGTTGACAATTTGTCGCTTTGATGTCACTCGAGTACTGATCGCCAATCTGGTCTATCGGGTTCGTCATTTCTGCCGAACATTGTCTTTTACCTTCCCCTTCATTGTGCGATCTGCATTTTCGTCATGATTTGCAGCAGCGAAAGCGCCGTCGTTAATAATCGATACAACATTTGAGACTAACGACAAAGAGACTGAGCTCTTGCGAAGAAACCAACAGGATTGAGTAGGGAAACGAGGGACGAACGAAAACTGGTGATGGGATCTTGCGACTATCGGAGCTTGCCATGACGTAGGGCCGATCCATGACCCATCGGTAAGACTACTGCTTGCCTCAGGCATATACAATCAGTCAGCAGGCAATAAGGCCACTCGTCACCTTTTTCTGGACAAACGGTGCTCTTTCGAACGATGGTTGCAACAAAGATGTTGTGCTTCTGAGTTCAAGCGGTCGACGTTGGCTCCATCAACACAGGTAGCCAGTTATACGATGTTGAAGAAATCAATTGTGCTTGCTTACAGCTGAATGTGTAAAGTCTTGGCTCACCAGTTTCGTTCCTGCGAACCTGAGTTCCAGAATAAAACTACACCTAGAGCATAATCAAAAGATCTTCTTGATGTCAACTTGTCAAGGTCGTTTCCACACCGGAACTGCAAGCAGCATGGCTCAGTCTCTGGCGACGATCTCTTTTTTAGTTGAGATTGATGTCCAATAACAGTGATCAAAGCACACGAATAATTCCCTAGGTCAGCTAAACATTGGAACAACATTGCTGACTGACATGGGTGGGGGTGCATTCGTGCTCGCGACAACCACGCCGCTCCTCGTCTTAGAGAGTACGAAATGTTATTCAGTTATAACGACACCGAATGAGCCGAACTTTTGTGCACTCAGAAAGTCGCCATTGATCGAGGCGGCAGCGAGTCAATCAACTTGTCCTTATTTCTCCTCAAATACTGCTCGAACCTCGTCAACTTAATCCCGTATTTCTCCTCTAAAGCCGCAACATCGATGGTGCACGGGATACGGTTTGTCAGCAGCTCGAACACTTGAAAGAACTCTCTATCTTTGCTCTCTTCCAGCTGTTCTGCCGTGCGCTTATGGAGTCTGAGCTCGATACCACTGACCTTAACCAGGATATCTCGTACATCGGCTGGCGATAGGTTGTCGCCTGCCAGTTCGATTTCATGTCCACTAAACTTCGCAGGGCTCAACAGCGCTGCGGTGGCGAATCTACCAATGTCGTTCTCATCCAGGTGTGGCATCGTCAGTCCCTCATTCAACGAGGTCGTTAGTGTCCCTGACCGTGGCAACAGCGGAAAAGGCGCGGAAGGCTTGGCCGAAGTTGGCAATAGATAGTCATAATTCAGTACGGGCGCCCGAAGGATCGTGATATGGCAAATTCCACTGTCCCGAACCGCGGCCTCAACCTCTACTTTGGATGCATAGTACTTCTCCAGGAAAGGATGGATCTCTGCTGTGACGTGAAGATTTTTACCCATTTCAGCTGTACGGTAAGTTGAAGATATGACGATACTGCTGAGGGTCTCTCCAGCTCCAGCCTTGCACGCTTGAATGATCGCTTCCGCGTGTGATTTGGCTCCTTTGGGATCGAAAATGGTTGGGTTGAAGAAGAGACCTGTACAACCAGCAGCCGCCTCGCGAAAAACTGTGTCTGGGTTCTCATGGGTACCTTCGAACAGAACAACGCCTCGGTCCTGGAGAGCAATAGCTGCTGTGGATGACTTGTTGCGAACCACAGCATGAACATTCATTCCGGCGGCCAACAGTTCGGTGACTACTGCACCGCCCTGGAAGCCCGTTGCTCCAGTGACAAGATAGGTAGACATAGTGTTTTAATCTCACTGTTGATCTCGATTGTGACACCGAAAGTCTGCTTGAGACACTCGACGCCTTTATATGCTACAGAACAGTACGGGTTCCTCTGATGTGAGTGCAGAGGATTACTAATTACCTCGGAATTCCTGACAGTGCTCATAGATATCAGGCTCTGAGTCCGCCACTACCAAACGATATGACAATCAACAAAGGATCGGACAGCAGTTGAGGCCTAGATATTGACTCCACAAGCACCTCGTTTACTATATCGGGTTAGGGCACACCCTGCAAGTGTCTCGTTTACTATGTTGGGTCGAAATGGAGTCGTGTACACAATGCGAGTGGCCAATTGCGGTCGTTATTGATAAGAAACAACTGGGGAAGTTTGCTGGAGCCAGACTACTTGCCTTTTCGCCGCTTACCAGGACTGAGAAAGACAGGTTCCAGTGGCTGGAGCTCTGGTTGCGAATTGACTCAACTTCTCGCTTGGCGTGGTCACAGAATACTGATTGAACAAAGACCGCGCGTATCCATCGACTTAGCAAGTTGAGAATGAGGGTACTGCAGCACCCTGGTAGCAATCACGTCTCAGACGTCCAATCAGCCGCCGTCCAGCCGGAGCAGTACCACTGTATGCATACCCACAAGCAATAGCCGGAAAATCCAGGTATCTCCACAATGTGTCGTCTCCGTGTCTTCGAAGATGCTCACAAATAGCCCAGCAGTCATTTTTAGCTCGAAGACGTGACCACCAACAGTCTTTGGTGCAAAGAAGGGCAAGCCAGTACGACACAAGCACAAGCGCCTTCGTGTCTAGGCCGTTCAGGAGACAGAGAAACACTGGGGATATCACCTCCACGAACTGCATGTATTGCAAGTGAGCGAGCGGATCCTGGGAGTCGATGCAAAGGATATGACATAATCTTCGAAGACCTCTCAAGTAAGGGTGATCATCGCAACTAGATGATTGCGTCACATTGAAGAGAGTCAGAAGCTCCTTTGGGATTCCATCGATACCAGGCCGTTCGTCGTCGACCTGGAGAAAACCACCGACCGCGTCTTTGTATATATCATGCCATACGGTCTGCGCGCCCTGTCCAGCCTGGAAAAGATTGGAAAGTGATTTGAGACCAAGCTGTTTTCCCAACCAGCAAAATGGCACAGCCCGATCTTCCAGAGCTACCTGGAAGTCCTCTGTCATGACCGCAAAAGAGAGACTTCCCATGAACATGGACACTGTCATTGCGGCATCGATATTCACTATCCGTGTCGTGCTTAGGGTATGTCTTAGTCCTGAACATGCCCGCATTGTATGGAATATCTCACTTGTGCAGCGGTGTCGAGGCGACTTCATGTGATATCGCCAGTGACAGCCTGATACAGCAAGGATTGAGTGCATAGCATAAGGTTCCTACACATTGTCAGTTTGTGACACTAAGGTCCCTATTTCGACACGCTCTTACATGTACAGCTATCTCGATGGTTCCCTTTGAGACTGAGGTCCAGTTCGGCAATAGCATCATAGTTTCCACAACCACAGCAAGGAAATAGTTAAGCAAGAAAGATTCCATGTTTGCAGGGTCCAGATCCATGATAGTGATCTTTGGCTGAGCACTAACTGGAAGCGAGCTTGCACTATTATACATGCAGTATGATCCATGCCTGGCACAATTCTGGCATGACGGAACCTGTTCGTCGCACTTTTGCACTCAGTGACCGGACACAGCGATCGTAAGCAAAAACTTGCCTTGATACGTCGACTTTTGCATATCATGCATCCGCGTCGTGACTTGAAGTGTGTTCTGCGCTTCTTGTAGTTTTGCACTCGACCATTGTCGTTGAAGGAGATGACCTGGAATCCTCCTTCAGTAGCTTTGGCCATTTCATATACGTCTATTCCAGATATTGGGAAGAGTGATCATCAACATCAGTGTATAACTCTCACGAAGAGGGAAGTGGGATCGGGACTATACACGACCCAGCGGAGCCTATTTCAAGTCTTGGAAGGTGGAGAAATCCTCGTTTTCCTTTTTCAGAAGTATGTGATGCGGCATGCTTGGTAAGCATGATTTTTGGGCTTCGTCCGCTGCAGACCAACGGCTGGGCTTATTGTACAGTATACAGCACGGAGAGAGGTCTGGTATCCACTTACTGGGCTCTCAGTCCAACCGTTCCGCCAAAAGCATAACCAAATAGCGTCTTTCAGCACACAAGGAGGGCCTTTGTCTCACCCACTGTCATCGTTCCGACTGCCATAACGGTGGCCACGAAGACATAACCGCCATAACTGCTACTTGACGACTTGACAATGACTCAGGACGAACTTCAACCACAACGGCATGTTTAGTACAACTATCTATCGTCCACGCTAGACTTTTAACACGTCCGGGTTTCCTTGTGTCCAAGCAGGTGTAATTGTTACTTTGCTAATCCGCCAAAGTTCTCCATCCCGCACAACGTCACGCCCGTATTGATCTTCAAACAACCAGTAGTCATGGTACACAGGACTCGGACCATGCCCTTTTCTGAAATGCTGGGCAAGAATACAAGCCGTCAGTTCCGCCTTGTCTGCGTTCACTTTGCACTGAATATTCGTGACCATGTGCGTTGTGTCCAGTGGTCGGCCAACTCTGCTCATCAGTGTTTCGACGACGTTGTCTTGACCTCTGATAATCGAATAGTTCATGCCGACTTCGTTGAGGAGCGTGGTTGGTATCCATGATAGCATCGCTGGTAAGGGAGGAGGCAGATAGCTCAGAACTACCTTCGTCGAGAGCGCAAACGAACCTGATCACTGCATCGATGGCGGCTTCTCTGTCTGTGAGGCTACCAGCACTCGCCATATCGATAGGTCGGAATAGCTTCGGTGTGCAGATCATCGATGGTTTGTGGTAGCGATCGATAGCGAAGAGTCTTTGGGCGGGTTTTGAAGGCACAATACAAGAGAGAGGCGGCAATCGATTTCCCGATCAGCCATTCATATTGTTGGTCAGAGACATTGTCTTGCCAATATATCTCCCGCAAATCCTCAAAGATCTAATACATCCCGGAACTCAACTCGTGACCTCAGCAGTGAATACTCTCATCGCGTCGAGTTGGTCTGCAGATGGACGGACATGCAAAGTAAGTCTCCTTGGCTGTAATAGGATCGTGTCGGACACATCGGACAAGTGTGGGAAAAGCCGAAAGCAGCATCTGAGCAGCCATATTTCAGTCAAGACCAATCAGAATAATAGCATGTGACTTTCAACGATCGTGTCTTCCGCGTTTCTCTTCTAATCTTACTCGAGTATGGTCATGCATGTTCAGGCAAAGATTCAGGTTACTGTCGATCCGGATATCTTGACTGGTTGAAACTCCACCTCCTCAATTGCCGAAACTTTCCCGTCATCTCTGATGGTTCATCCTCCATCACGACGGCTTCATGCTATCTCCGACTGGTAGTACCAGGATTTTGATATTACCTTCTTGCCAAGATGTTGTCTCCGGAAATTCGTGCCTCGAAGCTGAACTCATTGACATATTGCAGACTTCAAAGCGAGTGCTTGGTAATACTGTAAGACTATGCCCGACCAAACAGGAGATGATGATCAGGCCTCAACGTACCGTACCGTACCAGAGCCAGGAGGCCGATATCGTCTCTATCTTGGCGTAATCGGAAGCGAGTAATGTTGAGAGATAGCCCTTGCTGTCTGACATATTCAGGCAGAGGTGCGATCGTGCCCAACCAGCTTGTGAGACTTGTATCAATCGTGGCGAGATTGCAGACTGCAAATATGTTCCACGTGAACGTGACTCACGCCCGGTATTGTCACGATCAGACCTGCCGACTGCGTTCCAATCACGAATCAATCAACTCGAAAACCTTGTGCTTAGTCTTTTCAAAGCTCATCAAGAATCGCGAGGACAGCTAGACGCACTACCATCTTGTGTGACTAATGACCATGAAGACTTCCAAGACGATGCAGCCCGGCCAAACAGGAACCATGTTGTTGGATCTGATACCACGATTCACATCAATACTGAATATAAACAGTGCTCATCATACAATGAGGCACATCGGGCATTATTATTGAGCGAAGTCTGTCACATACGCGTTCGATGTTTGGTTGGCTAATTAGTTAGATTGATGAAGTCCGCCGTCATTTCCAAGAGCAGAATTATCGATACGAGGAGCAAAAGACGAGAATTTCCAATTTTTTTCGACGATATGACAGTCCTGGTCCCACTCTTCTGTTCGGATCCTCAAGAAACCAGAGTAGACAAGACTCACTATTGCAGCTACCCTCAAGGTATAGCTGCGATATCATGGTCAATAGATTCTTTGCTCACCAGTATCCGGCGATATGTATGTTTCAAGGCTCGAGAACGCGGCCCTCGCGGATCATAAAGATATACTTCGTGAACTCACTTATTACAAGCAGGTAATGCTTGCATTCTTCTCAATGTCATCTCCTAATCGTTCATAGTACGAAGCTTTCTGGAAGGACGAAGCGGAGACCTCAACAGCATGGATTGGCTCTCTGTTTGCTGTGTTGAGGGTCGCCACGATAGATGACATTCGTGAGGGTGATGCACCCCTGGAATTTGAAGGAAATTGTCAAGATCTTGGTACCTTGTTTCGAAATCGTCTCACAGATTGCTTGACTCTTGCAAATTACACAGTACCGCAGGAGTCTCTAATCGAAACCTTATGCTTTCATCTTTATGCAGAGTATGTATCCAGCAGAGATGCAAAGTCAGATATCTGGGTTCTGATCGGCGTGATCGTGAGACTAGCAATGAAGATGGGCTATTATCACCCGTCACGGCCGATCTCAAGTTTGACACCTTTGCAGGTATGATAAGATATCAAAACATTACATCTTCCTAACATTAACAGGCTGAGATGCGTCGCAGAACGTGGGCCCACATCAGGCAGGCCGATATCATGTTATCGTTTCAGCTCGGTCTGCCTTCCATGATCGGAATTCGTACACTTGATACACCTCCTCCCCGAGACGTTTACGATGACGAAAATTTTCACGAGGACATCACTGCAATTCCAGAAGCGCTCTCAGACTCTGAATCAACACAGATCTCGTACTTAATCGTGAAGAGCAAATTAGTATTTGCGTTCGCTCGGACGCTCGACGAGATTACTAGCCTAATGAGTTCGGGGAGAGTTTTCGAACTAGATCGTGAGCTTAAGCTTGTCTACGCCGATGTCTTTTCTCGTTACCAGCTAGGTCGACTATCTGGTCAAGTTCCTCTCGTACTTGTATCTGCTCGATTTGCTCTAGCGAGTATCCACCAAATATCCCTCTGTGTCCTTCACAGCAGATTTTTGAACAATCGGGACGATCGGTACTCATACTCGAGAAAGGCCTGTCTAAGCTCAGCTACGTCGATCCTGCGCTTTCAATATATTCGGAATGAAGACATCCCAATCGACTGTCACTCGAGAAGCATGACGAATCATCGGACATCACTCGCGATACATGATTACCTGCTCGCTGCGACGATTGTTTCCTCGGCATTGTCATCTCAACCTAACGACAAGCAAATTCAAGAGAGGATGATGGCAAACGATATCACATCTAGAGACGACACGATCCAGGCCCTCAGTCTCAGCGCTCGCATATTTGAACAGACGCAAGACCAGAGTATAGAAGCTTACAAAGCCGCTGACGTGCTCGAGATGCTGGTCAGAAAGTTCGGGGGAGTGTAAGATGCACGTGCACAGCATTTAAAATGTAGCTCAGCTCGTCAGAAAACGAGCACGTCAAGGTCTAGGAGTTTGGGCTTACATCCGCAGCAGTTACCACTACCAACTACGGATGCGCAGAATGAGTCTTATCTGGGACCTGTTCCAGGGTGGAACGCGGGCACCGCATCGGAGAATCACATAGGACATTGTCCAGGTCCTATCTCGTACACGACTCAGATCGATAGGTCAGACAGGGATGTGTTATCACAAGGTGGAGCACCGATGCCTTTACAGCTTTTCGATATCCTCTCGCAACCTCACCAGTCTCCTGGTGCTAATACCTTCACCGACGTGTGGATACATCCTGAATCTATGAATTCTTTGATGGTAAGTCAACCTTATACGCGTGTGCCGAAGATTCAGCTGACAGCTCTCTGCAGCAGGCTATGCTCGAAAGTAACGGCTCAAGCAGCACCACTTTCGGCTATGCAAACGACAATTCGTTCTCTCCCTCTGTACAGCTGGCCTTCACTGATCCAATGTCAGCTCTCTGGGATATGACGACGATAGGACAGAGTAGCCTTCACGTACGGTAAATGAATGTTTATCTATTCAAGACATAATACAATTCTACAAATCTTTATGACACTGTCTTTACAATCTTCGCAAACTGCGTCTGGCATCTTCTGTCGCGCGTCTATCGCGTAGCAAGCATAAACCTTCTCCCGTCATATGATATCCTAATCAGCACTGTACCGCCTCTCGACACCAGGATTGACATAGCTATGCTGCTTAATCCAGGCAGAGACATGTCTCTCTCTCGACACGTAGCACACATCAGAGTCGCCATCACCAGAACCTCTTTCCATACCCATTGAAGTGTCACTTGGACTAGGCAATCCGCATTCTGCCACAACAAGCAATTCTCCAGAAGCGCCAGGAATCCAGGAGAATCTCGAAGCCTCAGTCTCGTTACCGGAACTCGTGGTTTCTTCTCCTCCAACACCGAAACCATCGATACTCATTTTGGCTGATGAAGTTGTTGGGAAGCGCTGAGGGAGACCATCGTTACAAACTGAGCCTTCAATTCCAAAGACACGACGGAAGCTATACTGAGAATCCATTGTCATTCTCGAAGACGACGCCCGAGAATCTGTTCGTGACACCGAGGATGGGCTGCCGGTCTGTCTTCTCATCTGGTTAGTTGTGACGCGCGCATTGGTAGCCAATATTTCACAGAAGCTTAGCCTTCCAGAAGAGCTAGTCGGGAATCGCCGAGGAAGGTCGCCTGTGGCAGAGCGCGTAATCGTAGGTCTGCTTGAGGTTGAATTAGCCTGAGATTTGGGTATTGGAGAAGATGGATCATGTTCCTCAATGACAGAATTCAGGGTTGGACAAGATGACTGGCTCGAGGAAGCCGAGCCGACCACAGTTGAACCTGTTATTGACGGAGGAGACAGAGTCGATTCATTGCTGGCCACAGATTCGGTTCTCTGCTTACCCAGTACAGCTGAGCTATTACATGTTTGTGGTCCAGGCGCTTCCGGTATCACGTCTACTCGAGTGCAGACTTTTTTGACTTCAAAGCAGTCAGCAGATCGCATCCAGGTAAGGGGTCCAGCACTTCCAGCCGGTTGACTTCCAAACATGCTGATGTAGCCAGTCCCCATGATCTTGTGAGCTGTCTTCAACGCTAGCTGATCCATGTATTGATGTTTACGATTTGATTGAATAGCCGGCTTGTGGAAGAGTGACAGCAACACTTTGGCGATCTCGGCGCAGTACCACGATTTTTGAGCGAAGCAGAGTTTCATGACAGCCTTCCGAACCGCCTTCTTGAGATCGCTGACAAAGGTAGGGGACGATAGAGGCGGTATGTCGTGTATCCTCGCAGCAATCATGTGGCTGAAAGTGACGAAAAGTTCTGGAAGCAGAACATCAGGCTTGAATATCGAGGAAGAGTTTCTGAAGGCTGCCAGTGAACTCAACGTAGCAATGCGCGGCTTGTCAATCCAAGCTGACATGATGTGGCATGCCAACAACCTCGGCAGAATGAAGTCGTGGAATGTATCGGCAGGAACATGATTTACGTGCAGCTTGAAGTGTTCAAAAGTGCTGTGCAGAGCAGCAGACTCGAGTATATATGAACACCCAACGAGCAGTTGCAGTAACAAAGTGGTCTCTTCTTCATATTCCTGAATTTCGCGTGTCAATGTCTGTAGTTGAACTTCGAAGCAATGAAAGACTGCTGGCGGAGGTTGAGCTTTTTCCAACTCACCATATGCACGATAAGTCCCGGTAAGGCACAAGAACATCAACGGACTGGGTAGAGCTTCGGTGACAACGACTTCAACGTCTGCCCACAAAGACTCTACTATGTTCCCAGAAGGTGTGGTCCAGATTGATATCAGGTCGTCAGGCTTGGATCCACCGCCATAGATGCGATTGTAATTTGCCTTGGCCCAGATAATACTCGACGTTGAGACAGTCTTATCGTGGGTCATCTCATCAATCAGTCCTTGCAGAATCCCTGAAGCTTGAGGCCAGCACTTCAAGAACATGAGAAAGCAAGCACCGAGCATCTTTCTTTGATGGAAGATCGCGGTCGTACAGCAGGCCTCGTCACAATACTGTGGTTCCCACGACGAATTTGGCAGAGCTGTAGTTTTGGCTGTTGGTACGTCTTGATCGACCTGTAGAACTTCGGTAAGCTGCAACAGCATGGATGATATGTCATTTTGTTCGTGGTCTTCACTCAATGGTACTTCAGGGACAAGCAGAGGTGGACGCACCAAAGGCTGTCTTGCTGAAAGAGCCGACTTCCTACCAGGAACCGCTTTCCTTTTCAGACCCCATGCTGTCATCTGACCATTAAGCTGAGGCATTGATGGATGAAAATCGTCCTCTATTTTGAGAAACTCGTGTATGGCTTCTCGTGTCATTCCCGCTTTATGGAAGTCTTCTATCCTCTTCCTGTATGAATTCCATTCCCCTTCACTGATTCTCCGACTCCACCTGGAGCCATTAGGTGCACATGAGATAGCTTGGAACGGTCTTACGGATGTGTCCAGCATGCCCGAAGGACCAGATGTGCGTCCGCTTCGAAAAGCCATTGGATCAAGCCAGACCTGCTGCACTATGTGGCCATGTCTTGTTGGCCTCCTATGCTGCACGGGTGTAGTAAGACCTCGCTAGGCGTGAAGAAAGTTTGGCTTTCTTATGGTTCTCCTGGGCATGAGCATAGTAATATCAGATTGTTAAGACGCGATGTGAAGCGCCAGGCAGACATAGGGAACTTGTGCTAATGATTTCTCCTTTGAGGAAAACTCCTCCACTCGAGTGCAGAAATGACATGAACTCCAGGCTTGGCGGCTTGTATTTGGACCTTTTGGCGGATGACGTCAAGCTCACGAGTTTCGTGCTTGGCCTGAGGAGATGCAATTGCTGGGTCTTGCATTCAACGTGGGTGTAGTGACGGCTACTTCCCAGCTCTCAGAGTCTGTCTGCCTTGTCAATGTGACTGGAAGTCCGTCCAGGAAACGTGAGCCATCCCATTCGGCATTGGACGAAAAGATATTGTGATTCTCTCTCCTAGTTCTCAATGACCTGTATTCACACCCATATACTCTCTCCGAATTCAGTGGTATGGAATCCACACTGCAACCCAATTTCGTCGGCCCTTTCAGCCAATTGCTCGAGGATGATCTCTCCAGGTCCAGGTCCATCAGTAAGCGTGTCTTTGACATGAATGATATGCACTGTGAGGTTGGAAAGAGAGTCGTGGGGTTTCTCGAAGGCATTACTGTCCTCCGCTATAGCAGATTGGTGTAGAGCAGCATTGAGAGAATGACTGGCAGGACGAGTGGAATTTGTAGGTGAGGCTGCGGTCAAAGGCTGTGAATGGGACAGAGAGCCCGTGCGGATGCGTGGAGGCCCGCTAGGACTGTGTCCAGAAAAGTGGACGTGTTTCGTGGCTTGAGGTATTCGTGAAGGCGACTGAGCGCGAAGAGCCATGGGACTGACGTCGCCTGCAATAGCTGAGGTTGAAGTTGATGTTTTTCTACGACTGGAAGACGATCGAGTACCGACGTAGCCAGTAGTTGAGGGACTTTGTGGTATGTCAGGCTCGACAGACCCGTTGACTCGTTTGCGCTTCTTTGTTACTTCCGCCGGCCCGAGGGAATCCGTCGCTCGTCTTTGCTCAGCACCAGAAGTGAACATCGGCACTCTCGTCAAGGCTTTGGCGGCCTTGCACTCGGCCACTTCTCTTGCTAGAAATAGCAGCTCTTGTATAAGGTGACGAGGACAAAGATGTCCATACAAGTCGCTGTCTCTCACTGAGTCCTCGTACGAGCATTCGATGAAGATTGCCTTCAGAGTACCGTTTGCAACTTTCGACGCTGCCGTTCTCCACACCTTGTAATTTTGAGGTGAGGAGCTCACAGCATCAGGTTCAATGTCGCCAAAGATTAGCACTTCGTTGTTTGTTTCTTCGTTGAGAATAAAGAATGCTGAACTCTTCACAGGCTCAAAGTTGTCTGCCTCTAGTACGCCCAAGTTAGGTGTATGCAAGGTCGGATACGCCGGTGTTGTCGGTACAGATGGCAGATGTGCCAATGCGGAACTCTGTGAAGCATGTCCGTGTACTGCTGCGAAGTAAGATTCATGGTCAGAAATGCGTGATAAACGTCGCTGAGGAAAAGCATAAGCATCATGCCACCCAATCGACTCACTACGATGATGGGGCGAGACGGGCTTCGCCTTGCACTTGCCATGAGTGACGCCCATGCACAAGGTCGCAAGATTCTCACAGATACGCACGTAGCCACGTGCATCACCAGACCCCAAGCGATTATTTCCACCCTCTTTCAAGCGTCTGTAAGTCACGAAACCGACACCACTACCTTCGTCGGACAGATTTGGCCAGATTGAGTCGTTGAAGATATGGGACTTAATCGCTTCGATGGTTGAGTCCAGCGCGAGGATTGTTTTGGCTTCTCTTCCATACTCAAGTGCCGGTGTATTCACGCCCATTGCAGACAGGTGATCGAGATGTGGATGTGTGATGAGGAAAGCATGCATCAGCTCTCTGAAGATATGCAGGGCGTTCGCCCTCGCGGATATTCCAGGACATCTGACGCCAGCAAACGGGCCTTCTGCGATGACTTGTGAGAACCCAGGCGGTGGTCGCTCTTTTGAGAACAGAGGCATATGTTGCTGCAGGATGCGCACAATGCTCGCAAGGTGTACGCCTGCATCCACAGCAATTACGGAACCCTTCCTCCATTCCGACTGAGGTGCGCGTACGAGCAAACCAGAAACATTGTCTTCGCGAGGTCCACCGCTTGCGCCCTGTTTAGCAGTGTTAGCAAACCTGTCGCAGAAGAAAGCCTTTTTGAGATGGAACGGCTCACCAAAACTATGACCTGAAAACTCGCACCCTCTTTATTGCCATGGACCCGGCTGGAGAGACCAGACTCTCCATCTGTTGCATTTCTACGCATTGATACCTCGATATTTGTTGCTGCAGGCTGCCGACGCGATGTCCACAAGTTTGTCCTTTGAGATGGACTGTTTCGGCAATTGTCTCGGGTAGCTACCTTGGTGGAATGAGCATACAGCTAATCATTTCCTGTTCCTTCTCTACTTTTCCGAAGTCGTCGACATTGAAAGAGCAAATGATGGGCTCAGATATAGGAATCGTGGTGATGGTGGTACTGACAGAGTCGCGCGTTTGAAGCCAGGGAGAGCTATGCTACGACTCAGAAGCCGTAAGACACGTAAGACATAGGTAAACGGAAGAATGCAGTGCCAGTGCTGTGCAATGTGCCCCGAGCTCAGACAGCATAGCACAGTTGCGCAGCCATGGACAGTGGCAGGCACGACACAGCTTCCAAGGTCTAAATTCACCACCGCAAACAGCTGCGTTTCTTCGTTGGGCAGGAGCATTCACCCTGGTCGCGTGCGTCATTCGGTGGTTCCTCCAGCGGCAGTCACCATCATTGGTGCTTACCTCGCTTAGGTTATCGGCCAGGAAGAACGAGGTGGAGAGATTCAAGTACGACCTAGGGCCTAGAACACATGCCGAAGACGAAAACACTAGGCTTAAGTGAGGCACGTCCAATGCCGAACTTATTGAACAATGGTAATCATACATAATGATATTTCCTCGTAAATTTTGGGTATCTTCATATAGGTCATGACTGGTAGTTGGCTGTTCCTCCCCCAACAGCAGCATCATAAGTTGGGATAGGTGGTGACTCGTCCCCGTCTCCTACAAGTAGTCTCCGTCTCTCCCTCTCCTCACTATCCTCCGTACTACTTCGCGGACTTGCTCCTGGACTTGTGTACTCAGGCGGCGGAATGATTTGTTGACCCGCGGGAGTGTTCTCGATGGGTTGGTGTTGCACATCGCCAATCATGCTTGCTTCGCTCTGACTCAAATCCTGCGACGAGCCAAATTGTGCGAGGGATGCTAGGGAGATGTCTGTCGGTGAGCGTACCGGGCCAGAATTTCCCGTTGGCAAACCCAATCTTGCTAGACCGCTTCGTGTTCGTGAGTGACCAGGTTGGTATTCAGGTTGCCGTACGCCGTCGCGGCCGCTTTCGAGAAGGATGCTGCCTTGCTCACTACCATATGGTGGTGGAGGTGCTAGACTGCCAGTCATTGGGGCAAGCCCCCACTTCTTCACATTTGCTTCAATGAAGACGAAGCCCATCTGGCCGAAATTCACGTGCACAGTACATGGACCATTAGCACCGACTGTTGGGAAGAAATTCTGTGATTTTAGATTGTGAGCGACTTCTTCCAGTTTCTTGCCGTTTCTGGTGAAGAAGATACTGCCTGTTCGTGGTCGGTACCCAATTCCAATCACATCTCCCTGCACGTATTCAGGACCATATGAAGTACCGGAGAACGGCTGGTTGTAACGTCTCAGCCCATTCGACAGGTATGCAATCGATGTTTTGTGAAAGCCTAAAGTGGTCAGTGAATTGACTGAACTTGTCCATGTATTGACATACCTGGTAGTCTGAATAGAGGATATGGCTTTGTAGTCAGACCAATACTGATAGTACTTGTCTCTGGTTTGTCATAGACTTTTGCTTCCCAATAATATACTTCGTTCTGCTTAGGTATCGGCAAGTTGCTCTGTACACTGCATTCTGCGTCGAAAAATTCTATCTCAGTCCGCGCTTCAACAAAACAATTTGCGATCTCGAGCTCAGGTTCGAACTCCCATGCTGAAACTCCCTTCTCTTGTATCGCCAGAAACTGTGATAAGGATATATCTGTAGGTGTGGTCTCGGGAGGATTGGCTGAAATAAAAGCTGCGTTGATTAGCACTCTGTTTGTGACTGCGACACATTGTAGTATGGCTCACCTTTAGCTCTGACATATTCTGCTCGCTGCATATCATCCATACTCTCCAGCGCCTCCGCCTCTTCCCTGATAAAAGCTTGCTCGTCATCGAATTCTCCAGGTCGGCCTATCCGGTCTAGAATGATGCGACCTCGAGAAGTATACTTGAAGAAGAAAAAGATGGCCAACACAAGCACGGCGATCCCAGCCGAGCCAAATGCAGACAAGAGGCCAATAAGGATACCTCTTCCAGTCGATCCGCCATCGTTAATATTGATCACTATCGAGGTCGCTGCTCCATTGTTCTGAGATGGAAATTGTTGGTGACCTCTTACGAAAGTCGGAGGTGTCTGAATATCATGTTGTAGCGAGGTCGGTGAAGGATGATAGGACGTGGCAAAGGTGGTTTGTTGAAGTCTGTCTCTGAAGCGCATCGCTTGTGTTGCTCTGTAGTGTGCCGGCGAGGTATATAGGAAGAGCAGGAAGTAAGGAATTGATGTCACTGTCGTTGTCGCAGAAACGACTCGAGACACGAAGGAAGCGGTGACTCTTTCTCCCTGGTGACGATGAAATTCGGTGGGGAACGGCTTTAGCACATCATCTTGAAGCTTGTAGTATTAGAGTATCTCCAGGATACAGATGTCACACGAGCTGTCGAATGTATGTTCCTGAATCGTGACATGAGTAAGGTGATGGGGCACCGGGGCTGGCCCGGCTGCGTCCCAAACTGGTGGCGGCTTCTCGGGCTACACGAATGGAGCTGCGACGGCCATTCTTACCCAATGATGGTTCACGAAGAATGGCGAGACCTTCTAGAGCACGCCTAATGCGATGATTTCATCGCTCGGGCAGGGTAAGATTGTGCAGCCTTGATTCAGCTGTAGAAGACCGTTGGTATGGGATGTTCAGCGGCAACTTGTTTGCGTGCAGCAGCAGCCTTGAATAAAACGACCTCAAAAACATCGCGTTCTTTGCATTCATGATTAGTACACACCATGCCCATGGTCACTCTAGCAGCATACAAAGTTTACCAGCGTACGGTAGAGCCTGGCATAGCCCTTCGCCCTACAGACGGGTTCCTAAGGCCTGCTTTCAGTATGCAGTGTTGGTGCCATACTCGTCTGGGACCATGCAGACCGCATCAGTACTTTGCATCGATGATACGACGACTAGTAGGTTTGCTCAGAGGTAATTTGTTTACACTGATAGCAAAAACGCGATAGTACCTCGTTGTCAATTTATTCTACTCAATGGGATGTGATTATGCTCTCGCACCGTGAACTCTATCCTAGCTCGTTGAGACCTGCGCGATACGCTAGGTATATTACCATGTCTTTCCACCTGAGGATGATTGCCATATAACAACCATGTCTTCGCAACCTACGACCAGTCTCCTAAAAAAGCCCGAGCCTCATGACTGTGACATGGCAGTCACACTTTCTGGACCCTGCACTACGGATGAAACCCGTTCAGGTGATATTGGCTGGGACTTATTAGATGACTACATACCTATTTGTTGGAGATCGGCGGCAGACACGGTTGCTACAGATGCTGGTGGCTACAAACCGCAGAAGAATACTGTGCGATGGCTCGAAGACATTCCCTACGATGTCAGATACCTGATCTACCAACATGTGTTCCGCACAATATCAGTGAATACGCATTTCCGTAAATCATGCACAAACTTACGCAGCCAGCCAGACGATTGCAGACTGACTCGGATGACCTGGCTCAATCTCCCTCTGACCAACAGGCGAGTCTACAGCGAAACCATGCGCGTCTTCCTTCAAGAAGCAGATTTCAATTGCTTCAACGACTGTCCGTGTTGGCGTATTATCTCCAGGTCTCAACGTTATAAATCGATCGAAGAGGGTTGGAATGCCGTAGCTCGTCCTAGAGCTGGTGTCCGTCACGTCACAATCTCACTCTATCCTCGCCGAGGGTTGGACCTGAGGAATCTGATGCCCTTTCCATACTTCATGCACAGCACGCTTCAGAGCATATCACTTAGTCATCCACTTTGCCAAAGCCCGTTTGGGCTCAATTACAAAGCAAACTGGCTGCTTCGACATGGTTGCAAACATGCTCGAAGATGGGTTTTCACCCTGCTACCGACTGACGGGCTTAAAAGTGACAGATACATCACTTATACACCGCGTTCCTGTCGTGTCAAAATCGACTTGGACGACCTCACCATAATCGAGATCACGGGCATCCTCACGAACGACATCATCGACGTTATGAGACAGTTCATGCAAACCGAGCTCTTTTCCAACAAGACCTGCTTCATTGTCAACCGGGTCTTTCCATGGCTTCATGATCAAATTCTCATCTCTCACGTGGACCTGGCGGGAGCACGATATCATAGTGCTCGGCACGATTTGAGATCTAAACTTGTCTGGTCGCACGTGAGATATCTGCTGGTCGAGCCAAACAAGGACCTTATCCGCAGGTTCAGTCGACCCGTACCTAGGCCAACAGAGGAGTATGCCTTGTTTCAGAAAGATATGAGATTTACTTGGTTCGAGCCAGCCTTGCAACGCGAGAATTTCACGTGCGAGCTCATATGTGGTGCGGGACTGCTCATTACGATCATGTTCCTATGTTTGGACTTATGAGTGCTTTAGCTAGACATTTTAGCTCTCCAACCTTTTACCAATCTTACAGCATACCTCGATCCCCATGGACACCGCCAAATTACGCATGCTCTTCGTCCCCCACTGCGATCCTCGGATTTGCATGCCCGACTGGGCTTCTTTCTTGCAATTTCTTTCTTCTCGTCCGCCAAACCTTCAGAACGAAGTCTAGTCGATTTCTGCAACGCTTCCAGTTCGCAAATCCCTGAGCTTCGTGGCTAGACCGTATTGTTCAAGCTCACTGCTTGGAATTGTGGTTATAGCAGTGGCGATATTAGATGACTCGGTTCCACGGACGATAGGGAAATGTGAGTTTGGTTCCACGACAGCCGCCGAAAACTCCTGGAAATCGACCGGGACTTCGTTGCTATATGTGTGGCAAAGTATACACTCTCTATCAGAGGTAGACCACCACGGCAGGTACTGTCAAATCATCCGAGGCCATTGCAACCTGAATACTAATCTTGCTTCTGGCACAGGTTGTAAGTCATCGGACGAGCAGGTGTGTCGTGTAGGTTATACCGACAAGAATGGTATCAGTCAAGCTTTTCATCAGCAGGAAAGAGCGCTTCAACAAAGTAGGCATTTAAGATTACTGTTTTTACTGACTTGTTGGGCGAGCAAGTTGTACATTCCTGCAATGTCAGCAGCGAAAGACTGAATATTGGAGTCATAGCAAAGACCACTCCTTCCGATCATTGTGATAGTCTAGAAAACCCAAAGCACAAGTACTCATTCTATCCAACAATAGTCGCAAGACCTGTCAGGGAGGAATGTAGTATTTTCGGAATAGACAACTATGTAACAACAACCTAGCGGCTTGTAGATACACCTTCCTCGTCGCTCGCAACACTGATCGTAAATCATTCTCAGGGACAAGACAAGCTGTCGTCATACCAATATAACCTCATCCAATAATGTCGCTTGGGCTCAGCGAGGAGGGACACTTCTCGGTACCGATCGACGGTGTGATTTGTACCAGATGCTTTGACGTAAAAACCATGATTGTTGTCAGTGGCCTTTTACGACCTAATTTGGGCAAAAAGGAGCATTCGAATAAGAGCTCAGCGCGTTCGAGCCACCAGCAGTCGAGATGCATTCACCGAGCCTTAGACTGTTCACGCCCTGCACACATGCTTCCAGGGTGTAATATCCTGCACAAGCTTGAGGCGACCATGCTCTCAACTGCTGGAATTGCCCACCATTTGTTGTGAGTTTGAGTGATTGGAAGCCTGAGGTGTATGCGCAAGTATTGTCGTACACATTTCGAGACCAAGAGTTGCCTGTACAATCGCCATTCTCGTACATCTCGACAATGTAGGCTTGAGTGCTAACACAAAGGCTTGCTCCAAGAACGATAAAAGATATAAGGTTCTTCATGTTGGCTTCTTGACTATCAATGGTTCAGGAGTATTGAATTAATGGTAAGAGAGATGAAACAGTTTCGTTTGTTTTCGAATTCAACTTTTTGACTTGCGACTTTTCTAGGAATGGGAGGACGCTGGTTCTTATACGCACGAGCATTCTCATACTATATCTCGGGCTCATTCCCAGCACATATTGCACCTGACTCGATGGCCTCATCATCTTCGTTGGAAACTCTTCAGCCACATGATTAAGTTCAGCTTTAGTCCCCTTATACGCCTAGCTCAGATGCCATAGATCTCCGCCCTGCCTTGGCTAGTGGATTAGGTATCCGTTTTAATCTTGGCCTAACCTTCGTTCATGTACGTGTTGTACTGTCGACATGGCTGGTCATGTCCATGTTCGTTCGTCACCCACCAGCAGATCTAGTGAGCATATCTCAAGATATTTGCGAATTCTCGCACTGTTTGTTTAGAGGTTATGTGCGCGTAGTAGCGGTTGCAGAATCATACAGACAGGCAATTCGTCTCTCAATATTGCACAGAGATGACTTTGTGATATCAAACAAGACCGAGCCTGGTACATCATCAGCTTGGTTGTCAGGTCAGAGCTTGTGCGGACAATGGCCGACCACGACAGTTCCTCGAGCAAGACTTCGATACGATAGTTGGCAACGACAGGCGATTGGAAGATGGTGCATACTATTCAGCACCGCTCATGAATATGTGTGCCTGTTGATGCAGCCAGCTGGATAGAGATGCATTGCGACAACTCGGAAAGAGTTATGATCAACGGGACTTGAAAAGAGTGTTCCTTGGTTGTAGATCGTGTAGGCCGGCAGCCGTGCCAAGACCATGACAAGGTGGACGCATTGGCGTGTGGATGCAAAATGTTTTCCACAGCTTGAGAGCTTTGCCCAAGTTGCTATATCTTAGGCGAGAAGAAGAAGCACACCTTGCAACCACTGGTGAAGTGATACTAAGCAACGTGTGAGGCAGACACTTGACATTACTTCACTTCTAGAGACGGTCTTGCACAGTCACTCTTCTAGTCAGACGTCGATGCGGACCTCGACAGGCCCGTAGAGGTCACAACATCTGTCGAGGTCGCAGGCTCAGTCCGGCTCAAGGCCTTGTCACTCTCTTTGAAGGGGAGGTGGCACATATCGATGACGAAAGCCGATCGTGTCGGCAGACACTCTCTCGCTTCACCTGCACTTTACGTCACAAACAAAAGCTCAGATGTCGTCCTATATTCAGGCAATGCTTCGCTGCATCCTGTATCGCGGGAATACTTGCTGTAGAGAATCAATTTAAATTTGACGCAACATGGATTTCCCTGCAGGCTTTTGCGCCCTGCTTCGACAAATCTTATGCGCTTTTGCTCTCCTCGAGAAAACTCTTGATTGCTGAGGGGTTATGAGCACTTCTCCGAAAATTAGTGCATCATGTCGAACGTCTACATTGTCGCACGACAGTGATCTCAGTTGTTGTGCCATACCACTACGGCCTATAGGTTTAGACCAGCCAGCGACCTTGTTGCTGACAAAGCTATAGTTCTTGGAACTCCGTTCTTTAGTATCCTCTTGCTAAACAGTATTCAGGCTGTAGGGGCAGAGTCTACACGCTGCCTTTGAAGCAACCACTGCTTTCAAATCAAGATGAGTGGAATCGAAGTCAAGGGTTCCCCTTTTGCCTCGATCATATCTCAACAGATTCCGGATTTCAGCAGCTACGAAGACCTCTACAAGCATTTTCATCGCAATCCTGAGATCTCTACTCTCGAGACTAAGACCTCAGCCAAGATTCTAGAGGTTCTCCAGTCGTTGAACTCGCAATACGGCTCACCAATCGAACTCAAACACCCAATTGGTGGCACTGGCTTGATTGGTATTCATCGCAATGGGACGGGCAAGACCTTACTGCTTCGTGCTGATTTCGACGGACTGGGCTTGCAAGAGAAGACTGGTCTAGATTATGCCAGTACGGCCCGCCAGTTCGATTCGCATCTCGATAACGTTGAGAAACCAACTATGCATGCTTGCGGACATGACTTCCACATCACTTCCATGCTTGCTGCTATTGAGACTTTCCTCAAGGCCAAGGATAGCTGGTCCGGAACATTGATCTACCTCTTCCAGCCAGCTGAAGAGCGCGGCTGTGGTGCACAGATGATGCTCGATGATGGCTTGTACGATCGAGCGAAGCACGCCTGTCCAGAACCAGATATCGTGTTAGGACAGCACGTCATGGCCCTCAAGACAGGAACTGTACATACGCAGACTGGCCCGACTATGTCAGCTGCTGATAGCTACCGGATCACCATCTATGGTCGTGGGGGGCATGGCTCTATGCCTCATTACACGATTGATCCTGTTGTGATAGCATCCCATATTGTCGTCAGGCTACAGACTCTTGTCTCACGCGAAGTCCCACCAGACGAGACCGCTGTCGTCACAGTAGGCAGCTTCCATGCAGGTCATACCGTGAACGTCATCTCCGACGATGCTATTCTTCAAGTCAACATCCGCAGCTTCAGTGAGACCTGGCGAAAAGTCCTGCTCGACGGCTTACATCGCATCGTCGATGCAGAATGCACAGCTGGTCGTAGCCCGAAACCTGCTAAATTCGAGAAATTGAATCAGTTTCCACTCACCGAGAACGACGCTGATGTGACAGCTCAAGTCAACGACTCGTTCATCTCGTATTTTGGCAAGGACAGAGTTGACACGAACATGGCTGCACAATTGGGTAGTGAAGACTTCAGCTGGCTTGCGCGCCGAATCGACAAGCCTTATATGTTCTGGTTCTTTGGTGGGACGGATGCAGAGGTGTGGGATAAACACGAGAAGGAGGGGATATTGAATGAGATTCCAGCGAATCATAGCCCTTATTTTGCACCAGTCATCCAGCCGACTTTGAGGGTGGGAGTAGAAGCTATGGTTGTCGCGGCGTTGACTTTCGTGGGAAAGAACTAAGGCTGGCACCACACTACCATCACGTGCTGCCCGACTAGTCTTATCATGCGCGAAATGGTTCCATCCGAGCAATTGTCGCACCCACTGCCTTGCAGCGAACTCAAAGTTGAGGCTGAACGGTTGTGCAGGAAGTAACATGCCGCCTATCGACCGACAGACCGCCGGCATAAGTCTCTTGAAAACTTGACATGTAGCGGATGAGTGATACAGTTTGAGGGTTTGCGCCACTACCAGCTGAAAGGCTTCCCGATCCAGCAGTAGAAGTGACTGCAGTGCAACTTTCTACGATGCTTCGTTCCGCTTAATATGCAGTTGTCGGTTTGTTGAATACCGTGCCTTCTCAGTTATGGCTATGACATCGAATTCGGTTGTCTCGTCATGTACTGGATATCACGAGTGAAGGCAGAAGCGTCGTTCAATTGTTGGTCAAAAGGGGAATATTGTAGAACGCTCAAATCACCTTTTGACAACGATTTACACGCAGCCAAACGAAAGATGTGTTTTCGTTGCAGAGCCAATACATACGCTGCTGCGAACAATGTTAGTGTACTTGTCGATAATGTCGTTAGTATGATCATCTTGCCTCAGCCCATGCATCGGAGATGGATGTCTCAATACCTGCCCTCCATTCCTCAGATCTCCGTGAAGAGAGCTGTAAGTCGAGATTTCTCGTGGTACTACTGCTCGACAGGTTCATTGAAGTGCGATGTCGCGTGGAATCGATCACTTATCATCTGCACCCTATGTACCATCTATCTTATCAACGATGGAATCAAGGGCAATAGGACTGTATTCGAAGAATTTGCACAGACCTCAACGCAGAGACCTGGAAAAGCCCTGTGCATGTAAAAGGTTATCGTTTGGTTCTATGTACTATCTTACCTGTTGCAACTCAAGTCAGCCTCAGACTCTGATATAATACTCGCGACCACTTTCTTGTTTTGTTTTTTGATTTTGATAGACTCGTCCAAATCACAGATTTTATGCAAATTCCTCCTGGGCGAACCGTGTATCGCCTTCCTCGCCTAACCGAACGTAGGATCTCGTGTATTGCCTGTACAGGGAATACTTGTCCTAATGAGTTCTTCGGCGAGGTTTGGTCGCTTCCATGCGTCTTCCGAATAGTTGTGAATTACTTTCTTTTGAATGATGTAAGATTCCTTTTCAGCGGTTTTCTTTGATTACACACCGGTTGTTTGAAGTTCGCAGTCTCATTCGAAGACCTTCTCTTCTCAGTGTACTTGTATCAGGATTTGAGTGTTTTCGAGGACGACCGGAACCCCGTGGGTGCTTCGACCACAAAATTAGAGGCTGAACCTGTGTAATGGTGTAGTGTTAAGAAAACTTCGATTGCAACTCGTCTGGCTGGTAATGGTACTCGAAGAAGGCAATCTCCAGCCCACATCGAGTGACCATAAACATTTTTGAGTTTACGTTTGTATTCGTAGAACACAAGGTATTTTGTAGTTTTTTGCATCATGGTAGAGTTGTATCACGTCTTCCCCATCGAATCTGGAATTAACCATATCATGGGAAAGTGGCTTTGCATTCGCCGGAGCATCCAAAATTTCAATCTGGTTCTCGCCGTGATATGTCATAGATACACAACCTCTGAAATGGGGTATCTCCTCCTCATCCAGATTGGTTAGATCGTTGTGATATTCAAAAAATGCAATATCCAGACCTCGTTGTGCAATAATGTAGCATTTACAGATACCGGCCTTAGTACCTTGATTGTGCAAGGTTTCAGTGAAGGATATCAGGCTTTGTTTCACGGCGCTTGCCATGTTATCCCCTTGAACTCTTTTCACTTCGTAGATCGCATGTAGTAGGCAGGTTCCGTCTTGGTTTACTTTATCGATCGTGAGGTCTGGTCTTTTATTTGTAAAAGGATCCGATTTTTCTGGTGTAATAATCCAACAAGTGTCTTGGAACACTTGTTTTGCAATTGTACAAGCAAATGCACCAGCTTGCCATTCAAGAAAAGCCTTTTTCCGAACCTCAATCTCTAACGGTTGTCCAGTATATGGATTAATTTTCTTTTCTTTTCTGAGAACGGTGACTTGTGTTTGCATCTTATCAATCGTAAGTTTAACATTTGGCATTTCCATGTATTTTGGAGAATTTGCCTTTTCCATTTTTTCTTGATAGAGGTCATTTTTGTGATAGGTAGATATGGTTTGTTTGTTTGATTGTATGATTGAAGTTTAAAAATTTTTGTAGATTTGATGGTTGTATGTAAAGAACTCTTCAAGGAGATTTCGAAGTGCTCTCGTCCTACTCTTTCAATTTCATGACGACGTGTAGTTTTGTTATCCTAAGCTCCAATTATAGACGCAATTCGATACAAATTGCAGTTTAGCTCCTCGACCCTAGAGCACTGCAACATTCTGACAGTCGATTGAGGTAAAAGTCGTTTGTGTCCTTCGCTGCAGGCTGTTCCTTGTGAAACAATGGCAGGCAGAATGATATTATGCTCAGCCAGAACTTGGCGGCAACTCTTTCTCTTGTATTCAATGTGTAGCTTCTCTTTCGGTGGCTGCTTTACAAAACAGTGACTGCCTCATGGAATTTATCGTCGTTTGGGTGTCTTGCCCAATGTACTAGCTGCAATGCGCAGTGGCTCAGATAAAACGTGCCAGAGCGTGGCATAGAGGTACTTCGACGAGAGACCGGAGTGAGCCGTGCGCATGAGGTGAGACACAGCTGCTAGAAATTTCTGGATAAGAATTCGAGGCAGAGTCGTGCAGAGGCAAATGGCGAGAGGGTGACTTGCTAGCATTGAGGTCGAGGTTTGATGTTTCCCTCGTATTTGATGTCCCTGCTCGATAAGGCCCCTCCTTCCACCACATCTGTACGAGCAGCGTGAAGGCGCTGCGCCCACACCTTGAGCAATAGCTTCGAACACACCATATTGCTGAACAAAATTGCTTCGAGGATTATCTCGGGTCTATCGCGTCGTTGGGTAGGTACTAGCACGCCAAGGCACCTGTCTGGTTACAGTTTAGCTTGCATAGGCATTAGCTTGCACAATATCAACATGACTTCTTTCTCTGTAGCTCGATCCTTGTCACCCTTTGTCCAGGATGAACAGCAGATAAAAGATTCAAAGATTTTCCTTTGTATCGGCTTCGCAGGATTGTGGACGATAAAGCATGTCAAGAATGCTTGCTCCGAGTTGTACCTGTCGTCTTCTGTCATCGAGGCAATCACAGGCTGAGGCGCAGGACATGCCTGTGGTGAAGTGAAAGATTCTTTTAATATGTCCAGTCACTCTTCTGTTGCAACCAGCATGAAGCCGAACTGCATCTGAAAAAGGTTACTGTCATCGGAATAGGTTCCAAATGACTGGGCATGCGCTCGCTGCTGCGGCATGATAATTGCAAACTATCTCTGTTAGCAATGTGCAGTCTGCCACCAGACAGACTGCACCAGTTCTTCGAAGGTTTAGTGAGGGTGCAGAAGATGCTGTGTAGCAAGCAATGAAAGCCAGGTGCAGCTTGTGTAGAGTCTGAAGGTATACACCCCTCCAACCGTTTCTTCGCTGAACATGGGGCTTCATCTTCGCCTCTCCGGCAGGTACCCGGAAAGGTCTCAAAATGTTCCCACCCCCCCTTTGGGAGCTCGCAAGGCAAGGCTCGTGTGCGGAGTAAGGAGGCATCTCGACATCGTGTTGGACTTTAGCCTGGGCAATCCCTGGTGGCACACTGTCTGACTTGATCACTTTCCCACTACAAGCATAGACTGCTAGGAAGAGAGAATATCTAACACTGTTAGTAGTACAGCATGCTGTATCGACAGAGTGCTTCTTTAGACGTTGTGGGGATGCGGGTGTTGTGCTTTGCAAGCAGAAAAGGTCAAGCCAAACTTCGTACCAGACCTGAAGGCTTACGCCCCTCCAACCGACACGTTTTAGACATAAGACATGGCCTTCGCCGTTGCGACAGGTTCTCGACAACGATCTCAAGGGTGTCCCACACCCCTCCAGGTCCTGCAAGCAGGGTCCAATGACGGATTAAGGAGGCAGGTTTTGGTTCCTTGTTAGACTTCGATCTCCGGCCCCCAGAGCTGCTCAGCTGGCTGACCCAATCACTTCTCACGAGACCACAACACGCTATGCTTGATGAAGAGGTAGAGATACTGACCAAACGCCAGTCGAGAGCCAATGCAGAATAGTCATCGACGTATGTCTGAAGCCTGTGTGGGTAAGAAGCACAGCAAGATCGTCTGCTACTGTGAGCGCAGTTTTTGCTTTTGACAGAGTGGTCGAAAAGAATGAGGATTGGCAAGAAAGACAGCCGTGAAGAAATTAATATCTTGCAGGTGAGCGGATATCACTTAAGTCTGCGCGTGCTTAGTCACGGGTTCAGGCGCTAGTGACTGGTTTCAGCCTCGCGATTGAGTGCAAGTGTAAGTGAATAACGGTCAATGAAGTGAGGTGGACAAAATCGTTTCTCGCCACTTTCTGGTCTGAGCACGAGTACCAAAGATCATGAAGACCGTGTCACTACTAATCACTTGCTCGGATATCATCATCTCACCAAGTGACACCTAGATGTTCGCTCGATTCGAGTGTTTACATGTGCAACACTTTCGACCCGCACTTGTTCAGACTGAGCCGCACGTTGAATATATTGCTTTCATCTGCCAACTGCGACCGAAGTTATCTTCTCCACCACAATTTACCGTCCGTCAAAACCTCTTCTTCGAAGTTCTTAGATAAGTGTTTTCAGTATGGCTCGTCTTATGTCAAGATTAGTCGATAAGAAACGTCTAAGTTCCACTCTCAACGACGACACACCATCCTCGGCTTCCACAAAACCCACCCGCGAACGCACCCCGATGGCAGCAACTCGATCTTCCGCCCGTCTTGTCAAGCTCAACCAAATGGGAAATAACCAGGTAGACAACTCCGATCACGAGAAGAGCGTGAAGGTCAACGGGAAGGCCAAGCAGCAACGTGAAGACATGGAAGCAAGCCTTCAATCACCTCCATATGTCATTAGTCCAATTTCAAATGATCGATCGCCAGCACAACTCATACCATCGAACCTGGTCGTCATGCGGCAACGTCGAACTCTGGTTGTTCAGGCTCTCCTGTTTGTGGCTAAGCCTAACGATGTGGACCTCGACACCGGACCAGTCGTGCGAGAAGATGCCATGCAAGAACAGAGCACAAGCACAGGTGTTCTTCGAAAAGACCCTACGACACAAGATGGTCTTTCCGCAACCGAACCTGCCAGCGACAAGCGCCGTTCCGTACCCTACACATTGCCAATGCTCACAACATCTGGCGCTAAAGTTACAGACACATTCAATTTTATCGAATTTGATCTTGGATCCCGTGCAGTACACATCGGTATTCCTCTTTCAGAAAAAGGAAATGTCGTGAGGGGAATCGATGTCAAGAGTGCAGTTTCTTCAGCATACAGAATATCCTTGTCATATGTGAACATAGACACGGAACGAAATGCGTCCATCGCTGGATTTTGGCTCATTAACACGGACGATGACGGACAACAAACTGCTTCCGATTATTACGTCCTGCGCGAATCTATCTCTGACGAGCATGTCACACAATTCCTGTTCGCCCAAGGTCCGGTCCTACCTAAGATCTGTTATGTACTTAAAGCTGAGTCTTGGACTGCTGCTGGAAACAAGAACTTCCAGGTCAAGTTCTGTGACAATCCGTTACACAAATCTACACACCTCGGCTCTCCACCGCTTCTCAATGCTCTGGCCTCAGACGAGCAGAAGTCGATCCGGATCGAAGCCCTTACCAAAGAACTTGCCGAGCTGAAAGTGGTCCACAAGGCAGCCATGGAAGAGCTAGCGACAACTAAGAGGCAGGCTTTGCACGGTTGAAATTATGCCTGGATATCTTTAATCACGCTTCTTTGAATGCTGATAGGCATCTGAGTCCTGTGCAAGTAGTCATTGCTGTGATCATCGGAAAGGGGTGGCTATGCTCAACTGAAGTGCATCGATCTGGTGAAGACGATAACTCAAGTGTTTGTATACACTTTGCACCAAGTCCTTACCTGTCAGGTTGTGAGACCCCCTGCTTTTTGCCATGGTCCACTTGCTTGGGATACTTATGTCCTCCCAAAGAGAATGGTTTGAAACACAAATCTAACTTTAGTACCTATGCTGATCTCCCAGCGAACGAGATTGTCCTGGTCACTATGTAGCGATGCAGGAATACAATGGTCGGCACCGAGTCACTGATCAAATCTAGTTTGTCTAGTATGTGATCATTCTGATGATATTAGACAAGCTATCTGCACTGAATCCTATAGCAGATGTGAAACGAGAACACACCGCTAAATAAGACCTCGACTCTTCCCAAAGGCAGGCGAATCGGACCGCTTCTTGCTAGGAACAATACTACCAGAGTAGCTTCTTCTGATCTGTTTGGCAAGCTAGACCCGCACACAGCTCTTCATCCTCCAAACTCACTTGAGCAGACCCAGGTAGTTTCTGTCGAGCTGGCCAAATCTCTCCACCGGCTGCTTTCTCCAATTCAACGTGCGCCCTGATCGCTTCACGATCGACCTTTTGGAAGTACAGTGGACCCTTTTCGAGGCGAGGATGTAGCTCACCATTGACGATGATTCCAGCATTGAGGTTCTTCTGAACCTGCTCACAAAGAGCTTTGTCTTCTGACACCACACGGGCGTACATTTCACTTATGAGTTTGAAGTCCTTGTCTGATGAATTTTTGTTTCGGAATATCTGGTAGTGCATCGAGGATTTTGTTGGTTCATAAGGCAGGAATCGCTGTAACATCATAAAGTGCGGTCTAGAAGCCTTGTTAGTCATTGACACTTTCCAGCAGAGACAAATATGACACTCACAATACTGAAACCGAGACATTGGGGAAGTAGTATGTGCTGGAAATTCCTAGACCGTCTCTCTCTTGGTCTTCATTCAACACCGACTGATGTCTGATGTAGCCGAGCTCCCCTACCACATCATGCGTCGTAATATCTGCTAAAGTTGGCAGATCTGGATGTGTCGTCGGGCAGTGATAACATTCATTGAAGTTGTCAGCAAGAATCTTCCAGTTGTATGAACCGTCGAGTTGATATTCGTGGTCAAGAATATAATCTTCGAAGTTGAACTGCTTGTATCGTTCTTGTAGGTCAATTCCTGCAAACTGATTTGACCACGGCTCTGGAGCCTCGGACGAGTCAAGATTTATCCAGATGAAGTTTTTGCTGTCGACGTGCACATGAACTGGAAAGAGGTTGTTCTTGGTCTTATTAAAACCCTCTAGCTCGTCGTACTTGGGAGCCTTGGCTAGTTTACCGTCCAGACCATAAGACCACCCATGATATCTGCAGGCGAATATCTTAGCATTGCCTTGTTTGCCTTCAACGACTGAAAAGGCTCGATGCCGGCAAACGTTGTGAAAGCCATTGATCTTTCCTTGTCGATCACGGGCTAACACAATTTCGTATCCAGTAACATCGAACTTCAACCAGTCACCAGGTTGTGGCAAACGTCCGGCATGTGTGGTAAGTAGCCATTTCTTCGAGAAGATTGCCCTTCGCTCCAGTTCGAACATTTCTTGTGAAGTGTACCAACTTGCTGGAAGTGCACGAATTGGACTTTTGTCCTCGGCGACAGAATCGCGACCCCCGAAGCCGAGATAATTGAGGAAAGCAGGAGCCATATTGAAAGTGTTGTGTGAATTGAAACTTGCTGTTGCGCGGTAGTCGATGGTGACTTGTCCTGTGTCTGACAGAAAATTGCAGACTCCGTCTTCTATAACCCCTTACTGCACCATTCACAACGTCCATCGCCTCTCCATATCACTGGTAGCATTGATAACGTGAACCGCAGTCATGGGGTATCCGCCTTCGAGAGCTGAAGCCGTAGTGCGGTGTAGTCGTTAGATTGCCTGTTTTGGACATAATTTCCATAGATAGTGTTCCAAGTTGATCAATACATAAAGGCTCGACAAGAACGAGCCATTCATAAAACAGCCGTATGAGCTCGAGTCTGACTTGGCTGAACATCGACTTTATCATTGAGCATGGCTGGGTCTCGCTCTCTTTTTCTTGACTGGAATTGGCAGTCGCCCCGCGGTCACGGGCTCTTACACTTGACCAAAACTGGAGATTCAAAACATGAACATGATTCGCAGGCCAATCGGAAAGACTCGAAAGAAGCTTTGTCTCGAGGTTACCGAAAGCCACACGGTCGCAATGATCGTGACGCTTATCAGTACTGAAGTCGATCTGGAACTGGTTCGCCAAATTTCATATCATTCGTCGGCGACAAGCTTGATTATTTCGGAACAATTACCGTAGCTCAAGGAAACCTACTCATATCTTTCTCATTATCTCGAGTCATGTCCGCAAGTTCGAGGAGCCGATACTGTCATCCGCTCTCGGTGGGGCTTACCCCGGATTCTGCACAAAAAGCTTCGACCTGAGGATTGAGTCTGCGGGGTCAGAAGGTTTGCATCTCAGTCTCATTCCCAATCCTAACATTGGACGCCATTGTCTATGTCATCTCGAGTGGATGTCATACTGTTCAACCAATCTCTGCTGCATCGAAAGACAAGCGACATTCTGCGTGAATCGGCATGATCTTGATATGCGTGTGGGAAACACATTGAACCATGGAATAATACTAGCTCAGAGGTCCCAATGTTGACATCCGCCGCTCCAGCACCTTCTCAATCCTTGGCGTTTGTGTCTTTGCTAGACAGCTAGTTATCTCTCTGTTCCGAGCCATGTTTGCAACGAGGCCGTCCGGTCCCTCTCTTTGACACACTCCATCGATTTATAGCCTGTCCAACTGGGGCCAAATCAGACGCCTGATACCTCTGAGTATGTTTTTGTCCAGATCACTTACCGTGTCAGACCCAAGCGCATGTTCTATCGCCATCATTACGACTTCCTTCCAGTACGGTGATTGACGAGCTAGAGCGCCAAGCGCGCCGACCCTTGCCGTGCGATTGGAATCTCGAATGATGTGTGAGACAATCAGAATATGAACCTGTGTTGTTAGTTCTGGCATTTTCGCCAAGATTGCTAACTGATTGCCTGGCTCGGCGCTTGTGAGGATGGCACAGGGTAGAGTTTCAAGAACTAAGAAGAGACAGAAAGGTGGTGAACGCGCTCGGCTCCTTGGTAAGAACCGAGCACTGACGCTCAGAGAATTCACCTTTATACCGGACAAAAGCGAAGAAGTTCTTGTCACTACCGCTGTTGGTATGAAGCATGATATCACTGTCTTGCACGACAATTCTCATCTGACAACCGTCGGCGGTACTTTTGATGTCCTCGCTTGTGTACGTGCATGGACAACAAGCTGGTATCTAATTCGAAGCAGAGGCTAGCGCACATACTTTTCTACAAAGGACAAAGGGCACAAGGCGACTTACTACTATGATTAATTTCAGTCCTGGTCTCAAGCTTTTCTGGAATTTCGAACATGATCTCGTTTGCATCAAGAAGTATTCTCAGGCATGACGTAGTAAGGAAACGGTCAGTTTTATCTTAATAAGACTGTGTAACACTTCAGATGTCAACAATGCTCTGGCTACATGCTGCGAAATTAAATGCCCATTTGCCTCCAAGAAAATTCTAGCCCCAAAGCCTTGGATCACCCATTAACGAGCTCGATATGTGTCTACGAAGAGTTCGATGACTTCAATAACCTGGAGGCTATCGATGGCCATCAATCCCATTCTTTTCTTACTTGCTACTCTTTCTACACATGCAGATACTGTGTTCGAAGGATATACAGACAAGAACAGCATGTCCGTGGCCAATTACGAGGTGATCCCGTGCATGCACTTGTAATCGCGAGCAGGTCGCCGCATCACTGCTAGCCTCCGGCATCCATTGTAGACTAGAACGTCGAGCATAGCTTTTTCTGTTCAGCAGATCATCAGTCCTGGGCGACCTGACAGCTGTGGTACTGCAGGTCATCTTGAACGACTCCCTGGCCATTTCCTTCTCTAGCATGACCCATCGAGTCAGTTCTTATCTACCTTTTTAGAAGGATTAAACATTAACGAGCGATAACATGAAGCTTCTTAATGAAATATGACACTCGCTGGTAATTTTTCACAGTGCAATTGTCCGTCGGTCGAGATGCCTGTGTTGAGTTTCTTTCGCGCTGCTTCACATAAGCCAACAAACGCGATTATATACTCTGAGAAAACAAGATGATCCATCCCGTCTCAGCCAGCTCTCTCGCCAGCGTTGTTTCAGCCTCTCTGGCAGATAAAAACGTAGCTGAATCGTCCAAAGCAGCCATGTATTTTGATCGCGTGGACGGCACTCGAGTAGATGTTGATGCAGTATAAGCAAACACAAGACAAACTCTGATAGTATGGATGACAAGTATAGATCACGTGGATATCTAAGGTGGTGTCGCCCAGGTGCAATGTTCCAAATTCCGACCAAACGTTGGTCGTTCAATCATTCACAACTCGAGCGAATAAACACTTCGAAAACGACGTATCCTAGCAAGATTGGCGAAGAATTGGGCGATAGTCCGGTACAACGTCAAGCAGCAACCTCTTTAGGCAGTGACTGTTGCACTCCTGATATAATGTCTGCTTCTGCGAGCTTCTTGCTCAATGCTGTTGCTTTACCATGTGGGTCGCGATAGCTGTTTGTGGTTGCTTCCAAGACAGCAATTAGTGGTTATTTCGCACTTTCGTGCCCTTGTTCCCAGTCAGCAGGCACGCAATCTTATGATCATGTTGTCGCTGAATAAATGACGTTTTGTGTCTAATTTGTTGTGAAAATCTGAAATGTATCTGTTGTTACAGACAGTAGAATATCACCCTCAACGGTTACAAATCAGTAGTTTGCCTAGCATCGCATGGATGTGTTGCCAAGGATTTAATACCAGGCAACATTGCACCATCGCGGACTCATAGATAGCAATAGCACATTCCAATTCATTCCCGTCAACGAGGTTGCGATAATTCCGGAAGACTAACATTCTCAATCACGAGCATTGACGCCATCCATATGCTGTTCCAGCCAAGGCATCATGTTTCGTGTACTTTCCGCACCTAGGCCAAGATCGAATTCATTGAACATGGTGTTCCAATCTTGATGTGATACGTCGAAATCACTCGTCTCCCAGCTCATCATGGAAGATGGTGGTACATCCATATTGATCATGCTGTTATCGACTGTAGATCTTCTGGGCGATCGGCGGTCATCTGTGACCTCAGCTTGGCTGACTTGATCGTGCAGACCATCTGATTGCGTCGGCTGAGGTTGTGCAAACCTTTGTCTTCCAGCTTCGCCTCCATTAGCACGAGCTTCCGCAAGCATCAAGAGCTTCGAGTATGCGTTATACGTCTTTCCGAACGCGGCACTAACATCCTTGGCAGTTCCGATGATCTTTACGACCTCTCTGAGCAGTATCAGATCTTCTTGACTGGCACTAACGATTTGATTGCTGAAAACCGCAACAAATGGCATAAAGGGCATAAAGAGAAATGACATGTTGACAAAGGTTCTCATAGCATTTGTATTGGACTCTTTCTGGACTGCCATCCATCCTTGGACGAGTCCGATCAGTGCTGCTCGTCCAGCTTCTATGCAAGAGGTGTGAAAGAGATGAGGACTGTGTTGGTCAGAGTCGACGTCGTAAACCGCACCTGAAGAGTCCGGAGCCAATTCCCGATATACTAAGGTAAGGACTGAAGAAAAGGCTAGCTCGAGCGAGTGAGCTAGTCCAGGTTGAGAGTATGATCCCTGTTCTAATGCCGCAGCATAGTTGGCTTTGATCCGAAGAAGTCTCTTTACAAAATCGTGAACTCTAGACGTTCGAACGGCCGGCTCTTCTCTTCGAGCTCTTGCTGACATAAGCTGCTCATAAATATCGTACTGCAACTTAACGTAGTCGAGATGATCCAGTAAAGTAACGCCCCACTTGCCTCCAAAGTCATCGGCATATGTCGGAGGCGCAGTACTGATATCGTAATCTTGAATTGTTGAGGTTCTACCAAAGTTGAATGCGAGCGATTTGTCCATGCCGTACACGTACCAGAAAAGCTTTCGCGCTTTGTTGGCTTGCTTATTTATGGAATCTGTATTCAATCTATGATATCCCAAGTCAAGTGCCATTCTCGCGGCAGTGCAGACTAGTTTCCACGCCAGGAATCCATCCGCATTCTCCATGTTCACCGCTGCAGCGGATACAAGCGCGCAAACAGCTTCCGATGAGGAGGGCACGCAAATGTTCAGAATCTGCGTTGCTTTTCCGACATTGTTGAAGCAGACTTTGCTGTTTTGAGAAGCTTGAAGCTTCGTCAACTGCAGTCTCATGATACCCGCATCGTCTAGATCTCGAAAAAGGTGGAAAAGCACGCAGTTCATACTAACCCAGGCGAACACTGAAAACTGCTTTGTTGGAAAGTACACCTTCTGGCACACCTCAGCGAACTCGTCCTCGTCCATTTCAGGCTTGTCAGCAAAATATCTTTGTGGCGACAATCTCATGAATGTCAATAAACGAAGTACATGATCCATTGGTGGCAAGCTCAAATCTGCTAGCTGTGGGTATTGGGAGAAAGCGCAAGATTGAGACGAGGCATGCTCCGATGTGAGTAAATCCTCGGCCTTAGCATCATGCAGCAATGTTCGCACCACGTCCTGAGCAACGCCTTCTCTCGGGCTCGGGCCATTCGAAGTGTATCCTTGCTGACTTAATCTATTCACCCCGGTAGTATTCTTTGTATGCTCGCTCAGGGTAGAGTCGCCTATCGATTGACTTCCACTATCGAGAGTGGCCAGTATTTGTGGGTTAGGCTGTCCATTAGCTTCGACGAGCGCCTCTAAAGTGCTTGATAGTCCTCCAAGTTGCTGACAGATATAATTCAACTTCTCATCGTAACGTGCTGATGGATGAAGTCGCTGTTTCCTCTCTGGACGCTTCGATGCAAAGTGACAAGGGATCTTGGCTGTAACACAACTTGAGCAGGGTGATGACCGGTCGCACTTGATCTATCGGGTCTAAGCGACTGAATGGTGTCTAAGTTATGCCACACGAACACACCTTTCTGCGAACACAATTTACACAAGCAGGCGTACGTGGTGCTCTCTCTTCGTCCGACATTCCGTGGCTGGGTGGATTGAACTGTAATAACTAGTAGGAAAGATGGAACGGACGATAGTTCAAGTGTATATTCGAGGTTGAAGGGAACACGTGTACTGTCCAACCAGAAACATTGAGGTTCCGACCTTCGCCAAGTGCCCGGCCGCTAGGGGCGGCTGAACTGCAAAAGTGGCGAAAATCATGGTCACCCGCACTGGCATGCTGAGAATTGACTTTTCCAGCCTGTGGAGATGTTTCTCTGTTCCTAGCTGCTATCGCCCTGCGATATCTCGATGGCCAACTCTACAAAAACACTACATTCAGGCAAGCTAGTCTAGAGGATATGGCAATCCTATTCAAAAGTTAGGGAGTATATCGAAATATCCGATTGTCAATAATTCCATGTTTTGGTCAATCGCATCGGATCTAAGAAATTGTGCTATCACAAACATGTTCTCAAATATTGCTAAATTGATCATCAGGCCTGGTCCAAAGTTTGCGCCATACACATGGCATAGTACCTGCCCTTGAGCTGTTGCAGCTCTTCGTGGGTGCCGGTCTCTGCGATCTTGCCATCCTCTATCACAAAAATCACGTCCGCATGACGAATCGTGCTGAGTCGATGAGCCACAGCAATGGTTGTTCTAGTTGAAGCCGCTGCGTCAAGAGCATTTTGTACTGCTCGCTCACTTTGGGTGTCCAAAGCAGAAGTTGCCTCATCAAGCAATAGCAGTTTTGGTTTGCGAATAAGTGCTCTCGCGATCGCTATTCGCTGCCTTTGGCCACCTGAGAATTGCAAGCCTTTCGATCCACAAGGTGTGTTCAGACCTTCCGGTAGCGACGATACAAAATCCGTCACATGAGCTTGTTGACAAGCTTCTTGTATCTCCTCGTTGGAAGGTTCATAATCTAGGCCAATCGCTATGTTATCGCGGACCGATCCCATGTACAATGGAGGTTCTTGCTGCACGAGAGACATGTAGCGACGGTAGAGATTTGGAGACATGAGCGAGATGTCGTCCTCGTTCAATGTGATGCGGCCAGATGTTGGGTCATAGAAACGTTCCAACAGTGAAATTATAGTACTTTTGCCACAGCCAGATGGTCCTACGAATGCAGCATATGTTCCTGGCTCGATCTTAATTGAGACGTTTCGCAATACCCTTGCGGTGCTTCGACGCTGATACTGAAATTCAACATTCTGGAATGTGATGAGCGCATCATTTGTGGAAGGTCCGACGTCCCGATTGTCGTCACTTTCGCGAATCGTCGATCTGACTGTCCTCAACCAGAAGATATAGTTCGCACTTCCTGTTGCCTTGGTGATTGAGGTTGTGTACGAAAAGAACTGGGCTGCATTTTGGCCACCAAACACCACTGCAATAAAAATAACAAAGAACTGAGTCACTGTGTATTCTCCTGCGGCGATCAATCGAGAACCGTACCAGAAGCCAAATCCAATGACCAGAAAGTCAATCGATTGGGACAAAGAATAGGGAATGATTGTAATCATCTGCAGCAAGCATTATGGTTAGCTATCGTCCTTTCACTCGAAAAAAGCAATCATGTCACTTACTGCACTCCGAATCACTTTGGCGACGATGTTGTCCAAACTTGAATTGTATGCCTGCAGAACAGAGCTCTCGAGCGTCAGCGAACTGATAGTTTTGATAGAAGCTACCGTCTCAGCGGCCAAGCTTGCACTGCTCGAAAACTGTTTTTCAGTCGATATTTCCAGCTTTTGATCGAGCCGTATCCTGATGTAGCCACCCACGACGATGAGTGAAAGACCGGCACAGACCAGGGTTAGTCCCAATTTCCATCCGAACGCTATTGCCAGCAAGCTACAGGCCAATATGTTGACTACCACATTGACCATAAGTCCAACGTTGGCAGACATCAGCTCCTGTACTGCGGAAGGGGCTGAGGAGAGTTTCGCAGTCAGAGCACCAGAAGAGTTGTCCGGATCGTCGAAAAAGTCTTGATCGAAACGAATGATGCGCTCAACCATCTCTCGACGATAGTGGTGAGTGAGCGCCTGTCCTATCGCGTTTGTGGCAAGGCCGACGCAGAAGTATCCTACGAGATTGCCCAGAGCCAACACGAAGAACATGAGAGCATAGAAGTCGGCCTGTTGCTTTGCTTCAGACCCTCGTAGCGTAAACACACGGATGAGACGAGAGAAAAGCACTGCTTGCGCTGGATAAGTACCGCCGACGATCAAATACGTAAGCGCAAGGACAGCGTACCATGGGTACAGTTTGGAATGTTCTTTGAGCATGATGAAGATGCATTTGGCGAGTGAGTATCCGACTGTGCCATGGTTGCCTTGTTCGGACTCACGACTGGCGCCGATTGACAGGGCTTCGGACTTTGTTCGCAGCAATGATGCTGGCGCGTCAACTCTCTGGTCGATACCGTCTTCGAGATCGGATTCCAGAGCCTCCGCTGTAGCATCGGCTCCCAAGTCTTGCGCACGAACCATAGCTGCGTATAGTCCGTCGCGCTTGAGCAGCTCGTTATGGTTGCCTTGCTCGGCTATCCTGCCATTTACCATGACAGCAATGTTATCCGCTGCCATGACCGTTGCGAGCTTGTGTGCAATGATGAGTGTTGTTTTGTTGGCCGAAACACGATTCAAAGCATTTTGAACGATTCTCTCCGCACGAGGATCCAGAGCACTCGTAGCTTCATCAAATAGAAGGATTCGAGGATTAGATATTATACTCCTGGCGATAGAGATCCTTTGACGTTGACCTCCACTCAATGAATTGGCATTTTCACCAAGTTGTGTGTTGTATCCGTCGGGTAATTTCTCAATAAATGTATGCGCGTCAGCTGCCATACATGCATCTTGCACAAGTTTCATCTGACTCTCTATAGGAAGATCCAGTTGCTCGTCTGCCAGACCTTTTGCAACATTTTCAAAGACTGTGCCCTGAAAAAGGGTTGGTTCTTGTTGTACGAGTCTGATGTTGCTTCGTAACCATTTTGTGTTGAGAAGACCGAGGTTCTGACCATCCAGAATGATCTGCCCGGAGCTAGGCTGGTACCATCGCTCTAATAGGCCGACTAATGTCGACTTACCACAACCACTAGGTCCAACGAGGGCGGTGGTCTTTCCGGACGGGATGAGCAAATTCAATCCTTGCAATACAGGAGCTGTTGGCCGAGAAGGATATGCGAAATGTACGTTCTGGAGCTCAATCGCTCCGTCGCAGTCCAGCGGGCGTTCGCCTTCCGAGGAGAGTGGATCGAGTAAGGATGGTTTGTCGATAATCGCGAACAACTCAGCAGCTGCGGATGAGGCATTTGTCACTGCTTGTATCTGAAACATGACAGGTAAAACAGACGTAGCGCCGAGTGTCACGCTGAGAACGACTGTGAAGACTGTGCCAACACTCTGGATTTCTCCACTTTGAAACATCCTGAAGCCCTGCCAAAAAGCAAGAGCAGTTCCCGACATCACTAAGAAGGACTGACTAGAGAACAGCACTCCATATATTGGCGACTTCTTCCGACCTACTTGATGCGCCTCTTGCAAATATTCGTTATATTGGTTCACTATCTTCTGCTGAGCTCCGAATGCATGGATAGTCTTGATAGAGCTTAATGCATCTTGCGCAACGGTAGCAGCTTGAGAGTAGAGGCGCGTCTGAGCAGCAGGACACGTCAGCAAGGTATTAGCATGACGATGGTGTTGCTCAACTTACAATTTGAGCTTCTATAGGTGCATCAAGGCTTATGCAACCGCCAACGAGCAGGATCATAGCCGGTACTATTGTCATTGTGATCAGAGCAAGCTTCCACTGAACTGTTAGTGCAACAATATACGCGGAGAAGAATAGTGAGGCTCCTGTAATGACTGTGCAAAGTTTTTCGGCGATTCCTTGATTGATGCGGTGACCATCTAGAATGTCGTCAGCGCACATTGCGACCAGGGTTGGCATAACCTACTGGTTGTGACCTGCGTTGCAACAGAGCCTTGGCCTTGCATATCGAACTGCCAGATCTCCTTTCTCAACAGGCTCTCCAAAAATGCCTTTCTGAGCGCATTTGTTGTCCTTGCAGCTGCGATGATTACACAGAGTGTAGCCACATAGCCAATTATGAAGCGACCAATAAACAAGTAAACGAAGTAGAGAACTAGTTGATCTATATCGGCTTGTAACCGCTGCGTGTTGCCCTGCCCGGCAGCGTAATTATTCAGAGTACCAGTTGATGACCCAAAGACCAGAGTCATCAGCGGTAAGGTGGCACCTGCCACGACAGAGCCCAGGATGGCAATCGCGTACAGTAGGCGGTCGAGTCCATCTGCATACTGGAATATCCGCTGCAATAACACACAGAAACATTAGCGAGCAATATAAGCTTGTAGTGGGCAACTCACAAAATAGGCGCCTACGTTGCCTTTGTCTTTGTCCTTATCATTTGTAGAATCTGTTGATGTCTCCGAAGGCTTTTCTGTGTACGGAGAAGCATCCTTGTTGCCGCCTCGATTTGATAGATCCTGTAACGGAGGTTCTTGCTTGTGAGCCTCTATTCCTGTGCTGGAGACACGCCCTTTGGCGACGGCTTCTGTAGTGTTTCCTGCCATGATTGAAAGTGGTGACGTGTGCTGTTTTCTACTCAGCTACCATGGAGTCGTTATAACAACTTGATAGAAAAGCATTCGTTTGAAAGGCAGCACCTGGCTTATTTAAAGGTCGAAAGCTTGGCATGTCCGTCTAGTCCCCTCTGGATGTTCTTCCAAAAGGTGCTCCAACCTTGGGTATTTTGTCAGCACTCGGTGAAAGAGCAACACCCAAAAGAACGCGATTGCATAGAGAACCAGAGGTAAAGGTCGTCATAGAAGAGGATGCGACGAACGCGTTCTGTTGCACCCGCGGGCCCGGGTTCTCGAAATCTCCCGGAATCCGTGAGTGGAACCCAGTCTGCTGTCCAATTAGATCACTTGCGGCTGTGAAGCGCTTTGATCGGAAAACATATGGTTCGTTCAAGTGATATGCTATTAGCCCCTTCTTTCATATTGTAGTACATTAACAGCAACATTCCTCCTGACCATCTGCCTGTTTAAATTGTCTATGACATAGTAGTGGCTTGCTACACTCTCTAGCTTAAAGGATGGCAACTACATCTTTTGCCCACAATAAGAACTCTGCTGTAGCCTTCTGTAACCCCTCTGTCGTTACACGTATTGGTAGTCATGATGCGTAGAGTGAGCAAGTCAAGGTACTTCTTGTGAAGGGGTTATTACTAGAGGTGAAGAGCTGCTCTCGACCGAGCAGATCTGGATACCTAGCACGTCCCATCTGCCATGATTGGTAGTGTATAAAAGCAATTTTGGTGTGAATAGCAACCGTCACTCGTCTCCAATCCAAAACCTGATCAGGAGCACTGATTTTTGCCAGCCCAGGGTAATTGCATGCCTATTATTGTTGGCGCCACTCTCAACTTCAGTGAGCATCCGGGTGCTGGCTACTAATCGAATCATTGGGCACGCCTCGGTCAACATGAGAGACCATCGTCGTTGGCTCGTCGTGAGTGGTATTCGAGCTTTGAATCGTGCGACACCCACATGCCATCTCGATTTTGTGTGCCTGATATTCTCGACAAAGGAGCAATCATAGATCTGTGCGCATTCTTCAGATATCCTAGGTCGACTGCGCTGGAGAATTGCGTCTCCTTTGAAGGCTTGCGCCGCCTGGCGATGTTTGAGCTAACATTGCGAACAAGCTGATAATGAGGTTGATAAAGAGATGCAGTGCCACGCTGAGATAGGGTAATGGTCAAAGCCATGCCGAAACTTTCCACATACTCGAGCTGCTCGTGCACCAAAGCTGGATTCACCACTAAGCAGAGTGCTATGGCCCGTGCAATCCATATATGGATATGCTCGGTCTCGCCGCGGAGACACGCATGGCAGGTAGAACCATACTAGAACTCTGAATCAGATTGCTCCCATGACCATCCACGTTCATGCTCCCTCTCTTGCACGCTCGTCCTTGGTACAGGCAGAAGAACCAAAAGTGTCAGCCTCTTTCTGTTTATCTAGCTATGACCGCTGCGCACATTTTCGATCCTTGCTCTTTCATGGAACTTCCGTTCCGGATCGTGGGATAGAGTTCGAGGTCCGGCTGTATGCAGTCCTGTAGACCACAAGCGTCGCTGACTGATTTCGGCGGGGATCGCTTTGCTGAAGGAGGTCTTCACGGCTTGCGTATCCTGATGTCTATAGCTCGAGCGGGTTGGGAGTCCGGCTCAGCTATAATGCGTAAACATATACTACCTGGAAGGGTTGTTATCTGGTAGGCAAGATCCGTGAGCAAGCGCCGGGGTACTGCTTTAAACAAATGGCCGCACTGCAACGCTGATAACCCGCTTCGACGAGTACCTTCTTTCGTCGCTCGAAGCAGAATAGATTCCTATCACTTCAAGATCTCATGTATGGTACAGTCCTCCCAGTCTCTTGCTTCTTCAACTTTTGCTTGTACAACCTTGTTCGAAATCTCAAGGGCTATCGTTGTACGAGACTTCATGACTTTTACGACATAAGCTACAGAGACTTTACATCTTTTGTATTCATCGATCGAACCGCAACCTTTGAGCTTAGTCAAAGTCCGTGCTTTTCGTGGAAACTTTAGGCTGTTGTTATCATTATTACATGTATGTCCGAGTGAAATCTATTACTTTTGTATGACTTTGCCTTCGATGTGTACAAATATGCAAGAATCTACAGCAGGCAACCCGTCGATCTCAAACGACCTTTATCTCGCCTCATACAGAATCCATGTCTGCTCTAACACCATATCGGACCAATTGCTTTTCCTGTACAACCTCACTGTCCGTTCTAGAATGTGATCCTGACCCTGAAGCTGATTCAGTTCCCACAACACCAAAATCGAGGCCATGGACCTTCTTGAAAACACGGTCGCGATAGCTTTGACTCTGGTACTTCGCAATCCAGAGCATTTGTTCATGCTCGCGCAGATAGCGATCGCTAGAGAAGTTTTCGAGGACATTCGACCTCCCACGCATACCTAAGGCTCGCCTCTGCTCCTGTTTTTCGTACATTCGTTTCATAATAGCTGCAGATTGCTCAGCAGTCGGTCTAAGTGGCAGGTCTGGGGCCTTGAAACCAGCCGGATCGTCTGCGAACTTGGCCCATCCTCCTAGTAAGGCTATGATACTGATTTGTGCACGTGCTAGTGAATAAGGATCATTTGGCGGACAGACAGCGCTAAATGCCTCACCCGTTTTGCTGTCTGTGACGACTCGAAACGAGGCTCCAACATCGGTACATACCACTGGCACACCTGTGAGAGCTGCTTCACCCATAGCGAGTGGAAGACCTTCCGAGACTGACGAGTTCAGAAAGAGCCAAGCCTGTTCGAGCACTTTCGAGGGACTACCAAGTCCTCGCAAGACGACGTAGTCTCGAAGACCCTTGGCAGCAATGATCTCCTGGCACTCAGTAGCGTATGCTGGCGCTCGCTCCATGTCACCATAGATATCGAGACGGTAATCTGAAAGTCCCCACTCGTTGACAATGATGTCGGCAGCCAAGATAGCATTTTTGATGTCCTTGACAAATCTGATATGTGATAGCATGACTACCGTCGGTTTTGCTGAAGTGATCTTCTTGATTGGTTGGAAGCTGTCCATGTTACAGATACCGTTGACGACAGGGTCAATTTTTCGAGCAAATTCTTTACGATGGCACAAAGTTCCCTCAATCGAACCGATCTCGATTTCCCAGCCAGGATTGAAGAAGTCTGCGCATGGCAGGACGACGTCTGCGTAGTGCAACTGGAGAACACCCAAAATTCTTGATAGGGAGATCAGCGATGAGCACACGAATGGCGCATCGAAGGACATGGCTGACGACAAGAAGACAGTGACCTCCCTCCATGCAATACAATGGTCCCAAACATGGAACGAAGAGCCACGCTTGATTTTGCAGATGATGCCATAGGAGCCGGCAGCAAAGTGGTGTGAAGCTTGAACGACATCTGGAATCTTCTCTGGCACTGGTAGTGAGAATATGAACAGATATCTCTGCCACATATCGAGAGCGTTATCAAGGTGACCAAGAGTGGGACGTTCGGCCTCAAGCCATTGTGATAAAGGACGGGTGTTCTCCATCGTCTCAGTAAGCCAAAGCTCTCGCCAAGCTGACTTGACAACGTCACTCATCCAGATATCACTCCAATGGCGGTATGTTTCAAAATACCCATTGAGATCCAGAAGAGCTTTCGTGGCTTGCTCAATGTGGTATGGATGTAGCTTGACAGCTCTCGCACATTGCACAAGACTTGTCAAGATTGGAATGAAATTTGTCCGAATGTCATGGTCACTGGTATTGTGCGACTTCTCCTGCACGGCAGAGTCCAGGTGTTTTTGGAAGATACCATGATTTGGCGTCAGGTAATCCAAGCCCCACAGCGGAAGGATTGTCAACGACTGAACATTCCTTTCAATCTGAAATTTGGGGAAACCATAATCGTTCGCACATTCAGCGACGATGTGCCATCTGATGGTCTTCAAATCGTTCACCATGTCGCGGCGACAGGCTGAGACTCCACCTCCTTCATTAGGATATGTTCCTGTGTCCACGGCGAGCACATGTAACGTATCTCGCTGATCTCGAACCTGAGTTGACGCCCTTCTGGTATTAATCACTGCGTCTCCTCCTGTTCCAAAGGTGTAGAGATCGCTGGTCTTTAGTGCGAATGGAGTCCAAGCACTGATCTCGGAGTCGATATCGACTCTAGCCATGACGGTATCAGCATAGGCATCCAAATACGCCTCAGCTGTGGACAGGCGACCAGTGTCACGAGCGTTCCAATACGTTTGCAGAATGCGATCAGATCGCAGTGTTCTTTCGTCGAGCCAACGAGTCGTGATGGCGTCGAACTTCTTGCTGTTTTTCCAGGCCTTCCACAGGTTGGCTCTCGCAAGTGATGTGGAGATGGGATATTGCTGAGTATCTAGACCAAGCATTCGGGTGAAGAAGTTCCCCTTCAACGAATGAAATAGTAGAATTGGATTGTCGGCGAAAATGTTGCAGTTTTTCGGTTTCTTCAAGATATCGAACCAATCATATTTGATCATTGCCGGCGTTTCAACTTGAGCACCATTCAAAGTCGTGATGATTGCTGGATGTGACTTGTGGTCGTACGTCCATCTGCTGTGGTGAACACGACCAGTCTCGAAAAAGGTTGCCTCGACGACATTTGAGTTGGGAATTGCCTTGTCGAGCTGTTTGGGAGTTTTCCGTGAAGGCACACACCACGAGATTTTGATGGTCATATGTGGAAGGACGTACTCAGCACGTAGCAGCTCATCATCAAATCTGGCGTTCTCTCGATACCAGAATGTGAACCTAGTGAAGTTTCCATCTTTAATATAAGAGCCAGATGCCATATACCCTCGGTCATCATATTCGACGAGTTGATCGTTGTTCGCTCCTCTGATACATCTCCGAGTGACAGGTATTCGAGCACTAAGGCCTTTTCCACCACGAGCATACTCATAAGTATACTCGTTTTGAACTGTAGCCTTCGAGTATTCGACACGACTACTAAGAACAAGCCGATCTGTGTACGAATTTTTCGATATCAATTCCTTGTCAGTCTCGGGCTGAGACAGATGTTGACCAGAATATTGATACAGATCGACGCCACCATTAGAGTTTGTCTTGGAGAAGCATGTCGATACACCATTTGCATCTTGAATAAGAACTCGTTCCTTTCGCTTAGTGACTTTGACTCCTTTCATCATTTTGGACAACTTCGCAAAATGCTCACGATCGTGAATGAGAAGGAGTGGAAGTAAGGCCTCTTGTAAAGCCTTGCATGTGATCCAGCTACCATTGAGAACGACTTTCAAGGGCCAACGTAAAATGCGCGGCTTATCAGACATGACATAATCGAGCTCCCGCTGGAATTCTGGATCAGCCACAATCGAAACGATGAAGAACTTCATGGCAACCCTGATGCTTTGATAAAGCCGAAGGACTGGATTGGGGATGATTCGAGTTATATGTTCGTGCCTGCGATGTGCATGAATTCGGTTTGTTGATGCAAAAGTTGAGGCGGCAGCAAAGGAAGGCTTTCTAGAAAGTGAGTGATTGTTAGACGACTGGTGAGTTCGCAATCTTCTGCCAACCTCGTCGATATGTTCGATAGTGTATACACCGAGATTGCAGCGATGAATGTATTCTGTCAGACTTAAGACATTGGATTTGGTGAGCTTGGACGACATGAAAGCGAAGAACTCTTCGTTGACCTTGCAAGGCAAGCCGAGACACCTTCGAAAAAGGATTGACCTTACGTGCAAGGGCATGTTGTCCCAGTCCTTGTCACAGTCCAGTCCCAGAATCAGGTGATTGAGTCTTTTTCTCTGAAAGAAACTGCCGCTGGTATCGTAATGGCCTGGATATTCGCGCATCTGTTTCTCCATGCTTGCTGACAAATAGATGTTACTGTTGTTGTTGCTAGGTGATATAGTTAATTGCGTCAAGATCGACTGGTCTCGAGGCATTGCCAATATTGACTCTGAGAACGCCTGCAAGATAGTCTCTGCAATAATTTTGCAATTTTGATTAGTTACTTCCACTGGACAATTGTCGTCTCGCATAAATGACATAGGGAGGAAGATATGCAGTTGCCCTTGTAAGCTGCGAGCGATATACCTGAGTTTTCGACCCTCCTGAGAGAGCTCACTGCCTGAGACAAGTTCGACGGTAATGTGTGCTGACTCCCATAGGTCAACAATCCTGGTCATTATATGGTCTATTGAGGTGAATGCACTGCTGATTAAGGGCGATAAGGTTGTAAGATTCTGAGGTGATAGATATTGTTTGACTTCGACTCCCGGATATGTTGAGGAATTAACGCGGAAGATATGATCAACATCTATATTGCACATATCGTCGAACAACTTCCCCATATCTGCAGGCGAAGTGAGGATGTTCTGTGCCAGAGCATCGTTGCAGAAAAATTGAGGAGTCATTGAGTCGGAGCATTTCAATCTCGAGGATTGTTTGAACCACCCGACCTTAGCAGTTCGTAACGACAAGAGTCCTGCAGTCCATGTCGATACTCCAAGCGCAACAACGCCCCAATATGGAAACCATGGAAGGTAATATTTCATCACTGGTCCTGTTATCAGTCCAAGTACGGAAGCGACGAGCAGATCTGGTAATGCCAAAGTCCCAGTGAAGATTCTGTTGAATTGATAGAAAAGCAGTCCCATGTAAGCAGCCCAATAGCCCAGGTACATGATGGTTGCATCAGTATTGTCCTCGAAGAACCACATGAGCGCCGAGGAGACTATCATCGCCCATGCATGCAGAAATCCGAATTTGGTGAGTTTTGTCCAATAGAGTCTTCGTCGTCGGACTTTGCCTTCTCGCTCCACCTCCTGTAGCATGTCTAGAGAATCAACGCGAATCGGATCAAGTTTGTTGGCTCGAGCCCAGAGTGGGTGCGCGACAGCATCGAGGAAAATAGCACTGATAAGATAATACGCCAGTGAAAAACCAACAGCCAGACGGAACTGGTCGCTATCAGCTGCTGACAACCCGACCAGGGATCCGCCAGTGAACAGTGCAACCCATTTATCCATCAGGGCTATCACAAAGTAGAGTACACCACAATATACCTCGTCTCCAGAGTGCCGCCAGTGAACGAAAGCACTATGGAGGCGGAGTCCTTTCTGCATGCTCTGGAGTGTGTCGACTGCTGCCTTGCACTGAAGATTCCAGGTGGTACTGTATGGGAACGGCATTTCTGTTCGAGAATACTTGCAGTACCATGATAGCAGGAATTTCGCTGACTTGTGACCACTTGCGACCTTGAGAACGAGCTGATCCGATGTGGCTTTGACCCAGAACGGTCGTTGAAGCTCTCGAGTGACTTTGTCCATAAGTGCTAAGCGTGGTATTGGGGTTGTCAATACATCGATACCCGACTCGAGCGGCACGTTGATTTCCATAGTTTCTGTATACCAATTTGTGATATCTTTGTCCGTGACAAAAGGTATGTCCAAGTACCAGCTCGACCATTTTGACAGCACTTTCCGGGATCCATTGAGTAAAGCAACAACAAAGACTGCCAGTACACAGAGGTATATTAGAGTATCGTGACCGACCCAAAGAGTGACCAGAGGTGACACGAAGAGTATTGGTATGCACATTGCAACCATGATTCGACCTGATTGGAACATGAATCCAGGTAACTGATAAATGGCCATCGTCGCCAGTGTCGACAAGTAAGTGGTCAGCAGAATCAGATACAGGAAGAAGATTGCTGCCAGGTATGGACCCTTAACTGCTGCGATGACAACAAATCCTAGTATACCGGCACCACAGCATAACGCGACGCCAGCGATCCATCTTGTTATTACAAACATATTCATAGCAGGATATGCCATGGCGTATAGATAGTAACTTCCACCACTGGCTACCCATGTCCCAATTCCTCCTGTAAGGAACAATGAGATCATCAAAGCTGTGGTCGCCATGAACTTTTCGTCTTCGTTCATGTAGGTGCTTAGGTATAGGCCACGTCCAAGGGTTGTCAGCAGCACGATATCCACAAGCGCTGGAAATGCAAACATGCCCAAGAAAGTAAATTGGTAATACATAGGCAGCTTGTCTGCTTCTGCATTGACTTCGAGGTCCACTTGCTTGGATGCATATGCAGTAGGAATTTCAGTTGTAAGGTCGTCGCGCATTGGTGGCTGATGTTGCTTGTAGTAGACGTCGTACCTGCTAGCAAGTATCCTTCCAAATTCTGTAGGTGTTACGTCGAAGTAAGCCTCACATCGCGAACCCAGAGCAAACATTTCAGCGAAGCAACCAGCTTGATCAGGCTGTGCATTAGGAAGGGGATTGCGATCGAGCACCTCGAGATAGACTTCGTGAAAGGCAAGTTTTCTAATGGCGCAGAAAACGGCGAGTGCAAAGAGATCAGCTGCAGCGTCGATACTGTCTGGCTGCAGCATTATGGAAAGTACCTTCTGCAACTGTGATAGCTTCTCAGACTGCTGTTTCATCAATGCATTCTCAATGCTAGCGACAGTCTCGTTGAAAAGTGAAAATGCTGCTGTGGCACTCGGATGTTCACGTCCTTGACTTCGATACCACGATATCCTCGAGCTGATTAGGTCCTCGACAGTAGTTTCGCCGAACATAAAACTGAAAGCATTTTGACGGCGAAGCTGTGCCATCGACGGAGCATCGAGTAAGAGGTACTGACACAAGGCTATGATGCAGTCGCTCATGCCAGGGGCGTCTGTATGATCAGACAGCTGTATTTTTTGTACAAGTGAAATCAAATCAGATGGCGTCAAACTTTGTATGTCCTGCACAAAGCGTTGTGGTAGCTTCCACCTTTCCGACAAAGTGGCATTTTCTTCGGCCAGCGCTACCTCTGCTAGCAAACACTGGGTCCTGCTTAGTTTACAGCTCGACATGTAGGTATGTAGGACAACTGCAGCAATGTCACTGACAGTGGAGGGTATGAAGATATTTAGTGTACTTTGCAATTCGTCCGTGTCATAGACTCCCCAAAATTGTCGATCGGCAGCACTTCTGAAGCCGGACCGTAATCCAGTGAATATCTTGACATTTGCGCTTTCGAAAGTGGTTCCCCTATTTTCCATCAGGGAAATAAGGTTTGCCAAAGCTTGTCTTGTCTCTTCGTCACAGAGCACAAAATTACTGGAAGTGTGCAAAGTTTGTAACTGTTTGAGCGCGGCCCGTAAGGAGTCTTTCTTGACTTCTTGAAGTAGATTGAGCTGTGCTAGACGACGTTGTGCGACAACAATCTCATCGAGATCTTCAGCCGAGCACTCGAGACCAATGGCAAAGCATCCGAGACCACTGTATGAATGACCGTCGATTGAGGTGTCGAAGGCGTTGGAGGAATTTGTTCTCTGAGGCAAGGTCAAGTCAATATCGCCACCATGGAGGACTACCTCGCTGGTTTCGGCACGATGGCGACAGGAGGTAGATATAGGTAACAGCTTAGTGGTAAGTCCTGGAATAAGACCCTCGAGCGATTTGTACATAACATTATCGACTTGTGACTTGTGAGCTATCGTATCATTTGTCTTCCATGTTTGCTGCAGCTTGACGATGTTTTCGTCCTTGAGAAATGCTAAAGCACCTAGGGGCTCATCCTGTATAGTTTGGGTGAAGGCGTCTTCAGCATCTGTAACAGCAGAGCCGGATCCAATCCAGCTGAGTGCGCTATAGTAACGGCACCAACTATAGCTCCGCTTCACAACCCCATGTGCAACGGAGATGCCATCGTCCACCGTGTCCCACATGATGACTCGACCCTCACTTGTTTGAGAATGTTGAGCGAAAGCTCTAAGAGAACGTCTCATATCTGTCATTTGATAATAGTTCCGTCGGTCACCATTTCTGAGAATAGTGCCGTTGCAACATATTAGGCCACAAACTCTTCTCAGGTCCAGTATTCGACATTCTTCTGCAGAGAGAAACTGAGGATCTGAGACTTCAAGATTGACATCCAAACCAAGGTCGTCCCAGAATTGGATGAAAGCACTAAGGACTACTGGCTCGAAATGAGGTCGCCAATTGGCGAGAACAACTCCAGTAAATGGAGTAGTCGCTGCAGGGACAGTAACCAAGCCCTTTAGCATAATGGGAATGATTGCGTTGAGCTTTCGTCTAATGTCATGCTCCTCAATAGTTTGAGCAGTTTCGAGGATTCTGCTGAGGTCAAACCTGCCGAGTATGTGGCGGGACTCGCACATCGTCCTGACTGCTGACAGGACTCTGTCTTGTGCAGGGTCCAGTACAACGATGTCCCATCGCGACAAGAGATGCTTCTGGGCTTGTGTGGGAGGACTGTCAAATGCACCAAGGTAGACTCCGAACGATTTGCATGTGACCTTGGGTTGTCCTCTATGCAGGCTGATCCTGGGGAAATCGTGTGCTTTCAATGCTTGTACGACTGACTCCGGCACGTGAGGATGATCGCGTCGATGTCGTCGTCTTCGCTGAGTTTGTTGCCATATGATGAAGCACAGATATGACACAGCAACTAGTAGAGTCGCAGCCAATATCGAAAAGAGCAGCTTAACGTTGTAATCATGTCAGAGACTCTGGAACCTCGTCAAGAGAGCATGGTCTGTAGCGTACCTTGTTCCACCAATTTGCGAATAATACATCCGAGTGCACTGCTACCAGTCCTAGGAAACGCGCCATAATCCTCTTTCACCTCCTCTGGAGTTCTGGTGAATTTCTGAGAGTATTGCTGTCCGTTGCAATGTTTTCATAGCTGGACTCTTCATGCTAGAAGCATTGCTTCAGTTGCAATAGGAGTTGAGAAGCCGTGATACCAAATCAGGATAGACATGTCTTAATCGAGCAGGATCCTAAACGACCGTGAAACGAAACGTAACAGTATACAGTCACGATATGTGCGACAACGAATGCCGCGTCCCACTGAGCCGCCATGCTACATCGAGCAGGACAGTTATGGCTTCGTTCAGCTGGCAGGGCGGCTCAGAACACCGAGTGGGTCGTCGAGATCTAGAGCTTCCGCGGCTGTGGTTTTCGTCCTTGCTAGGCAGTAAGCTGGTGGATGAAGAGCATTGACGAGAACAGCAACATTATTGGGGAATGAGCAGGGAAGCAGGCATGGAAGGTCAGGCATGCTCGCCAAGCTCGATGCTATGCTTATCAAGTGCATCGTACAGTGCTGAGCGACGATGATGTGACGTGGTTGGTCCACCAGGGTCAGCGGCTGCGTGGAGAGCGAAGCAAACTTGAATCGGCAGATCCAGTTGTCGGCGTTGACCCATTGAGTCTTAGTAACGATCCTAATGGTCTGCCAAAGTAGAACAAAGGCAGAGACAGTGTCAAACATGTGGAGGTCTAGAAGTGGATAGTTGTATCGCTGGCTCCAGTGTTTACAGACCAGCAAAGAGAGACTCTTTTGGATTTCATGGAGCTCCTGATCCTCACAAATCGGAACATCAATCGAGCCAGAATTCTGGTGGTGATATTGAATATTCTTGACAAGATTCGCTCGGGGCGAGGTTGCCACCATGCTCGACTGAAATTCGTGCACATCCCAGCATAAAGTTATTCTTAACGCCGTCTTCTAAACCGTTCGTAAAAGCCTGCTTGCTGGAGCTTGTGTGCATAAATAATGCATAGGTCGTGAAACGTTGTATGTGTCGGCAAGCAGGCGTGATTGAACGTGGTCGAGTTGGTCACTCGCTGCGGAATTTTGTCGAAAAATCCGCAACCGCCACGAGTATGTCCGCTATCTCCACAGCCTGCCTGTAGAATAACGACAAGAATGGGGCTCGTCTTTACAACAGATTTCCACACGATATGAAATGACAATGTCGGCCAAGCTGACTGATCTGCTAACTCATTTTCAAGCAGCTATTGACTGCTGGCAAAACTGCGACAGCAATATCTATGCTATGTCGAGCATAGTAGATGACTTTCAGGGTGTCTCGTATCGGTATCGACATCGATGGAAGCTCCAACCGCAGCAATCGACAGATCTAAACGACGATTCAGAACACGATATGCATCAATCATTATCGTTGGCGTTATTGCAGCATTGTCAATTGTGATCGCTCTGTCGATCGTCCTACCAAAGAGAACAAGTCGATCGAGCAGGTCAATATTCATACTTCTTCCACTGTATATCTATCCAAACACATCCAACTGGAATCCATTATATGAAGTGTATGTGCTAGAACGATAGCTACGCTACTGAGACACTGACTCGGGCCATCAAGTCTCAGAGATCATCGGGATGTGAATTTCACTGTCATTTTGAACCCGAATGATGGGCCCGGTCTCACCTCGTCACCAGGACCTGAATACCTTGCGTGCATACAAAACCTCACGATCTACCGCAATGTGCGAACGGTTGGCTATGTGCGCACTGGATGGTCATCAAGAAATCTATCTTCTGTTCTGATGGATGTGGCGACTTATTCGGGCTGGAGAGATCTGGTAAATGACACCAGCAGCATGAGCGTGCACGGAATCTTCTTTGACGAGACTCCTTCCGAATATACTCCAGCAAGCGCCGAATACTTACAGAAGATCAACAAGGCTGTAAAGACGGCTCCAGGCATAGCTGCTGAGAAGTTTGTAGGTAAACACTGACAAGAAAGTTGGTGGTATTACGAAGTAACAGTCTCTAGGTCATTCACAATCCTGGAACCATCACTGATCCACGCCTGCAGGACGACAGCACCGATCTTACAGTAGTCTTCGAGAATTCATACGATGAGTATAAGAAGCAAGAGTCAGTCTTGAGTAGTCTACCAGAGGACAGATCTCGTTACGCTTACCTCATACATTCCATTTCCACTATCAGTGGTCGCAATTTGAAGAGATTCGTCCAAAGTATCAGCAAACACGCTGAGGCTCTGTTCTTGACAAGTCTTCAGGAGGATTATTATGAAGCTTTTGGATCGCAATGGAAAGAGGTCGTGCAAGCTGTGGATGACCTCAATGGCTCTTGATACACGCATTACCAGTATTGTTTATTACACAGCAACGGTGTTCGGCATCTAGTACAGAGAAACCATTACCAATGTTACAAGTTATATGATGCTATTTTGAGCGATCGAATTGGAGCCAAGTACCCATGTTACAAGAACTGCATTTACGGATCAACAGGTTGTCATCGAGCCTTGATCGCTGAGCATGGTGCATTGGTCCTGCACGAACCCCTGTGATGTGGCTGCATTGCATTGCCAAGCCTACGGCGGAGCTCGAATCGGGTCCTTGAACCGAGAATGTTCGTGTAACAGCCACGGTGGCTGACTATATCACATCACTAAGAATACGAAAACAGCGCCAACGCAGAAGAACAAGAATGCTGCACCCACCGATAAAACATCTCCAATCGCAAAGCGATATGGCTGCAACCTTACCGATACCTGGATCACAACGTGGAGCAGTTCTGGCGTATGTAAAACCGAGCGACATGCCATCTCGTCCATCTTGTAGTTGGTTCTTTGAACCAAAATGTCGAGCAGGGCTGGAGTCATCGTGCCCTTGTACCAATACCCTGTCGACCAGTCAACATGGACTCCCCTATTAGAACAGTCAGTCCACCCGCCGATTGATCACATCACGATCAGAGACATGCCAGAATCCACCGAAACGAGTGGTGGCACGCTGCCAAGGTTCTTGTTTGGACATGTTCTAACCTCTTTCCAGGATATTGAGCCATACACATTTGCACTTCATCATAATCGTGAACCCCAATAGCGGTCCTGGACTTGATCAAGCTGGGTGGCTACCAGATTCATCGTACGACAAAGCTCTATCCTTGTTGAATGTTTGCTCGAACGTGCAGATGGTTGGATATGTGCGTTTAGATTACTGCAGAAGAGATTTTTCGGACGTTGAGACCGATGTCCGGAAATATGCTAATTGGTCCAGGTATGTGGTCTACTTTGTGCATATTTTGTTTGTACTCATCCAAACTCAACAACCATGCTGGCGAGAAATTGACCGGACTTGCTCCACGATTCTAACCGAGTCTAGTGTTGGGAGCACTGCATTTGCAGAGCAGTCATTGCAGCGCCGCTTCGGCGTTGATGGCGTCTTCTTTGACGAGACGCCAAACCTGTTCGACGAGGCTGCTGCCAACTATCTAGCCCGCGTGGGCGCTCTAGTCAAGACAAGCCAAGGCATCTTGAGTAATCGCTTGGTATGCTACATGTGCTTTCCTCCTTTCCCATGTTCTTGAGACTGGTATGATGACAGGTTCGAATGGTGGAGAGACAAGTTCGCCTCTGAGCCGGCGTATGAACTCCTTCATCTGTGCTGCAAAAGCACGTTCATTCACATCACACTCTGATTTGGTACCATCGGCAAAGGCGGCCACCAAGTATGGCTCCTATCGACGAGCGCATGCGGATTGTGCATTTCGTCAAGCCACAAAGTCCTGCTATAGCTTCCTTATGCCCAATTTGACATACAATCCGTTTAGTAATCAACTCAGCTGATGAATACTAGGTGATTCACAATCCAGGGACTCCACCAGATCCTGAATATAGCGCCTACTGGAATTCAGTCGGGCTGAGAAGTTACGCGACCTGGAGAACAGCTCAGACATATCACTCGCCAGACCCAACCACCAGTGCAGACCCAAATTTTCAGCTCCATTCAATGGGACAAATTGACGATGCAGAGATTCTAGCATCACCTACTTTTCGAGGTCCCGACATCGTTGTTGTCTTTGAACAAAGCTTCGCCCACTGGCGAGATGCAGGTGTCCAACAAAGAATGAAAGACTTAGTTTGTTTCGAACGCAAGCGTTGTGCATATATGGTTCACTCCGTCCCTTTGAGTACAGTGAGCTCCTTGACTCAGGAATTGATTGAGAGAGGGAAATATCTTTACATAACAGATCTGTGCGAGAAATACTACGAAGCTTGGGGAATTGCTTGGAGGGACTTTGTCGATGCAATGGACGTCCAATGAAAGTTTCAGTGGATGTCACAGAGTTTTCCAAAGGAATGTCTAAGCGAAAAAAAAGAAGCCACCATGCACGTTCCACCGCACTTGCCAAAGCACTAGACAAATGTTCATAAGTAGCCAATCACGAGTATGATTCTTGCCACATTTATCCAGTGTTCAAAAGAACGTTCTCAGCTTGTTGTTAATGACTGACGTCAATTTGAGTCGGTACACTGAGGATGTCCAGTCAAAGATCTTGGCCAAGACTATCAATCTGCCGTTCCAAGCGGGCGGAACAGTCCTTGCATTTGACGTGGCTTGACACGATCTACAGCTAAAAGTTGTCGGATGTCAGGAGGATGAGCGAAGTTTCATTCATACAGTAATCGAGCCTCGATAATGCCAAACAAAATGTTTGATGGTTGTACACTAAAGCTTTTGACATCCACAAAGGCAAAGCTTCATCACTATTCTTGTATCAATAACCTAGTCTCACATTGCTACGGCCATCCTTCATTGATGTGAAGCAAATGTCTCACTCGTTTGTGACCGGGTCGCGTTGCAGATGGGGACATGGCTCGCTTTCATGGCGAGATCGCGATTCAACTTGACACTACGTCGGTGAGCCCAGCTTTTCTCTAGGCCCTCTTGGTAATCCACTTAGTTATCGGAATATGCGGGACAAAGCCACTAACCTATTGAGAGGCGAGATCGGCTCAATTCAGCCTAAGCGTCTTTTGCAATTGGGTCAAGAAAGCGTCGGATCGCCAGGATCTTTGCTTTGAGTTCGAGATGTTTAGCGCTCCTGGCTCACCAAATACTACGAGGTAGAGTACACGTCCCATTGTTCCGCCGTAATGCAGGTACGGCGTAACAATACGAGGTGGGTCATCGCATCGTGTATCGAAGTATTGAACACGAAAATTCGATTCGCTATAAGTCCAGCCAACGATGTATGCCGTCCACTCAACCTGTATTCGCGCTCTTTGACCTTATCCAATCGGTTCTAGATGTGTCAAATAGCCGCTTTGGATCAAAGGACGTGAGCGAGCATCGAGAACGCAACTAGACACAATCATGCCTTTCTCGTCAATATCACGAATGGATCCTGGTCACTTTGGCACGTCTCCGTGTGGTTCTGAAACCTCTGAGCTCAACCGATTCAGCTCTTGCACTTTCCTCTTCAGCTACCATGTGGTCCGTATGATAACCTATGAATCAGGGGCGCTCTGTCTCAAGGGCTCTGGACCTGCGAGTTCCGAGGAGGTTGTCGTTGCTCAAACGTGGACGCCCTCAAGGCCGAAGCTAGATCTATTGTGTCTCCACCTGTTTACCTTTTCCAACTTGCTTTTCGCATATGAGAGTCAATATCAATATGCTACTGTGTAGCCTGACTCGAGCTCGAGAGCATTACTTTTTGAATAATTAGGTGTCTTCGTGCTTGCAGGACTTCCAGCATAGGCGGCCGCATCTCATAGTTGTGCACGACTGTCCTGAGTCTGTCAGCAGCCTAGCATAATGCTCTCCTCATCTTCAAGCTCATTGAATTCCAGCCCTCCGAGATCTACAACGTCCACACCCTGTACCGAGCACAATCTCTTCTTTGCAAATATTGTATCAGATTACGTTGATCCCCAATACATCCTAGTAACCGGTGGATTGGGCTTCATCGGCAGTCATACGTCTCTCGAGCTGCTGAAAGCAGGTTACAATGTCCTCATCGTTGATGACTTGAGCAACAGCTATCCGGATGTTTTCGACCGCATACTTGCTGCGGCTCACCTGCATTTTGGTAATACTAAGAGCCAATGTCCTAAGCTGAAGTTATGGAAGGCCGATTATCGAGACGAATGCTCCATGAGACGCCTGTTCCAAACCTACTGGAATGGTCAACAAACCAACATCACAGGCGTTATCCATTTCGCAGCTTTCAAGGCTGTCGAAGAGAGTATCAGAAATCCATTGAGATATTATCTCAACAACATCAACGGAATGGTCGTGTTACTGGGATTGCTAGAAGAGTTTGATGTCAAGAACTTTATCTTTTCCTCTTCTGCTACAGTGTATGGCTCAGTTGCCGACCGTGGAGTGTCACTGCGCGAAGAGGATTGTGTACATCGGTCTGAAGAATTCCTCGACCACGATGGGTTCAAGCATATCGCAGTTCCGGGCTGTATCGGCATAACCAACCCATATGGCCGAACGAAGTACTTCGGTGAAGCTATCCTCTCCGACCTGGCTGTTTCGGATCCGACCTGGAACATTATCGCACTGCGATACTTTAACCCAATAGGCTGCGACTCGAGTGGTCTCCTTGGGGAGGACCCTCGAGATGTGCCATCCAACCTTCTTCCAATCGTCGTCAAGGTGATGACAGGCCAATGGCAGGAACTCTCGATATACGGCGCAGACTGGGACACTGCAGACGGCACTGCTATTAGGGACTTCATTCATGTCTCTGACCTTGCAAGAGGTCACATTGCAGCTCTAGAAACACTCATGCAGCGCAAACCGGAATCGGTCCTCCTACAGGACCAGCGAGGTTCGATTGGCTTTGCGACTTTCAATCTTGGCACTGGGTCAGGTCATTCAGTTCAAGAGGTCATCGATACAATGGCCGCGGTTTCGAACACCTCGATACCGTACAAAGTAGTGGGGCGACGACCTGGAGACGTGGGCTCTTGCGTCGCTGAAGCTGGTAAAGCAAACAAACAACTGTGCTGGCAGGCTCAGAAATCACTAAAGGATGCGTGTACAGATATCTGTAAGTTTCTAAAAGTTCAAAAGTTGTTTGTTTCGGGTTGTGAACATCGTGTAGAAAAGGTATGAGAAAACAGGGGATTTGGAAATAGTCAAAGAAAGTCGTATATAGTTGATATCTTACCTTGTAATAACGAACTTATCTAGCACACCAGATCTTCTTCTCTCTGGTTGTTGTCGTCATTGATGCGTGATAAAAGATCGACTCTGTTGTGTAATTGCTTGCTGTTATCTCGCCTCGCTTAAAGTTGATGTCTTGCTAGATGTCAAGATCGCTGCGGGGTAACCGAAACTCAAATCATTGCAAACATGGATATCATGTCTGATGCGACAACAATTTTGTCCTAATTAGCTACTTGAGAACTTGCATATAAGGTTTGAAAAGCTACCAATACATTATCCTCCTGCGAAAAATCTGCACTCTGATCATGACACGTCTATGAACGTCGATAGTCGCTATGAGTCTTGCTACTCCAACCTCACCGCATCACAGAACAAGAGGTGAAGAGAGGATGAAAGTGATGGGAGATCCATTGAGCTTAGCCCAGATTGTCAGAGGATCATTCCCGATCTTCTCCAGAGGAAATCCTTGATTGTTGGTGACAGACCCGGGAACTGTCACTGGAATGGCGGCTGAGCAGGTGTTTCCATTGGCATTGACTGTCACCTGTGTAATTGCATTGTTGGATACCGTGTAACTCATCTTGTAGCCACAAGCATCACGAGCCATACGATTCGTGAAGGCAGTCACCAGATCAGCCTGCTTCAAGGTCTGCATAGGCCAGTTAACGAGTCTGGTAAACTCAAAGACTGTTTGCTCTACCCAGGCTTGAAAGAGACTGTTGACAGTCGTGCCGTACGGTGTAGTGATTGGACTCATACCTGTGCTTCGTAGGTTTAGCTGATGGAACATTACACCATCTCTGGACAAGCCGAAAAAATGTCTCATGAAGTCCGCTTTCTCGTGAGCCATGAGGTTGTTGAAGTCTCCCGTACCTGCGGAAGTGTCAATCCACTCTTGAAGTGTGCAGGATGGAGTGTCACAATTGTAGTAGATGCGTGAAGGCCAGCGTGGAATGACAGTGATACCAGCAAACCCATCATTCGCGACATTGGTAGTGTATGGCCACATACGATTCTGTTGATTAAGCAGAGGTGTCCGTGAATTGTCTCCGACACTGTTTCTGATTCCGTTGTCCCACCATGCTCGAAGAGCGTCACCGTTGTGAAGACCCGTGATGGCAGGAGGAATGAGCCCATTAGCAGTAAAGTTGCCATTAGCAAGTGTGGTTTGATTCAGCCATCTCTGGTTCCAATTTATTTCCTTGAAGATATCGTTGTAGGTAGCATTGTTCTGAGCTTGATGGGTGAATGTGTGACTGATATGCAGGAATGCGTCACGATTGGCAGCGGTGGCGAACCAGGTCTTCAATGGGTCTTTGTTCAGACAGATGTTGGTGAAAGGATATGATGATGGTGAAGACGGCCACCCACTAGTGCCAGTGCCTAGTGGCTTCTTGAATTCCAAAGGAGTACTTTCATATTCCGTGTAGATGGGACCACCACTGCAAGCAGCATCCTGACTACCATCCGGGTCTGCAGCAATTATGTTGCCATTTCCATTGTGACCGATCTCAGGTTTGAACCAGCTACCTCGGTTCATCTTTGCCTGAATTGTGGGAACCCAAGACTTGATCACGTTCATGTCAGTGGGCGTTACTCGATAACTGTTAGCTCCATTGCCGGGATAGTAAATCTCAGTGCCCAAGAACATGTCATCGATTTGGGTGTTGAGGTTGACACGACGGTAGCCAGCATAGAGGCCTCGAGTCATCCAGGTGATGTAAGCATGTTGAAGGAAGTTGCTAGTGGGAGACCAATCTGTGGCCCAACTGATGAAAAAGACCATCTGTTGCCGTCCATTAAAGTTGTTGATGACTGCGGCAGTCGAATTGCTGCTGACTTGACTATTGGCAGCGAACTGGGCTATCTCCGTTGTTGTTGATGGATCGGAGACCTGAGCATTGTAATGAAATAGGCCTTTGGTAGAGACACCAGCCCATGCTTTGAGACCAGCCTGCGAGAATGCTGCAGTGTTTGTGAACGAGATTAGTTGTTCTACACCATCGTTGCAGCAACTGCCAAGCACAGTAGTACCAAAGGCTGGCTGTGGGTAGACATCGTATTGTACCATCCGGACTCCATAAGCGGTTTGGTAATTATAGAGTTGGTTCCATTGATCATCTGTCAGAGCACTGCGCCAGCCTGTTGTGCCACCATAATCGTACGCGAGACCTGATGCGACGACAAGACCGCCATAATTTCCGCCGGATGAAGACGTCAGAGCCGGGAGTGTAATACCCGCTTGAGGAACCAAAAGTGTTTCGAATGGGATGCCATAGCCATTCAACCCAGATGTTGCCGATTTGGCTGCATCCTGGTCTCGTGCAATGACGAGGATGGTAGATTGAACAGTAGCTGAAGAGATCGCAGCAGCAGAAATCAAGCTCGAGTTGCTACTTTGTCGAGGAAGCAAAGTTGGTGCATCAAGCTTCAGTGCTTCAAATCGACGCGCTCGAAAGTGGCGATGGAGATGTTCATGATCATGATGTCCATGTGCAGCAATAGTGGCAATGAAGCAGAAAAGAGTGAACAGTTTTGTGATCATTTTGATTGAAGCACGGAATGAAACGAGTGTGGTTGTTTGAACGAAAGACAGGGTCAAGTGACCAAATGAGTGAACCGTTACTTACAATAATGATAATCAAAGGTTGACTCTGTAAGACCGTTTATCAGCAACAATATATACATCGTCTCATGGAATAGGAGTAAGCTCACACATAGCATGACCTTTAGATCACATTTGTGATGTTGCCTGACTGCACTCAGAATGTTTCCCGTTGTCGTTGCAGGGTCGTCTCGCATATTGGCGCCTCGACCGTCAATAGGGGTTGCTCAAGAGAGATTGCTGTTCGTATTGGACGACAAGCATTGACGTTTGTGGGGGAGGTGGCAGGGATACAGGGTGTCGAATGTCAAACCCTCAAGCACGAAGAAGTTTTCCCAAAGCTACACTCCTTTAGGTCGAGAGGGTTTCTGTGGACTGGCGACCTGCAGCGCTGATTACCGTATCGTATGGTAACGTATTGGTGTAACCAAACCTGGACGCCTTGTGTATAGGACTGAGACATCCTGGCCCAATCAGCATCTTCATCACGATGGGCCCCGTATTTGACCTGTATCAGGGATCTTGCGAGCGCTTTGATTTTGTCGCTATTAGTTCGTGCATTGCAAGCACAGAATGAAGTGACTTCTCTCCTCAAGAACAACATTAGTACTAGCAGCGTTTTTCAGATGGTGGCAAAACGAGGCTCCCTGCTCTCCCGTAGAGGGTGCTTGTTAGCAGCTGTTGTTATTTCTATTGTGGTTGCCCTTGCTTTGGGCCTCGGCATAGGCCTCACTCGCGAAAAACACAACTCTGGTGCAAGTGATAGTCCTTCGACGAATACTGCAACACAAGACAATAGTTCTCGATCAATTGAGTTATGGCATCCAGAAAGCAGATTGACCTGGAATTACCAGATCAAAGAGCCTGTGTCTTCAGATCCTGATCAGATGTACGATGTGTGGGTCATCGACCTCTTCGACAATGAGCCGAACACCATTACTGCTCTACAGTATAAAGGCTCGAGGGTGATTTGCTACTTTTCCGCAGGAAGCAGTGAGGATTGGAGATCGGACGCACAGAACTTTTCTCAAGCAGACTTGGGCAACGATTTAGCCGGTTGGCCAGGAGAGAGATGGGTGAACACCAACGGCACCTCAGTTCGAGATATCATGCTCAGCCGGCTTGATCTCGCTGTGGAGAAGAACTGTGACGGCGTTGACCCAGATAACATGGACGCCTACAATAATGACAACGGCCTCGACCTGACGCAAGCAGACGCCATCGACTATAGTCAGTTCCTTGCCGATGAGGCACATCAACGTGGATTATCCATCGGATTGAAGAATGCACTTGAGATCGTCCCTGAAGTTGTAGACACTATGCAATGGTCTGTCAACGAGCAGTGCGTCGAGTACAACGAGTGTAACGCATTGTCGCCTTTCATACAGCAGAACAAACCAGTCTTTCATGTTGAGTATCCCAAAGGCGATGTCAACGATGACAGAAGTGTGTCAATGGACGCACGGGCAAAGGCGTGTGAAGCTTTGGGGGAATCGAACTTTTCAACAATCATCAAGAACACTGACTTAGATGAGTGGATCGAGACTTGCGCTTGATATCCTGTAACAAGACATAGACGTACTTCAACTGAACGTGCACAGAATTCCTGTTATAAAACTGTGCCATGTCAAGGTAAAGTTGACGTGTATGGTAAATAGTGGCATTAGCTACGCCTGGGAGCCGACGTTGAGCCATAGTAAATGCCTAAATATGTAGCGTCCGAACTGCCCGGAAAACTCAAAATGCGACGACGCATCTATTCGAGCGCCGGTGCTCTCTACAAGTCCTTCCACGAGAGACCACCATCCTTACGCCCATGCCTTAAAGAGACCTCGAGCTGCCCATAATGCGATCTTTGTTATGCGCTCTATCACATCCTTCTCTGACCTGATGGAGAGCTGGAAAGTAGTGCTACAGGAAGCATCGAGCTTCGCTCATTGCACCCACCAGGTTGTATGTCGCAGGCAGCATTCGCATGCTGGTCTCGGATGCGATGACAGATCGTCTCACGTCTTTGGCGCCGGCTAGGTTCGCGGTTGCTGTCACACCAATATGTCAAGAAGTCAGGCACTCGGCTTACATGCAGCACCGATATAGCCATAGTTGACGTCCTCTCACCGAGAGGGATTTAGCAGCAAATGCCGAAGTAACAAGAGCTCGGTGCGACCTCTCTGGCCGTCCTACGTCAAGTGCTCCCTACAAGACCGTTTCTCTGCACCGGTGCAGACTTTGAGGACAAGAAAAAAGCCCTAGTGGTGTGCGGATGCTGCAGTGGGTTGGCAAAAACATACACAATCTGCGCATGGTCCTCGGAGCAGAGGCATCAGTCAATTGCGCAGCTACCTGAGACATGCAGACTACCCAAATCAAGTCAAGAACTGAGAAAGACGATGTACTGGCTAAACTATCTCAGCATCCATGCTCTTGATATGTGTGATATGTAACCTCGACATGATCTGACAGCCCTATGTAGATGCAAATCCCTAGTTTCAGTATAGGCTAATGCCACCGTCGCCTCATCCGTCGTGCTAAGTACCGCAGCACTTAAGTAAGACTCTATCTCAATAGCTTGGCTTGAGTGAGCGGCAATGGCCTGGACTGAAGTGATCACGTTGACACAGGTCATGAACTTGGATGCCTTGTGGTAAACCTGAGAGGGAGTTCGAAAACACCACTCTCAAGATAAATGATATCTGGACTCCCGTTCCACTCTCCTTGTGGGCTGATCCCAAGGACAGCGTGAGATGTTTGCCGTTCCAAGACGAGCAGATGCATGATATGCGAAGAGAGAGGGTCTAAAACTTCGACTCGATGTGACCCTCGGACGCCCACCATTAGAAAGACCAATCCTCAACCGAAGCCGAAGATTGACACGTCTGTGAGAGACTGGACTCGGCTTTATCGAAATCATTATCTTCGCCAATCTGGGTTGAGAACGAACCACGTCCACCAATGCTCCTGCACCTCAGGTCACGTTAACAATCCCTACATAGTCGCGGAGGAATTGTCACTTGCGCTCGACAGGTGGTCGTTCAACGATGTAGGGCACGTTCGAATTGGCTGGGACGATCTCAAGGCTAGCTACTCATGGTTGCGTGGTGAATACGTGAAGAGTCGAAAGTGCGCCATGGGTGGTAGCAACGGCAACAAATACAGGCGGCCTCAGCCATGGTAATCCTGCTTGACAACACACTCGATATTCTATACATTGGTCAGTAATTGAATGATGCCAGCACCTGCTCTATAGACAAGATGCATGTCCGAACAATAAACATAGCGACAGTAATGGGTGAGGTGCGGACTGAAATGAATAAATTTGACCCATTGATACAGTGTAACGGTGTCGTCCGACAACGAAATTGAGGCCTATTGATCATAAGCTCGCGCCAATTTCTATCAAACTGGTTCCCTGACGAATCATAACTCCTATATACCCGTCGTTGTCACTATCGTCCTTGGCCCCTGAACCACAACGCCTCGTGACATCCAAGGTCAATGGTGAAGGAAAGCCAGATAAGGCATCAAGAGCTCTGTGGCCTGGTTGCCTGAAGCTTGAGGGGTAAGGGCATTGGGCACCAGGCACACCTTCCTTGTTCAGAATTTCACGTCTGCCCTCTACCTGACCAGCACAGTCACTTGGTAGTCGCCTTCTGTGTACAACCTCGATTTTCATCGCTTACCATGCCGAGCAAAGGCAAGCGCACTGCTGTGCAAGCCTTCGGCAAACGCAACGCGACATTGGCGGCCAACGCGCGAGCGAAGAAGAGTCGAGTCGATGAGGTACTGCGACCTTCGAAGGGCGAATCTTCCTCAGCCGCACAAAAGTCCGTGTTCACATCGACCAAAAATGCATCAACACCTGTCACCCAGTCTCAAGTCAAGAAGCGGCCCGCCAAGTCGAACGAGAAGCCTAAAGCAGAGCCGAAAGAGCGCGTCCTTACTGCTGAGCAATCCTCGAAGAATCTTTCCCATGTCCCAGGCCAGCCGAAAGAGACGGAACGAGCCTCAAAATCGCAAAAACCGTCCGTAGCTGAGCAAGAACAACCGACCAAGAAAGCAGCACTCGTGACCGACAAAGGAAAAGCCAAGGACCAGACATCCAAATTAGATGAGGAATTGAATGACAAGTCTACAACACTGTCAGAAGAGCCTGCTCCTAGCGAACAAGTCACCATCAAGAAGAAGCGCTCTCGATCTAGACGGAAGGAGCAAGCCTCTCTTACGAAGATTGGAGCTTGTGTCGAAGTAGGATTGCCGAGGACTACGATAGATTCTGGAGTCCGGAAAGAGCCTACTCCTATCAAGCAGAGCCGCCCGCAGAAAAGTAGCAAGGAGTCAGGTTATCAAAAGAGAGAATCCAAGAACGAGAATTTTCGAAATCCGAAGGATGGTCCTGGTTGGATTATATCTGAACCATCTGGTGGCGCCTTCATTGCCCACGACCCTATCGTGACACCAGATGAGCAATTTGTCATTCTTGCAACCAAATGGGAGATCCAGGTCTACGCCACAAAGACATCCCTCCTTGTTCGGACAATTCCTGCTGCATCAGGATCGGAAATTGTCGTCTATGCTCAAGTAGGGGAATGTGTCATCGTTGGACTTGCCGATGGCGGTGTGGTCAAGTACAACTGGACAAATGGCCAGCAAAAATGGGCTAGAAATTCTGTTGGTCGCGTAACCTCAATCGTTTCGACCTCCTCCACTGCCAACAACGATGGCTTGTTGGTGATCAACCAAATGGCTGAAGGACACAGCAAGATGACTAGCTTGGCTATTGGAAAGAAGGGAGAGTTGCTCGGGAACAAAAAGATGCTGAAACACGAACACCTTATTTTACAGCGCATATGCTTCGATGCTGCTCTGGGCATAGTTGTCGTCTGTTCGAGAACTACCATCCATGTTGGGCGCTTGGGTGAAGCGAGACAGAACAAAGATGCACCGATACATTGGCAAAGAATCACAATCAGAGACGGCAAGGTGGCATGTTTCGATGCGCAAATTCTGCCTCAGCCAGAAGGTAGCAGATCGGAGCATGCTGTGGTTGATGTTGCAGTCGGCCTCAACTCGGGCGAGATTCAGATCTTCAACGATGTGCTCAACAAGGGCGATTCCTACGGTAAAGATGCGCATGCTCGTCGACTACATTGGCACAGGTCGACACCTCGCACAGTCAAGTTCTCACCTGACTCGAATTATCTGATCTCTGGTGGCGACGAGACTGTCTTGGTTATCTGGCAGCTCGATACAAACCAGAAACAATTCTTGCCTCATCTAAGCACACCTATTCTTAACGCGACCGTGTCTGAACGAGGATCCTCCTATGCTTTGCTATTGGGCGACAATTCAGTCATGATTCTTTCCACATCTGACCTGAAGCCTTTTGCCAATATCAGCGGTCTAGCTTGTCACGACTCATCAACGGCACCTTTCCTGACTGGCCTGCCTTTTCCAGCAGTAATGCATCCCAACCACTCCAATCGTGTATTGCTGGCATATTCGCTTCGCAACTCCGACTCGACCTTGGAGCCTTCTGAGAAGTCTTCCAATATGCTTCAGACCTACGATGTGGCGGCACGTTTGCAACTGGGTCGGCAAGCACTTGCCCGTAACCTAGCAGCAACAGTCAATCTTGGTCCAGGTGGTCAGCCATTAAAAGAGCCCAATGTCACACATCTTCAGATAACTCACGACGGAAAGTGGCTTGTGACTGTCGATCAGTGGTCTCCTGCTGATATTGATACTAACGACATGTATCTAAAGGAAGGTGAGCCTGCAAACCGTGATCGACTGAATGAATGCTTCTTACGCTTCTGGTCTACCAATGCAAGTGAGAATTCTACTGATGTCGATGTCTGGGAGCTCAACACTCGAATTGATGAGCCTGTGACAATAACTGAATTTATGGGAAGGAAAGGGATACTAGCTGTCACCACCAATCCTGCTCGGCTCCAGGTGGCTGTGGCAGATTCAAGTAGACACATCAAGGTCTACTCGCCAAAAGCACGTATAAGAAGTGGTGTACCTGTCAAGGATATCAACGGTCAACAATTGTTTACGTGGACATGCGACAAGGACATTCCCGTGCAGGAAGCAACGCAGTCTCTGAGTCCACTCTCAGCAAGTCTTGCCTTCTCGGAAGACGGATCAGTTCTCGCTGCATCTTGGACCACAGGTACCACTAAACCTCGAGTTCACATGATTGAGCCTAAGTCCGGCACTATTGCTGCCTCCCTTCCACACATGGTATCCAACAGCAGTTCGTCTCTTGCATTCTGTGGCAGATACCTCCTGGCTCTGTCTGCAAAATTCTGCATTTTTGATACAGTCACGATGCGCCGAGTTCTAGGAGTCAGCCAGGCTGAATTTTATGACCCTAGTAGGTCAAGACTGGCAGTTGATACTCGAAATGGAATCGCGGCAATGATCGCCAACGAGCGGGATACAAGGACACCCAGTGAGATCGTCCTGGTCAACGTTCACAATGCCGGAGTTGGAAAACTGCAGAGACAGCTGCTCACATCACATATTCAAGTTTTGCTTGCCGATCGTGAGCAAGGAGGCTTTGTTGCAATTGATCGACAAGGTCGGACATTGAGAATAGCGCCGCCTAGTTCTTCGAACACTGCTCGAGTTGTTGAGAAAGATGTTTTTGCAAAAGCCACAGTACGAAGTACACTAGAGAATATCTTCGGTTTAGGCCGGCAAGAGGTGGAGACTGGTGACAAGGACTTCGACGGTGAGGCAAGTACCTCTGTGAATGAGGTGTTACGAGCTGAATCTTCTGCTCAGACACCAGCACCCACTTTGCTGTTCGATCGGATGGCTAGAATGATTGGTAGTGCTGCTGCAAAAGTCGGCCTTGTATGAGTGAGGATATTGTTGGTCTTGTCGAGTATACATCTGTATTAATTATGCAGTGTGGTTGGTGGGCATGTGTATGGAAGCGACGGGTAAAGATTCAAGAGTTTTCCATCTGTCAATTGATATTTCCTGCCATTAGGGTCTTGTGTTCGTGAATCAGGTCATGTAGTCGTGAGAGCTGCGAGAGAAGGTAGGCATCAAAAATGGTAGGTGCTCGTGATCTACACAATATTTAATAACGTCCTGTCATGCCATCAGCCCATGACCTGAACATTCATTCTAGGGATATCGGCCACCTGTAGTGACTCATGCTGCCTATCTTCGTGAAAGCCAGTTCAGCATCCAAAAGAACAATTGCTACGTGACTTCAGGTCGCACCTCTCAAGGCCATGAGTCCAAGAACTTGCACTTCCACCAGCTCTCTGTCGTCTGCCTCATCCCGAACGTTACCATTCACAACTTCTCCACTCTTGCCATGGTGCGTCGGCTTGGCGATCTTGTACGTCTTTCGCACTTTGTCTAACTCACATACCTGCCCCAACCAGTCGTCCGTCAACTGAACCCTCTCTCCCTCGATAGCACTATTCAAATGCTCCTCTACCTTTGTCCTATCAACCTCACCTTCTCCAACCTTTACCACAACCATGTCCCGACTGCCATCCTGAATGCCAAATCTCCTGAACGCGTCACCGATGTTGTTGTTTGGACTGAGACAGAATACGACCTCTGACTGGACGTTGTTGGATCTCAGTCTGTCGTGAATATTGTCATTCATTGCGCGGAAGCATGCTGCTAGTAGATGACGACGAGAAAGAATGGTGCTGGCATCAATAAAAGCATAGTTAAAGTCTTGATTGGCTGAAAGAAGTTGCTGGCGAAGGTATGGAGTATTTTGCACAGAGGTGTAGGCTGTGATGTATAGTGAGAGCTCGGGTGGAAGGTGAGGTAAATGAATGGTCTCTGTCATAGTGTGTCTGGCCTGGATACTGTACTTGTCTGCCGAAGTGTTGTTTGTAGGTCATGTGGTAAGGGATTTCGTTCGTTCTTTTGACGAACTAGCATCAAGGCCTTCCTACTTTGTGATCGGAGAATAGATCATTCCGTGGCCGTCTCACAGGTTCATGAAAGGGTCATTCAGCGGCAATGTTCGCCGGCCAAATCGTGCTTGGTAGCATCTTCCAGAAACGCCTGAGGCACACCGGAGATCAGTTTCGGCCACCACTCCCTAAATCCATTAGACGTCATTGGCAGGTGCGGCGGCGAGCTCTCACTTACGACAAACGCTCTTGCCTACATTACCTTTCCTTCTTTCCTCTCATCCATCAATTTCATCCTTGTTGCGATCACCATCTACACCATGTCGTTTCTAGCACGCACGATACGACCCTTCGCGGTCTCACAGCAAGTCTTCAAGCAATTTGCGAAACCATCACAGGTCATTCGCGCATTCCACAATTCACCACCTCAATACAAACCACAATCGAATCCTCTACGATCGACCGCTTCCGCATTCACAAAGTCGAGGCTGACCTTTCAAAATGCCTTCAAGCGCAATTATCAGCAACAATCGGCCAACCCACTTGCTCAAGGTAACCTAACACAGCGGATGCTCTACGGTGCTGCTCTCGTTGGTGGCACGGCTTTGGCAGTCAACCTGATCTTTAACCGTGAAACCAGAGGGGAGACAATGCCAGACTACGAACGAGCATACCTCAACGATACCTTCATGCACACTGGTCTGGGAATCGGCATCATCGCAATCGCGGCTCGAACCCTCCACGCAAGCGGCTGGTCCTATCGTCTCATGTCCTTCAATCCATGGCTCGTCATCGGTGTCTCACTAGCAGCCAGCATCGGAACCATGTACGGCACATTCCGTACTCATCCTGATAACTACGTTCAGAAATATGCACTCTGGACAGGTTTCAACATTGCACAAGCCGCAGTCTTGTCTCCTCTCCTCTTCATGAACCCAGCTATCCTCGCAAGAGCAGGCCTTTACACACTTGGTATGATGGGTAGTATCGCCTTCGTTGGTGCGACTGCGAAGCAAGAGAAGTACTTGTATCTTGGTGGACCACTCCTTGCTGGTGTCGCAATCGTTGCTCTAAGTGGGTTTGCGCCACTCGTGCTCCCTGCGACTGCTATACGGACACTAGCCTGGACTGAGAACATCTGGTTGTATGGTGGACTAGCTGTATTTGGTGGCTTCACCCTGTACGACATTCAGAAGATTTTGCATCATGCAAGAATGGCAGAGAGAGGATTGGTAAGGAAAGATGTGGTCAACGAGAGTGTGAGCTTGGAGTTGGACTTCCTGAACATCTTCATCAGGATGGTGCAGATTTTAGGCATGAGACAGAACAACAGGAGATAAACGAGAACCTGGGAGAGAATGCTAGTCTGAGTACCAGCGTGTTCGGACACAGCCATGTTTTTTTTTTGGCGCAACTGGAAGAAGAATTGAATCAATTTGATTCTCCACTCAAGATCAGCTTTCAAGACAACGTTCCAGATCATAGTGTTGTGCTCCGTTGCTTACCAGCACCTGCGTTCAACCACACATACTACCGATTGGAGCAGCAGGTAGGCGAATGCCTTAAGATGGATATAGGTCGACGCAATCTTTGTGTATACCCACAAGCCGCAAGACAATTGTACATCCAATTCGGCATTGGGATAGCTTGCGAGTCCTTGTCGTTCCCTCACTAGCATGCATCACCTTATCAGAAAATCAATGACGTAGAGTGGGTTCTTGTTAGATGCTTATGCGCTTCTTTTTCTCCTTCGCTGTGCTCAAACATTACCAACAAGTGGCAAAGGCACTGTGCAGAGTGACCAGTGACCTGTTCTAACCCTAAGGCCTACCTCGATGAGCGATATGGCACTATCTAGGAAAGTTAAACACTAGCAATCCAAAACTGCCCTTTGCACCATGCCATTCCATCTGCTGATTCTGAATCTAGTCCCTGCACAATACGTGAGGCCACCTGTGGAACTTCACTCAAACAGTGTGATGAGATTGTGCAGCTCAGTAAAGGAGTCTTTGAGCAACATCATAAATCACAGATTTGTATGAGCTTGGTCGAGATAACCTGGTTAGGCTTTTTCGCAAAGGAGTTGGCGATCCTGTGATACAGTTCGAGTACGCGTGGAGGAGAAGGGATGGGCATGCAATCTTACCTTTTCGAGAATCTCGAGGCCATCAATCAGGTTGTGGCAGGCGAACGCCGTGTTCTGGGATCTTGACGGAGTGCTCTGAAGACGGGGGACGTCTAGTTTCTCTTGTTTACTGTTTTGCAATTGTATGCTGATCGTCAACCAAACCGTGATGGGGCCGCATCAAGCGGCGAATGAATGAAAGTCAAGGGGACCATTGACCTAAATCACATTCATGTCAACCACCAAAATCTCAATCATGTCTCGCTTCACTCTAATATGGCAGATTTTGCTTGTGCTGGAGTGTTTGGTGCTCTATTGCTCAACGCGAAGCATTATGGGTTCCGACTATGAATCAGCTCGGACATAGGTCTCGAGAACAAGGTCGTCGTGGTTTTTGTGTCTCTTCCACTCCCCCATACCATATTTCTCTGGTGCTCTTCTCACGCCTCGACCTCCTCCACCAACAATGAGATTACCAGGTCTGTAGTCAGGATTACGTTCCATACGTTTGATAGCTGAATGATGTATTTGAGCATGTGGTGGGATGTCCCTCGTTTCACCCATCGGCAACGGCCTAGCGAAATTAATCCTGGGCTCGTTGTATTCAATATGTCACTTACCAACTGATTGCCTTCCAGCTTCCATCAGGTTGCAGATCCATCCTTCGGAAAGGCATGTACTCCAAAATAGTCCAGAACATGGCTGTGCTCTTGGCAATGCATGGACCTGCTGTAAGACTGTCGTGAATAAGGCCTCCTGTGTAGGATTCCGAAAGTGCAGAGTAGAAGCGTTTCGCAGTTTCCTTGCATGCTGATCTTTCCCCATACTCGTCGACTGCATCTGGATGACAATTGGCTCGAGCCATCTTGCTATACTTTTGTCAGTATGAGTACGATACGAGGCGATCTTTCAATTACATAGGGTCAAACTCCAGTCCTGCTTTTGCGGCCTCTTGCACCATCCACACAAGTGGTACATGACTCAGCATCCATGTCTCCTGGTTACTCCTTGTCCAGCCACCACCAATGTCTGCGTGAGCTCCTGGAAACCATACTTCTTCAATATCCTGACTCTGGTGCGTCTCATCAGAATACTGGCGTCGTCTGGCTTTTATCTGCTTGATTGGTTCGCTTTTCTCTTGTTGCTGCGCCATATCTCGGTCTATGCGAGCTGCCAGACTATCTGACTTCCGATGCGTTGCACTAGGGATATGTAAAAGGTGTATGCTCGACTTGTCGTCCATATCGATTGGTCTGTCTGTCTCATCTTTCATATTGTAGTCGTATCCTGGTACTTCGACATGTGAAGGCAGTCTCTCTCTCCAATTGCCATGAATTTCCGCCGTGTTGTAATCCAAGTTCATATTTGCTAGATCTGAGTTGTAGCGATGCATTGACGGGTGTATTCGATCTTCATGCTGAGCTTGATCACCACTAATCAAGTCTTGTCGAAACTTTGCTCTTCTCTCATCAATGGATACGGCGTGTCGAATGACTTTGGCAGAAGATCGAGCTGTGTAAGGAAAGTTGCTCCTATGCATCCAAGCAGACTCGAATTTGGGCACTGAATTGACAGTATCGAAAAGACCCAGGAACCTTATTCTTCGTACCGGTCTGCTGAAAGTCTCTCTGAAACCACGAACAAATTCGTATAGCTTTGCTTCCTCCTCTTTTTCCTGCGCTCTACGCGAAGCCCATTTTGCGTATGTCTTCCATGCAAATCGCACAAGCTCTTCATTTCCTGCACTCAGTAGTCCAATATGGTCTAGCATCTCAGCTAAAAATCGAGCAGTATATGCGCCACGACTGAAGCCGAAGAAGTATAGGTCGTCTTCACAGGAGTAATATCGCATCAAGAACCTGTAACCACCCATGACATGCTCAGCGAAGGAGGATCCGACGGCTGAATCTTTTATTTTGGAATACCAGGAACCCACTCTTCCTACCAAAGATGTAGTTTGCATGGAATGTGACGTGATGTATGTGCCGATGCCCGGCTGGTAGAATGTGTAGACATCGGAGCTGCTCCGGTCAAGCATACGATACAATTTCAGGATATTGCTGTCGCTCTCTGTCCCACTGAATTTGTTGCCTGTGCCCTGTTGTTAATTAGCTCAAACTCTGGCTGCAAGATCAGCAAACACGAACATCAAAGCACAAGATGAAAGCCTTTCGGCGAGGTGCCTGGATAGGCGGGCTGGTCGATCGATCAGACATTCTGGAAGAGTTGTGCTCAAAAAGCTACCATCGAGAACGTCAGACTTTCACCTAGATCACAGATTTTTGAGTATGAACGTTTCACGTCCAGGTCTTGAAGTCGGACGTCGCACTCGGGCGCTGCCCAGGCCATGACTACAAGCGAGGCACATGGCGACGACTCTAACTGCCCTATTGAGTCAGGAAAGCACGGCATGTCTGTTTCGGGAGAAGCTGATGATCTAGTCAAAAGCCATGAGCCAAAGCCAAGGGAAAATAGGAACAACAGAAGTGCAAGGCGGTGATCTTGGAGATCCACAAGTCAATCGAAAAGCCTAAAGATGTTGTGGTGCTAGATGCCACACCTGACGCTAGTGGTCCCGAAAAGGGGTTCCGGGCCATGTGGCTGATGAGGCTCCAGCGAGCTGAACTAGCAGACTCCACAGGTTTGATTACGATTTAACGGGGTGACCGAGCATGCCATCGACCGACTTTGGCCACAGAAACGATAGTTAAGCGCAGGAACTACAAGGCTTCTTGTGTCATCTTGGATTTGGCTCGTCAAGAATGCAGCAGAAAGAGAGTAACGGTGATCAGGTAATGGTGCAAGCTCTCGGATCGGGGCGTTATAGACAGTTCATGAATGTTTCTACATAATAAGGAAATTCGTACGCTCAGAGCAACACCACTCAGTCATTCCTGTAGACTATGATAAAGCAAAAGTAGCGACCCTAAATCTGCTTTGTAGCTTCTTGTCCAAGCTTCCTTTCTTGATGAAGACACTTGCAATAAGACCAGCAGCACATAATGCTGTCATAGTAATCCATATGCCCTTGAATCCATGCACATAGCCAACCATGATGTTGTCTCGCAGAATGCCAATTTCGCCAGTAGTTGACATCTTCTTGAGTATCTCGATATAGCCCTCGGACTCTTTGGCTATCTCCGCAGCATGAGGTACGTTCAGCGCAAGAAGTTTGGCCTTCATCACATTTTGGAAAACCGTGCCTCCAATAGCGACTCCGAGAGCCATGCCAATAGAGCGCATGAAAGCATACATCGCCGCTGCTTGGCCAGCATATTCAGGCTCCACAGCAGCTTGAATACTGACATTGACAGCTGAAAGAACCATTCCCATTCCGAGACCATAAATGCATTGACAAGCTGCCCAGACCGGAGTCTTTGTCTGGTCTGTCCACATGATGAAGAGACCTCCTGCGAATGTGCTGATCACAAAACCGACCCAGATGAAAGCACGATATGAGCCGAAACGGGTGATTAGAGCATTGGTGATAGAGCTGGCAGGTAACATCGTTGCTGTTGCTGGAATGATCGAGAGACCAGTGCGAATAGGACTGAAGTGTTGAGCTGCAGTGAAATAAAAAGCCAGATAGTACATTGCCATATACAAAGCAAGACCTTGGAACATAGCGCAGAGGTAGCTGGCAATCGCGCTTCTGTTGTTGAAGATATTCTTGTTGAGGAACGGTTTCTGTGTGACACGTGCTTCAAAGGCCATCGTTCCAAGTAGGCCGATAGCTCCCAGCACAAGTGGAACAACAGTCTGATAGCTGTTCCACGCATATTGAATGCCTGCCCACGAAATGCCGATGAGCAGAGATGTGACGCTTGCAATGAAGAGAGCGTTTCCCGACCAGTCGATAGAACGGATTTTGGTGATGAGGTCGGTCTTGGGCTGGCTGAGTTGACCCAGGAAGAATGACATCGGCAGTGCTATGCCACAGATCGGTAGATTGAGATAAAAGCACCATCTCCAGGTAGCCTCTTCAACTAAAACACCTCCAATAAGTGGACCTGTGACAGTACCGATGGCCCAAGCTCCAAGTACCAAAGTGAAATATTTTGGCCGGAATCGTAGTGGTACAACGTCGGCGAAGCATAGTTGGGACAATGCAATGATGCCAGCTCCACCTACACCTTGTATGACACGACCGAGAAGCATGACTGTAAAATCGTGTGCAGCACCGCAAGCGACTGAACCTGCTGCGAAGAAGAGAATGGATGGAATGAGTAGTTCACGACGACCGAAGATATCTGAGAGACTGGCTATTGTGGGTTGAAGCACACTGTGTGCTAGCAAGTAGGAAGTGCCGGTCCAGAAAGCTTGTGCTGATGAGCCGTTGAGCTCGACGGCAAGAGTCGGTAAGACGGGAACTAGAATCGTCGCATCAAGGGCCTGCTTCGTGTTGGTCATAGATCGGGATCCATTTCAGAACGACTTACCACGACGAGGGAAGAAATGGCCATAGTAATCATGATCATACGTTCACGCATCTTTGGTTTCCATGTTGGTGGGTCATCATGCTCTGAAACTTCTTCGATGCCAACGATTGTGTCTGTTGACTTAGAGTCGGAAGGACGTGTTTTTCCAGTCTCGTTGCCAGTCTTGAAATTCTTGAAAAAGGCCTTCTGAGGTACATCATCCTCTTCAGAAAAGTCATTCGCACGCATGGAAGTCATGATGGGCGTCGTAGAACCAGTCGCTGAGCTCGAAGGCAATTGACAGCTAGTTCGAATGGGTTGGAAGTTAGTGTTGGCTACTTTGGAGGCAGGTGCATTGATCAACATAAAGAGAGCACAGTCACCTTTTCAAATGTACTTACACCTTAACAAAGCCTCCTGCCCTTCAACTGGCACCAATTGCAGTTGTCGAAGCAACCCTCGCCAGCATTTGAGGGGCACCCGGTTCTGGACCACCGATTCGGGAGCCACGCAGCCATGACTTGATGAAGGCGTTGACTCTTGCGGAATAGGACAAGCCTTCCAGACTATTGACCCCAGCTGGCCATTGCTTGTTCGCGCCTCTAAACATCAAAGGGGACAAGCAATGTGGCTTTCTGACTACCTGTGAATGGATATGAGAGTCATTGCTAGAACATGCATGTAATGATACCTATAACGATCTCGTATCCAGAAGCGTTATCGGAGACCCCGAATATGCTGGTTGAAGTGATCGTCAGCCATCGTGGCTGGCTGAGGAAACCAAAGGGGAATGAGGAGGAAAATCAGACAGAAAAGAGATGGTCTAAGTCGTCCGCACTAAGCTCAATCAGGGAGAGGCTGAAAGCCGAGAAGTCTGAGTGCAGGATCTCGTTATCTGGCCGCTTACTAGATCTTGCGAAATTGAGTCTAAGGCCACCATGGCCAGGACTGAACTATAAGTACAATTGATGCTCATACATACCAAAATGGTCTTGTGCAGTACATAATACAATCGTATTTGATAAAGCATTTAGAATTTTCTCACCTTTCAGCGCGCAGACCTTATTTCTGACAGGGAGCAGAACATCAATTATGTAGAGATGGTATCTGATTTCTCCCGAGAGGAGAACTTTAACAGTGTTGCGTCGAAACCTGTGAAGTATTCATGTAGGCTCCGAATAGGCTCGTCACGAAAAAGTACAGACTTAGTACCAAAGAACCAGCAATAAGGATACATAATTCTAAGGGACTAATTTCTTCGTTATATCTTGCTCGACGAACCTATGCTACTGGCGTCGACGTCGCTCTAAGATGGACGTTGTGAATATTCGCGAACTGGAGCATTTTTATCTCAAGATGTTCAATCAGCACTTGCTTGCCGCTGATCAAATGCGATCTGCTATACTCTCACGGCAAGTACTTCGGAACTCTACAAAATCAACTCCGATGCTATTTTACGGAAAGCTGTTTCAGCATTTGCACCGACTTCATGACTATTGAAAGAAAACCCCAGGCGCTGCAGTGTCTGTCCCTCCAGACTGGCATAAGTGAATTGATCTATCATATCTCGAGAAGTAATACTCGAGTAGGTAACCACTCTGGGGGAAGCCTGAATCGCGGGGCCAGCGACCGGAGTGTGACCCGGTGCTAAGATGATCACCACAACCTTGGCTCTCTCGGCACAAATTGGCTTTCGTTCCTTGGTGAGCTTCCATACGCCACGTCCTTGATTATCTTTTGCCGATGTTGCAGGCTAAAGAGAGCTGATGAGCAGGCAATCTATATGTACCAGTCCTTGTCACCACTATCGTTCTGCAATGATACCTGCCCCTTCAGGCATAGCTGTCTGTCAGGTTGTGCTCGGATCTTGATCGTCATTTGTCCTACTACCCCAGGTTGATAGAGTAGCATCACAGAAAGTCGGACGCTCATGTCCTTCCAATCTTTCTAACTCTCATGCAATGCATGCATAGATATCTTTTGCACGTGGAAGACACAATCTCTCTGTAAGAAGTCCGACTATCTTTCGAGCCTCTTGCAGTGGACACCACGCAACATGCTTGAGCTTATCTTTTAGCACGAGAAGTCTGACTTGTGAATATCTCATATCAGAACTCTCTTCAGCACCCTGATCGTACAGAGTCTTCTGCAACTCAAGCGCAATACACGTCGGTAGCACGTCTGCATGATACTCAGCAATGGCTCAACGCGATACCGAGAAGGTCAAACTCGAAAACGGTCGTTCCGTGAGCCCACCACCAGTGGTTGTTGACCAAGAACGCCGTACCTCGGCTGACGTCGAGAAAGTCATTGCTCACAGTCACGATGCCGACGAGGCGATGAAAGCTTTCGCTCATGGCGAGATTATTGAAATCGATGAAGCCACCAACAAACGTCTCCTTCGCATCATTGACTGGCATCTCATGCCGATCATGTGCGTTGTATACGGCATCAACTACCTTGACAAGACCACGATTTCGTATGCATCGATCATGGGCTTGAGGACTGACCTGAGGCTTCAAGGTGACGATTATCAATGGCTAGGAAGCATGTTCTATTTTGGCTACTTAGCCTGGGAATGGCCGACTAGCATCTTGTTGCAACGATTGCCTTTAGCAAAGTATTCCGCCTTCAATGTCCTGATGTGGGGCACGACTCTTGCACTCTTTGCTACTGTCAGCGGTTTCCCAGGTGCCGTCGCTGTTCGATTCTTCCTTGGTGTATTCGAATCCGCTGTCACTCCAGGCTTTGCACTCTTCACATCACAATGGTACACTAAGAGAGAACAGGGTGCTCGCACTGGTATATGGTTCAGTTTCAATGGCTTTGCGCAGATCCTTGGTGGTCTTGTCGCATATGGAATTGCTGTGGGCGCTAGAAAGCATGGCGTCGCAATTGAGCCGTGGAAGATTGTGTTCCTTATCTTCGGCCTGCTGACAGCTTGTCTTGGTGTACTTTTCTTCTTCGTCATGCCCGACAACCAGCTAAATGCTCGATGGTTGAGCAAGGCTGATCGTGTCCTCTGTGTTGCTCGAGTTCGTCAAAATCAGCAGGGCATCGGTAACAAGCACTACAAGACTTATCAGCTCAGAGAGGCATTGACTGATCCCCTTACCTGGGCTTTCGTCTTCTACGCTCTCGTTGCGGATATCCCGAACGGTGGTCTCAGCAACTTTTTCTCTCAACTTATCGTGTCTTTTGGTTATACAGCCGAAGAATCCTTACTGTATGGTACACCTGGTGGTGCAGTCGAGGTTGTTGCCTTGATCTTCTCTGGTTGGCTTGGTGACAAGATAGGTCGAAGACTGCTTGTCAGTATTGGTGGTATGGCTCTTGCACTGATTGGCATGATCTTGATCGTTGCTCTTCCGTTGCAAAACAATTCTGGCCGTCTAGCTGGGTACTACTTGACCCAAGCATCGCCAACACCTTTTGTCGCATTGCTCAGCTTGATAAGTACGAATGTGGCCGGATATACGAAGAAGACAACTGTCGCTGCTCTATATCTCATCGCATATTGTAAGTTCTTGCTTTCATTCCTGCTCGTGCGCTGTCTGACTCGGTCTCAGGTGTTGGCAACATCATCGGTCCTCAGCCTTCCGACCCAAGGATGCTCCTCGCTACGTTCCTGCTGAGATCACAATTGTTGTGTGCTATGGGCTTTGTATCATCGACATACTCTTCATTCATTGGTGGTGTGTACGTCAAAACAAGATTAAGGCTCGGAAGAGGAGTGAACCAGGGTATGTCAAGCTCGAGAATCAAGAATGGTTGGATTTGACGGATAGAGAAAACCTGGAGTTTGAGTATAGCTTGTGATGCTGTAAAAAGTGGTTGAGCAAACGCACGCACGAGGTAATTTTTTGGTTTAGGAATGATAGATTTATGTTATGCATTATACACATTTACGAGAGAAAGACTTAGTAAAAAGTTTTTTAGAAAATAATCGATTATTATAAATAACCTTCTTTTCTACGGACGAGCTGTAGATAAAAACGGTTATTTTAGATTAAGTGAGAAGTTTAATAAGCGTACTATATTAAAACTCCTTCGTTTACCTTTTTCGATTATTCCTCTTCCGTTCGCTCGATTTATATTTTGCAAATTAGTTGTCGATAAGATCTAATTATAATTAAGCCGCTCGCCGATTTACACGATAAAATTAGCTGTTTTAGTTTAGGGCTTAGGGCTTAGGGCTTAGGGCATGTCTCTTATTCAAT